CCCCTCTCCTTTCCTTGTTTAGAAAGATACATAATTTACTCAAAATGAGCTGGAGAGAAACGGTGCAGTGTACGGAGAGAAGATTTAAATCGATTTTCCATCACCTACTTGAAAGCTTCGAGGGAATCGGAACATCGTCCCGAGTGTTTGGTTAATTTTTCCTATGATATAAATCAGTGATTCTCACAGGACTCTATTTTTGCCTCTACAGAACAGAGACAATTCAAGTACTCTCCGCAAACAGTGTTTTGCAGATCTACAATATCAGTATTCCTTATTCAAAGCAGAGGCTGGCCAAACCAACGCTCTGTCGACCTGCACGGATATGTGATAACAAAATACAATAACAGTATTTGCATTCTATTTATGTTGGATTGACAGAGCAATTTTCAATTGACATTCGCCTCTAATCCGGAGTCATATTGGTTTTGGTATGCTGCGCATGCGTCCCCCCAACTAATCAGCGGCATAAATAGATCGAATCGGACACACGCGTTTTCCCGCACCTAGGGCAATTTTATCGTTTTTACTTTGGAGTTTCATTGGCTCCGTGTGGTATTCTTCTTCGTTCTGATTGGCTGTTGTAATATTACGTTGGTTTTGGTTTTTCGGCACTAGTCGGAATGCTTTCTTATCGGTGATGTTGGACTGGTTTTCTTCACATGTGGCACAGCAGATCAAAGAGGTCGCTTATCCAGTATCTGTAGTTTGTTGTTGATGAACCCCGGGACAATCCTGGGACAAAGAAAAATGTTCCTTAGTTAGAAGATTCCCTTGAACAAAGGACACCGATTAGAAAAGGTTACACAGAGGAGCCTTCACTCGAGGGACTCTCTTCGGGCCGAAGAAAGTGTGCCCTAACAGAGGTACCCCCTTCATAATAGGGAACACATACACAGGTTAAATTACCATTTTTTATCCTAGAATTGAGGTGTCCGCTTGTGTTTAGGTTCTCAGAAGAGAGAACTCGTTGTATTGGGTTGTTCGAAACAAGTTGTCCATAGTTTGTCGAATGTGATACCTTAATTTCCATGGCGTTCTTTGAGATGGGAAAAATCCTATCCAAGAGAAGTAGCTTATCGTTAGTTATTATGCGTGCAGGTGTATTAAAAACGCGCTACGTTTCAATATCTTCATGATATCACCTTCAAGTGAAGATTGAAAACAACAGAAAGGTTGACATAAGCTAGTAAGGTGTCAAATAGTTTTGTACGGAAGAACAAACGACGAATGGTGTATTATAAAGAAACAGTTGATTGACTTGGATGATTGAACACCTAAGTTTGTGAGTAAAACAAATTATCCTGCTCGAAAGGAGTCTGTTTTGAGTTCGGTGTCCGCGCGAACTTGATAAATGAAATATTTTGACTAAACACTGCAAGCAGGTGTCTTTGCTAGATTATGTAGAATGAGATATCTGAGGAGACCTAGTTAAAATAGATTAAATTGTCGTTTTTTTTTGAAAAAATTCTTAGCCGTCATTGTGTGTTTACATGGGATACTGCTATTAGTTGAGATGTTAGAGATTTTAATTTTTTATTGAAAAAATTCTTAGCTGTCATTGTGTGTTTCCTTGGGGTACTGTTATCTGTTGTGTCGCAAGAGTCTTTTTTTTTTTTCAATCAATGATTTCTTTCTTTATTTAGAAAGTAAGGAACGTTTTGATCAAATGACACAATGATTCTTTGAGTTGTCACGTGATGTGAAGTGGTGCAAACAAGGTGCAAACAGGACACTCATTCAGCTTAATTGTTTTCCTGCCTAAGCGAATCTCGCCTCCGCTGTGGGGAGCCTTTCGCTCTACAGAACACGGCTTTAATTTGAAACCATCGATTGTTTATGACTTTGGCTGAACTTTTTCATTTCATTTGTGGAGTTCAGTTTTCAGATTTTGCCGCAGCAAGGGAAAAAGCAATCGAGGGGGAGAATTTCGTTGAACTGTTTTTTTTAAGGGTGTTAATGAAAACTGTTCGTGAGGGAAGTCATTTGAAGCCAAAATGAATGAAAGCACAAAGCACAGAATGGACCAGCTTTTTCTGTCGCTCAAAGACAGAGAGCGATGGTTGGTTGGAATCGAGTCCGCGGCCTATCTCGCGGTGATATTGACCGCACTTCTGGGAAATATTGTGTTAATCTTAGCCATCTACAAAACAGGGACACTCCGAAATAGTCAAAATTACTTTTTGGTGTCGCTTGCCGCTACAGATATCCTTAATGCTGTTTCATGTATGCCATTAACTCTGGCGGCCCTGATAACAGGGAAATGGCCATTTGAAGACTTCGTCTGCCAACTACAGGGATCTTTTTGGACGATTTGTACTGGAGTATCACTGTTGACATTGGGTTTGATTGCTTTCAATCGTTATGTTAAGATCGTCCGCTCTGCAAGTCTTTACCAAAAAATTTTCACTCGACGAAATGTTTGGATTTCCATCGCTATCTCTTGGATCAGCTCTGTGTTCTTGTCGTCTTCCGTATTTCTTGTCGATAAAACAGCATTTTCTTTCCACCCTGGAAAGAGTTTGTGTTTCTTTAAACATCTCAATGTCACAAACCGGTTAGGCATTTATAACACCATTCTCTATGTCATTTTAACCTCCGTTGCATTTTCAATTATCTTTTTTTGTTACTTCAAAGTGCTTCGCAAAATCCGCGCACATTATGCCCAAGTTAGAAACTCTTCTCTTCAAAACAGAGAATGTGCAGCTTTTGCGGAGGAAATTAGAATTACCACCATGCTTTTTGTCACTCTTTTAGCAGTATGTATCAGTTGGAGTCCTTCTGTAATTATTGATTTCTATGAACTGTTTGGTAATGGCCAGTTCATGTTTAAACGACAACTTTATTTGCTAAACGTTTTTACTTTTCAAAGTAGTAGCGCTGTGAATCCTTTCATATACGGACTGATGAATAGGGAGTTCAGAGAAGGGTACAGGCGAGTTCTTTACTGCAGAGACGGATAGTAAGTTAGCGTTCCTCAAGCTGTTTCAGTTTTCCAAGATATTTGTGAGCAATATGCTGCCATCTTGACCGAGCAAGTTAGTTCAATGAAGGATTCATTAAAAGGCTAAAAAATTATAAATTGAAGCGGTGAATTTTTTATTGTCCTACACTAGCGCGTTTCGTGATTCCACTGGCCTGAAAAGAGCGCAAGTGCTAAAAAATATTTTTCTTGTGACCGAAAAAAAAAAACAATTCCAAGGAGTTAAGTATCGTGTTAAGTGGTGCATATAATTTTTTTCCGAGCATGAGCAAATGGGGACGTCACGTGAGCCCATGCGGGCAGAAGGGCCAATCATGCCCGCTTAAATAGCCAATCAGAACACAGGATTTACTCAATCTGGCGTGCCAGCGTGTGGAGCCAGCTATTACCATAAGAGCATCTTCCAAAAGGGTCATTCATGATTTATTCAAGCTATGGAGAATGTCTAAATAAAGTTATTGATGCAGCCGTAGGGGATCGCTGATTTTAAGTAAATATCCATTATATTTTTAAGTTTGCTTTAAACCAGCTTTAGCAGCTGTTACACTAGACTTCTTATCCTTTTTCTTTATCCTGTAACAAATCTTTGCCTATTACAGTAAGCGAGTGAGGAAAATTCTGATCCATAGTGATAGCCGCCATTTTGAAATATCACGATCGAAGAGAGCCTGTCTTCCTCAATTCAACCTCCTTTACACTCTGTTTTACTATGATTTTTTAGTGTCGCTTCTGTAGATATACGTCGCGAAAAAGGGGTTAGGAGGGGTTGGTACGTAACATATGTTACTAGTCTCGAGCCCAGACCTTCCACGGCTAAGGGTTGTAAGTTCAGTTACAGTCAAACGGTAGCTAGGATCGTGGCACGAGACTGATACGTTACTAAGAGGGAAGGGAAATTGATTACGACTTTGACGGTTGACCAAAGACTCCACAGCGGCGTTGATTATTGAAAATCAGATTGGGACCATATCATATTCATTTCTGTATTCAAAAGCATTACTGGTGACTAATCTGAATCGGAAAAACAGGAAACAGCTTTCGTTACACTTTAATTGTGCATTGTGGAAAATTGATTTACATATTCCGGAGGCTTAGGTTAATTTTTTAACTTCGACAACTATTTAGCAGTCCTTTCTTTTTATAATCCTAACATGGGTTTAACTTAAGCTGTTCACAAATAATCGATTTGTTAAGAATTTTAGCAGGTAAGGAACTGATCTTCACAAATTATCTGCAGTTAAAGAAATCGCTGAAAAAGAAATCTGGAAAAATTCAGGGGATAAGTTGCTAAAGAAACTGTGGTGCTGCGTCGGTGGGAGAGTATAACAGGTATAATTTAGTGTTATCAAATGAGTTGAAAACATAAATTGGCCACCGTAAATAGTTTTAAGGCTGACGTTTCGAGTGTTAGAGCTTCGTCAGAGCTATTGAAGGGCTAACGCTCAGAAACGTCAGCCTGTAAACTCTTTACGGTGGCCAATTTACGTTTTCAACTCAGTTGATAACAATAAATTACCTAGGAAAAATTCAGGCCTCGGTGAAATGACCCGTGAAAATGAACCCTTGACCCTTGACACGACTCCAGATGACCGCTTGAACCAAACTTTACAGATTATCCATCTCCAGACAATTTTCGTTTCCAACCGACTGATTTATACAAAAACAAATTAAACAAAAAACTTCCGGGCACATTGCCTGAACAGAAGCATGTCAATAATCGGCAAAATTAATATTCTGATAATATATCAAGAGCAGGTGATAAAGACCTTATTGAAAATCGTCTCGATCCATTATCTAACTTGCACTGTCGTATTAAAAGGTTTAGGTTTAAGTAAACAATTGGCAAGCGAAACACACATCGATATCTAGGCTTTTCCAGTGAAATCCTTTTTTTCTTCTCTCCTCTCTTTGCTCGACCCACCGACTCATTTTGACGAGAGGGACTGAAGCAGTGAAAAGTGAAACAAATTCATAAGATGGCCTAGAGATGTTAGGGCGATACTGAAGTCATACAAGGCTAATTTTCTTTACAACACAATATTCTCATGTAGGCCCCACGAAAATCCCTATTCATAAAACCATAAATAAAAGGATTGATAGCACTGCTAGATGTATAAGTGAATATATTGAACAAATACAGCTGTCTTGGAAGGGTGTAGTATCCTGCAATAGCCTCGTAGAAGTCGATAATAAAAGAAGGGACCCAACAGATGAAAAACGCTAATACAGTCACAAATAACATAGCTGTTATTTTCACTTCCTCAGCGAAGGCCGCAGAGTTCTCATTGTGAATCCCAGAGTTTGCAACTTGAGCGTAATGTGCGCGGATTTTTCGAAATACTTTGTAGTAGCTAAAGAAGATTGAAGAAAATATTAAACAAACTATTGACGAGTAACTGACCAGACCATACCAAGAAGCTCCATCTACTGGACTTAGCTGCAACCAACATAAGCACTTTCCAGGGTGAAAATGGAACATAGTTTTGTAGAATAAAAGTGAAAAAAGCGTTAAAAACGCAGTTGTCGACCATGACATGGTGATGGATATCAAGATATTTCGTCTGGTGAATATTTTCTGGTAAAGCTGAACAGACCTGACTATCTTCACATAACGGTTAAATGAAATTAGTGCCATTGTAAGCAATGAGACAGTGGCGCAAATTGAAGTCAGACTTCCTTGCAGCTGGCAAATAAAGTTTCCAAAAGGCCATGTTCCTTTGATGAGAACGGTAAGCGTGTAGGGCATAATAGCAATAGCATTAAAGACATCTGTAGCCGCCAGCGACAACAAGTAGTAATTTTGTGGAGATCGTATTCTACTTGATTTGAAGACTGCCAGCGTCAACATGACATTTCCCAAAAAGGCAGCCAATATTACTACAAGCCACGCCAATGACTCTATTCCAAGCAACCAACGCTCTCTCGTTTTGAGTACTAAAGCAAGTGTTGTCAATCGTTCGTTTGTTTCATTCATAGCGCTTGGCTTTGTCCGCCTCGCTTCTTTTAAGCTCTCCTAGATCCTTCTTTTTTGTTCTGCTGCCGAACGACAGGTATAATAGTGGAAGAAATTGTCGTCTAGGAATAAATTAATATTGTTTAAGCCTCTTTTTTTCTACTAATAGCACCAGGATGCTTAAGATAAAACCGACTGGACAGATAAGATTTGCAGTGCTAAATATTTTGCTGGGTCAAAATAACCTAACTGGGAGCTCTTAATTCGCTCTATTTTTAATTTGCGGAAAATTTTATCTTATGGAATATTTGTTTTACCCAGATCTGTGTAAACTCTCGAGACATTTGCGTCAGAGAAGAGAAAAAGGTATTTCAGTCTTGAAACTTCAAATTATAATATTAATTAAGGGGAGACGGTCATTTTCAACGCTGGGATTAAAAATTAATTACCAAATGATATTTATTCCTTAGTAAAAATATGATCAAAGCAATAGAAGCACAAAATGAAGATAGAAGACTCAGTTGTCGTTAGAAAGGCTCTTGGTGGTGTGTTTAGTCGAGATGGTATCATATTTCATTTTCGCCGTTCTGCTTGAACAGGAAGTTTTGAAGGATAAAATGAAAAAGCAGTGAAAACTAATTTGGCCAGACACCTGCAGACATCAAAATTTGCTGAACAATACAGCTGGTCATGCATATTAAGGCTGTGAGTTTACATAATGTCAGAGGCCCATTACGGCTTCTAGCTCTTGTCGAATACTCGGTGACAATTGGATAAGAGGTGAGACAGTAAGTTTACGTTGAGAAAAGTTTCTGCCTTAGCGTCATTCCGATCTATCCTTTATTTAAAGCATACATATGAAACCATAATGAATTCAATTCTTTGGGTCATGATTAATAAAGTTTTCTGTACATATTTTGACCGTCTTTATTTGACTCCATTAATGATCATAAATATTTATAGCCTCACTTCGTTACCAAAGTTTCAGTTGCGGATCAAAAGGGAGGGTTCCGTCACTTCAAGTCGTTTTGCGTGACCAGAAATCGTTTCCCAAACCCCTCAGTTACACAGTAGTTCGAAATGTAAAGTCACGAATCGTCGTTTTTCCCTTTCGGTTGATGCTATTAATATTTTTTGTAAATATTTTAACAGCTCTACAAACAAGACTGGAGAAGAAAGAAAAAAATATTTTGACTCTTTTGGTTATTTTTTAATATCGTTATCCTCCCTTTATATTAGGTGCCGGCATACAATATTCTAAAAATTCCTGAGTCTCCAGTGTTTCGTCTCATCTTGTAGTTCCTTCTTTCCAGTCGGTTTTCATAGATTCAACAAGTGGAACCACTATATGAACACTACACCACATTTCTATTTGTTAGTTACAATACCGCTGAGTAGTATGAAAGGAAAGAACCACGCGTGTCCTCGAGTGTGGAGCAAGTTAACGCTCGACTGAGCAGTTATATAAGTAAATACCACTGTGATACTTTGCGATATTTCCTGTATTCCGACGAGAAATGGAGCAAGGGCAGAGTGAAGAATCGCTAATAGAATCCGGCGAGAGATCGGATGTCGGGCGATGGAGGAATACGCCAGCCGGTGAGTCGGAGGCTATTGCTGTTGTCAAATGACACTTTTGCAACGCAGACAATATTCGAGTTTACATATATTTTAGTGCAGAGGAAGTAGTTCCAAGATTCTTCACCTAAAATTCTATTGCTCCGTTTAGCTATCGAAATATTTCCAAATTGATCTACGCAAAGTTATCCCATTTTGTTACAGCTTTCTTTTTTAAACGTCCTATCCGCAGGAAGGCAAGCTACCGCGAAGTGTAGTAAAATTTCGCCCCTACATCTTGTTTGTATCAGTCATTTGTTTTCCGCTTGGGTAAGTGAACAGCTTCACGTCAATTTATCTTAGTTAGTTCCAGAAGTAGTAGACAGATAACGAGATTTATATCCTTATATGACAATACCATATTCATAACTGGAGAAAAGCAAATATGTGAAGTTAATTAAAGGAAAGCAATTATATTGAAAATAGCCATATCGTCAGATCTGACGCTTATTTTTGACATTTACGCCACCAGGGTGCATGGTATTGTCATATAAGGATATAAATCTCGTTATCTGTCTCCTACTTCTGGAACGTGTCAACAAACTTGTTAGCAACTTATGTACTAGTTATGAGAAAGCAGATGGGCTTTTATTTTAAGAAAAAATTCCCCAACTCTACTTGACGTGCTATAATCGTTTAATCATGTTAATCACTTGCATAAAATTTGTTTTTTGCAGGGAGATCGCATGTGGCATTTTGCTATTGGACTGTATCTAGTTGAACTCACTCCAGGATCATTGCGCTTAACAGCAATCTATCAACTGATCAGTACCTTGTCAATTATCATATTTGGACCTTTAGTTGGAGATTGGGTGGATGGAACTCCTCGACTGAAGGGTATGTTAAGTTTGAATGCAGCAATATGATACTGGCTTAAGTTACCAATCCTTCAGCAAGCAACCTGAGCTAATAGACAGACAGATCATTTGGCAGGTTGATTGGTCATCAGTTCCTCAGTTAGTCAATCTTTCACAAGGTTTGTCAGTCAGTCAGTCGCTGAGTCTGTCAATTAATCAGTTAGTCAGTCACTGAGTCAGTCATTACATCACAGTCAGTCAGTCAGTCAGTCAGACATTTAATCACCCAATCAGTCAGCTAGTCAATCAATGATTCAGTCTGTCAATCAGTCAGTGAGTCAGTCACTGAGTCAGACATTTCTTCTTAGAGCCAGTCAGTCAATCAGTCTGTCAATCCATCAATCAGTTGGTGAGTTTCACTCTGAGTTTGGTGGTCAAGCTTTCATGAAGGCAATCCATCAGTCAGTCAGTGTGCCTGTCTGCCAGTCAGTCAGTTTGTCAGTTAGTGAGTGAATAATGCAGTTGATAACTGAGCAGATCAGTCTCTTAGTGAATTTAATTACTTGCTTGTCAGTAAACCTTTAAAAATGGAAAAACAGGAACAAAAGACTAAAATATAGTTTTACTGAAGAGTATAAATTACATAAGAAAAAAAAATATCCACCTAATAACTGCTCATCAAAACATAGCTTATTAAAATATTTTGAGCGTTACATTCACTTTTTGTTTCAGTGGCACAAATTTCATTGATAATTCAAAATGTTGCGGTGATAATCTGTGGAGTTTTGCTGTTGATTATGTTAAAATTAGAGGAGCACATCCAACATCCATACACCATGTTGCTGGAAGCCAACATTATCATCATTGGCTCTGTAGCTGACTTGTCTAGTGTTGGCACAAAAATTGCTGTAGAGAAGGACTGGGTGGTAGTGATTGCTGGCTCAGATAAATCACTACTGGCAAGTAAGTATGCTGGAAGTGGACAATTAAATATTTGAATTTCCATGATTACCACTTGTTGTATTTCAGCTGAAAAAGGCATATTTGTCAATTTTTTCTCAAAGAGATCTGGGATTGAGCCCCAAGGGGTTGCTGTATTGTGTTCTATGGCAAGATTCTTTGCACTCACAGTACCTCTTTCCACCCTTACAGTATAATAAATGGGTTCCAGCAAACTGTCCAGAAATCCTAACAAAATTCTATAGGATAGCTTGTGATGGACTTGCATTACATGCAGATGGAGCAGTCTAAGTCACTACATGCCACAAAAACTGAAGATAAGCACCAGTAGCTTGAGCCACTTCACCTCTTCACTCCTTCTGTTCCTTTACTCGTTTATTCCCCCATTCCATAATGGAGTGGCCCATCCCTATATGCATTGACAGAGACATCTGCAGTTTGGTTTGGGACCTTGTCTCTGTGTTTTGACAAAACCAGTGATTGTGGCTTGGTAAACCTTGATTCACCCAGAAAAAAAAATGAGAAAAAAATTCTTTGAATGTCATTTCATGACAAACATCACTGAAAAAAATTCTAGCAATATATCACACAGAGAACTATGTGCAAAATTAATGACAGTCTTTGGTTTTGTTCTCTTTTTATTTTTCGCATTCCAAAGCATATAGACTGGCTGATCTAACTACGGTTTAACATATTTTTTTTAGGTACAAATGCATTGATGAGAAGAATTGATCTTTGTTGCAAGATCCTTGCTCCGATCGTAGTTGGTCAGGTGATGACTTACATCTCTAAAATGGCAGGTGTGTTGTTTTTAGCGGGTTGGAATGTTGTATCGGTTTTTGGAGAGTACTATCTTCTCTGGACAGTTTTCAAAGCCGTGGCTGCCCTGTCTCACAAGGTCATAGACACAACAAGACACAACTCTAACACTGAAGACAACTCTTCCGTGGATATGTCTGCTGATGAACCTCACGGATCTAATGAGCGCTTGGAAAGGATGGAAAACGAAGACCAAGAAAGGGGCCAGAATGGCGCTGAGGTTTTGGTCCCAGCTGTTACTGTCAGACCCGTTCAAAGACAACCCAAGCCAAGTGTCTATACACGATTTAAGAAAAGGATCCTGACCTTTGAAATGGGATGGCACATTTATTTTAGACAGAGTGTAGCCCGACCTGGGCTTGCCCTGGCTTCGTTGTATTTCACTGTGATTTCGTTTGGCGCCATAACAACTGGTTACGCTTACACGCAGTGTTTGTCTGAGTCAGTTCTGAGTCTGATACGAGGCATTGGTTCGTTGTTTGGTGTCTTTGCTACATTTGTTTTTCCCAGATTGAGAAATGCTGTTGGTGTTGTTCGCTGCGGGCTTTTCTCCATGTCTCTTCAGTTTTCTTGCCTTCTTTTGTGTGTCGCTGCTGTCTTTGCTCCTGGTTCGCCATTCTTCTTGTTACCGAGAAATTCAGGGCAACCTTTGCTGCCCCAGTGTAAGGCACCTCAGCAGACAACTCCCACACCAACTCTCTCTCCCAGTTGCATAGATGAAGGGCCCAGGAATTCCTCTCTAAACGTTCATCCTTCAAATTTGCACTTTATGAGAAGAGCTGTAGACTATAGTAATACTGCAGTAACGACGGCAAGAATGTCCTTACCAAGCGTCACAGTGCCGTCCGTTGTTAATCGAGTGAATGGATCAAAAACACAAGCCATACCATCCACAACAGCCATTTTGCCATCCAAGACCACACCCAGTGTGGTGCCTTCCAATTCAGTCGTCTCTCCTTCTACTTCTTCTCCTTCAAACCGCAACTGTAGTTTGAAGACAACAGCCTCTATGCCGCAGGCCGTAAGCAACAGTTTTTCATATGTCTCCATCAGCTTGCTACTTGCAGGGATCGTCTCATCCCGCCTTGGATTATGGTTGTCTGATCTAACCATCACCCAACTCACCCAAGAGGCAGTACCAGAACAAGAGAGAGGAATTGTGGGCGGGATGCAAAACTCTTTCAACTCAATTTTAAGCCTTCTCATGTTCTGCTTAGTTATAGCTCTTCCCAAGCCTGAGACGTTCGGTTTGTTGGCACTGATGTCTGTGGGCGCAGTTGGAACAGGCGGCTTACTGTACGCTTCTTTCGCGTACAAGATTCGTGGTCATTTGTTTCATTTTGAGAAAGCCCGTAAATTCTGCGGCGGGGCCGATGCTCGTAGGGAGCCGGTACCGATGCTGATCTCAAATGATGACCTCGATCTTGAGGATGACGAAGAAGAGGCCATGATCAGAGGAGTGTTAAGCACTAGGAACGAAAACTTTAAGTATTAGAGTATTTACTTACGCGAGGAAGTAAGTTATTCTAAATGGGCAGCATTCTTTCCCGCCGGATTACAAATTCTTCAGTTTATAGTCAACGTTAGTGCTTCTTAAATACCCTAAAATGCACCTTTTTTTATCGCAATTCACCGATATGCTTGATTGTTATCAGAGAGTTTACCAGCAAGACGAGAGGACAATAGTCTACCGACCGCTGGTCGATAGATTTATGCGCCCACGTTTCGAGAGACGGACGGATATCTTTTAACCTTGTAGAAATATAGTTTGCTTAGACGTTAATTTAAGCACACAGTTAAAAACGCCTCAGTTTTTTTCAGCACCTGTTTTATAGTTTTGCAGTCAGTTTATCAGTAGTAATTTTTAGGTTCGCATGGATAGAAACCTGGAATGGACTAAAGAATGTTTTTCATTATAAGCGAGGCTTAGTCCATCACCACAGCACAGGAGTTTGTTTCTATTCGTAGGTGGGTCGTGTGGGACAGACTTACCTATTGAGTAAAATATATTTGCAGAAAAGCTTCTCATGAAATTTCTTTCTTAGTTATGGTATTCAAAAACAACAGTAACTATGAACTGTTAATTTAGGGACAGTCGGAATGGAAATTTCAAGTACAAAGTACTAAACTAGTAGGAACTTTATTTATTGATCTAAGAATTTGCACGAAACTACTTTTTTGTAGCAACTACCAGTTACCAACATCTTGAATAATTGTAAAGAAAATTTTGTAGCTACTTTGGAGAAAATTAAACGAGGAAATGTTGAAATTCCTGATTGGGAGATTGTCTCAGTTAAAGACCTGTTTATTGAAGAAAATAATAATGAAAATTCATGCCTTTGGACCTTAAAATGGCGATAAAGTTGCGCGAAGTTTAGCAAAACCATTGTAATTCCACATTGTTTTTAAACCTCGGCAGAAGATTTCTCCAACATGTCAACAAAAGGATTGCTTTGTGATGGCAAAATATTACTGTTAAAACCAATGCACGATACATAACAAAATGGCGTTTTACTTCAAACTGAGCTTCACTACCGTGCGTAACATCTTTACTTCAAGGACTCCTCTTAATTTTACATATAAAATGCAATAGAAAACGTAAGATTCAAGATATAAGATTAAACTTTGCTTCTTTTCCCACAAATCAGCTCGTAGCGTTCAGCTCCAGCATTTGGTTGGGCGGTTGAAACCAACAAGAAATTGATCCTTACTGACGAACAAACGTCGTACCCCTGTAAAAAACAATAACGCAAGTTAATAAGGGGGCACGTTTCTAAAGAGACTGTGGTGCTGCGTCGGTGGGGCAGTTAACAAGATAATTTGCGTTTATCTGAGTTGAGTTAATAATGTACATTGGCCAACGTAAAGAGTTTCAAAGCTCACCTTTCGAGCGTTAGCCCGTCGTCGGAGCAATTTGCAACAACGCATTTCGATTGACTAATTCACGGAAGCCTTGAAATCAGATCGCTTGTTTTGAACAAGAATTCCTTTTACATTTGCTGGATGCGATTTTCTTAATTTATCGTCATCTCCTTATTTTCACTGAACCGTTTTCGTAAAAATTCGTCCCACAATGTTGACGGCTATCCCGTTTTTTCGCCGCCCAAGAAAAACCTTCCTTATTGTTTCATTATCAGGTAAACCCTGTAGGTCAACCTTGGCTCGTTCAGATAACCAAATTAGGACGATAAATAAAGAACTACACCCGTATTACGTACTTCACAGTTTTCTTCTCTGTTGTTTTCTGTTCCGGTTTGGCTCTGTTGAGTACTTTGATGAATTCTGCTGTTCTGGCTCTCATCCTTGAATGAAGATAGGCCTTTATAAAACACACAAGAACGTTCTGTTAAATCACTGCGTTTCTTTTACTCACAAGTGGTAACAAGGTCTTTTGGTTTAGTTTTGGGGCCTGCATCCCCACATAAAAATTAAAATCTTAATAATTTGTAACACGTGTATTAGGTAAGAAGTACCTTTGAGCATTTGATGTGATAATGCAGGTAGTTCCTGAAGGTGTGAATAAGATTGATGGTGCTGTCTCGAGCATCAGGCTTTGTGTGACGTGGTTCAAGAACTACAAAGGTACAAGATGGTCATCGTTTAATATGATTATCACTCGCTTAAAACTCCTCTAAGTGTGTGTCAAAACTACTTTTGACTGAGCGTTACAATGCAAACACTGGCAATGAATGGATAAGATTAGCATTCTTTTCTAGTAGTGATTTTCATCTTACTTATAGGATAAGAAATAGTTTGAGTCTAAGAACTTTGATTAATGATTCAGCATGCACTAGTCTGTTTCCAGACCTATTTTCACTTCCATCATCACTCAGTGGGTAGTTTAAATAGAATCTCCTTCGGGAGGGGTGGGTAACTCTTGTACTCTTCACTCAAGTTGAGCTCCATTACTCTACATTAGAATTAAAAAAAAAAAAAAAAAAAAACCGTGTAAAGTTGGCACTTTCCCTCTGCTAATACTACAGTGTATGTCCTCAAAATGCTGCGAAATCTCCCCAACTGTTTCATGTTGCTACAAGAATTAGTCAGATCATCCTCCATCGTTTCCACTAACAAGGGTAACAAAAGATTCTGTCTAAGAATGGATACTAACCAAAGGTGATATATCCAATGTTATCGCCTGTCTTGGCACCAGTTCCCTGCAATTCCTGTGGGGGTTCTTTGTGACTGAAGATGACTTGTGGTGCTGTCTGGCTTGCACGACGGCCCTCTTTGAATTCCTGACACACAATAGGAAGTTTTAATTCTCTAATATACATGTAGACAATCTGTCTAAATAAATCTGACTGCTGTGTGAAAACACTGTTACAAGATTATATTATATTACAGTATCAACCTAACTTTAACCGTAGGATAAAAGGAGTGCAATGGATAAGGCTGAAATTTTAGAAAATCTACAGAATCCAATAGATTCAGTCACAAAAAATTCCTATGAAAGGGATGGACCATTGTCTTTGTAGAGGAGGATGGATAAACATTCCAAGTTAAAACACTTTTGGTGCTGTCGTCCCCATTAATAAATTTTCTTTATTTGGTGGCTTCTTTATGATAAAAATTAGTTACTTTTACAATTATACAACTTGTTCTCTTCTCAGAGGGATGAGAGGGGATGGGAGAAGGAATTAAGGATAGGGATAATTTTGCTTCTGTGAACTATTTTTCCTCACATTTCAAAATATAAGCATTCACAGAACTAGCCTAAACTGTACCTGCATGAAGACTTTACCAATGATCACATCATCATCATCTCTAAATACAGTACTGAAGACAACTGTAACACGATCATCTGTTGCTTGGACATACCTGAAGAGAGAAAACAGATAACCTCTCCTTACACTTTCAGTAAGCAGGTGACCAGTATAGACTGACCTATCATATAGGGGGTGTTATCATGCTAAAACACTAAATTGTACATGTATTTGCTGTGAGAGCATTAAGACTTTGGAAAGAAACAGGAAGAAACAACTTGACCCATGAGCATCCATCATCATCATCACTTATTAAAAATTTGTAGCAGCCAGAAAAGAGAATTTCAATTTTCAATTTGAATTTGGGAAGGAAGAGGTTAAGACAAACTAAAAATAAATGTACCAGTCTCAGAGATTGAACTGCCACGGTCAAGGAGGAAAAAATAAAACATGTTAAAAAAATCTTCTTTAACTCACATGGACTCATCTTCTCTGTAATTTATGACTGCCTGAGTTTTTCCACCAGAGCCAGCTTGTTGATAGTCAAAATATTTCTCAAACACTGAGGCAAAGCAGTTTCTTTTCAACAGAGCAAATTTCTGAATAAGTTCCTCTGGAAGGAGACCAAAATAATTCATAGTTACAGGACTATAATTAATGAAAAAAAATACATGTAGTGACCACCCTTTCAACAACACTACTGATCCTCACAGTATGCACAATGCTCTTCAAATATTAAATTGGTGACAATCACCTTTTTCCTTCTCATCAGATGGCAATTGCTCTAAGTCAATCAACAGGGAAACATCATAGGCTATAAAAGAAAAGCATACTTTTAGGTGAAAACAGACTTCATTTACTTAAGTAAGCACCAAAACAATTTGTTTTTCGTGACTTGATTGCTGTGCTTATTTAAGGGGGGGGGGGACTTATTTATTGGGATTGATTGCAGAGGTAGCCTATTAAAAAATCCTCCTATTTCTAGAAAAATGATAACAAGGAAATATCAACTCAAAAGAAGCAGGTTTTCTGTTTACAGAAAAGATAGGCTTTCCCCTGTTTGCATAATGTGTGCAAACATTCATAGCTCCCTGGAGAGATGGGGAGTTATAGTCATTTTTAAATAGAAAATATTGTTATACAGAAAAAAAAAGAGACTGTTTCAACAAAGTTGAACCCTACTGGTGTTTTACATACATTTCTTGATAGAGTTCATTTTCACATGCAGCCCCTGTTCTTGGCAGTGATTAAAAATATTCTTGTTCAACCAGCACTGCATTTTGTTAGGTGCTGCATATTTGATGGCTATATAATTGAGTAAAAGATGTACGCAATGGCCACTTACCCTCTTCAGGAGTTGTCATGAAGCTTCCATATACTTTTTTGAGCAGCTATAATAATTAAAAAAATAGAAAAAGAAAAAGTACAGAGAGCATTTGAAAGCAAAAGTTTACACATGAATCAAAATGTCTGCACATCTATCTTCTGCTCCTAACTTAGTATTTCTGTATTTCTGTTCATTTCATATAAAAAAGAGTCAACAACCCAAAAGTTGCCCATCATTATTACAAGAAATTTTGATTATACCATACCTCATCAGCTCCATACTTTTGTAAATCAGAGTAGAATTTCATAGAAATGCTGAGCTGTGAGGAGAAAATGATTCTTAAATTATGAAAGTCAAAAGTGAAACAAAGAATTCAAACATTAAAAGGAAAACTGTTTCTAATACTTACCATGATCTTTGATTTTTCACCATTGGGGTTAGAGATATGAAACTGCACTCCATCGAAATCTGAAAAATGTCAACTTTGTCAAATGCCTAAAAATTTCAAAGGTTTTGAACCTACCATGTCATACTTGTACATGGAAAGAATTACCCTTTAACTGACTTTAAATCAGAACGACCTGCACACACTGGGGTGTTTAGTGCACATTGAGGACTAGAGAATTCTCTGGCTATTCCACAGAATTCTCCACCTCAATTTCAAAGGCCTAAGCATTTTTTATATAGACATAGAGGATGTTTTTTTTTCTTTTAGCTTCTTTTTTTTTCTGTCACTAAATTTCCTATAATAAAAAGCTTGCATGTTTATACTACTTGTACTGGCCATTATCAAGCATACAGAATTTCTATACGAAAAGTGTTCCATGACATGGCTTCACTTTTAATATAATACTACACCCATTCACAATGCTCAAAACTTTTAGAAGTCTTCAGTGGTCCCTAGAAACCTTAAAGAACATAATTGGAAAGGTAAAATGATTTAGACATAGTATCTAAGTATGTTTTTGGTCCAGATGTATGCAACTCATGTATGGTAATACCTGCGCTTCTTCTACAATAATATATCAACCCTTTGGACAAACAGAATGATACATTAGAGACAACAAACCTGCCACCGTTATATCCACGGACTCAAACTTCCCACTGTAAGAGAAAGGTTATAACTCTTCAGCAAAAATGTTTCAAGCCGGAATCGATCACACACCTCCCAAACAAATTTCATAAGTAAAGAACAAACCATGCTACAACAGTCTTACCCCGTGAACTTGGCTCTCAGTGTCTCTTCTATAATCCTATTGTTGATCTCTAGGAGAATCATTTTGGCTAAAGAAAACCGTGGTGTTTGCGGATCCTTCTATCCGGAAACAAAAAGCTTTACCTTACGAGCTTCAAGATGGCTGCGAGGAACTCCTACAGGTCACGTGATATTTGACAGCTTCCGTATGCACCAGTCTCCCGACAGAGATAGGCTTGTTGCAGCCCGAATCTGAAATCTGACAGGAATCATTTATGCGAATTCCACATTCAAAAGATTTCACCTAGCGAACGTTAACCCTTCGAATAATATCCTCTAAAGTCAGATAAATCTTGTCTTGTGTTCAAGAGGGAGATTAGACGATAGCGTCCAAAGTTATACGTTTCTGTCAATCTCGGACTTGATAGCGACGCGATAGCGTCCGAAATCTGACTTAAGTGTCTGTCATCGAACATTAGCTTCCAAAATCCAACTTAAGTGCACAAAACAAGAGAGAAGCGTTAAAAAATGGACGCTAAGGTCCGAAAGCAAAAGATGTCGAATGATTAGGAAATTTAAGACATAAGTGTCCAATTTTAAACAGAAATGTCCGAAATTGGACGATAGCGACCAAAATTAGAGATGAAGTGTGTGATCCAATTACGGTAATGTGCGAAATCTAAGGATAATGTTCGAAATTTCACAATTCTTTGATTCATTTCGCCTTTTGTAACAAATTACAGATATTACTAGACGCAGTTAGAAAGTACTAGATAAGGCAGGAGATCTAGCAAGCTCTATTGTGCTTTAAAAAAATGCCCGCAATGGTATTTCTATTTAGCTAATACAGAAGGCGAACTTAGTTCTACATCAATAGTCACAGGGACTGGTAAATTTAATACATGTTCAAAGTGTTATTTATAATAATGGCTGTCATTGACACCCTAGTGTACATTATACGGTATATTTTGGATGTATAATTTTAGTTAGAGGGCGGAAACGTCCGAAATTGCGAACGATGGTTCCCATAATCTGAAGAAAGTGTCCGAGTATGATAACTTGAAATTGACCAATCATGTCAGAATTTTGACAGAAATTAGACAAAAGCCTCCCAAATCCTATGATAGCGTCTGACTGAGGTGGGGGAAGAGAGTTGAGGGGGAGCATCTATAATCTGACACAAACCGTTTGATTAAAGGGCCAGTTAACAATTGATCGCCTCTAAACGAACTGCACCTCAACGAAACCATTTTAAACGCAGACACAAGTATGAGACAACACTATTCTTTACTAAAGAGAGTCACAATATGCAGAAAATTAATCCAATAACAAAAATGTGGAAAAAGAAAGTTATTCTTAGAAATCGAGACTTAAGACGTAGTAGCGAGTCTCTAATCTCACAGCTAATCCAACACAGCCTGAGTACACTGTGCATCATCGGATGATAGGAATCGAAACAAGTGATAGACAGCTACGATCAGAATCCACCAAATAGAGACAAACTACTCATAGTAATACACAGCCATTTCAATACTTTAATTACTACCTCAGCCAAATTTAAGGTTATAACTATACGCCTGACTTTATTAAAGTTCTGTCATGCGATCGATGTGCACGTGTTGGTGCCTTTCGTAGATCTGTCACGCTGAGCCCATGAACGTGATGACTGAATCCGAAGCATTTTAACCAATAAGAACCCTGAGCTTGTTATTCAGTTCCTTCTCCTTTCCCAACAAGGTGGACATATGTCGTTTGTATGCATCGTGCTCCTGCCAAAAAAAGAGAGGCATCGATAAATTTTTAAGGTGTAGCCAGTTAAGGTCACAATTTCTACTGTTGCTGCACTATCACGGATTATTACATCGCACAAAATAAATGGTAAACTAGTACCTTTTTTTCACACTTGCTTGTCACTTTCACTTACTTTCTAATTACGCGAGAGTTACACGCACATTACACGCGCGCACTACGACCAATCGCGCTTAATGCACTTGTCATCACCACTGGATGTGAATGATCCGCAATATGTGCTTAAAACGTGTTTACACAATAAACTCTAATAGGGTATTTCAAGAAACCATCGCCTTATGTGTCTAACACGGAACGAATTCGGCGTTTTGGATTTTCTAAGACAGCAGAAATGAAAAAGAAAACCGCCAAGTGTACGTTTAAGTTTAAATGTTATGTCTTTCATAAATTCATGGCACAAAGTGTCATAATGACCTACCTTTGCACTTTCTCTTTGCCTTCTCTCGGAGTCTTCAAGCTGTTTTTTGAGTCTTACAACTTGTGCATTCACGGACATGCTGCGTAATTCAGACCTGTAGTGCGTCAAAAACAGTCTTAGCAGTCAATAAAACTTGGTGATAAATCATGTTATTTACACAGAAAAAAACAAAAATAATAATAATAATAATAATAAAGAAATAAATTGAAAGACTCTGTCATATAAAAATACTAGACACTTACACAAACTTATCTTCAGTCTCTTTCAGTGATCTTTCAGTCTCTTCTAGTTTCTGACAAATCTCTTTCATTTCTCTTTGTTTTTCCTGAATTATAGTTATAATAATCATGAATTAGGAAAAGAGAATAAAGTAAATTAATGAGAATGATACAACCACCATCTCTCTCAATAGCCTTATGTTGAATGCTGCTTACTGTAAATGCTGTTAGTAATAATGTGACCCCCTTTTGTCCTCTTTAAACACTCCCCATACAGGACAAAATATTAAGGCTTTGTTATGGTGTTCAGGCTCTAATCGAACTCTAAATAAGCTTCCTCTGTCTGCAAGGGTTTTAATTAAAGCTGGTTACAAGTGATTTACTGCCTCCTAATTTAAGACCTCTGATCACCATCTGTTTGGCCTGCAAGTAGGTTTAATTTTTGCATTTTGCATTATGGTACAGCCACCTGTTGTACCATTGGCAGTTGAAAACAAGTAAATGAAATCCCAATGTTAGGAAGCCTCTGAAAAAAATAGCCTCTCAGTGGCTTGTTAGGACCCTTTGGCCCATGTCCAGGTCTTCATCAGCCCTCAGAGGCTTAATGGTGCCAAAAGAGTATGCATACAATATAACCAAATATCATTTTTTAAAAATATGCAAACAAATCCTTACTTCTAAAGCTTTCCCTCTTTCCAAAGCCAGTTTTGCAAACTCGTCTCTATCTTTGGCCAATCCCAATACCTTTGCTTGAGTTTCATCTTTCTCTATTGAGGACATTTTCAACTTTTCCTCTGACTTCCTATGCTGCTCTAAAGAATAGGAATGTCAAAACAAGGAACATAAGAAATCCATTTTCACAACACAATAAAAAAATAAATTAAACTAAATTGTTTCATAGCTGAAAATTAAAAATTACAGTACCAGTACTGTTACTGAGATCACTTAACCCTTAGACCGCTGAGAGTGACTAGCATCTAATTTCTCCTTACAATATCAACTGTGAATCTCACATTAAATTTATGAGAATAAAGGAAATGATCACCAACAAAAGAAGCTCTTGATTTTCAACAAATTCTCCTCATCAGCACCTTGGGATATGTATAAAGATCAGTATGGAGAATATGCATACTGATTTTAGGTGTAAAGGATTTAAAAAAAAAATCAACCAATCACACCATTAGCAAATAAGCAAAGATTCTACCTTAATTTTGTCAATCGGTGCTTCAGAACAAAGCAAAAGAAGACAACAGAGAATTTAGATGGCATTCAATCCTTGTTTGCTGTAAAAAGATTTCTCTCTTTTGAGCAAGTGATCCTGGTGATGATAGTCACAATGTAAAATGAATTTCCCTGAACAAACCTTCTGCCTCTTTCTGCAAAACTTTGATTTCTTTCTGAAGTTTTTCAGTCTGTTCACCATGCTTCTTTTCCATAGCAGACAGATTTCCCAATGCTATCCTTAAAAAGGAAAATAACAATTAATTAGCAAATAACTTAAACCATATGCTGAAATTACATGTAGAAGTTATTGTGAGACTATGGAAACTAGTTGTTACATTATAAAAAGCTCTTAGAATTAATTTAACATAGGTTCTTGCATATGCAGCAGGGGGGAGTTTGTTAAAAGATAGATTATTTTATTTATTTATTCTAACCTTTCTTTTTCCCTTGCAGCTTGGTATTCATCATGGAGACTTTTCAACTCATCTCTTAATTGCTTAATTTGTGCATCTCGCTCTTGCACAAGGCTTCCAAAAAGTCCTTCATTTTCCCTCCTCAGATTAGTGTTTTCCATCCGTAATTTTTCATTCTCAGTTTTGTATTCATCCTTTATTTTAATAAGTTCCTCATGATTCTTATTAAGCACAAAGAATCTTTTCTCCATCACAGCAAACTTTCTTGTTTCATTATGTAAAGCAGTCAATATTTCATCTCTGTGTTTTTTAAGCTCACTGTTTTCTTCCTCAAGAGTCATGCACTTCTTCAGAGATTCGTCTGCACGCTGTTTTAGAATGCATATCAGTTCACACTGCTGATCAATGCGGGAACGCAGTAGTCCATTTTCTGATAAATCATCTTTTGACAGTGCTCTTAGCTTTTCCAGATTTGCTTTCATTTCTTCGGGAAATTCCACACTGTCAAACTACAATTATAAACAACAAACAATTAGAGGGTGACAATGATATGTGCTGGGGTTATTTCCCATTCTATTGGATCCTAACATGAGAGGCTCACACACACAACTTAAGTTGAATTTGTTTACATGAAGAAAAGATTTTCAAGTGTACATTCCTAATCAACATCCAATGCTGTCTGTTTTTTTTTTGTTTTTTGTTTTTGGTAAGAAAAAGGAAAGAACTCTGCCTAAAAAACTTTCAACCCTAAGAGTGACCAGCATCTAATTTCTCCTTACAGTAATAGTGCTAAATCATTCATTAAAATCATGAGAATTAAAGAAATGATCACAAACTTAGGAATCTTTGATTGTATAACAAATTCTCCTTATCAGTACCAAAAGTAACGTATAGAGAATAGTGTGGAGAGTAGGGATACTGATGTTGTGGTGTAACGGTTTAAAAACAGTGTTAACTATTAGCAGCTGGGAGGATTTTTGGGAGCTTTAAATAAGATTACCACCTGTTCATAAATTGAGAAAACAAATCGATACCTTTCATTATATAAAAACAAAGAGAGACAATTTGAATATAAGAACGCTTATTTCTTTCACTAGCATTTCATTATTTTTGGAAGAAAAGGAAATATCTTCTCAACAGATCTTAAGTATAAAACGTAATAAATAAGGCATTCAAGAAGCCTGAGAAATTTTAATATTCTTTAGACGTGGCTCCTGTATGCACTAGAAATTATAATATTCATATGTACATGTACAATCGTGATCTGTCATAGATACCCGCATGATTCTTAAAATAAAATAAAAAATTTTAAAAAAATTAGTACACAAGAAACTTGAACCCAGTATCTACTAGGTTGTGTGAGTAGAAATGTTTTCAGACATTTCAGACTTACATCAACAAGTCGAAAATTAACTTGGCTGCTTTGTTTCAAGTGAACTAACCACAATCAACCTTTTAAAATTTAGCCTTACCTTACTAGAGTTAACTAATTCTCGTAGCTTTTGAGGTGATCTCCCTCCAGATCCACCACTTGAAGCCATTTAAATAAATAAAAAGTTTTTTCAATGGAAGTGCCCAAAGTCAAACGTTGTCAATCGGTCGCGCTGAAACAGGCCACTTAGCAGTCTTAAGTCAATTGCCTCTGATACAACGAATAAAATATCCCTTATCTCTTGTAATGACTGTTTACAAAGTAAGGTTTAGTTTGTCGAAACGTTTTCCTCCGCTGAAAAAAAAACCCATAAAATTCCGGTATCTTGTGGTTTGCAGAACACAACAAGCAGGAGTGCTTTGGCAACAAAGTGGAAAGCAAACTTGTTACCAGCTCCCTCTCGTCTCAGCCTAAACCACAGGAACGGCAGTGACACAGGTATCCCTACTTATGTTACCAAGTAGCTCCTAGAACTACTCAGGGCTGCTAAACAGAAAGCTTTCAAACAAGTTTTCTTTCCTATGTGATCGCAAGACGTGAAAGCTTAAGGCAGCTTAATTAATTCCTCTATAAGAGACGTAATTTTGAAGTTCAAAATACTAGAGCAAAACAGCGGTTAAAGAACGGCCTTAATGTGGACCTGTTGATGTTATCAAGTTTATTTTGTCTTACGGGGAAGATCCCACGAAGATACACACATGATGTCCTTGCGCTCCTTAAACAAAACTTTCAAGCATATGTTCATATTAGAGATTGGAGAAATTGTTCTCCATTTCATCACGCTGCGGCAAAAAGCGATACGGAAAATATCAATCGCACTCCTGCTTTATGAGAGGCTGCCAGTTGAGCAAGGAAAAAATTATTGAATGACACCTTTTCATTGTGCGTATCAAAATGGTCACTTAGATATTGTTAGAATGCTCCTCAAGTATATATGGGGCTGATTTTGATGCGTCAACGGATTGTTAGCGTGTTATTACATCGCCGATAGTGGACATCAGGATATCGTATACCGTACTTAAATGAAACGTAATTGAAGTCTTCATTAAAAGGATCCAAGGAAGATTTTGAATCAAAATCGTAATTGCACTGGGGAGAAAGACATGGATGTGAATCCGATTCCGAAGATTCCGGAACGGAAATCGATGACTACCCGTACATCTGCGGAACTGAACTTCATCAGTTCCGTAAATGTCTCGATCTAAGCTCCGTCAAAAGACACCTGTTAATGACAGTCTTTCAGAAGCCATAGGAGAAGTAAGAGATTTATATATTACAGAATTGAATGAATTTTTTGAGTTAGAAGGCGATTCTGATGCCAGAGACAACGACAACGATGACAATAATACTTAAGGAGGGGATACCAAAGACGAAAACTTGGTTACTTAAGGTGGCTCCTTTTAAAACATATTTCTAGATTTATTGTAATAATGTCAAATAGCTGCGAAATTGATTCAGACTTGTGTATAACAGCAACAAAATGAGATTAAAAAAAAAGAAATATTAAAAAAAACTTAAAAAACTGAAAAATATCTGGATTTTAATTGCTGATGTTCCTTAGCGACGAGATCCAACCATGTTCTCCTCTTCCCTCTTATTTACTCCTCTATAGTTTCCACATTCAATTCTTATTGTTATCAAATTGGAAACTTTTAAGAAAATGATTCGTTCTCAGTCCCCGTGACCGTGACGTTTCCCAGATCATCCTGAGAGCCATACGCTTTTATTTCGTGACATATTATATGAAATTTCTCTTCCTCCTCAAAATATCCTTGCACAATATTATCCAATCGATGAAATAAATCCTTTTTCGTTTTGTGTAACTTCTTCAGTTGAGATTTAACAACATCGTCTCTAAAGTTCACTTTCTTTTTCATTTTTCGTCTGTAGTTTCCTTCAGAGCTATCATCTCTACGCTTTTGGATAATAGAACTTATTCTATCAAAGAGAGATTTTCTTCTGATGTTTCTTGGTTTTTCATGTACCGATTCTTGGACCTCCCGTTTCCTTAAAGCTGTAATGGCTTTGCTGATTAAATCAAAATGAATTGACTTGCTTCTGTTAGAATTTAAGGCAAAGTTTGTTACTTCTGTTTCTTCCAACGCGGTGGAGGTTTGCTGCAATTTCATCCGTTTCATAGCGTTACTAACCACATCGAATAAAGCCCTCCTCTCCTCATTCCTTGGCCAGTCGTATGCATCCACTAGATCATAAAGTTCACTTTGATTCACTGAATTCTTTGCCTCAAAAAGTGCTTCATTCATTAAAGCGATGAAAAAGTTCATGGATAGAATAGTAAGGCTTAATAGTAGTAGAGCAGCGAAGATTCTTCCAAATGTTTCATTTGCTTCTGCTAAAGTATTGATAGGCCTCGCTTTCACTCGTCCCAGAGTGAGTTCGAGTTGAAAGTATGTTCCCTTAAGAAGTGACGAATAAAACTCAGATCCATTCCCGAAAATCAAAATGCCGAAGTGCAAGAAAGCCACAAAAATGATAAATAAATTGAAGCTGAATGATGAAAGAAGACGCATGGATGTCTGAAGAGTTTTAGAAAACACTGCAATATGAGAATTAAACCGAATCATTCTCAACAGTTTCAAAATGACGATAAAAGTGAGAATTCCAAGCGTTGCATTCTCCACTTCCAGCGAAACGACAGCTTCTTGAAAGCTTACATTCGCATAAATGTTTTGTTGCAATTTCTGGATCGTTGCAGACACCCTGATCGTTTGTAAAATATACATTACCACAGCTGAAACAGAGAAAGTAATCTGAGAGATTTCGACCCAATTCCAGATGGACTTGAAATATCTGCAGCGTTGCCTATAAAGCTTATAGCATTCTCTTCCGAGGAAGAAAAGAATGAACACGATGAACAAAAGTATGCAGATCAGATAAAACTCATTAGATGCTGTTTCCGTCGAATTCAAAGAAATAATATTACTTCTTGTGAAAGGCACCTTGTACCCGGATGCTTCCACTTCATAGAAATACGTCACAGCAGTTAAAAGGTTTACGGATGGGTTGAACGCGGCAAATTCCATCATAACAACTCTGGTCTGTTTGTCCAGCCAGTAATAGCTCTTAAGGTTCTCAACGATGCTATATCCGGTGGAAGTATTATATCCGAGGTCTGCAACAAATCCTCCCCCTGGATAAAACGAGAACTTTCCCCACTTTGGTGCTGTGTCAGCATTTTGGTATCGCCATGGCTTCGGACAGAGTCGGAGCAGCTCGTCATCACTCGTAGAGTTATCGACAGGATTCCATCCCGGTTTATGAAATACAGTCTTGTCTTCGTTAATTTGCGAGAATCCCTCGTAGCATGTCGGAAAGGTAGTTTTCATATAGTCCACGACTTTACACGGGGCTGAAAAAAATTAAAAAATAACATAAAAGGAAAGATGATCAGTTTTGACTCGATTTTTTGCCCTTTGAGCAATTCGAATGGGAAATTCTTTTTGTATTCAGGGTATCCCTAAACGAGTTGGTCCAAAAATCAACTGAAAAAATTATATGTAAAAGAAGGAAAAAACATTTTATTTCCTCCACAGACCACTATCCACGATAAAAAGCAAAGAAAGCGATTCACACTTAGTCGTCAGATCATTATTCGAGTCAAGGGCTAGGATGCCTTCTAGAGTAAATCCTTATTATTAAAACAGATTGCTAGGATCTGGGACATGATAAAAGTTGGTAATCTAACAGGAAAACGGCCTGGTTGCTAGGCAAGATTCAAAATGGGGGCGTTTATCGCATGATCATCGCTTATTTGGAGACAATTTTCATTAAGTAATGTCATGTTTTGGAATCTCAAAACGTGATCAGTGCTATAATTTACTATAAACCTCTCATGGGTGTAGATGAAAAGTTGTATAGTTTGTAGACCATATGCATACTTCTTCCTCAATGGTATAGCAAATGGAATAAGCTGTGGCAGTAATGAACAACTAAGATTGTAGTTCTTGACAGTATTTCATCCCGTGCAGCATACATGAATATATCTTATGCTAAACTCTGTGTTGTGTACACGACTAAGTTTTACCCAATGTCGTATAAACTAATTTATCCATGAGTTTGAAGCCACTGGATGACGTATGGGTTAAATGGGGTTGTTTGGTAGGTCTTGGGAAAACTGACGACGAAACTTACTTGATTTCACCCTCAGCTGCCTTACTCGCGCCATTCCTACGAGCAGAGAATGTTTATCACCTATGTACATGGTTTGATTCTCCTCTTGGCCATTGTACCATTTGCCAACAAACACGCCAGGTATGAAAACATCGTTTAACCACCTCCAAAACTCCTTATCGTTCAGTACCTGGGTGATGAAGTAAGAGAAAGCAATGTGTTTCGTAAGAACACGATGAAAATTATCGTTTGTACGTAAAAACATTTTGCGCACAAATAAGCTGGTTCAAATATGGCAGAGTTCGCGTAATTAACTTTTTAAACAGGATTAGAGCCAAGGAAACGGATTGTAAAGGTGATAAGAAAGACTGAGCAAGTGATACAAAATAATTTTCCAAAGTTGATTCATTCTAGTCTGCTTTCATCCTCTCTCTATTTTTGGTATATCAACAAAGGCAGAAAACCGAGTGTAAAGGGTTCTGATGATGGATGCGACTTCTTTTGATGATAAACTACAGCAATTCTTGTAATGAAATTACCCACCGTGCTAAACTTTGGTAATCCTTCTCGGATGGACTTTGTCATGAGATATCGATGGTCATTTCTGTTACCATAACAAACCACCATTAGCAAAAAAATGAAAATAAGATAAAGAAAAAGGTCCACAAAAAACTGCGAAATGTTTTGTTTTCTGGCTTGATTCTTTCTCATCTCTTCCACCTTGGATAATTTTAGATTCCATAACCTTTGTTTTGAGGGGCTACTTTGGGGTTCCTCGATGCTTTCATATCCTTTTCCTCTGCTTACTTTCCTTTTGAAAATAGCCGCTACAAACATCGCCATGAAGAAAACTTTCACAGGCTCAGTGACTACTACATCCTGGCTGAACGATATCAGCATTGAGGAAAGCCACTTTTCACTGATACTCTTTCCCCACATCAGACTGTAGAAGACTGAAAACACCGCCGAAACTGCACATGCGCAGATGATCAAAAACCAAGCAAGATATATCAACAGGGTTGCTTTAGAAAAACGACCAGTGCTGGTCTCAGACCTCTCTCCTCCTTTTTGAAACAGGAATACTATGAGAACGTTAATTGGTGCCACAATTAACGCGCTTTCAATACCAATAATTACTTGTCTCCACGAAAATTTTAGAGGTCCAATTTGAAAGACCTCTTCAGTGCCACCATCCAATTGATAGAACATCGCATTAGCGAGCATAGCCGTTAATAGCACAGAGAGGCAGCATGACGCCCGCTGTACTCTTGTAAAGCGGCTTTTTCGTGGCTTTGCTGCAACTGAAACCCAAATATGTGATTCAGTGAGGCCTTTCCACCATCGCTTTATGACCTCCTGGTTGAAATCTAGTTGATTGGGCGTTAATTCAAAGGTACGCTCGATTCGACCGTCACCTCGTTCAAGGGCAAACCACTGATTAACCGTAAATGTCCAAGAGTTGTTAAACTGCTTGTCTAAAATCACAATTTCTTCTAGAAACCACGAAGGACTCTCTCCAGAGTTATCATGACCGATGCGCACTCCTTGAATCGTGCCAAGAGGATTGCTAACCTTAAAAACGAACACGTCTGTGTTAGCTCGAGAAAATAACAAATTCTCTGCACCAGGCTCTTCCGGGCTGAGCTCAAGAATACCAGTGCTTTCAGTAGTTCCGTAAATTTCTATTGCAACCCTGGCCGTTGTGCCAGAATTTCTCCAGACACCTGTAGAAACGGTTATCTCGAATTCTTGCAAGTTATTCGACGCCGAAGGCAACTGTATCGGCGCACCATTCTAGAAAGCAATACAAATGAAGATATTCATTAACAATTCTATGAACAGGCGCCTTTTCCTAAAAATGAAATATCCTCCAACCTAGAGTTAGATAATTTCATTCACTTAACGAGTTAAAGGTAATTATGGGCAGTTATGGTTCATTCTGTTTGGTTTTTTGTTTGTTTGTTTGTTTTCTTTGTTTTTGTTTTGTTAGTTTTTTTGGGAGGGGAGAAGGGTCAGTTTCTAAAATGGCTTCAATCAGCGTCAAAAGTCCGGGCACGCCATATTGTTTTCCTTTCTGGTTGAACCCGTAGTTTCCCACTCGAATACAATGTTTCTCATTTTCTATCAGACCTGAGAATTCACTAATATACAGAATTGTTTGTTTTTGTTTTTTTTTTCGGGGGTAGGAAGGGTTTAAAACTGAATAAAAATCTCCGCAGTCAAAAGCCTTTTTTAGTCAAGGGACGGAATATTCCTGGCACTTTTGCCACTCAGCGTAGACAAATTTGTACATAGAATATATTATGTGGCTGTCAGTTCTGTTCTAACATATCACTGTCCATAACCTTCTGGAAACACAAGACCGTAACATTTTCAAGAAAGTATCTAACACTGTGAATTATCCTCTCCTGCCTTTTCTACTTAGAATCAAATCGACCCATTATAACCTTAGTAGGAAATCCTCTGAAAAACCCAAGATCAACACGGTCCACTCTAAGAGTACCTATGTAAATAGATTAGTCTTTAAATATAATTTAGCACTAAAATAGGGGATCTTTTTACATCTTTTATACACTGTACACTTTAGATTTTAACTTGTAACATAGGAAATGTATTTTTATCCCATAAACAAATAAAGACATATTGCTATCAATCATACTTACATTCCTCTTGTCTTTTTTATCTGCTTTCCGGACGATAACAAGCACGAAAATATAGATTAGAAAAACTACGGCCACTGTTACAATTACGGCAACATTTCCAGTCTCTCCCAGTTTCTTGAATTCGATCAGGACCTTGTCGAAGTCGATGGGATTCGGTTTCACTAAAAGGCTTCCCCCAAACGAAGTTAAATGATTGCAAGAACAGTTGAGATATCCATTTAATTGTGCAGATAAAACCTGCAAGTAAAAGCAAAAAAATTTATTCGTCACTTTCTTTCAGACTACATATGATGATTATATGAAAATACTGAACAGTACAAAGTAATTTTGGAAAGTACGGAAAATCAGACTACAGTTCTTTCAGCAACTGCGATCATCTTCAGAAGGCATACGGACATGCCTTCAGAGGGCATACGGACATGCCTTCAGCAGGCATATGGACATGCCTTCAGTAGGCATAGGGACATGCCTTTGGAGATCTCTCGCGTTTTTCGAGTTGATATGACCTAAGCGTACCTGACAGCCGTCCGTTATCCACATTTCTCGCTCCTCTGACCAGTGCACACAGCTCTCTTGGGCTACCTTCAGAGTATAGTTATAATCCGTTCGAGAGTCATAAACTGGCACCACTGATACATTTTCGCTCCGGGGTGGGGTGGGCGGTGGGTCCTTGACTTCGACGCAGGAGCGCTTTTGCCGTCCCTGTCCGAAACAAGATCTTTTACGCCTCTTAATGGGAATAATCAAGCTGGCATTGGAAATCTTTACACCAAGAAAGTATTTTCCAGGACTCTTAGCTAAGAATTCGATGGGTTCAAATGGACTAAATGAACACTCAGTTTCGCCCTCGTTTTTGTCTTGCGCACTTGACGTCCAAACACATCTTGAGTACTTAGACACAGTAGCGTTGAGTTCATGCACTTTTGTAGTTGGCCGCTGATCATACTGCAAGTAAACAAACAGACTTACAGTGGACTCTTGTGGAGTGATTTCCAGCTTTACCAGAGTGTTTTCGAACTCAACATCTATCTCATGAAAACGTAGATTTTCATTTTTGGTAAAATACTGCGGCTTCTCCAAGGCGATGACTTGAGGCTGTAGTGATGTAACGATGATGATGTCGCTTGAGAGATTTGACACTTTAATCACATTACGCGTTTCGTCTTTTAAGTCGAGAGCTAAGACATCAGAGTTGACTCGCTTCCTTGTTCCGTCCCAAGTGTAGGGGTTGAATGGAATTGACAACATCTGCCATAAATGAATGATTAAAAGCTTAAAATAGAATTCAATTGAGCGTAAAAAGTAACAGACATTGCTACTATTTTACCTTTCATAGGTCTGTGATTGGTCAAGTAAAACTTATGCGCCACCCTCCACTAATCAGATGCAAAAGTAAATCGTAGCTCGGTCACCTACATCTTTTTGCCCTTGAGTTACATTCTTAAGAAAAATCCAATTGGTGCCCAAGACCACGAACCAAAACTTTTTCCTGACTGACCCCCCCCCCCCCCCACACACACAGTCAATAGCATGTCTTATTCGCTCTTAAGATGACTCTGAGAATACTTTGATAAGCATGCTTACCTGAGTATCAATGTAACCTTTTGCAGTGACAGTAAATTGTAATGATTGGCTGTCAGAAGGAAAAACAATTACCCCGCCCGCTGCTTCGATCCTCAACCCCGCAAGTTTCTCGAGGCTGTGGCGTCCTAAGGTCATGCTCAGCTCCCTCGTTGCTATGGAGATCATGCCCTCATCCGGGGCTCTAACAGCTAATACTGCGTCAGCAACTAAACTAATTGTTTGCATCGCGGTCTTAACGAATTTCACACCCTGTAAAGATAAGCACACAGGCAGTTTATCAAATCTTAAAAACATCGGGCAGAATAAAGCGGCAAATTTGATCGCGACCTCGCTTTGAAGAGCCCTAAACTAGAGAAGAATGGGCCAAAATTGGCCCACCAGGCTTCGTAAAACTTACTGTTCGGAGTTTTAAAAGTGCGTACTTCTAAATAAACACACGGTTTTTTGAAGATTAAAGATGTATCCACAATTTGCACTTAAAATGAACGACTTTTACGAAGTAGAAGCATTATCCTTTTGCCCTTGAAAATACTCAAAATTCGGTCATTATTCGATCAACAAAGTGATCGTATAACGTAGCAACAACGCCTGTGGACCTATCTTAGCTGAAAAGTTTGTGAGTATTATAGGTTCTCTTCCCATTTTCATTCCCATGTTCCTTGATCATTTCAGACTCTTTGTCTTAGCACATTTCTATGTCTTCTGTGATCTCCAATTGCACAGACCCACGAAGACAGAGAATATTTTTTTTCTATATAATAAAGAAACAAAATCTGTTGACGGTGACGCCATCTATGCGTCTGTCCTCTAATAGGTTGTATAGACAAGAACCAATCAAAACACATGTATGAGTTAGCCTATTGTATGAAATATGTATTATCGCTCAGGTGTTCTTAACATTATACCTGCTCTTGAAGCCCAGAGCCGAAATCTCCTGACGCTATTACTGCTCCAGTTTTCAACACACTATTGAGACATGTGCCCAGGTTCTCTGCAGACTGCGTGACTAGCGGTATGTAGGCCACTTCTTTTAACTGGGCGGTTCTCCAGAGAAGTGATGTCATTGAACCAACAGCAGACATCGCGGACTCCTAAAATTTCAAAGATAGAGAGCAATCGTAAATGTTGATAATATTCATTATCAAATGCTCATTTTTTTTTTAACAATTTCCATACCAGAGTATTGGAGGACACTCTCTCCGAAACCTGTAAAGCAGAGCCAATTACAGACGTGCTTTGGAGAAGGTCTGGAAGATTTTGCACAGGTAGAGAGATGATCTTTTTGATCAGAAAATCTTGAATCTGTGGAGATGAAAGAAGACACTTCTGAGACACTGTGTAAGTTTCATGAATCAATTTAATCGTAGTTGTATGGATTGAAATTTGCTCACCACCCCTCCCCCCTTACCAAAAAGACAAAATTTTAACTACAATGGTGAGTGTAACGAGGATAAAAGAATTGTGCGGTTTACGGAGCAATTTTCACCTCAATCACTAACTCAACATCAAGCTGACTTACTTTAGCCTTATTCTGTAAACTAACGGTGCTATCCTGGGAAACAGTCTGGAGGACAGAATTTGCAATTTGTGCAGCTCTACTTAAGTCTCCATCCTGGATGACGTCGTTAAGTAAACTATCATTAGCTGTCAAAAAGCTGCTGATGTTTTCTGGTCTCAAAAGCTCCGATGGCTTCACCTACAGAAAGTCAAACATGAACCAATCGACTGTAAGAAAAGAAAAAAATAAAGGCCACAGCAGAAACTAATCTTACTATATCTCAGAGTCAATAGGAATAGTTCTACCCCTTGGGGGATTTGAAGAAAAATCCCCTTCGCTTCAACAAAGTAATGACATTCTAAAAATCTCTACAATCTATACGATCACAATTCACTGACCAACTCGCTTGTGTTAGCAATCAAAATAATCATGCTACAAAATATCAACGCTTGCTTTTTCCAGGCTTTTCTTTAAGAAATAAGAAAAAATAAGGGAGGTTCGGATAACGGATAACGAATCGTTCAAAACTCACGCCCCCTCTACTAAACGAATACCTCGAACCTTCTTTACAGCTGAAGAAATGGAAAATATGGGTGTTAATTTCACAAAAATGGTCACTTCGCAATGATATCATAATTTTATAACGTCATCAGTTCTTCCTAATGACGTCATGACCAAAACAGCTGGAAACATAAAGTCGTACCTGCACAGACAAATTTGTCACCGCAGCAGAGGCACCAACATAATCAGTAATTATCACTTTGACCTTCACAGTGAAGTTTTCCGACAGATTACCAGGCGGTAACCAAGAGCTGACCGTGTTGTTAAAACCATGAAACAACATACTGTATAGACCGTTCTCTAGTTGATATTGAAACTGGTAGGACAGAGGTATGCTGTCACTTTTCCAGTTACTGCATGTCAGGTTGAAGTCAGTTTTCAGAGAGATGCCGCTGGAGGGAGTGATCGTGCATGTGCCCCCTGTAGGCGCTGACGTAGTGGATATGTCGTATGCACTCATCCCTGGTAAGCCGGCGGTAGTTTGAACAAACAATGCCAGGCGGTAATTTGTTCTCCCAGAGAGGGAACCTTTTTTGATGACGATATTACTTGAACCGAGTGGTGTGTCTGTGATAAGCTGTAAATGTTGTTTTCGAATCCAGATGCCGTTGTTTGCAGATGAAGAGGATTGTTCATAGAGTATCCACTCATACGAAGAGATATTGGAGCACAGGGACCCCTGGCATTGTGACTGAATACTGAGTTTAACTTGTGGAACAACTTTCAGTCCACAGTTTACTAGGCATCTTAAAAATAAAAAATTGGCATAACATTATGACAAATAACTGGAGAGTTAAGTCGGCGACACACCTGGCGATTTTATCGGCCAATCGCGGCAAATTTGATCGCCGCGATCGGGGAAAATCGCAATCATTGCATCGAGCACACCTGGCGATTTTTGCCGATCGGCGTTTAAATCGCCGGGTATGTCGACGGCTTAAGCTGGATCTCTGGATCTGGCTCTTGGCTCAGGTACATGACGAAACTTGCTCGTCAAGGATAGGCAAGTTAATAGTCAATTAAGTATTTCAATTGCTTTTGATGAGGGAGAAAAATTTCTAACGTAAACAATATTCATTTCTAACCTTAACGGTTGTGTGGCGGACAGCTGCGCTTAGTGGAAAGAAACACAATCACTTGAATGCGTCCAGAATGCTTGTACTTTTTTTAACAACGACTACAGCATTCTACTTATGAGGAGCTATCCGATGATTCGTAGTTACTACGTTCTCAGAACTGCCTTAAAATCGTTCCGTCAAAAAAACTTAGTAAAAATGGTGTGGGAAACCGCGCCCACTGCACTTAACCAGCGGCAATCTAAAACTGTGTATGTAAATACAACGAATTTTGTTAACAGTTGCTTAATTCAATCTGACTGAACGGCACAAAACAACTCGCTTACCGTTGGTATATTTCAGGTGGGTCTCCTTTCACCAACTGAATAATTTGATGTGCACTCGAGTCGCGATAGTCTTTAGAGACAACCAGTTTAACCACGTATGTCCTGTTGAGGAGCAGTGGTGTTGTATTAAAGGTGATTTCTATACCAGAATCGTTCCCAAAATAACGAATAATCGACTCGTCTAACCCTGTCTGACTATCATTCGTAGCTGTCTGTAGGCCGGTGTAATTGCCTGTAATCTCGCCATAAAACCAGGTAAAGTTCATTCCCGAGTAGTCACCGATGCCAACGTCCGGGTCATATGAAAGCGACGCATTCATTGTGATGTTTTCGTTATGTCCTCGGATGACCTCAATGCCTCCGTAGATGACCGCGACGAGATCGGGTTTTCTTTTGCACGACTTCCCACCTGAAAAAAGTGTGAATGAAAAAAACTTGCTAATTGATGGGTTAGACCATTCAAAAATTAAGCTCTATTCTTTTTGTTTCTTTTGTTTTATTTTTTGTACCGGCTCAGAGCAATCGATCAACCAGACTACACATAATTTTAAGCCCTTTTCACTCATGTTTTGAAAATAATCCGCGATTGCATTGGTTTTGCTTTTCTACGCTCTCTGATTGGTTAACTTGAACTCCTGCTCCCTCGCTTATGAATCAATCAATTGCAAAACTGAATTCAAGTGCGACTTAGTCCCTTGTGTTTTTCTACACTTGAGATCAGCTAAGAGAGCTTTATGAATGGATAGTCGTAAAGCCAAAACCAAACCAATTACAACAGCCAATCAGAAACAAGGAAAACACCTTGAAGAACCGATGAGTGTTCAAAGTAAAAACAACGCGCGGGAAAACGCGGGCGACCAAGACGTGATTGGTTTTAGTTGTGCATCTGATTGGTTGACGCGATTTTTCCTGGACCAATCAAAAGCAAAATGAGGCAAAACCAAAGAAATTTCAGATTACGTTCGTCACTCATTTAAAAACTGCGCTTGCGACACTCATTCGAAAAACTTCTCTCTTCCGAATTGGTTTAGAAATTATAGGAACGATAATACTACACGTGAGACGTAAGTTCCTTTGTTTTCTATTACTGCCCCTCCTCCCCCTTCAGTCCCCGCAGCCGGTCAAAGGAGCTACAATCAGTGTATGCAAAGACGCCTTCGTTGTAGGCTTTTTACGCGAACTTAGCCTACCTTGCAAATATTTCGGCTTGTTGCAAAGTGGTGAGTCACAACACAAATAGTCGCAGCACACATCTCTGTTTTTCATCAGTAGATCACATGATGGGCCAGCGTCTTTGCATAAATTGCTTGAAGTGCAGTTCATGGACAGAACTTGAAAACTTGAATTAAGTCGCATATAGGCCCAGGCACATCGATCGTTACTCGGCTCACAAACTCTTTGTTTCAAGTTATTTTCACTGCAATTGATCATTGATCCTCGGCATAAGGACTCATAACACCTGAGGGGCTGGACTGTGAGACAAAAGAAATAACGCGTGTCAAACTTGGCTCCTGTTTTTTGAAATTAAAAGTTTGGACCTCCCTCGGATTCAAGACTGATAACACAAATTTTGAAGTGTACGGTCCGAGAATCATGCATCCGCAATCACGGGTTTTTTTTATCATCATACCCGCCTTCTTTAGTCTGCATTAAAAATCCGGAAAAATCTCCCGATACGTTAATCGCAAGATACCTCTGGGTATAGGCCTTGAACTCGAGATTACTCAAATAAGTACCTTCACACTTATGTTCTTAGGAAGTACACTTTACTCTCACCATGCCTCTCTCGACCTAAAATCAATGTGCCAACCAACTGTCAGGTAAACCTGACGAAATACGTGAGGAGAGGCCATGCCCTTTGATGGCACAACATCTTATCTGAGGGAGTAGTAATTGTCTTCACCTAGCACGATTAACGAGACGATCGCATGCGGTGTTTACCCGTTCCCTAGAATCGAAACTTCCCTTTTACATGTTTGTTAGTATTTAACACGTAAATACACAATAAATAAACTAACCCTACCTTGACTTATACTACTTCCAAGTATCGATTGCGAAGCAATCGTACGAGATGGTGTAATGTTGAAAGTTAGACTTGCCGACGTAGCATTCTGTTTTACTGTTGCCGATGCATCCGATGGTGCCGTCTGGAAGGCGGTCAGCGGAACAGTTTGATTTACAGTGGGCGTAAAGTACTGAAAAGTTTGATTGACAGCGGGTGTGGCGTACGTAAAGCTTTGATTGACAGTTGACGTGTTATGAATCGTCGCTTGATAGGACAATCTTGTAATCGTTGGATTGAGTTCCGTGTTTTTCGTTGGATTGGGTACCTTGACTATCGTTGGATTGATAATCGTGTTTGGAAATGGATTGTTGGAGGGTGTCATAGATGATGTTGGTAATAATTCAACTGGTGTTAAAATAGCAGTCGATAAACCTGTAAAATTTGAAAAAGTCCTCTTGAGTAGTGTTTCGAGTTTGTTTAACTAAAGAAAACTCATAAGTAAATTACCGTAGCTCAGCTGTATTTGTCTTTTGTTTGAATCATACATACACTAAGGAGTGATTCCCCGCAAAACATATACATTGAGACAAACCAAGCAAGACAAATTAACAAAACTGGATGTCTGCTTACTTGAGCTTGATGGTTTCTGGTAATCTTTTATTTGAGATACTTTATACAAAGAAAGAGCATTCTTGAAAACCCAAACTTGGGACAGCCTTCCCTTGAACAGGTACCCAAGCCACAAAGGGGACTCTGTCGCTAATTCCGGAATCCCTTTTGCTGTTGCGTTTGCCACTTCTATTCCATCCACGTAAAGTTTTGCCACTTGACTCTCATTGTCATATGCCCCAGCGATGTGACTCCATTCATTCAGCAACAGTTTGTTTTTACTTTTTACGGAGTACTTCGTGATCCCATCAAGAGAATTGACGTGGAAGACTGGGCGAGAGTTTTCAAGTGCTATACTCACTCCGTCATTGGAGTTCTTCCAGTAGGAAATAATTTCTCCATCTCTGCCTTGTGGAAAAACCCAGACGAGAAGTGTAATAGAGAATCTGAAAAGCAAGATAAGGAGGGCACAATACAGGAAGGATTTAAATTGCTTCGAAGGGGCATAAGTTTTATCGTTCTCATCTAATTTTAAGAGTTCTCCATGCGACAGACATTGTCGTCGCTGGTGCTAGTTGAAACGTTTGCGTATTAACACGGTAAACTTATTTGACGACTGAGTCATCATGTTAGCTTATTTACTCGATATGGTATAAAAGTAATATCGTCTTTCGCTTCAGCAAAGAGTCTCTTTGTCAAACACCAGGAGAGCATTACGTTTGGAGACTGAATCTTAGGGAAATCCTGCCCTCTATCTCTTAAATTATTGTTAGACTCAAAATATCTGGTCATGCACCTCGAAATTATGTTACAAGTACCTTCCTGATTGAAGGGCGCGCGATGAGCCAGTGGAAAAGGTGTACTCCGGATCAAAATATCCAACTCCCACCCCTGGCCAGATAATTGTGTTGTGCTCTTAGGCAGCCATTTTACCCTTACGTCTGTCCATTCACGATTATAGCACCGGATACAGAAACTGACATAAGGGGAGGGGAGGGGGAGGGGAGGAGAGGGAGGTGGAAAAAACCCTCGTCGCTTCATGCTACAGAAACTGACATAAGCTCGGCTGGGTTTGGCAAATGGCCTCTCAGCCTTACATTACCTTTCCGAATAGATATTATATGATAAAAACACCTAATTTACCTCGTATTTAAATAATATGACTCATTAAGATAGATATAACTTGGCGGTGAGCGCGCTCCCGTGAACTGATACGACCCACCAACTTGGCCATAATGCCCCAGTGCAGGCTGAGCATTGGAGATGATCCCTGCTGGATTCTTAGACGGACTGTAGTCATTTGCTTTACTTGAGAATTTCAGGGGGTAGTATCCAACAAGATGTGGAAGTCCTAGAATGACAGACACGAATGTAATAATTTAATATAGATCCACTGGCGTTCCAAAACAAATGCTGCATCCTTACTGGCTATAGTACTCGCTATCTGTTCCGTGAGAAATAGCGAGTAGAGTAAGTAACCTAACAGGGTGCACTTGTACCCGAGAAAAATTTTAAACGAGACCTTATTTTGTTGCTAAGTTTTAGACGAGTAATATATCCACCATACAATTTTAACTCTATTTTATTCAAGATTCTACCCTGGTGGCCACTCCGTTTATGGTGTAGAGATTAAAGTGTGATTAAAACTAAAACAGAAAGTTTTAAACACAAAATTTCGAAATATAGCTAATAAAAGAAACGAGTGAACTTAACGAAACACAAAAATTAGTTGCTGTATCATGTTTATCGGCTCCATTTTTATGCAATTTCAAACTGCGATTTGCGAAAAAAAACTACCGCTAATAACAAGCGAAACTAAAATGACCGAAAAACTAACTCTATCAACGGAAAATGACTAAACCTAACGTTGAATACTAATACGAATAAATTACAGAACATTTTTTTGTCCTGATAAATTCCACACGGGCCATACAAAATGAACATTTAACAGCGTAAAAAGGAAAAACAAACGAAAACTCAACGATAATGATTTGGTGTTTGGATCTTAAACTTTGTACTCCAATTCTGGACTCGAACGTTAAAATCAGTCTTCGTATCGCTTTATCCAAATTTCTCTCAGGAATTTCTTTAGAGAGGTCAGTTTGAAGGAAAATTGTTTTCTGATATTCTCCGTCGGCCCTTAGTCCGGAATTTTACTATAGTTGAATCTTCAATAAATAATCTTAAAATAAAAGGAATATATATGAAAACAAACAAACAAACAATAAAAAATAAACTAACAAATTAAACCCTGTGATCATGAGCCTTCAACGTGATCCAATATTTTAAAACGTTTGTTGCCTTACCTTCACAGCTGGCCATGAATCCCAGGAGCAACAAAGTAACTCGCTGCATCTGCAAAACAAGGATTCGCATGAAGGAAAACACTGTTAAAGGCTGAAAATGGATATATAATTTACTCATGAATAATAGATGATGCTACAACTGCATTATGCTATCATACTATTGTGTGCAGCTTTAGTTAAAACGCAGCTCGGTCGCGCAATAAATATTTTGGATGTATTTAAACTCTAGCTTTCTCAAGGCTTTATTTGTTAAATACTGCTGGTAAAGATAGCATTGTTGGAACCTTCTCTTTTACAATTTGAGTTTTTAGAGTTTGAGCTTTAAAATCATCAAGTTAACTTACCAAGGCTAATTATGTCCTGTAGAAATTAAAACATGTAATATGTCACACTATTTAACCAGCTGGAAAATATCTGCATTAGATTTCAAAGGTTTGAAAGAGTGAACCTATTAACCTGTACTTTATGCTTTACCAATAGATATATATAAATGATTAATTCTTCGCTCGAAACTGCAAGTGCCTGCATTGTAGCTTCACAAGTTTTCCAAACTTACAAATATGAATTTTGCTTGTAGAAATGAATATAAACAAACAAATGAAATGCCACCTCAAAATTTGAACTTTAAGATAACGAATTTTAGCCATGAAAAGCCTCTACGATGATAAGAGGAAAAGTTGTTTTTTATTCTTTGTCTTTCAATTTCCTTGGTACTATTTTAAGAGTTTACACTTTTTAATATCTCCTCGATAATGGTGAGAAGTTCGGTTAAGCAATGTTCGGGTATTTGTCAACTCAACATGAAATATTCATGCAACAACCAGCTTCACTTTGCCTTTTCGATCTCATTTGTTTAAGTAGTTGAACTCACTCTGAACTAATAGTTTGCGGGAAAAATATCACAGTAGGTCTAAATACAGTGGGAAACCTACTAATAAATATGAAAAGAAAGTTAGATCGTGTCATTTTGCATGAAACATTCAACCGTAATGGCCTCCGCATTAATTTGCGTCTCAATAAGATCGAATGAACTACAGACCTTAACTAAGAGGGCGTATTTTCGGTCGGTTGTATGGAGAGCGGTGTTTGATACTGAATAATAAATAAACTGGTGACTAAATTTTTTTTTGGAATGGTCACGTTATGTGCAAAGAGCTCTTCTTTCGCTTAAAAAGAATAAGTAATTACGAATTCAATTGATCGCACTGTATTACCGTAGCTATATTGCAGTGACTTTAGCAACACCTCGGAAACCGTTATTTGGCATTTTGTTGCTGTGAAATACTGCCTTTTGTAAAATTTTCGATAATGAAATTGTCTCTGACAGCTGTGAAATGTCAGTACGTTGTTTCAGCAAAGATTAAACTGAAAAAAACTAAATGAGAGAGAAAGAGAAAAAAAGCTGTATGTAAGACTATCGCAATCAACACATGAATACTCGCTGACTACTATTGTAAAATTGGCAAAATATTAAAACTATAAGCTCTGTAAACCTGTCGTTAATGACAGAATTTACGGCAAAACCTTCATTCAACCTTTGTCAGTTTTCAAAGAGGCGGTTCTTTGTGATGTTAAAGAATTTTCAGTTTTTTAAAACTAGAAACAGGCTCTTCAGCTTAACGGATATTTTAGAATATGATTAACTCTAACTTGGTAATTAAGATTTGCGCTCAAAATTGGCTCACAGTGACGCAGAGGAAAATACAGTTTGTACCAAAGGTAACATAAAACATGATTTCTCATTTTTAAGATGACTCACGTTCGTGTTCAGTCTTCAACTGCTGTTTTTATACTTACCTTACAAACCTCCACCATGCTGGTGAAATTGAATATGGGGCGATACGTTTTCCTATACGTGAGGTACAGAATGTGCCTTATCTACGAAAGCTGTCAAAAGAGGAATACATAATTGTCACACAATACTCATTAAACGGTCCATTCTTTTCTAAAAGCCGACCGCGTTTTTCCACCTGCAAATTTACGTAATATAAACACGTATCTCATTCGCTTCTCTAAAAAACTCAAAACTGAGTCGATGAAAGAAACAAAAAATTTTTTGAGGACTTGCGTCGGGGATCTTATTATTTTTGATATGTTCAGAACAGGACCTGGAATAGCTTTTAGATTATAGCTCGTAAGCTGTAAGGGGCGTTAAAACGTGATTAAAACTTCTTAGCGTATTTGCAATTTAACTTACAACACCTGACACCACTGTAACGAAATAATTGAAAATGAAGACCATATTCAGCCTCATAAGAGCCTTATTGGAAGGTAATCCGGTTTTCATTCGAATTACACCAGAATCATCAGGGGATTAAAGGGAATCCGTTTGTGCGATACTGTCAAAAATGAAAAAAAAAAAATTGAAAATACAATTGTTGATCATTTCCTTTTCATCTTTTAAATAATGTGTACATCAAGACCTAATTACAACTACCAGTAAAACATGACACTAATTTAAGCCTGACTCTGCACATTTAATAACTATTGCGCATTTCGAATGAAAATTAATTTTTATATTTCGTCATGGGACCTCTTCATTAGCGGTATATTCGTTATCACAGAGATAGAGAAAGTCAATCAGCTTGGGCAATAGGCAACATACTCAAACTGAAAGAGGTACAATTCAGTAACCGACGTTATTCCTAAACGTCTGCTAACATTTTCCGTCAGTGCATGTTGCAAATTTGAACTTTTTACCGAAGAATTGTTAGGAGTTAAAATTCATACTGATTAATGAGTTGATATGTAAATGATCTGAATACGGTATTTCTGTCAAGATCGTGCCATGAGGGAGGAGCTTTTCCAAAATTCTTCCAAAATAGTCCAACCCAATTTCATCAGTTTTCATCAATGACCCGACTGTTCCTTCATAGGTAAGGTGTACATGTAATGATGTCGTGTGAAATGGAGGCGAAAAACGGGTGGTTTTAAATTACTTTCTGATGTTTATTTATTTATCTTTTTGTAAATACCTCAAGAAAGCCAAAATTAATTGAGAGACTCGTTACATTATTTCACGCTACTTAAATTCGTAACTAACCGTAAGATGACGAATTTGACTGATTCTTACATCATAAGACCCTATTTATATAGTCAAGGATACTTGTTCAGACAACCCTCCTGCGCGAAACACCTGTATGGAGCGTTTACATGGAGTTACGAGTTGTAGCAGCTGCCCCTTCCATAGTCCAAAACGTAAAACCTATGCAGGAAACATTGGACAAAATTTAAGCCGTGTCGACTCGTGCAGACGAGCTAAACTGTTCATGTGAAAAAAAGTTGTCCCCCGTGATAGGATTACCCTATCTGCTAAGGCGAGATACCTCTCTCTCCCGAGTTGTCTTGTTCCCCGAGACAGGTTTTCCATTTTCGTGTAATTTCATTTACGCGATTGGTTGAATTCTTAAACAAATGAGTAAAAAGTTAGCTCGGCCAGGGTAACTCGGCTTGGGGGGTTGTCTCCTCAGGTACCGGAGACCGTATAAATAGGCTCTAAAGCTCTTTATAAAGGTTCCCCTCGTCTTGGTTCGTAATTTAAAAGTGGGTCATGCTTCATTGCGCGTTCACTGTGACACGAAGAAACACGCAGAAAGTTCGGAGTGAGAGAAAGATGCTTAGGGGTTAAATAATTCTCGATTGCTCTTCAAACTTCTCAAGTAATTCGTATCTAGATTAAAATACAACTGACGCATGGACCAATAGTTTCATAACATTTTTAACGTGGTTATTTACATGCTACGTTAACAGAAATTCCTCCCGTGCTTCAGTGCATCTACAAACGTCGTCAACTTGCATAATGGGAATACAAAGCGGCACGCTTGCGCAATTGAGTTTAAGCACACGAATTTACCAGCTATGTGGGCTAAGTCATCGAGACACCTATATGAGAGGGCCTGGGAACTGATCTATTATAAACATGGTCGACGGAACGTTAAACTGCTAACTGTACCTATGAATGATGGTTTGGTCTTGTGGGGACTCCCTCAAGTATAAACGGTTGCTCCTGATTCTAAATGTGGAGTCCCACTTGAGAATATCCTTCCACTTCTCATTCGGATAAATTATTATGCAATCTGACTTATATAGCGAAGTGGAAATGAAAAAAACGTGCATTCTTCTTAGCCAAGAAAACTTTCGATATTTTATTTCTCTCGGTTCTGTAATGAATTTATACCACTCAGCTGCCCTTTTAGCTAAATCTGTGAACCCTCTTTATAATCTGACGAGCTGCATAAAAAAGTGTGATTCCAAATTTTTATATGCAAATCAATAAATTTTCGCTGGAAAAGCAGCAAATGTGGAGATGTGATGTTTGAGGAAATGGCTTATGATGTTCCTACGATGTTGGCGATCAAGCGCAAATGCTTTTTGTAGTGTTATCCTTGACAAGTAATTTAAAACAATTTTAGATTTGATTGATGTATGCAGTACTCACGAGCTACATTTATTAGGATAAATGTATATTTGGCTCTGACGAGGGGCTAACGCTCGAAACGTCGGCTTTGAAACGTTTTGCGGTGGCCTATTTACGTTATCAACTCAGCTGATAATACCAAATTACCTGTTATACTCCCCCCCTGACGCAGCACCACAGTTTCTTTAGAAACTTACCCCCTTCAGTCATTTGTATATTTAGCAAGTCGAGAAGCCAATGAAATCAAAGGATTTGGCTGAAAAAGTGATCTTGTAGTGGTTATGCAAATAACTGCGTTAAAAGACTGTATAGAGAAAATCAGATATCACACCATGTGATTTTGAATTATTATCATTGTATTGCTGTTACGTTCGTCTCTTCTAAAAAGCACGCATCAAAACTGTTCACTGCAGCGTTATAGAAAAATCTTGAAGACAAAATTTAACTGCTTGTCGTACAATGACAAACGTTGCAGTAGTCATTATTTGCAGCATAATTTCTATTGAGAGCGTTTTTATTCTAATCGGGAACATTTTTACAATTTATGTGTTCTGGATTCATCGTGCTCGTCTGAAGCGAACCTCGTTTCTTCTAATAAACCTGGCCATTGCTGACCTCCTTGTTGGCGCTACTGAACCAATCGCCATTGGAACAGGGGCAATCCATAGGCACTTTCAAGGAAATAAAACAGACGAAGTCCTCGTATCAAACCAAGATGATTTTTCTGCAATAATTCCTACTATGTTTTCGTGTTCGTCCTTGTTTTTTCTTGTTCTTATCTCATTGGAACGTGCGTATGCTGTGGTTTGTCCTCTTCGCCATCGGCTCGCCTCGAACAAATCGTACATTTGGTGTATTGTCACCGTTTGGGTTATCGGCGGATTCGTGGGTGCAGTACTTTTATTAGATTCAGCCAAAATGTGGAGTCATGAAATCTCACAGTACATTATTTGCTCTATGATATTTTCCGCTCTGGCCATAATCTGCGGCAGCTATTGGAGCATTCGGAATAAACTTTATTCCAGAGATGTCCCGGCTATCAATCGAAGTAGTCGAAATAACGTCGAACAAAACATAAAACTATCGAAGACTTTGTGCATCGTAACAGCTGCCTCTTGTGTTTGTTGGCTGCCGGGGAGCATTCTATACTTTGTGAACGCCGTATGTAAATGTCGTATATCTATGGGTGCTCTCTATGCTACAACACTTTTTAATATAGCGAGCTCGTTCGTAAATCCAGTTATTTATAGCTTTAGGATGCCTATCTTTAAAGAGCCACTCAGTAAGTTAAAACCGAGAAGGACACGGAATAACAGGAGAAGTTCAAAGGCTGGTGTAAAAAGCCCAAACGATCTGTCCAAACCAGTAGCAATGCTGGATTTCAATGAAATTCCCTATAGTTAAGGAAAGTACCACCCTCTCTATGCTCAAGAAAGGAAATTTTCAACATTCGTAAATTACTTATACAGCAAATGCACTGAGCTAATCGATGTCAATGTAATTCAATGTTACCCAAGTTTATTTTTCGCCAGAAACGTTCAACAAATATGACAGCCGTACTTGGGAAAATGAAACCAGGCTCTAGGCTGACCAACATCTCAAATCTAAAAGTGAAGTACATAGACGTAGTAATTATCGGTGAAATCCAGAAAACAGTTATTATTTCTCTATGTATTCAGCGGAGCCTGAGGGACGTTTTCGCGGAAGGAAACAACTCATTAGGAAATTTGTACTTTCATTTCTCTGGACGTGCAATTTAATAGATAAGTAATTAATCTGCTTTTAATGTGATCTGCTTCCAGATAAGTTCAAATAATTTCCTCTTTGTCGATTTACTCGCTTCTAAATCATCAAATCTTAAAAAACGTATTAATTAAAGAGGAAAACATTTTGCCTAAAATATGACAAGGAGAAGTCTTTCACGCCTTCCCCTTTTTTTTTTTACTTTGAAACCTATTAGCCTTTTATGGTATGAACCTTTTTCATTACTCACTCGATTATTTCACTCTTGTTGCTTGATTATCCAACAGAGCGGAGAAATCATGCAAATAAAAACAGATCGAATGGTTGATGAAAAGCCGACAGGGGTTTTATTCTGAAATTTTCGTGATCAAGTCCTGAAAAGATTTCACTTTATGCTAAATTGTTTTAGAAATTGGCGCTGTTTCATTTAGTCAATCAGCTTACATGCACTGTGCTGAAGGCGAATCAGACAGAGACAAAATCAGTTTTAAAGTGGTCAAACTGCTCATCTTTCTTAAAAAAAAAATACCATTTTAGGCGAACATATAGCTTGTAATGTGTATAGCTCCTCTTCCGGCGCATGTGTTATTTATCCATGACGCAGTGCGGTGTCCCAACATATAAAATTCAAATTGGGGGCTCTGTGCTTCGTATAACCTCAAAGTTTCCGTTGCGATCGGCTGGAGGTTCGTTGTTAGTTAACGGTCAAGGCTGAGTTGTGTCAAAGATTCTATTCTGAAATTGATCCGGTTTTGGGAGCCATGTCAGCCTCGACAACTGCCTTATTTTTTTCCGTCATCAATATCATCCAGGCATTAGTGATATTAGCTAGTAACGCTTTTACCATTTATGTATTTGTTCAACGAAAACTCTGCTTAAAAAGAACTGCTTTTCTTTTGATAAATCTGGCTGTGACGGATTTTCTCATAGGCGCTACAGCATTGTTAGAAATAATTTTCCTCTCATTTCGGAAAATGACTGTGAAGGCGATCATTTACGACGAGCCATTCTCCGCATTTCAGATTTCATTTTCGTGTTCGTCGTTATTCTGCTTGGTGGGAATATCTTTAGAGCGTGTTTATGCAGTACTCTGGCCATATCGTCATCTAACCATAAGTACAAAATTTTACATCGTGAACATTGCTTTAGCTTGGATTGCTGGAATAACTATTGGAGTACTCTACACACTGGTCTCATTAGATGTAATTGGTAAAGAAGCTAACATCCCCACCGAATTAGCACTGCTTTGTTCGTTAGCCATTTTTGTTGCATCGTACAGGGCGATTCGCACCCGAATGAACAAAACTGTGCTGTCACTCGATGCTCACAATCGTCACACAGAGGAACAAAATATGAAACTATCCCGTACTTTGATCATAGTTACAACTTTGTCTCTCCTACTTTGGGTCCCCGCCATCGTGGTTTCCGGCGTTCAAGTAAACTGCAGCCCTTGTTCTGAAGCAATCGTTAGACTACAAATTGTCTCCAGTACAAGGGTATTACATCTGTCGAATTCTATAGTTAACCCAGTTGTCTACAGTTATCGTATGCCTATGTTTAGAGAAGAGATGAAAAAATTCCTGAACAAAATTAGACGCTTTAGATGTATCACGAGCGAGAATACAGTTCAGTCTGGTCAATTGGAATGTTTTAATAGCCATCTTTAGCAAGCAGGTCTGAGATGAATTTGTATAAAAAAGACGTTCGACTGATGCTCTCTGTTTTCTACGAGCGGGAGGGTCTGCAAATGAAAGATCATGTATGATTCCAAAGCAAGGTTTTAGAAAGTAGCAAGCAGAAGTCTACATACATAAAAACTTAATCAGGTTAGAACTGAGAGAACGTGGATAGGACGTAGAGAAGTAATAGTTTAGATTATCATGTGTATATTGAAAACTCCCTGCTGAATTATAATTTTTTTGAAATGCAACTTTGTTTAATATGTAACGTAAAGATCTTTAAGATGTCATGATTAACTTAAACTTGCTCGCACAGTCAGCAAAAAGTAACTAATAGAAGAACTTGAGAAATAAGGCAGACGTTACTGAGTAATTGCTTGCAATTCAAAGAAAAAAACAAAAACTTAACAGTTAAAAAAAAAACCAGAAAAAAAAAGGTTACATATGGGGGAATAAGTCTATATTATATTTATTACAAAGTTATGTTGAAAAACAACGACGACAAAAACATGTAGGAACGCAAAAAAGCTTCTGATGAAAGTTATAGGAGGCGTCTACAAGCCTCTCTAAAAAGCATAAAGCTTTCCTGCTGCACCTTAGAATGATTAACAAGTGCCAAAATTAGCAAGTTGCAATGTTTTGCAGATATTTTAAATCAATTTAGCTAGTCATGAGAATGTGTAAAAAGAAAATTTTGCTATATATCTTAACAGGGGACATGAAAGGAAAATAAAGGGAGAGCTTGTACAAAGATCTTAGCATGTCTTTCATTTTCTACATCTCTTTATCAACTTAGTTTTCTTGTCATTAAACTGTCTTGTTATTATTTTCTCATGCATGCCATATTTAATTAAAAAATTAAAAACCCAACCATAACTATACAAAATGACTGTAATGAAGTTCAAGTCTTGACCAATCAAAATTCAGCCTTGCTTATTTTATCTTAGTCTAATGCCGCATTCACACCAAAGCTTAAACATGTTTAAAAGTTGTTTTGTTAAACACAGTTTAATTTTTTTTTTCTTTTTAGAAACTATTTAACCGAATATTTTTGACTTGAATGTAGCACATTGGAAATGCAAGTTAGCAAGTACTTGAATCCAATGGAAAATCAAGTTTTTCAGTGCTCTGTTTATAATTTTCATTCAATGAAAACCAGTTTAACAAAACATGTTTTGCTGGTGTGAATGGGGTATAAGATAAATTTGCATCCAGTTTTATTAAAACAGGTCCACAACAGTAGTAGTCTCTCTGCAAGAACAAACAATTGTTCGCACGACTCATTTATTTTTAATTTTCAATCAAGGTATAGAAATGTCGAACTCATATAAGTTAATTTAGCTTTTTAAAGGTAGTACCCGGTCATAAGTTCGGCGAATTCCGACCACAGTCAGAGCACAAATGCCTCAAACACTCTTCATGCTATTTTGTTTTCTACTCTCAGTCGAGGCTTTTGTCATTTGCATTGGAAATGCATTTGCTATTTTTGTGTTTTGGCAGAAGAGGCTTACTTTGCGACAAACCTCGTATCTGTTAATCAACCTCGCAGTTTCTGATCTTCTGGTAGGCGTATGGGAATTAATATCACTCGCTTCTGGACAGGTTCCAAACCTTTTCAGCGTGTCTTTTCACAAAGATACCCTGATTCCTCTGGTAAACTTCATCACGACGTCTTTAACAATTTTTTTCTCTTCTTCATCAAGTTGTTGCCTCGCTCTTATATCAATTGAACGAGCTTTCTCCGTTCTGAGGCCAATTCGCCACCGAACAGTGAGCCTAAGAGTTTATTTTGGCGCCATTACCTTCGCCTGGACCGCTGGGATGGGCACATCATTGATCTTTTTGATACCAGTTTTCTCTGCGTCCGATAAAATGCCCTCAACCATGGCTGTAAATGTAGTTTATCTTCTCTCTATAAGTCTTGTTTGTACAGGCTACCTGACTATATGCAAGTACTTGAAACGCACGCATCCGTACTCTTGCAATCAAAACAGGAGTTATTTGGAAAGAAACAAGAAACTTTCCCAAACGTTGTTACTCGTCATAGGATTGTCGCTTGTCTGTTGGCTGCCAGGTCTAATTTTGTACACACTGGGTGATTTTTGTCCTGTTTGTATCTCGGCACCAGTGATGCTGACAGGGAGAGTTCTACATCTCGCTAACTCAGCAGTGAATCCAGTTACATATAGTTTCAGAATGCCCATATTCAGGGAATCTTTGAGGAGACTATTTAGAGTACAAGAACACAGAGGAAATGGATAAATACAACTTCATTCGTTTCAAGTAGAGCCTGTAATCTGCCGTGAGAACATATTTACATTGATTCTAAAGTTGTTCTTGAAATCGGAAATCATCAATAAAACGTATACACCAAATGATCGACACATTTGTCATGACCTCATTTACACTGCGTTCTACAAAGTAAAATGTACACCCTATAGGGGGAAGGGTGGGGTCCCTAAAGCGTGTTATCTGAATGGGTATTCTCCACCATAGGTAATGATTTTTATAGGTTAGAACAGGGAATTTGTGGTCATCACACGTTTAGGCGAGAAAAATTGTCATCGCGGCACTATGAAGGTTCTAATTAGAGAGCCTTGAGATTATTACTCAAACAAGAGGCGAATAGCAGGTGTTCAGTGCTTCTTTTTCAAAGCAATGTTCCTGTCTTTTCTTTGTCATGAAAAGTAATTGCACAAGTCAATACAAATTCACCCGTTATATATCAATATAGAATTTTGAAATTAAAAAAACTCATTAACAATGAAGAGATTTCCTGTGGTGTAAGAGAATATGAATATGATTCATTTTGATCACTATTCTCAACTTTAATCAGAAAAAGATCATTTGAAATGCTCAAAAACAGCCCTAGGTGTTTAAACATAATTCAAACTCATATGAAATTATTATTTTAGCTCCATTGTATGCATGTTCTTTGTTAGTCTGAGGAAAAATGGGGGAAAGGGAAAATTAACAATAATAGGAGACTCAATTGGACGTTTATTATCACCTGGTAGAAATTCATGCACTCCTTAACAAAGGTTTCTATTCCTCTTTTTGATTGTTATTTTTTTTCGTTAGAAATACTAATGCATTGGAACAATACTCGCCGTAAGATCCACTTGCAGTAAGGGAGAAAACTTTGCATGACGAGACCAAACAACGACTGTGAAGGTGACTGCCCTTCTCTCTGCCTATGATATGGAAATTTCTACTATAATGATCTTTGCCGTAATCTTTTTCCTTGAAGGAGTGTTCATCCTCGCGGGAAACATTTTTTCCATCTTTGCTTTCTGGAAACATCGCGCTGAACTGAAAAGAACTTCATATCTCCTGGTAAATTTGGCTGTCGCTGATCTCTTAGTTACAGTCGACATTTCATTTCTCGTTGGCAGCGGAATAAAATATCTCACCACAAAGAGAGTAATTCAGGATGATTGGTTGTTTATCATGATCTTTACTTTGGACGCCTTTTTTGGGATGGCCTCGCTGCTTAGTTTACTAGTAGTAGCCTTGGAGCGTCTCTATGCAGTTCGCTGGCCTTTCCGTCACCGTATATTAAACGCTAGAAGCTATATCGTCACTATTTTATTTATATGGCTAACTGCGGCAGGTTGTGTTTTTTTATACCTCGAGACAATCTATAACTATTTCAAGCTAGGGGTTGCTTGTCCCTTAACATTAGTCCTAATAGCTGTTTCTGCGTTGGTTATCATCATTGCGGCATACATGTTCATCTGTAGGCAAACACGTCGGAATAATCCCGAAGGTTTCAACGACAGACGAGACCAGCAGAACAAAAAATTGACGAAGACTTTGTGTATTGTAACAGGACTATCAATCATATGTTGGCTGCCGGGAATTGTCTTATCGATTTGCACTTATTTAACTGACGATGTGATGACAACCCACATTAGTAGACTTAGAGCTATCCTACTTGCGAAAATGTTTCAATATTTAAATTCTGTTGTAGACCCGATCGTCTACGCATTTCGAATGCCACTGATTAAGAGGAAAATCGTGGAAATATTTTCTAAAATCTCGCCCAAGAAGAAACGAAGTCATGATACAAGTCGTGCAAAAGAGTTAGATGCAACAGCTCAGAGGAAAAAAAAAGAAGTAACTTTACAGAATTTTGAGACAAGACTGTAAACAGGGAATATACCCTGTAAAATGTTTTGCAAAAACCGAGCATTAGTTTTGGAACTGACATCCGCTGATAAGGAGAATTAAATGATATGCGAGGAATATTATTATTTCCCGTTATTTCCACAATAGGATTGAAGTATGAGAGGATGAAAGCTGATTGGATACCTTTTACCCTTCTTCTATTGCAGAAAAATTGTCTCTTGCATGCAAATTTTTATAAATTAAATTTATTTTAGACATGTTTGTTCAGGCGAAATAGCAAGAAAAATAAAGATTTCTTTTGACTTGATGGATGAAAGCATGTTTATCAATTGATTCCTCTCATGAGATTTCTTTTGTAATTAAGTTCGTGATAAATGTAGCAATGCTTGTTTTTGCACCAAATGTTTTTTCCCGTGGCGTGTAATTGCATGGTTTTTAGTTTTTAAATTTACAATTTACAATGGGGCAACATTTCGTAAATACCTTTTTGGAAGCTGTTTGTGTTAAAACAAAGAAAGGCCTAACACGTTATTTGTTCCTCGGTTTACTTAATTCGACTTCAAAACGTTGCAATTTTTAATTTTTCGACCAGGTTGATTTGAATGTAATCACATTCATTAAATGTGATTAAATCACCTGTGAGTATTTGGAATCATTTTCGGGTAGGTTTCATTTTCGTAAAGAAGAACCTATTTATTTAAGAACATGCAAATTTGGCCCGCTCGACTTGTTTGGAAGATTGATAACTCCAACTTTATAAATACTGTCCATGACTGTAAGGAGCGATTGCTGTTTTTGTCAAAATCAAGCCAAGCTTGAAAAAACGCACAGCACAGAATTTATTGGATCATTCGTTTGACGGAAGAGAACCAGGAAAGATTTTTACTAATGGAAATTTCCTCTGCCACTATAGTGACATGCACCTTTAGTGTGATTTACTTCCTAGTGGCATTTTTTATCCTTCTGGGTAACATTTCAACCATCTTTGTGTTTTGGAAACATCGGGGCGAGTTAAAACGAACTTCGTATCTCCTGTTGAACTTAGCCTTCGCTGATCTTTTAGTGGGAATCAGCGTTTTGCATGTTGCTGCTAACGGAATACAACATCTGGCTTCACACCAGCAATCCAGGTTTTGGAAGTTCATCATTACCAATGGGTTTGATTCTTTCTCTGCATTCGTTGCACTAATCAGTTTACTAGCAATGACATTAGAACGTCTTTATGCAATTCGATGGCCTTTCCGTCACCGCACGATGAGCATCAGAAGTTATATCTACAGCGTTGCATTTGTGTGGATACTGGCGGGAATAATGTGCATTTTTGATTTCCTCTCAGTTTTTTTCCGCGATGAAGCGATTCGTCTTTCCAAAGCCTCTTCCATAATTGTGGCATTAGTGACATTTTTTTCCTTAGCGATCACCTGTGCCTCGTACGTACTCATTCGCCAACAAACGCGTCAGAATATTCCCGGAATTCGAGCGCAGCAAAACAAGAAACTAACTAACACGTTGTTAATTGTAACTGTTGTTTCTGTTTTCTGTTGGCTACCTATAATAATATATTGTATCGCTGTATTTGGATGGTCTTTAATTGAAGATGTAGCCAGTAACCCCTCATACTACACTTTACTAATTGTAAAAACTTTACAATACTCGAATTCCATGGTAAATCCTATACTTTATGCCTTTCGGTTACCCATGTTCAAATTAGAGCTTCAAAAATGCTGCTCTAAGTTTTTTCCTTCGAAGGAATTTGATGGCAACAAAAATCCTTATCAAGATAGAGTCAGAGTTTCCGCACAACGAACAAATGTGGACATCACTAATTTACATAACTATAATACTAAGCTATAACTTTTCAGTTCTAGGAGAAGTACTTAGATTTGATGGCGAACGGATTCGCCTATCAGTTATTCATAACTAATACTGCCGTGGCAGATTTAATTTGTGATGAAGTGTGGTCTTTCAAACTACAAGTGACAATTTCACATATTTCTCCTCACCCACTAGATAGCACTAAGGGGAATATGACTCAATGGAGGTAACTTTTGGATGGAGAAAATTAACACGTATTGTAAATTATTAGCTAGGAAATTCAGGATAAAACTCGTAAGATATCAAATCACGACGGAGCTCCCACCACTGATTTTAAGTTGTCTTTTGGACCCACAGGTTTGTTGCTTGTCGGTTTTCTTTTGATTTTGTGGGGCTCGGCGACTCGCGACTTTTGTGTCACATTTATTGTGGGATCGTACAGACTCAGTGGCCAAATGATTCCCAGGCTGCACATCAGGTGAAAAATAAGAGGTTTCAGTCCTGAAGGTTCAGTGCGTTTTATTCGTGGGCAGGAGGACACTTAAGTTCTACAGTGCATCTATACAGCCACAAATATAATTAAGTACAAGAAGAACAATCTGGGGAGGGGGTGACATTTGATAGATTGGTATCCCTCGAGGAGGAGTAGTAAACTCCCGTTCGCTTTATGCAATGGAAACCGCGATGTACTTTGCTCCGTGTAGTATTGCCAAGAACTCATCTATTTTAGATCTGAAGAAAGAAGGAACATCGCGGAAATATTGGAAAGGCTCTGCTGAAGAAAAAAACCGCTGTCTAACGTTACCAATTAAGTATGATTTAAAACCGGCAAGAGTATAAAGCGCAAAAAAAAAAAAAAATATATATATATATATATATATTTATATATTTCGAGTTAAAATCTACATCTGCCTTAGATAGGTCATGAATTACGACCTAGTTGTTACTACATCATTAAGGATGAAAAAAATTATCTAAACACCAGGTAGGATGGAACACAAAAGAGGTTTTGTTCCTGAGGCTGACTGTTGTTGCCTTTGTAAATGTAAATACTAATATATTTCGAGTTAAAATCTACATCTGCCTTAGATAGGTCATGAATTACGACCTAGTTGTTACTACATCATTAAGGATGAAAAAAATTATCTAAACACCAGGTGGGATGGAACACAAAAGAGGTTTTGTTCCTGAGGCTGAATGTTGTTGCCTTTGTAAATGTAAATACTAATAAAGGAACTCTATTTTAATAAAAGCAAGTGTATTTTGCACAAGCAATTACAGTTAGAACAGGTTCTGTCCTGTTTTAATACCTTTTATAGCAGTGTTAGTCCAAATAAACAAAATGTCGTTCCAAATTTTGAGTTAAGAATTGACAGAAATTTCATCAATTCAGTTCAAGTTGCATCAAGTTTTAAGATCGATAAAAATTATAAAGCAAGAATTTCTTGAACCAGAAGCGCAGACTGTAGAGCGGAAGATCATAGCGTCACACCCCCATCAAATTCTTCGCGCAAGTTAGATGTATATGCTGAGATATGAGTTTAACCCGGTGTGGTTATCACGGAATAAACTTCAGTGTTGATAAGCTAGCTCAGTGTGTGACTCTTCATATTTTGATTTAACAATTTTCTTACTTGATGTATGGCCATGACTGAAGGCTAAAAGTGTCGCTTTGATCCCAAGTCCTTACGCACAAGTCCTCGTCACTCTATTTACAGGATAGTATATTCCAACATATTCTTTTGCTCTAGCCATTCTTTCTGCGTGTCTCTTGGACTGGCTTTTCGTTGGATAACCAGAATAGATTAAAAGATGAGTTACTGTTATCCTACAAACTGATATGGCTCACAAGTGGTTTTTTTAAGAATCTAGTAACCTCACTGTAATCTAAACGAAACGTCTGGCTTGTATAAAGTCATTATAGTTTCGTATCGTAAAATCCTAAATCAATAATTTTCTTTCTGCTTGGCTTAGGGCGCGCATCTATCTGTTGATTTACACTGATGATAGTTTTCCTTGCCCCAAAAATTTTGATAAAGCAATCCTTGATCTCTGACTTGAACAATGGCATTCGAAAGCTGTAGACTATAGGATTAACGAGGGAGTTTCCGTATTGCATGACCTTGAAAAGAAGAACAAGATTAGAGTGAAATAAGTTCAATGAATTTTCGATAGCTAGAGCCATGACGATAAAAGGAGACCAGCAGACGAGGGAGAAAAACGTAACAATACAGAGAGTCTTGCTCAACTTCTTGTTTTGCTGAATACGTCTTTGGTGGAATCCGTCGGGGATATTCTGTGTTGTTTGCAAGAATATGAGGAAATATCCTACACAAATGAGAATTAACACGACTAAGACAATCAAGATAGCAATAATATAAATCACTCTGCTATGTTCAACAAAGGCGAACGAAATGGAATGAAACGAAGGGATAAGTACACCAGTAACCCAAACGAAGACGAGACTGTAGATATAGGTTCTAGTGCTCAAAGTGCGATGACGGAAAGGCCAGCGAACTGCGTAAAGACGCTCCAGTGATATCACTAGTAAATTAAGCAGCGAGGTTGTTCCACACAGCGTGTCCCAAATCATAAAAAAGGTGAATTGCCATCGTTTTATCAAATCATTATGGCCTTCAGCCACGTTTAGCACTTCGCAGCCCAAAAAGATGCTGATTGCCATTAACAGATCAGCAACAGCTAAATTCACAAGAAGATACGAAGTTCTTTTCAACTCCGCTCGATGTTTCCAGAAAACGAAGATAGTAAAAATATTTCCTAAAAGGATTGACACTCCTTCCAAAAAAAATACTACGCTAAACACAAGTGACAAAGAAGTCTTCATCCTCAGAGATGAATCCGAATAGCTGAGTTTTGTTCTCTTACAAAGGGTGTGGTAATCGATGGCATTGTACTGTTAAAGCGGTACTCACGCTGTTGATGCCCAAGCATAAGACATTTGCAATCTAAATAATTTATCATGAGACCCTCATCACAAATTTTATGTCATTAAACCTGCTTCGATTTTATAGCAGTCGCAATTAAATAGAGGCGAGTTTATGTTTAACAACAGAATTCAAGATCAGTTCCTAAGCTTGTAGAAAACAGAATTTCGAGATGTTCCTAAACAACTGACTCGTGAGACCCTTTTTGGGAAAACTAATTTTTCTTAATAATTGACTCAAAGTACAAGAACCAAATATCCTTTGCGTGTTCACAGAACTAATGTACATGACATTCTTTTATATTGTCGTTTATTTTGTAAGCAGCAGACAAAATGTAATTTTGATCATAAAAATGTAAATTTAGATTTCTTATCATTAGAACGCCCTTCAATCATTAACAACTGTGCTATATTCTTTTTGGTGTTCTAGCAATGCAAATAAACTGGCGGGATCGACGTATAAGAGCCGTTACACCCCTTTTTTTCAGAAAGCAAATGTTCATTGAAGCCTCAGTCTGTTAAAAACTACGCCATTTAGTTCACTTGAATATGCGACTAACAAGGGTCCGGGTGGACTACAGCACTGATACAACACTGTTAATATTTCTCTAAGTTACAATAAAATTACATCATTAAGGATGAAAAAAATTATCTAAACACCAGGTGGGATGTAATACAAAAGAGGTTTTGTTCCTGAGGCTGAATGTTATTGCCTTTGTTAATGTAAATATTAATAAAAGAACTCTATTTTAATAAAAGCAAGTGTATTTTGCACAAGCAATTACAATCGTGACAGGTGCTGTCCGGTTTTAATACCCTTTTACAGCATTGTTAGTCCAAATATACAAAATGTCATTCCAAATTGTGATTTAGGAATTGACAGATATTTCATCATTTCAGTTCAAGTTGCATCAAGTTTTAAGATCGATAAAAATTACAAAGCAAGAACTTCTTGAAGCAGAAGTGCAGACTGTAAAGCGGAAGGTCATAGCATTACACCCCTATCAGATTCTTTGGGCAAGTTAGATGTTCATGCTTAGATATGTGTTTAACCCGGTGTGGTTATCATGGAATAAACTTTAATGTTGATAAAATAGCTCAGTGTGTGACTCTTCATATTTTGATTTGACTTTTTCTTACTTGATGTGCGGCCATGACTGAAGGTCAAGGGGTCACTTTGATCCCAAGTCCTTACGCACAAGTCCTCGTCAGTCTATTTACAGGATGGTATATTCCAACATATTCTTTTGTTCTAGCCGTTTTTTCTGCGTGTCTCTTGGACAGGCTTTTAATTGAATAACCAGAATAGATTAAAACATGAGTTATTGTTATCCTACAAACTGATATGGCTCACAAGTGATTAATCTAAACGAAATGTCTAGCTTGTATAAAGTCATTATAGTTTCGTATCGTAAAATCCTAAATCAATATTTTTTTTTCTGCTTGGCTCAGAGTGCGTACCTATCTGTTGATTTACACTAATGACAGTTTTCCTTGCCCCAAAAATTTTAATAAAGCAATCCTTGAACTCTGACTTGAACAATGGCATTCGAAAGCTGTAGACTATAGGATTAACGAGGGAGTTCCCGTATTGCATGACCTTGAAAAGAAGAAAAAGATTCTGCAAAGAGTGAGATAAGTTCAATGAATTTGCAGTATAGTACTTTGTGTAATCGATAGCTAGAGCCATGACGATAGAAGGAAACCAGCAGACGAGGGAGAAAAACGTGACAACACATAGAGTCTTGCTCAACTTCTTGTTTTGCTGAATGCGTCTTTGGTGGAATCCGTCGGGGATATTCTGTGTTGTTTGCAAGAATATGAGGAAATATACTACACAAATGAGAATTAACACCACTAAGAAAATCAAGATAACAATGATATGAATCACTCTGCTATGTTCAACAAAGGCGAACGAAATAAAATTAAACGAAGGGACAAGCACACCAGTAACCCACACGAAGACGAGACTGTAGATATAGGTTCTAGTGATCAAAGTGCGATGACGGAAAGGCCAGCGAACTGCGTAAAGACGCTCCAGTGATATCACTTGTAAATTTAGCAGCGAGGCTGTTTCACATAGCGTGTCCCAAATCATAAAAAAAGTAAATTGCCATCGTTTTATCGAATTATTATGGCCTTCAGCCAGGTTTTGCACTTCGCAGCCCAAAACGATGAAAATGCTGATTGCCACTAACAGATCAGCAACAGCTAAATTCACAAGAAGATACGAAGTTCTTTTCAACTCCGCTCGATGTTTCCAGAAAACGAAGATAGTAAAAATATTTCCTAAAAGGATTGACACTCCTTCCAAAAAAAATACTACGCTAAACTCAGGTGGTAAAGAAGTCTTCATCCTCAGAGATGAATCCGAATAGCTGAGTTTTGTTCTCTTACAAAGGGTGTGGAAATCGATGGCATTGTACTGTTAAAGCGGTACTCACGCTGTTGATGCCCGAGCATAAGACATTTGCAATTTAAATAATTTATTATCAGGCCCTCATCACAATTTTCATGTCATTAAACCTGCTTCGTTTTGATGACAGCTGCAATTTAATAGAGGCGAGTTTATTTTCAACATCAGAATTTAATATCAGATCCTAAGCTTGTAGAAAATCGAATTTCGAGATGTTCCTAAACAACTGACTTGTGAGACCCTTTTTTGGAAAACTAATTTTTCACAATCGTTGACTAAAAGTTGAAGAGTTAAATATCCTTTGCATGTTCATAGCACTAATGTACATGACAATCTTTTATATTGTCGTTTATTTTGTCAACAGCTGACAAAATGTAATGTTTGATCATAAAAATGTGAATCTAGATTTCTTACCATTAGAACGTCCTTCAATCATTAACAGCTGCGCTATATTCTTTTTGGTGTTCTTTGTAGTGCAAATAAAGTGGCGAGATCGATGCATAAGCGCCGTTACACCCTTTTTTTTCAGAAAGCGAATGTTCGTTGGAGCTTCAGTCTGTTAAAAACTGCGCCATTTCACTTGACTATGCGACTGACAAAGGTCCTGGTGGAGTATATCATTGATTCAACACTCTTAATATTTTTCTAACTTACAATAAAACTCTGGAAGGCTGCCGATCATTGGCACAATAAAGGCTACTCAGCAGAATACAGTTTACTTCTCAGGCGAGAGGACAAATCATATGGGAAAAAATTACAATTTGGTTTCGTGACATTCTGAATATCCATCTCCTTGAACATTTTCATCGCACACTTGTGTTGCTGTATCGCGGTTACGAATCTCAATCCGATTTCTATTTGTACGACAAATTTTAGAAAAGCATTCCTTGATTTCAGACTTGAATAATGGCATTCGAAATGCATAAACTAAGGGATTTACAATAGAATTTGCCAAATGCAAAATCTTAAGGCCGCGATATACATCATATGTTTTGATTGCACATTCAGGGCCGAACGCATTAACAACAGACACCATCACAACACCAGGCAACCAGAAAATGAGAGAAAGAATTGTAACAATCAACAAAGTCTTAGTTAGTTTCTTGTTTTGCAAGGCTCGCTTTTGGTTCACTCCTTCAGGAACATTTTTACGCATCTGAACGCAAATGAGAATATTTGCAACACAGAGGAGCACCAGAAAAACAAAAAGGAGTGGACATATAACAAAGACAGCGAGGGAACCTTCTTGGTAGAGCAGAGCGAAGAAAGTAGCAGACATGATTACTGACGTTATCCATACAAATGCGATGCTGTAGATATAGCTGCTGGTGCGCAAAGTACGGTGTCGGAAAGGCCATTGAACTGCATAGAGGCGCTCCAAAGATATTACCAGTAAACTAAGCAGCGAAGATCCTTCACAAAACACATCCCAGGTGAAAAGGCTTAAAAACTCCTCTGGCGTTGAAAATTCATAGGTGACAAAAATTTTGACTTGACTGCTCAAACTTAGTGAAACGCCGACTGCCACCAAAAGATCGGCAAGAGCTAAATTTACAAGAAGATACGATGTTCGTTGTAGCTCTGCTCGACGCTTCCAAAAAACAAAGACGGTAAAAATATTACCCAGAAGGATCAACACTCCTTCCAGAAGATAAATTACACAAAATGTCACGGTTACAGGAAATGTCTTTTTCAACGCTGAGATGTCGTTGACATTCATCTTGTTCAGTCTTCTATAAAAAAGCAGAGGATTATAGCTTTTATAATCTTTAGGAAGAGCTAACAATTCGTGATGAACAAGAGGTGGGTCACTTCTCCGTTGTAGACTTGTCTACCCACAAGTGGATATTTGTTTTGAAATCTAAATCAGACATGTAGTTTCGTATCTGGGTCAAAAAACTCACTTCACTTGGGATGTCGTGCGAGGAAATTAGAGCCACCCTTTCTACTGAACCATTTCACTTGTCCTGAGTTCTAGATAAGACCGAACCGAGAGCTGCTTTCGGCAAATTAAACATTCCGCTATTTTTATGTAAATGAACTTAGTTCTATTTGCAATCATGACATGTTCATATTTGTTTATCTCGGAGTGTACATCAAAGAAGATCATAATGCATTGAAAAGAGCGCTTTTAATTGATAAGATATAATCCCCTGCAAAGAAAATGTTAATCAGTACTGAGGATAGAGGAAAAAAGCTGTAAGCAAAATTTGTTTCCGGTTTCTTTTTCCATATTCAAATTGGTTAGAAAAAAAAGAGTTATTGAAATTAATAGTAACATTAGTGACAACAAACAGAACAACATTTACTATAATGGCGTTTGCGGATAGCGCTGATGTTCTTTTGTTTTAAACTTATATTATACCTAAGGATGTTTAGTGGAGAAAAACTTTTCACGCTAACGGTGCTATGTTTGGAGAACTGTTTTGATGTGAAAAGACTGGCCGTTATTTTTTTTATATTATCTTGTTCATTGTTGTAAGATACTATATAATGTGTTCAAACAAGACGATAGAGGTATATGCTGGGAATAAACTCAACAAAAACAACTTGGTCCTTTTTCAGTCTAGTGAAAAGCACAAGGCGGACCGTATGCGCGGGGCGGCCCGCATAGAAAATCAGGAGCTTCTAACTTTTAGGGGAGTCCTCTAAGTCTTAAATATCACAATATTCATGATAAGCGAACTTACTTCAAGTTAATTAATTGGAGCTCTGGTTCATTATTTATCAGGAAACTTCTTAGAAGCTTTTTGTTAAATGTGCCGTAGTTTGTTATCATGAGATATTTTGATTAAAAACTGGAATTGGTTTGACTTGCTAATTATTAGATATCTGTTATTTATACTTGGTAATGATAAATGGAGAGAGAGACAGTAAACTGAGAGGGTGTACATGTGAATATTGCTAAAGCAAATTGTGAAACGAATACCAATTTCAAGCAAAAATGGAAATTTTTGCAGTGGTTATATTTTGTTCGGTTTATTCCCTTGAAGTCATATCAATTTTTGTAGGAAATAGTTTTACAATCTTCGTTTTCTGGAAACACCGAGCGAAGCTAAAACGAGCTTCATATCTCCTTGTAAATTTGGCTCTCGCTGATCTGTTAGTGGCAATCAGCAGTTCATATTTCCTCAGCTGTGAAGTACGAGATGTAGCTGGAGGTTACTATGAAAATGATATACAGCGATGGGAATTTATCACTTTCACAAGCTGGGACGTGTTTTGTGGGGCATCCTCGCTGCTCAATTTACTAGTGATAGCTTACGAGCGTCTCTATGCCATTCGTTGGCCTTTCCAACATCTAGCACTGAGAAACAGAACATATACCTACAGTTTCGTGTTTGTGTGGATTACTGCTGGATTTGTCTCCGTTTTTTACCTCACATTATTCACGGTCACTCCTGAAACTAGCAAAATAACTGCAATGGTTGCGACTGTTTTCTTTCTAGTGGTGTTGATTCTTATTTGTATGGGATATCTATTGACACACCTGCAGACACGTCATAACATTCCCGAAGGAGTCAACGAGCTTAGGCGAGCACAGCAAAACAAGGAATTAACAAAAACGTTGTTGATTGTAACAGTTCTTTCCCTCATCTGTTGGTTTCCCTCGATTGTTGTGGCTCTAGCTTTCGATTACACAAATTATTACCCTTGGAGTTCATTCAACTTGAGTAAAAGAACTCATAATGTTCTACGTTTCGTCAAGTTCATGCAATACGGGAACTCCTTCGTAAATCCCATGGTTTACAGCTTCAGGATGCCGTGGTTTAAATCAGAGATCAAAGAGCATTTTTCTAAACTTATTCGGGAAAAGAATGGTGACTTAGTCAATCAAAATAAACGAAAGGTGGCACTCCCTCATCAAGGCAGACAGGGAAACATTGATCAAGCATTCTTTGAAACAAAATTATAATCTCCGTACAAGTGAGTTATCCTCTCGCTAGATCATATTATTGAACAACCATAAAACAGCGAACTTATCTGCTCTAGACGCTATTAATATTTTTTTGTTTTAAAGAATCAATTGTTCACCTCGAAAATCTCCTTGAGATGAAATAAATATACCCACATTAAATCTGGGTTTCACTCTTATTGTTGTAATTCAGCAGTTGTATTGAAGTAGGCGGTCAACTTAACTTCTTAGTGCTCATTTTCAATCCTAACTTCTGTATTCATTTCGAAAATTTCCCAACATATTCATGGAAATTGTAGTTTTCCAGCGCGATCCCAGATCCAAAGGAATTTTCTGGCAAGGTTCCTGAATGGCTCAAAGACATACTATCAAAGTCAGTCTCCTTTTTTGAACAATTTCTTCACTGCCAACTTAAACATAGTCATTCTAAAACTATACACAATTGGATTAACGAGAGAATTTGCCATGTGCAAGACTGTTACAATCAACATTACAAGATCCTTTTGTGGAATGCATTCGTTACAGAAAGGTATTATGAAATATATCGTAACTGCTGGCATCCAAAACAAAAACGATAACCCTATCACAATAAACAGAATCTTTGACAATTTGATGTTCCGTTCAGTGAGTTTTCTGTTGTGAATATCTTGATCTGCGCACACAGAAAGACCGGTTCTCAACTTCGTTCGTATCTTAATGTATGACGCTAACACCACACATAAGGGGATGAAAACTGTAGATGTCAACACGTAAAAAGGACTCAATTCTTCTATAAGCCTATGTACTGCTAACAAATTCACTGTTGTTATACAAAAACCAGAAAACCAGATCGCACTAATGCTGAAAATATACGCTCGATTTCCTGCAGTCCGGTGACGAAAAGGCCACAATACCGCACAAGCTCGCTCCAGCGAGATTACTGCCAAAGTAAACACTGAGATGTTTGATAAAGGGGCTGCAACGGCAGATGCCAAACTTCCATCAGTAAAGGATAAGTTACGCCGAGGAATAGTCTCTGTTACTATGACGATCATCTCTGTTGCTCCTACAAGAAAATCAGCAAGTGCAAGGTTGAGAAGGAGGTAACACGCGCGTTTTAAACTCTGCTTCTGGTTCCAGAAAACAAAAATTGTGAAGGCATTCCCGATGCAGATTAGAGATCCTTCGATAAGAACAACAATAACGCGTGCTAGAAACAAAGTGTTTGACATCGTAGAAACTGACGGTTTGAACGAGACTTTTACGGATTCTAGCTGGGTTTGGTTCGTTTATGTTTCATTTGCTGTTTGACTGGGCTCTTTGTGTGTGAATCTCTACAAATACAGACAATGTGTGGATTTTTTTTAATCATTGATTTACTGTGCCACCGGGAAAGTTATTTCACTTTTTATTTGTAGGGCAAGACAGCTTTGATAGCTCCGCGTGAGTCGTAATTTCTTCCGCGGTAGGACAGTAAAGACTTGAAGATAGAAAGTTTGTTTTACTTTTTGTGCAAATAAAATCCAATAGCATTTTTATAATCCTAACAAAAACATCGCGGGCAAGATTTCTGCAAAGTCCCATACTATTGTAAAATAAGGCTGTGGTCTCAAAGGTGATCTATTGTTTTCGCCATCTTTTCTTTGTCTAAGAACTTTCTGTATCATGAAGTATGGCGCTGTGCAGATATCGTACCAAAACATATTGCAAGCGTTTTCAAATAATACACTTTTGAGAAGAAAAAGGAATGCAGCCAAAGGAAAATAAATAAGTTCATGACTCCAAGAATAAGTGAACTTTATTTACATGAATATGTTTATGGAAGATAAATAAAGAGAAATCTTTTGTCTTAAACATCAACCATTTCTTAGTAATCCTAAGTTTAAACATTGTACCTTATTACTTGCGATTGAGAGGCACTCAAAGAGTTTACCGTTTAAACAATGAAAGCAGTTTTTTCGACAGCCTTCAAAGTACAATATGCCTAATTTAAAACTGTGAGGTAATTGTACTCTATACGCTATGGCTATGTTTGTTCAAATAAAATGCTCGTGAGACTTATTTGTTAAATGGAAAAGCAGCTGTTCCTTCCTCAAACACTAAGATTCAATAACTGCTTTTCATAAATCTCACATTCAAGTACGACACAAAATGTGGAAATTTATAGTGTATTTTCAAAAACGCGGATAGGTTGGGACCCTCAGTATAGCAATGTCACGATTTCACCATCCAAAAGAATAATAGAAGAAATATTTGAAAGACCGGATTATTATTAACAAAAGAAAGTTATCATTATTCTACGTAAGGATACCATTCAATCAATAGTTCCATGGTTACAGTATTGGTACTGTTGGCACTGTCCTGGTATGAATGAGACTACGGGCTCGGGCCTAATTTGCGTCAGCACTTGACAAGTTATCGATATCCGAACCATACCAATATATTGCTCCTCAGCTCTAGTTTGCAGTGCGCTCTGATGTTACCACGATTATAGCGAGTAAAAGGCTGGGTTCAATTGTACCTTGATTACCACAAGGTGCATTTGTTCTGGGGGTTCATGGCAGATCCTGGCTTGCAGCTGAAAACCTCTGCGAACTTGTCATAGTTATGAAGCGTGCCAATAATTCTGTAAGAAGAACGACGAATAATACTAGTTTATATGGGCACGAATCTGGCCAGCACCCGACTAAATTGCAGCAAAATCCTGAGAAATCCCAGTAGGTCATCAGGCGCTATTACGGCTCCTATTATCTTCTATCATTACTTATCACTATTATCATTATTATTATCAGTAGTAGTGTTAGTATCCTATTATTACTATAGTATCTTCCTCTTATCCCTATGGGATAACAGGCACCATACTAAAGTGGATTCCTGGCGTGATTTCCAGCGCAATCCCAGACGGGACTTAAGGCTGGATTCCCGGCGCAATCCCGGATAGTAACCCTGAAACGATCGCAAGCAGGGCTCTTGGCGGGAACCTAGGTGAGAACCCAGGCGTGATCACAGGCGCGATCCTGAACGGATCTAAGGAACGATTCTAAACAGAATTCCCAACACGACCCAGGGGGGAAATTTGGGGACTATTCCGGGTGCGATCCGAGGCGGGATTCACAACACAATCTCAAGCAGGATTCCGGCGCGATCCCTGACGGGATTTCTGTCGGAATTCCTGGCACAGTGGTGGCCGGGATATCAGCTTGATTCCGGTGGGATTCCCCTTGTTCTGACATACTGACAAATGTTATTACCTGTATTTAGAAAACGTGTGTCTATCAGTTTCAAGTTGAAGATGCGCTGCTTTCCTCCTGAAGATACTACACCACGGCTAAAAATGAATAAATGTAAAGCTTAAAAACTATACAAGAACATTCGTTTGTTGGGGGCACGCTTTCTCGCTTGATTAAAAAAAAACGGTTTTCCCTGAGAGGCATTCGGAATTTGGAGTTTTTGTTCGTGTGTAGCAAGAACAACCAAAGAATGTGAACAAAACTTTGGATTAAGGGCAAGAACCATCTTTAAATAATAACTGGCTCCATATGTGACGTCAGGTTCGGGAATCGAACCCAGGCCTTTGCTTCCTCCTCTCAAGTCTGTTGCAGCCAACTTAATTTGGGGCGTAGCCCAAAGGGAAATTTTGATCTTGTGGTAACAAAAATTGTAACAAGACTCGATTACTCAGCTAAGCTCTGTTGTAATAGTGCGTAAAGAGTTTAACTGTGGTGTACAGACCCGCGCGAAACCCACAAAAAACAATTGTTCTTCTGTTAGTCCCAGTCCTGGCAGTGCCCCCTCGGTTCCTTCTTTTTGGACAAGTGCCTCATACGCCTGAGAGGGAACAAATACAAAATGGAACATATTTATTTCAAGATTAGCCGGGTTATTTTAGGTTCGCTTTGAATTCAAAATTATGGAATAGTCGTACTTTGTATGCCAGTTTGATCCCTCCGTTGTCGGCGATGTTCTCGTTCTTTGTCTTATTTCCATTTATCTGCAGATAACAAATAAAAAAGTAAATATATAATAAGTTCGTCTTACTCTGTAGCTCGTTTAGGTAGGTTGGACCTGGGTTAAGAATATAAAACAATCTGTGGGCTTTCTGAAGTTTCCACTTTCTCGCTGCTATGAGAGTTAGAAGTCACGTGTAGAACACTTATCCCGAAATACCAGCATTGATACGCACAAGTCTCGATGCTTTTCGCCAAACTAATTTTTCTAATGTGGTTTGACCAGATTTTAAACAGCTCTGTCGCTTCAAAAACGTAACATGCACAAGAAAGAGCAGAAACGTCATGCGCGCATGAAATTTCGCTCGCGCTTGCATGGGTAGATGACTCACGCTAAATCTAGCGCTTGTTATGCAATGTTCAAAAGAAGAGCAAAATTAGTTTACCTTTTTACCATAAACTTCGTACTGTGAATACTGTTTAGCAAAACACTCTGTCCTTTTACTAAAACCTAAATGAGAGACGATGGACCACCAGTTTTTTATGTTACCATCCTTATCGAAAAATTTTCCTGAAAAATATGAAAAACTCATTTGTTTAAACGTTCTAGTCAAACTAAACATCATGTAGATGTAGATACACGTTATCGACCGGATGTGAGGTCAATATGGATATCGGTCATATTTTTACGGATATTGGTCATATTTTTACTAACGAGTAAAAACTATTCCCCAAAAAGTCCCAAACTAAAACGAACACAAGCATTTTTTTTTTTTGTTTTAATTTTTGTGCGATGAAAACGTGCAACCTCAGCGGGAAAAATGATCTCGTTAATTAATCAGAATAGAAGAGTCTCCGGCTTCATCTTTCTCGCTCGTGCAGCCAGCTTCTGATCAGCATTTTCCAAACAATTTTTGGGATTTAGTTTTCTTAATCTTACGCTTACCATTGTTGTCAAATCCATGTATTATTTCATGTCCAATCACCATACCGATCCCTCCATAATTTAAGTACCTGAAGAAAAAGAAACAATTTATCAACAGGAAAGCGTGTGTTGATAATGAATCATTCCTGGGGTCACTTTATTAAAAGCACTGTCTTAGGCAAGTTTAAGGCACGTGAATACTACCCTTGCTGGAGTTGAGCGCTTTTCGATTGATTCTCGTTAAACTAAAACCAAAATCATGACAACAGCCAATCAGAACAATGCAAATATCATAACGAGCCAATGAGAAGCGAGTGACCAAGGGGTGACTGGTTTTGGCTTTGCATCTGATTGGTTGAGAGAGTGGCACTTTTTCTGGACCAATCACAGAGCGAAGTAAAACAAAGCCAAAGCAATTTGAGATAATAAAGATTTAATTGATGATTGACTAATTACCTTAAGTAAAGACTTAGGTAAAGATTGAGGTCAGTTGTATTTGGTCAGATTCGATTCTTCAAGAAGGTTAAGAGGTTCCTTTTGGTTTGTTTGTCGTTATTGTTTTACTTACTTTGGGTAATCCGGATTGTAAAAAGGGGGTTGTAAAATGGCCGCCAGGAACACTGGAACATCAAAGAACAAAATCAAATAATATCATTGTATGCTTACAGCGTACAGATACAGCCTAAAAGTATCTTCATCCTGCTTCGGTATTTTGTTTATGTCACAAACTTTTAGTGCTCATTCAGTTTATAATAAAACTGCATGTGTTTTGCAGAGGTAACAACCGAAGTTCGTCCAACCGGGTAGAAAAGGCTTTTGCGTAACTTCCCTATTCATTTGCCTATTTGTTGATCATGCTTTTTTGCAGTGAGGCTTACCAATGCGGTTTTGTCTTGGTGAATAGTAACCATTTACTTGCGAGGGGCCTAGGAACCACCTGTCGGGAATCAAAGGAAGACAAAACCGTTTAAGGCCCAAATACTAATAGGGAATTTATCTTTTGAGACGACTCCTCCGTCTTAGAAGATTTTTTTTCAAGTACCGAAAATGTCCCTCGAATGGAGGTTACACTGAATAACCTTTGTACCTGTTACCTCCAATGTACCTGTTACCTCCAGCACTATTCCTGGGACACTTTTTTCTATTCCTGCGAGTGTCCCTTCTAGATGAAGGTTCTGTTGTAATTCCACTTACAACTAACCATAAACTCGTTCAATATACGTATTTCCGGTAGATGGTCCCAGTTATTCTAGCGTTTTCATTTGACTATGCAGCGATGACGTCAGAGGAAATTTTAAATTGGCCACACCCTATGACTACGCAAGGGATATCATTGTTAGCTTATTCATGATGTAACGTAGTCTCACTCGTCTCTGTCCACAGGTTTGTCCAATAAACTGTATGATTGGTTAGCGGCAAAAGCCATGGCACTAACGGTGTTCTCAAATAGGTTATCGCCAACCTTCAGCTGTAAAAAAAAAAAAAAGGTACAGCGGTCGGAGTCAAAAAGAGGTCTCGCCAGTTGACACTCTGTATCCAACGAAAAGGTTTTTGTCATCTGAGAAAACACTTTTTTTTCTCAATTACACTTTTGTTTAAATTACATAAAAGTTGTTGATATGTAATAGAGCCTGTCGAAGCTTTTTCTGAAACATAATATCAGATATATTCAAAGCATAACTCGGACTCCAGTTTGATCAAGAACAACTTACTCCTTTAAGCGTAGCAGCTAGCTTTGACGGGTCTTTGATGTAGCTTGGGTAACCTATGTCTTCGGCAATAGCATTGGCCTGCAAAGGAAAAAGACTAGTACCTTGAAAAAAGGAGTGTTAGAGTGTTAACTGGGAAAATTGAGTTGAGTTGAGTCACTCTTTACATCATGCTTCCGAACCGTGTAAAAATATCTTCATCTTAGTGGAACACAACCGAACTGCCTAAAGCGCGGGAAAATGTGGGTGATCAAGTCGTGATCGGTTTTAGCTTTGCATCTGATTGGATGAAAAAGTGACGCAGGTCTCCTGAACCAATCACACAGCGAAGTAAAGCAAAACTAAAGCAATCCCCGGATTACTTGGAAATGACGAGCTTCACAATTTAAAACTAATTCGTGACCTAGATCCTACAACTTTAATAACTTCTAACCTTCTCTTTCGCCTTTGCCTTCGTTTCGTCTGACATCCAAGGAAGAGCATCAACACTCTTGAAAAACTCATCCTTTATGAGTCTGGTCATTTGCGTTATCTGGAAGAAGTGACAACTACATCATTGTAACAAATGACAGAAAGACTAGGATAACATCTGTAGTATTAAATAGTATAGAATAAATATCAGAAACATACGGAAAAGGGCAACTTATTCAGTGGAACATTTTCTTTACGAGTTTTAAATTCCTTGTTGACGTCATGCTATTGCGAAGTCATCGCATCTCTGCCGTCACGCATGCGCAGACAACTAACTTCTCTCATTTCTGGATATTGTGGTAAAACTATAATACTGGGGTTAACTTTTTGAGTTATCCTTTTTACCGTTTCCTTGCTTTTTTCATCGAATGCTACGTCCACAAACAGCAAGCCCAGCGGCATTCCAAATACTGGCTGCATTCTGTCAATGCAATCTTTCCAGCGGTATCTGGTGCTGTTTCCTGACATGGCGGTCACATACTCGTCCCGGGCCTCTCGGTATTTTCGCGGCATTGTTTCGATAAAGTTATTGATAACAGTCCAAATGATGTAATTAACAACAACCAAGGGATCCCTGCATGCAAATTTAAATGATGAAAGAAATCAGGAAAATGTAAATGTATTCTTACCTCAAAGGGTCACGAAAGGAATTTCCAAGTTGAGACGCCAAAAATCTGATAGGTCACACTCAGTTCGAATTAAGATAGACCTTATCAAGAAAACGAATTCCCCTTACGTTCGACCAAATAAAGTTGACATTTCGGCGTCGATACGTTATTTCGGCTGCAAATGAATTTCAGCCATGTACGTAGAAGTCACCGTGGGGAGCGTAAATTCGCGTCATGAGATAGCGATAACTCACCTCCAAAATTTCGCTCAGTACTTTACTAGGAAACATTGAGCGCTCTTCCGTCACGTTACAAGTTACAAGTTATTGCAAACTGCTGGAAAAGTTCGGCTGGTGAGGGATAATTAACCGCTCTTTTAATATTTCGTGATGCAATATTTAACCTTTTCAATCTACAACTCTACACAGCTCTTATTTGTTGAAATGTAAGCTATCAAGATGATGGATTTGTATTTGATGGACACTAAGCTATTAACGAAGCTTCGTTGGTGGGTGACATTAAAGTTTATCAAGTTGATACCACATCCGACCGCGAACACAAAAGGTCTGAGGTTCCAAGCTTCGTGGGAAGCTCACGTTTCTTCTTTGTCCTTCGCTCGTGACAACTTAATCACCAAATCTCTCTTCATTCAACGACCGTGCATAGTACTGATGAGCTACCTTTCATACTTCATCCCAAAATTTTTTTTCTCTCTTTGTAAGCAATCCGCAAGCAATTTCATAGGTTTAAACCGCGCCGTCTGTATTTCACGAATTGCTCAACTTTATCGCAAGTTTCAGCTGCATAGTCAGTTAACACAAAATGTAATTACGTGAAGTAAAATGACTACCATATGTAAATTAATTAATCCAACATGGACAACATTTTCCGTTTCGCGGTTTTCTGAATGATGTAATAAATGCTGAACAAGATAAAATCCCAAACACTTACGTTCTTGTTTTTTCCTCGTAAAACTTGAAAATTCTGACGTAAAAATCTATGGGATACGCGACAATTAACTCGTCTTTCTTGAATTTCCGACCCTGTTTTTTAAAAACTGCATTTACCAAGTCCACAAGGTTTTCGAGCTGAATAACGAGGGGAAAAACACAGAAAGAAATTCAAATGAGGAAACACAATAACATCTTTATTCAAAAGACAAGGAATAAAGTGACAAAGGCCACGCGCTATGTTCGCTATCGTGCTACTTGCACCTTCCTCGCACGCTACGACTCGCGCGAAGCGAACAACACGCGCGATAATGAGGAAGGCTGGAAAACGTTTTAACAAATAACGAAAAAAAATTATTGATAATGAAAACGCAGTAGCAATAAGGAAAGTTATGAGGGTTGAGTTAGTTAGAGAACAGAAATGTCAATAGGCTATCAAGCAAGGCAATTGTTATAGATATAATCGCTCTTAGGCAAGCGGGTGACCTTTGCTTTAGCATTGGAAACATCGACAAATGTAGCTACACAATAGAAAAAACATGGATTAAGGGATATGCTTCCGGAATATGAATGTTTTAGGCTCAGAGTATAGCCACAAAATAACACTGAGGCAGAAAGTCTTAACCCGATCTTATGAAAGCTGATTGGCAAGTGTGCGGACAAAAATAGCCAAGTTAAAGATGTTCCGGCATTCTTCCCGATGCAAAAAAGTGTCGATCCAAATTAGCGTGATTCTGTTATCGTCAACTTACTTTTAATTTTGATGCGGAGCTGAATCGCTGCAATGTTGTCCTTAGCTCAAAGGTAGCTATTCCAGCAGGCATTTCTCTCTGCAAAGTTTCTATTATGGAGCTTCCATCTAGCGATTTATCCAACTATATTTTAAGCGAAAAAAAAAATGGCTGAATCAGTCAACCATTTAACCCCTGAGGGTGACTGCCATCTACCTTATCCTTACTGCATCACCTCTGAATAAAACGTTAAGGTAGTGAAAACAAAAGAAATGATCGCAAAATGAAGAGGCTCTTGAATGTTTGAGAAATTCTCCTTATCAATTCTCCAGGAAATAAAAAGAGAAAAGTGTGGAGACTATACATTCTAATGTTGGGGAATAAATGGATAATGAGTTAATATGCGCTCAATAAATTATTGTATCCAATAAAATAAGGGCTCAGTGTACGGAAATATCCCAGATATAATGGCAACCAACAACAGTTCAAATATGAATTATTTTTCTTACCTTTGCCAATTCAGTTTCCAGGTCAAACACTTTCATCATTTCTTCGTCTGAGTCAGGGCCTCCACCGAGAAACTTGGCTATTTTTTTCATATACTTTTTATAAGCTTCCCGGCCCTGAAACCCAAAAGAATACTACATCAGTGATCAGATAAAGAGAATCTATACCTCTCACGGGCGGCGAGGAAGTTTAACAGACAAGCTTTTTTATTCTAATAATGAGCTGTTTATCGCATACAGAACGCGAATTCAAAAATGGAGCAGTCACATACAACAAGTCCCAATCTTGTTTAATATTCCATGGTGCTAATATATTAGTGCTCCAAACCTTAAGAATGGATTTAATAAGAATGAAAAACTCAATCGTTCTTTAATTGACTCCATAGCTCTGGCTCGTTTGGCACTCGGAGAATCAAAAATTCTTTTTAAAGAAGTATTAAAAGATTAATTAAAACAATCACCAAATTTAAGAGCGCTTTGTAGTAGTAGCATAAAAGGCAACGCGAAGTCATCTTTGCAGCAACTACAACCATTTAGAAGACAGTGAACGTCGTTGGATGTCCTCACAACGTGTGCGCAATGTCCGACGAGAGATCTGATAATAACTGTACACTAACCTTAAGGGTTTCTTTGATTACGCATGCGTGTACTTACAGCTTGATGTTCGGTTGTACTCTTCGCGTAATAGGATTTAACCATACCAAGTTGTCCCTCACGAAACTACAATAGATTTATATCAAATTATGAAGATAGGGCAAGTTCCCTTCCTTAGGATAATCTCTTAATCTCCAAATCATTTTCACTCAAGCGAATGATCTCTGATAAAAATTTGTTTTTTTTACTCAAAATCCACTCGCCTGAATTTCCATTCTTATTTGAAATTGGTCGAGAAGTGTTTCCATCTTGGCTCGAATAATGATTTTGCTTTTATTCTTATTCGCAATAACCAAAGCAGCAGCCGTTGGTGAATTGTGCAGCCAGGTTACTAAGTTATTTTTCACAAAATGGCAGCCTTCATAGTCAGATTTTTAACGCATCAAAAGACCACTCCCGACCGGTTAGAAATTAGGTCACTCTTAGGAATGTCAAAAGTGGTAAGTTATGACTTAATATTCCTTTAGATTAAGCCTACTTTTCTTTCAAGAGCTTTAGAGATAACAACTGACCTGCAGAATGTGTTTGTTGGAGTTATGAGGATCTACAGACACTCCAATGTCAACAAAAGGTTTGATGAACAATTCCCTTGTCACTTTAGCAATCCTCTCTGTGATGCTCATCAGTGACAAGGGTGTCATGTTACCAGTCACGTTCCATCCCCCCATTTGGTCAATCAACTTCTTGAGCGGGTCATCTCCTAGAGCCTCGACAGCCGCTGTGTTATTGCAGGCGTTGAAGAAACCCAGTGTCTTCATAACAGCTTCATTCTGGAAATGAACGTGATATGCCTTGGTCAGCAGAAAAGACCACAACGAGGGAAGAAAAACAGCCTACAATTTTACTTACTTGTAAGTAGTTTCTGTTGGCATTTTCTAAAGCGGCCCTGAGTGTATTGTAGCTTCTCTCTCTAGCCAATGTAAGGCCAGTAACAAACGTCTCACTATCTCCTAAAGGGTTCTCGTTTTCCCATCCGCCGCACACATACTCGTAAAAATCCTCACAAGGATCAACACTCTGATTCAGCTGCTTAAAGGCATCTTTACAAGAACAAAAGAAAAGTCCGGTCAGTAAACCATGAAGGACAAGCTTCTTTTTTTTGCATCGCTCACCTCACACTTGCCACGCACTCGCTTCGTGCTTACCACCGATTGCAATAATACTCAGATAAAATAAAATTACGCCTGTTTTACAGGCTACAGGAGATAGAGATTTTTTTTCTGAATGTATTAGCTGTACTAGCCATTGGAGTAAGTAAAACGAAAATAAATACTTATATTATATTGTCTCAAAAAAAAACCAAAAAAACAAAAAAAGACAAAGAACAAAAAAACATGTCCGTTTGAACTGAAAAGTTCAATTGTCAGGCGTGAATGGTCAAAAAGCCGTCATTTCTCGTATTTGTGAAAGCCGTGGTTATTTTACAGAATTACTTGACGGCGCCCTCGATCGGTTTATCGATAGTTGCTCTATGGAGTCAAAAGAGAAACTCGTGTTTTACAAGTTTCACTCGTTTTCTGGCAAAATTCCGCGTGATAAATCTACAGAAAGTGCAAGGTATATTACCTTTTAACATAGCTGAGAAACTATGCGCACTCTGAATGGTCAAAAATATATAATTTTTCTAATACCAATAAGCTAATTCTTATTTCTAAAAAGAAAAAACATCACAGCAGGGTAGTAACTCACTTGGGATGTTAGGATAACATTCACAATATTTGTAGGTCACTCGCCTTTCAAATCTATATTTAAAAGTTTTTCTCGTGTTTTCCAACTCCCCGAGAGAATATTAAATAATCGATAGAAAGCGCGCTTCATCGCTTCATTGTACGAGAGAAAAATATGTGGTTTTTACCGCTAAACGCAAGAGCAGAAATTGCTTTCTTCATACTGTGAGTACTGCTGGTTATATACACATTTCAAATCAAAATTACACACCGACTGTTAAATACGTATTAAACAGCAAGAGGTTCTGAACTCTTAAAGTTTTAACACCCGCATCGATAGGTTTCAACAAGAAATTACCAAACGCGAATTTTAAAAAAAAAAAGACACATGACCTCAAAACATGTTTAATTAAATTTAAATCAAGATAAACATTTAACAGACAAAGTTCAAGGCCAAAATTCCTCCATAGATAAGTAGTCGATAACGTCAATTGTGAATCACTCAATTTTCCGCACGGAAAATAATCTCGAGAGCTTTTCTAGAGCTACTTGGGGAGTAATTTACGTGAAAAGTAACAAGCAATTCTGCGTTGTCGAAGACGTGATTTTCATGTCCTGAAATACAATAAATCTTACCTTGGGCAGTGAAGAGGCACGATTTTGATCCACAGTATTTCTGTGAAGTTGAGCTGCACTGCTGTTCAGGCCGCGAAGTTCCGGATCTTTCCGTCAGGTATAGCGCGATGAAAACGATTGAAATCACAAGGAAAGTGAATAACAAAACAGATAAAATTATCAAGCATTTCATATTTGCAGTTCTTCTAACAACCGGTTTGAGCGAAACACCTTCCTCCTGTTCAAATGGCTTCATATTCTCTCTTCACCCGCGTGAGGCTTGCTATAAATAATCTATTCAGTCTGTAACCCGAGCGGAGTGAATACTTTAGGATTTGTTATTTTTAATGAATAGCAGCGCGTGTGTGTAATTTATTACCAGACGCTGTAGACCGGAAAAAATTGCATGAGTTTAAGGCAAGAAGCTGTCGTAGTAAGTGCAAAAGTCTTCCTAAAATAACGTAAGAAATTTTTTAAATAAAACACTGTAACTTCAATTTGGCAACCTGGCTCCACCACCGATGTAGTGTGTTATGACTCACCATGGTGTGGTTATTTTTTTATGTTAATCGCTAACCTTTTTTTAAACCAGGGTTTAAGGACTGTAATGGTTGTTGCGTTTAATGCAAAAAAAATATATCTTTAATTATGTGATATATTGTATAAGATATTGAGTTAATCAGATATATTTTTTGTCGTTTTCCACTTGCCATTGAAATGAATGTTGTGAAAACTGCGAATAAAGCGTACAACAAATTCGTGCTATTTAAAGCCTTCAAACGCTTCTCTAAAAAAAATCAGTAAATATGTGGATATGAAATAACACAGGATTAAACTGTGATCACTTTCTGGCACCAGGACTCAAAAAAAAATAATTGGCTTAGAATAATGATACTTAGTAAAACAACCTCCTCAAAGTATGCAGAGAATATTTACAGTAGCGAACTTTTAACCTTAACACGTGTTAATTAAATTACACTTGCCAAGGCCTGCCCATGTAATACTTTAGCTGCCAAAAACTCGATTTGAACGAAATGAAATGATAAAAATGTACGCGATTTTATTTCGTTTTCTGGGTCAAGAGCAGGCAGCTAATCAGGGTATATCTGGCTTTTGGGGATCCCAAAACAGTAGGTACTCGACATGTCTGACATGAACTTGAAGCGACACTGAGACACGCCACTTACTTGCGCAATTTCCGAAACTTTACGCAATCCATATCAGAGGTCGAACTCAACTCACTTTGACGTACTGGAGAAAAAAGCGGAGTTAATGTCTTTTATTTGATGAGGAAAGACTGGGTAAGTATTAACAATTATCTGTCGCAAAGCAAGGAAAACAAGGAAAGAAACTTACTTTCCTCGAATTTTATATTTTCAGTCATATTTTAGTTTCTGATTCATTTTATGGTGGAAAAATCTAATGTCTTAATTAATTCGGCTTAGGTTGGTCATAAAGTTTAATACTAGGGCTAAGACTTATAGCTATACCTTCCTTATACCTTAATAGCCTTCACGAGGAATGACTGGGTAAGTATTAACAATTATCTGTCGCAAAGCAAGGAAAACAAGGAAAGAAACTTACTTTCCTCGAATTTTATATTTTCAGTCATATTTTAGTTTCTGATTCATTTTATGGTGGAAAAATCTAATGTCTTAATTAATTCGGCCTAGGTTGGTCATAAAGTTTAATACTAGGGCTAAGACTTATAGCTATACCTTCCTTATACCTTAATAGCCTTCATGAGTGGCTTTTATAGGGAAGGGTGAGGGAACTAATTTAGAAAGGCAATCCTTGAGGTCTACATCAAAACGATCGCACTTCGCCCTCCCCTCCCTCATCTTTCTCCGAGAGTAAAGCTTTGTGAATATGCAGAGGGAAGGCTTCAGCGAAATCCGCATCACAGTCGTTGAAAAGCAACCAATCAACCTCACGTCCCGAGAAAGACCAGCGGTAAGCAGTCAGAAGGTCCCGATCCACATGTGAAGTAATTACACCGTGAGTCGAATGATAATACTTTGTTTTCATCCACTTTGAAATGTAAACAGAAATAGCGACTATTCCAGCGGGTGCACCAAGGCTAATTTTCACCCGCAAAACTGTATGGAAGGTATGCATGTTGCGCGCGCAATTCGACTGGTATCTTTATGACGTAAAAGGCCTAACGCTGGTCGAGTCAGAAATCCTTTTTTTGTAGTACTCTCGTCATGTCGAACGACCCTCTGTTACAAGCCACATTGCAGTTGTCCGAGGAGTTACTCTGTAGAAGACCAGAAGAGAGAAGCATCGACGACATACAGCGTATTCTTCCATGGATTCGACACAGGAGTAGTTTGTTTAAAAACCTGGAAGATGGTAAATGTATGGCTGTGCTCACACTCTCAACAGACTCTTTTTATATAGATCTGATTTAGTTTTTTCAGCTAGAAATGAACCCGGTTTCTTTGTGATTTGGAACAGACAAAATTTCTTTAACTCCCATGGGTTATCAAGATAAAAATTTTCCTTATATCTTATATCTTATACCGTTTTCTGGGTATGTACTGTAAATTACAGAACCTCCTTGACGGCTAATATGCATAAATACGAGAGTAAGAAACTGGATCCGTAACTTACAGTACGGACATTTAACTCGGTTAGTAAGAAGTATACATTTATATGGTTATCTGTTTACACACTTTACACACTTTACACACTTTATTTTTCTTTTTCTTACAAAATAATTTAGATTATGTTGACCCGCAGATAGCAAATTTGCTATTCGAGGCGGGTCAATCGTCAACAAACATTATTTACAATATATAAAGAAAATTAAAAACTAAATAGTTAGATATTGTTAAATTATAAAGAGAAGCATAACTGGTAAATACATCAATAGTTGTTCAATAAAGTATAGAAGCAGATAAATTAGTACTGGAAGCAATCGGATCAATTTGTTTTAATTATGCAGTCCTTAAGTTTAGAGGAGATCTTTTCAACATCAAGATAAGAATCTTCATTATCTAGTATCTGAAATAAAGACGTTTTTATTTGTTTATTAAAGGAATGTTTTGATAACGTTTTGAATTCTTTTGGTATCTTATTCCAAATTTTGACACCAACACGCGAGAAAGCCTTTTTTTGTAGGTTAAGTCTAGAGTACTTTGTACTAAAGAGCTGCGATTTGGATGATCGAGTATTGTAGGTATGAATATGAGATGTTTTAGTAAATAGTTTCAAAATATTAATGGGAGCCCTCTGGTTGTGCACATCAAACATAAGTTTATTTACGGCTTCATAATATAGGAACGTAACAGGCAGAATTTTTGCTTTGGCAAATAAAGGGATGGCATGCTCTCTTCGATCGGTGAAATAGATTAAGCGCAAAACTCGCTTTTGAAGAACTAAAATCTTGTTTAAATAAGCATTTGACGCATTGCCCCAGGCAAGGAGTCCATAAGTTATATAAGGTAGAATTAATGAATTGTAAATATTTACAAGGACAGTAGAGGGAACGAAGTACCTCAGCTTTGCAATCATCCCTATTGTTTTACTTATTTTTACGATAACAGAGTCAACATGGTTTTTCCATGACAAATTTTGATCAATTAAAACGCCTAGATATTTGATATAACTTTTTTGCTCTAAACTAACTCTTCGGTTTGTCTCACAATCTAAAATACCTATTTGTGGAGAAAAATGCATTTTTTTCTGACGAGGACGAAAAATTAAGAAATTTGATTTTTTTGTATTCAATGTCAACCTATTTGTATCTGTTTGAAGAATGTACTCTAGACACTCCGATTTTGAGTTGGGGTTAAGACTATTTGTTCCTTTTTAACAGAGACTTTAGTCAACTTGATAAAACATGTGCAGTTGATCAAAGTAAAGAAAGATCATGTCATCGTACGACAGGGAGAGAAGGGAAACTGGTGAGTACTCTTCAGGGTCGTTCTCAGGGCTCTTCCGGCTCATTGCTCGTGTTTTTTCTCGCCCCTTGGAAAATACAACGTAACGGAAAATATCTGCTAAAAATATGTTAAACCATCAAATAAGGTGTATGTTCATTGATTTACTGCTATTATCTGCTCCGCGCTATCCATCAGTTGAATAATTTATGAACTTGCATTTATTGCTTCGAAATAAAATATGATCTGAATATGCGATTACTCTCTGGCAGTTTCTACGTCATTCTTAAGGGTGCAGTGTCAATTTACGCCAGAAAGGAAGATGATCATCACACCGATTACCACCATCATCATGACATGGGTGCAGTCCGCGGCGCCCAGGAAAGAGTAGCGTACTTTGGAAATGAGCTAGGAAATCTGAAAAGTGGAAAGAGTTTTGGTGAGATGGTTCTAATGAGCGACAAGAAGGAACGAAATGCCACCGTGATCGCCGATGAGATGACGGAATTGATTGTTATCAATGAGGAATTGTTCAAGAGGGCTTTTTATGCGTATAACATTGAATGGAAAGAGAAGTCTGCCTTTGCTTTGGCTTGCCCACTGTTTGCTTCATGGCCAACAGCACTAAAAGCTCTCTTGATTGAAAACCTTAAAATGCACAAAATCCAGTTTGGAAATCGGGTAGTGAAGCAGGGCTCGCCATGTAATGCGGTTTATTTCATCGCTAAAGGTGCGGCTAAGGTATTATCTGACCCCAGAAAGTGCAAAGAACAGTTCGAAGCTTTTGCACCTAAAAAGAGGAAGAAGAAAAAGGAACGAAACCACGGAGAAATAGAAGAAGAAGAAGGAGAAGAAGGAAAGACTGAACTAAACGCACTAGAAGATTTGGTTAGGCCTTTGACTGTTATTGAAAAACGACGAAGAAGATTGGCGTACGGATTTACTGCCTTGGAAGACAGGTTACGGCGCCGTGAAATACAAGCCTCCTTCATTGGGCCCAATGACATCATTGGTGACGTGGAGTTGGTTCTTGATATCCCAGAGTACTGTGCGAGCGTAGAGTGTGTCGAGGCGTTAGAGGTGTATGAGTTGGACAAAGCAAGCTTTCAGCGGCTTGTAGCGCGGCGCAGCCCGGAAACACTGGCGCTACTGTATCGAGTTGTCCTCACAAAGCTGAGGTTACGAGTGGAGAAGTTCAACGAGATACCATTGTTCAAATATCTGCTCGATCGTGCTGAAGCGGCGCCTAATAAAGAAACATCGAAGGCGCTGAGGAGAAGAAGCACCCTACTGCCCCTGATCAAAAAACCATTAGCTAAGGGAGGAAGATGGAAAACAATAAAAGCCACATTTTTGTTAGAAGGGCAGCCGGCTAGACAGAGCGAAACCATTCTGGAAATGAGAGGTGAAGTTAGTTACAAGGATAAGGAGGCCACCTCGAGGTGAGATAACAAAACAAAATAAGTATAGAATTCAATATATGAATAAAATATAAGGCGAAGTGCTGCACTCGGGCCAAGTGGCCCACAAGCCCATGAACCCATCTTGCCCGCTCGGGAACGCAGCTTTGATCCTCCGTGAGGCGGGCATACAAAGTCGTAATTCGTGGACAATGTCGACAAGAAGAAGACAGTTCATTTATAGAAAACATAAACGAGTACCAGCCATCACTGTTGGCTTCCAGGGCTCGAAAATAAACAAGTCATCATTGAGTCTTGAGAAAACGTGGGATTTCTCCATTTCATTTCAAATAAGAGTTAACCACCTCAGAAATACTTGTGCTATTTAGAGAATCGTTTATTGACCAAGCTTGTTCGATCAAAATGGCTGGTCACTAGCCTCCTTCCTTTTTTTTTCGTTTTAATCGACCTCGGCATCGTCCCAGTCCATTAAAACGCAAAGAAGTAAAGAACTCGGACAATATCCAGCATACTGATGTCATGCTTGGTCAATAACACATATTTATCGACCGATAAGTCAATTTTTACTTTTGGATTGATATGCCATTTGTGCAATGGTGTTCTGGAAAAAAGCGTATGGCAAAAGAAACTGTGAAAAGGGATTCAAAAAGGAACTTTCAGGAAGTAACTCCAGCAGAATCACTCTAGGAAAGATGGCTTTTACTCTGTTCATATTATGGTTTGTCGAGTTCATTCAGGTTTGGTTCAAATTTTGACCGCCTGTCTTCACTTGCATTAAGGTGGCTCTGTCATGTCTGATGACCACGCATAAGCTGCCGAAGAAAGCTTTAGTCAGTCTTCATAACTCTTTAACCCTTTAACTCCCAAAAGTGATCAACATGTATCTTCTCCCTGTAATATCCATGCATTATCGAGCAAGCAAGTAATGAGAAAACTCAAATTTAGACAGGTAGAAGTTCAGTGTTATCTTGACCTATCACCAAATTCTCGTAACTAATTTACAAGGGAATGGGTTGAAGCTAAAAAGGGAGAACTAAAAATCAGATCTTGGGAGTTAAAGGGTTAACAACTATTATTTCTTGACAAGTTAGTGATATAGAAACTTTACTCGATAAACTCAGTTCCCTGTTCTCAGCTTTTGTTAATCAGCTTTCAAAACACCGGAACATGATCTTTAGAGTCACGCGCGGTAATGAAATGTTTTCGGAAGTTTTGCATTTACGTTTTTCCTGAGTTAACCTTAATTCCTGTATAAAATTACAGGAAGACTTTCTTAGACGACGTTGGGAAAACCATCAATCTTTTTTTTAATGCGATTATCAAATTTTTCTGGAATCCTCACAATTCTATAGAAAGCGCGACTTATTTACAAAAACGGCAAAATAGAGTTTCTGGCGGTTTATCTTCACTCTTTTGTTCATTAAATCGATTATATTCACAGAAGTGCTGAACAAAAGGCCTAGGGTTTTTGTTCTTTACCTCAGGCTTGATCTGGGGATCGTTGTAAATCAGAGTTCATTTTTAGCGTTTGCCGTTGGCGCAGATCCAGGCTTACGTATTATGCTTTCAATCCGACTGTTTACTTTTGATATTAGTCGAGCACGTAGCCTGATTTTTATTTTTAAAGAAACATTGTTTTATTTTTAACAACGAATTGCATTAACATCCAATTGGATTACTTAGCAAACAGTGAGTAGCTAAAAAAACCCTAAGAACTTGAAGAATTGTCGGTCTTTATTTGTGAGATAGGAAATCTTCATCAAGCAGTTGTTGGTTAAGACGTACATGAGCATCAGACGCGATATACTCAGCTGCCTTCAAAGGACGAAATTCTGAAAGTGTGATTAAAAGTTTGGAGCTGACTATTTCAAGATAAGTGAGGATCAAGGCATAGAGAAGCAATTTACAAATGCGTGGGAGGGAGGGCGGGGCAATGATAGATCACTTCAGAAAATGATTCTTTTACAGCTAACTCTTGATACAGAGCTTTCCTTAATTAAACATCTCATTCCTGCACTTGTTATTCGATATTTTCTTTCAGTGAAAAGAAAAGAAGAGACCAAAAGCGCTCCGATAGAAAGGTATTGATGAAAATATACATTTAAACCGCTTATTATGCAATATACCGCACTTTCTATCGGCTTACCGGTGCAATCACCCACGCAAAGAATTGCGTAGAATCACAAGCCGCAGCCGAGTGATTTACACACTTTGTCGTGTTCTCCTAACATCTCAACTTGATTATTACGCCAGTAAACCGATAGAAAATGCGGTCTATTGCATTTATGAATTAAAATTAAAAACAAAAAAACCAAATGTTGCACTTTTCTATGGGTTTATACCGGTGCAACAAACAATAGCAGGTAATTTAGCGTTAACAACTGAGTTGAACACGTAAATTGGCCATCGTAAAGGGTAAAAAAAGCTGACGTTTCGAGCGTTACCCTTTACGGTGGCCAAGTTACGTTTTCAACTCAGTTGTCAACACTAAATTACCTGATATACTCTCCCACCGACGTAGCACCACAATTTCTTTAGAAACTTACCCCTTTTATCAACAAACAATAGGTTTTTGACCAATCAGGGCGCTTGTAGTACCTCAGTCAATTGAAAGATCCTGTTTTAACTAAAATAACATCTAAAAAATTGTTAATAAAATTTCAAGTTGGGTTTGAGTTTCAGAGAGAGGGGAATCTTCAACATTGATACAACGATCATTTGTCTTAAGAATTATATCTCGTCCACTTTATTGCAGATAAAACAATTTGAGCTCCCTTGCCCCTGTTTTTTATTCTTTTTAAAATAAGTTATCCCTGATTTGTAGAGCCAACTTCAGGGAATTCACGACGAATAATTCGGCATTTAGCTATTGCTCGATAAATATATACAGATATAAAATTTCAATTTTTTACCGAGTGTCTTAAAATTGCGACTACCTTCAAATGAACGACTAACAAGAGCTATGTTCAAAGGTAAGGTTTAAGTCTTTTAATTCAAGCGAAAATACCAATGACGCAAAAATTTGTGAAACAATTGAGAACGATGCGTAATAGAAATCTGCCCGGATCAATAGTATCTGAAATTGAATTGGTTATCAATACAAATGATGCAAAAGAAACACGAGTGAACCTTCACAAGTAATTTCAATTATCGCAAACGAAAAAAGGTAAAAAGACACTATTTGATGATAAAGACGCCAGAGCTCTTTTTAATTACTTTTGTTTGCTAACTTTCAGGAACCAGTCAAAAAGCAGTACACATCCGAAGAATTTCGTGCCTTGAAGAAGAAAATGCAGGCACGAGGAAAAATGATACGATAAGGCGGTATCTAAGGAACTGTAGGAAGCACTAACTTTCGTAAAAATCAATTGAGCGATTTGACGTTAATAAAATTTGATATTTAGACTTTAAACACTGACACAGGTGAAGGAAATAAACGTGAAAGCAGGTGAATATTGAATGCCTTCCATTTCTGATAACCTCGTAGATACTTTGGTATAGGGATTTATGCCCCCCCCCCCACCGTCCACCTCCCCCTATTCCGCCAAAGATCCACGCCAGCGGACTTTTCCTATAGCCAGACACATCTTGTAAGACGAAACGTTTTGATCCTTTGGGGATTTCGACTTTGAGTGCGACATTTTGATTCAAGTTATCAGCAAAATATCACAATAAAAAATCCTTTGTGAAGTACTTTGTTGCTTCCAAATTTATACAATTGTTGTTTTGGGCCTTTTTTATTGAAAAAACTATAAAGCTGTTAGCTTGCGTGTATCTTTCTTCTGCTTCTACACCATTTTTCGAAAAACCTCGTCTTTCATTGCTGCTGTGCGTTTTTCCCGACAGAAGAAGAGTATCAGAATCACGGTAGCTTTTTTCTCAGAAAAAAAAAAGGTGTGTAGATATTTTTCAATTCTTTGCCATGACAACAACATTTGACGTTATAGGAACTTCTTGCACTCTCTCTAGCATTAAAAGTTCTAGTCATTAATCCCATTCAGTGTGATAACCCTATGAAAGTATGCCTTGGGTAAAACACTGGGAAGAGGAACTAAAAAAAATCTTTTGTTTCCAAGAAATTAATTCTTGTGAACAGTATTCACAACTTGACACACTGAAATTAATGGTGCATAATGACGTGAGAATGACGACATTTTCTTTTCGTGGACATTTCCGTGTCGCACATGTTTGTCGCCAATTTGAACTTAACCCCAGGGTGCTACTCTCACAAATCGACCACAAAACCAACAAGTTTAAGGCTATGGTCACGATTTGGTAGAGTCGTTTGTTGAGATGTGCAAAATTACCTTCAATGCGAAGGAAACAATAAAATGTGTTAATTTGATGAAATAAAACAAACATTTAAAATTTCCTGTGTTCTTATCACCTTGTTTTCCCCTGAACGCCCTCTTCTCGGGGGTGGAGGGTGTGATTTACTCCCTTGAGTGCATACGCATATTTAAAACATGGCTAAGATTCAAACAGCTTCAAAAAATTTCGAGAATCACCACTTCCACGCCCTCTTCCCCCTTCCCTTTAATGTGGCTTCAATGACTCAATGGAGTGGCTCTTTTTTCGTTCTTATTTAATTTTATTGGGAAGTAGTTGTCTGTCAAGGTCTCTTAAACTGACTAAAGGGCCATCATATCATGTTTATGTCACTTGAACGTCACTGTGCAAAGAACACATCTTTTTTCAATTCAACAAACTCATTAATCAAAGGGGCTATCTTCCTCCTTCAGTATCAGTCATAAAATTTCAATTCAAGCTCGCCAAGGACGATATCTATTGACGATTAATACTTCAGAGCGCTTAAAGATAAATAATGCATTTGATCAGAGCCTGTGGTGAAGAAATTGCTGAGCAGTTTCACTAAATTTTCAGGAGTCTAACATTTAGGTGATGTGTGATCCATCAAACATCAAAATACCAATTCACTTGCAGTTACGTAAGTGTTACGAAATGAGATTCCTTCTTGGCATATCTTTCTCAGCATACGTTGCTGTGAGGCATACAGCATGACGTAACATTATAATGTGTTTCTGACGCACAAAAATAGTAAAAAATTACGGAAATTAAATGGATTTTGGGAGATTTGACATAGTTTTCACGCGGAAGAAGGAATTCAAACGCAGATTTTTTGGAGTATCTCTTGTGCCTTTGTTTCTAGGGCCAGCTTGGGCCCGTTTTTCTAAGGCCTCGTAAAGCTGTTGTGTTTTCATTCAAGATGGGGATTTCACAAGTTTTGAAAATTACACAATGAAAATGTCACCTAAAGAAACAAAAGGGAATGGTTAGAGTAATAGAAACTACTTCTCTATTCTTTAAATTTTGATTTTAAGATATGGCTTCAGCTTTCACAAGCGTCACTGATGTCGTTCACCGACATACCATTCGCACGGCCTATGTGAAGCAATCACAACTGGGTCTGTTATGTAATCATGGAACCCTTTTTTACATCCGTCTAAGAAATGTTGTAGTAAAAATCGAAAAGAAGAAAAGAAAAGAAAAATAGTGTTGAATAAAAAACGTTCTCAAAATCTGAAGCTGAGTTCATCGTCCATATTTCATTTTAATTGTTGATATCGAGTTACATCGTTTCACGTCAAAAACTGAAAGCTTGTCCACCGTTATACTAAAACCGTTACGTGTAGCTCACTTATCACTACAAAAGCTACGCAAGTCGTCGCGAGCCACGGATCATTTTTTTCCAACCAAAAGATTAGTCACAATTGTAACTAAAAATGGTTTTTTCTCTTTTCATGGGAATAGGATTTATCCAATATGCAGAAAGTGTGCTTTATCTTAAAGGGTTATTTAAAACGAGCTCTGCATACTTATTTGACTGGCGGAATAATTGAGTAATTTAGTAAGATAAGAATTACCGCTACCTTTTTTTTTTTCCAGTTAAGTTATCGAAGAGCGTTTTTGTTGTTGTTGTTTTTTCTTGAATATGTTTTCTCATTTATTTTACTAAGTGACTAAAGTACGCCTCACATTTCTCGTTGCAGTAGAAACTGAAAAGAAATTTCCATTTTCCAACCCTTGAGGAAATGTTTTGATCAAATTTTGGAAAACAAGTCCGAGAGACCAAGGACGACGGAAAACTTGAAAGTCATGCTTCCGACAGCTCATCTCAAATGAGTTGTTTTGTCATTGAAAAAAAAAATCTTAAGCATTCGAATAATTACCCGACCACGCTCAGTTTAGCGAATTTGTGTGACAGCTGTGAATTTTAAAGATAAACTACATTTCAGATACCGCGATGAACGTCATTGATAAATTTTCAGAAGGACTAAAAGATGGGTACGAAAGCGAAGATTAACATTGAGCCTTGAAGATCGTGCTATTTGTTTCCGCTATAGAGGAAAGACTATGATTTATTGTGTAGAGTAAAATGTTCATCGTTTTAATCAGTGCTTGGAAGATATTGTTATGAAACAAAGATTTCTCGCAGAAAAATATTACAACGCTTAAAATTATTCCAAAGTATACGAAATGTGTGTTGAATAAAATTTATCGCAAAATATGAAAATCATTACATAAACTGGATCAGGAAAATGTTTAAAAAGAAATGGGAACAGAATACTAAATAACAATAGATTCTAGAAAAAAAACTAATATTGTTATCAAAATACAAATCTAGCCACCACGGATATGAATAGGTCTGAAAAAAGGTATAAAAAAAAATGAGAACTTGAAAAAAATTTTTATCGTGTAATATTTCATACAAAATACGTTTTTTTGGTGCCAGGATTCGCACAGCAAATTAATAATATGAACTGAATTGAAAACACTTAAGCGATGTTGGCGTACATTTAAGAATATTAATTGAGCGATGCTAGAGCAAAAAAAGAAAATGCTTTTCTGATCTGGCAGTTAATTAATTATAGAAATTTAGAACAAGTGGTTCAATCCTTATTTTCAATTTTCTTTTTGCAATTCCTTTAAATTTTGGTTTCATGATATAGGGAACTTGTTTTCAAAGTGACAAATAAACAATTGTATGAAGTATTGGTCGCAATTGTTTTCAATCTTTAATTACTTAAATTCAAATGATAAAATTGCAAATTCAAAATTCTGTTGAAATTAAATTTTTTGGGAAATGTCTCAGAGAAGATATAAATTAAATGTCCTATTATAATTTTTTTCTTCTTTATTAGCTCAGATATTTGAAGTAGATCGTTTTGCGGATAGAGAGGTGACGCAGAAAGAAACAAGTTCAAAGAACAATCACAAATTTTAACTTGACATTCGCAAATTTTATTATGATATATATTTCAGATGAAATTATTTGTGTAAGATCGGGTATTGAATGTTGAAAGATATGGGCCAGGTCGAAGAATGCGGAATTTCTCCGGGAAGAGGGCAAAACAAATATCTGGGCGAGCTTCAAGAAGTAATGTTTGCCTCTCGAGATTTCAAAGAAGGGTGAAAAATACCTGGAGCCTCTTTGTCCTATGGGACACATTTATTCAGGAGCAAGGCTAATGAAGGCTGTATATAGCATTAATTACCCAGTAGAAATAGATGATAAAAAGGCTTACACGAAGTTATGAAGAGGTAAACTCTGATCCAGCTGAAAAGCTGGGGACTGAAATATTCCAGCAACATCTTAGGTCATGAATTTGATCCTCTAACTAGCTCTGAGTTTGTTTCAGCGACGAGCCAACGGTCGCACATTCAAGTCGATGGTTCATTTGGGTGATTAATTGTCGGATAAGTGTTTAAATATTGATATCATTTACTCCCCCCGCCTACGAAAAGGAACTCAAAGCGCCGAATAAACCCTCTTTGAGAAGGAAGTGATGGCAGTAATCTTTCATAGTTGTTTCCGACAACATGACGCTAAAAGGAATATAAGCAGATCAAGTTTTCAATTTTATACATACGACCCGTGCTAAATAACAAAAGGGAGAGCAAGGTGAGTTATCAAGGTGAGAGATCCCCAATTCAAAGTTACCTATGAACTGACATTACCCTAAGACATTACTAGAAGCAACTGAACACTAGAAATACTCAAAACCCTACTCTTCTTGTAAAATCTAGGTAAAATTCACAATTTTCTTAAGGTTGTCAACAATTGGCATTTATTCCTTCCGAATAGAGTGAAATTTAAGTATTCCAATCAGATTTATCGTATTTCATTTTCACGTCGGATATCAATGCGTAGAGAGAGAACCTACGAAAAACTATTGACTGAAATTCTGTGTTCTTTACAAGAATACATCAAAGCAATACTTTGGGAGGGAGTCTTACTTCTAATGAAAACAATCGAGATCTTGTAACCACGGTATTTAACGGATAGTTGCAACCTTTACTTTTCGGGGCTTCACTCAAAAATTGAAAACAGAATGCAATTACATTATCTTAATCAGTAAGAACCGTTATTTTCGACAGAATCTGTTGAAAAATTGATTACGGACTTCGGACGCTAAGTAAATAAACAAACAAACAATATTATCCGAAATGAAATGGTTGTTTTCCAAATTTACTCACGGGGAGGGTTCATTTAAATTTAAGCGATTCTCTACGTTAACATTCTGCGAACAATTTCAACAATATGTTCTATGCTTTTTCACTGTGTAGCCATTTAGTTTGGGTTTATTTATACATATTTCTTTCGTGCAAAAGGCCCTCGTAGTGCAATAATCAACAATGTTAAATTTACTGTGAGAAAATACTTTAACGTAGAGTTGGTTTGCTACATTGAATGTGAAAGGTTGTCTTTTTTTCTAGCGAAAAGAGATTTCATCATCACAGTTCTAAGTTAGAAACAATTTTATTGTTTGATAAAAATGTCTCATTCAATTCCAGAGAATTGATATCGACGGCTGAGCCTCGTTTTGGTGCGAAATGCTTACTACGTTTGTAGTTCTGTTTTTTCTGCAGTCGGGTGAGACATTTATGTTAATTTTACCTTTTCTGACCTTTAAGTAACTTTCTCTTTGGCTGTTTTTATGCATCAACAACTTCCTTCTTATTGTTCTAGCAGCTCCAGAACTTAAAATACTACCATGTATTTTCTTTAAAATTGAGTTTCGACTCGGACATTAATGATTTCTTTTTCAACTGACACCCCGCTGATGCCATTTTACTTCCGAAAATCGTTGATAATTTGTGATCACCACTGCAAATAAATATACGTGCGATTGGTTGAATGAAACCTCATTTCATGCGCTGAGCTCCATGTTCTCTCAAATCTCGCTCACACGAATGTCAGTGGGCGTCCTTATTTGTCGTAAATCTCAAACCAGTTAAACTAGAAATCTAACCATTGAGACAATCGAAAGATTCTTACTTCAAGAATTTTTATTATTACCATCATCTTAATTCACGTTCTGTTAAACCGTACTTTTAGTCTCCTCTAGGAATTTGAACTTCGTTGACAGTCCGAATCCTGCCGATGAAGCCCCCTTAAACGGCTGTCAAAATGAGGAGGAATGCGAGTACGACTCGCGGCAGCGCGTGGGCCGCTCGAATGCGCTTGCACAGAAGCGCCAAGTCGAATGTGGCAGACTCCCGAAGAAACATCGGCTAAACTGTGATCTATTTATGGGCAAGAGAGGGCCTGATTTCTCTAGGAAGACGTACGAGCGCTTTGCGAATCCTTTACAGCTTCAAGACCCCGATCCAAAATGCACAAAATTTACCTGTCGTTTCAACCCAAGTGGCAAAAAGAAATTTATGGTTAAGAAAGGTGTCCGTGTTACTGCACCGAAGGAGGATAGCATGGGTGATGTAACCTCAGACACCAACTCAAAAGCTTGTACCAATCCGGCAGATTTGTTTTGCTACGGTAATGGAGCTGGACGAAAGCGATCGGTAAGTTGTCCTTACATTACCATACAACTCTTTCCCGCCCAGGCTTAACTTATTCCCTTCCACGTCTAGCGGGGAATTAGACCATGGAAACTGCTCACCATCTCGGCTTATTGTGCGACATCTTCTCAAGTTGCATTGGTTTTTCAAGGGTGTGCCCGATGCTGTCCACCTTGCAACTTCTGATATAATGATCGTTTTTTTCCTCCTGTTTCGCTATTGCTTACAATTATCAGTTCCTTAGGACCCTTAGTGGAAACTCGGGCTTACCAAGGCATAATCATCTAACTTCGGGTTCCCGTTTATAGAATGAATGCTTTGTAAGCTTGCAGGATTTCGTAACTATTGAGGTAGCAGGTATTTGTAAACCACGCGTCGTGGTTTTGCATGTAGGGCCAGGTTGTTAAGCTTTTTAAAATGGCGGTCCCTATGGTCGAATTTTTGCGAATTGAAAATTATCAGAACGCGGTAAATAATGATTTTTTTTTTAAAAAAATATATACTTTAGGAGACAAAAACACCTGTTTCTAAAACATGCTTCTCCAAGTTGAGGCAGAGCATATGCAATACGCGGTGTGATCAAGCACTAAATAAACTGCATGCCAAGGGGAATTCTGATATTATTTTTTGGAAAGGACTATTAAGTGACTTAATTATTTTTGAAAGAACGACATAGAAATATTGAAGACACACAGAAGAATGTATCAGATGACTCTGACTATATTAGTTGGAGACTTAAAATGGTGGATTCCGCTTCTTTTCCGTAACTTATAAAACAAAATTTGGCTGATTTGTGGCGAGGATTTTTAGGGAATCATTGGGAAAACTTAGGCTCCATCAATAAACGTACAATTGTTCGGATCAATGCTAATATCTGAGCAACTACGCACCTACCCCTTCCCTAACCCAACAACAGTCAACTGGTAGCAAGTTAGGGTTAATGTTGGGTCAGGGGAGGGGTAGGTACGCAATTGATCAGATACTGAATTTGATTCAATTGTTCCATCATTAGATTCCTGAAATAGAACAAAACTGCTCAGATCCAGAAAATAGTAAGTCTTCAATATGCCGCTGGGGAAGTCAAGGGAAAAAAAGTTTTTCCGGTTAGAAGCTGAGCACGATAGATGATCTGAGGTGGGCATGAAAACGTCGTCTTTGTTTATAAAACAATCACCCTAACACCCTGGCCTCCAAAAAAAAATTAAAATTTTAAATGAAGTATTTATCGTTTGGCTCATGATGTGGTCACTTTTATATTGGATTGGACGGACAGCGGACCGCTGAGGGAGCAGATTATCTTAATACACCTGTAAACAATGTAATAACCAGCCAGTCATAGCGAAGCATGATGCTCTATATGCTGTCATGTTACTAGTGGATCTCGTCGCCTTCAGGGACTAACAGTATACAGTCGAAGGGTCACTATCCACATCGGAAGTTATTACACTGTGTAACAAACGATGAACCTTTCAAATGCAGTGGTGTTAGGGTTAAGGTTAGGGTTACTAACTTGCAACTTGCAACTCTACACGATGAAGATGAAATAAGCCTCTTTTTTCTCTTTTTAGGTGATTTGAATTACGACGTTAAATATATATGTGGCTGCCGTGAGCGTAAAAACAGAGCAAGTGTATTAGTCAAGAGAAATCGCTATAAGTCTCCATACTTCTTTTTTTTGCTGATCCTAAACAATGTAAATTTCTGTGTTGTAAATTAAAGCTGTGGAATAAAAGCGTTTTTATGTGCACTTCGGTATTGATGAAAAAATTTAACCATAGAAATAATATCACCCAGCAAGAACAACCTTTTCAAATGAATAAGACGTCAGAGGCTGCTTATGTTTAATTACTGGGAAAATATAAGCTTTCCATCAAACCATTTTTCTCTGTGCAACGTGTAACAGGTATACGTAGAGAGGAATGGAAATACATCGAAACTGAAGATAAAACTAAACAAAACAAAACAAAACCATAATTGAGGTATCTAGACGAAGTGAAGCTGCACTTCCGCCTGGTTGTCATGGCAACTGGACCGACTGCACCTCATAATTTTGCATTGGTAGGCTATACCATAAGTGTTTGTCAATGACGTCATATTACACAACCCCTTTACTTTTATTATTCATCCCTTACAGAAATCTACCTCAGAACTACAAAACAAATTGAATGCGAAGACCAAAGTTAAGTCATGGTATTGTTTCCAGTCCACTTATTTCAATGTATACGTCGATTTTAACCTTTTTTTTTTTTACCTGTTTTGTCGCGAGAACTGGTTACCAAATTCAATGACCCTCCTTTTAGGAATGTTTTTCAGGATCTTTTACTTTCGCCTTTTGTTCTCGGTTTAGTTAACTTAAGAAAATTTGAGATGGCTCTGTAAAGGCTTCCCGACGCAAAGTGTCCAAGAAGTTTTTTTGAGACTAATTTGAACTTTTTCGATAAAAAAAAGTAATTAACTTAGGGTCCTATTGACCGGACAAAATAATGTTCAAGTTTTTTCCTAGTGCAGGTTTAGAACCACTAATGTATAGTAATAATATAATACATAGTGTACCCTGGCAACGGGTTGCACATGATCAATGCTTGATGCATCATGGACAACAATAACGTACTGCTGTTATTTAGCCGCTGTGCAACAGTGCTCTGCAATAATTAGAGAAAAACAGGCGATAGGGTGATTACAGTACAGTGCGTCGGTCCAATAATGGAGACGGTAGCTGAGGAGAAGCCAACCTACTGGCAGCATAGTTGTTCATGGCTCGGGGAAACCCATAAACATCTCTTACACTGGATGAATTCTTCTCGAAATCGTGATCCAATTTCAAAGACTTCTCACACTCTTTCTCTTTTTCCATTTCCTCGTAGAATTGTGCGATTACACAGCTGCTCCCTTCTTCACAACTTCCATCATTAGTCTGTACGGCCATATCAACTTTTTCCACTGTAAGAAAAATCATTTTACAGTTACCGCCAGAAATGGCTGAATGCGATACCATAGTTAGTCTACATCTGCCAAATCACTCCAAAGCGCGAAGCTAACGACGCAGTCCTTAACACACGCTTGTTATTCCCACTCGTCTCCTCCCAATTCATTTTCGATGAAGTCCAGCGCGTGGTCCGAAAACAAAAACCTTTTAGGTAAAAGTACTAACACTAGCTCGTTATGAAAAAAAAAAAAAACGCTACACCATGGTTGTTAGATATTTCCTTTGTTCCAATGAGAACCAAGTGGTGAGAGTCCATGGGGTTGGACGAGTTCATGCTCCAGGTGGATATGATACTGGAGCGAAATGTTGTACTCTCACTCAGCCCAGGACTTTTAATGGGTACTAACCAGTTGATTCTCATGGAAACATGACAAACTAGTTCTCAAGTGTAGCAATGCTCTTACAAACCTCCTGACTCAAAACCCATCCCATGTTGTGGTTGTCAACAAAGTCAGTACTCGAACCAAGTGGTTCATGTAGGTGGAGCTTATGCCGGTTTCCATGGTGTTTCCATGGTGTTATTACCACCCCCTACATATTACCATCCATGGATGGGGGGTAGGTGCAAAGATGCATGGCCACACCCCAGAAATTTTAAAAGGTTACCCTAAATATTTCCCGATAGCAATTTATACTCCTGAGTAGAGAGGTACAGTGAGAGCAAAGTGTTTTTTCCAAAATCAAAACACAATGACCTAGCCAGGTATCGAATCCGAAACTCTCACCCTGAGTCCAGCGCACCAACCATCAGGCCATGGCGCTTCTCACTGTTTGTCTTTGTACCCCACTATCTGATTCCTAAGAGGCTTTAGCACAGCTTGTGAAACTGAACACTTACCTTTCCTCTTACAAACGAAGACTGAATCAAAAAACAGCATAATGGAAATTAGAGCAACCAGCGCAGCTAGCCCCGGAGCGAAACTTTGGACGTTTCTCACAAATTCATCACAGGATGGACAAACCGCACTAAGGGAGGGAGAGAACGTATCAAACCTATGAGAAGGCTCCACTGATGGTAAAATACAACAATTTTTTGTCAAAGGGGCCTACTCTCGGATATTCTAGACTCAAATCTAGAGCTTATTTTGTGCCATCCAAGTTTCTGCGAGCTAAGTAGTAACCTAACTAACATTTCCTACAAACTTCGGTGTGACCCTGTTGTTAAATGGCTCATAAATAAATTTATTGTCGATAAGAAATTGGTTGACAGACTAACTGACAGATCAACTGATTGACTGACTGGCCGGCGTACTAGCTATATAGCTCGCTGGATGACCGACTGAAGCACTAGCCAGTTAGCAGGCTGGACGGCCAATTGGCCAAATGACTGAGTGAGTGACTGACTGACTGAATGACTGACCGGTTGACTGATTAAGTAGCTGGCTATGACTGACTCACCGAACAACCGATCAACTCAATGACTTACTCACTGTGACTTATTGAGCGACTGACTGGCTTTCTGAACTACTAAATGACTGGCCTGACTTACAGACTAGCCAGCCGGTGTACAGTTTACTGATTGAACCTGAACGGACCTTGGGTAGAGTCACTTAAACCCGTCGGATGATAATTTGCACCCAACTCTCATAGAGAGGAAATTGTGACTACTTACGTCATGTCAGTACGCGGATTCATTTCTTGAATTATAGCAATGGTGACACCGCTGGACAGTTTGTCTGTGAAGCTGATTGTCCCGTAAACGAAGGCGCCGGATTTCTTAGGAATGAATAAAATTATAAATTTGCAAAATAACAGCCAGCTTGAAAAACACTGAGTTAAATAACTTAAAAGAGGTGCGAGTAATAGCTTTTAAAAATTTATAATCTTGGGAAAAAGAGGAAAACATTAAACTTAAATTTACATTAAAATACCTCATAATTCCAGCATGCTTCACATTGTTACTTCTAAGCTTCTGAGAAGAAAGTGTAACATTTTCCGACAAATTTTGCAGCGAGATTTAAAATAGTTAAGTGCTTTTGTTTACATGAGCAGCAATGTTTTGAAGAAATGCACGTCACGAGCAGGTTTCCTGCTGTAATTGATGGACATAATTTTGTTCAAAAGTCATAATTTTTTCATTAAAAACTTTCTATCAACGCCTTCGAAAAAAAATTAGTTTTGAAGGTTGCGTGATAATTCTAGTTTTAATGTTATTTTGCTCTTGGCTGTCTGATTGTTTTACAAATGTAACTTATTCCATAAAATCCATTCCGTCGAGCAAAACGATCGTGGCTTTTGGGACAAAATTGATGAGAAATCGCGTTTTGCGCATTTCCGTTTACCTTGTCATGACCAATCAGCTCTGCTATGAGAGATAATGACGTCACTAGCATAACAGATCCTCCACATCCCATAATAACCGCAGTGACGTAAATAACATTCTTTCCTTTAATGTCCTGAACGTAGAACCAAAAGCAAGCACTCAAGGCCAGCATACAACCCAAGGAAAATGTTATCTGAGAAGGAAAAATTATGATTAACATCACGCTTTCAGGAGCCACTTTAAGAAGAGGGAGAGGACGAGGTGGACTAATGACCAGTGCACTGGACTCTTGGTTGAGAGGTCTGGATTCGAGACCTGGCTGGGTCAATTGTGTTTTTTCTTGTGCAAAATACTTAACTTTCACTGTGCCTCTCTCCAACCAAGAATATAAATGGGTATAGGCAAATAATCAGGGAGGCCTGATGAAATGTTTGGGGGAGGGGCGGGAGGGAGGGTAACCTTGCGATGGACTTGTATCCCATCCAAGGGAGAGTAGTAAGACTCCCAGTCGTCTTATGCTAAGGAAGTGACAATAAACTGGATGGATGGGCTCAAGTGTAGGCTTTGCATGAAGGTTTAAAAATACCAATCCTTAACATTCTTTACATGTAATAACCTTACTTTACTACCAAGTCTTTTGTTCAGTGGCTTGACTGTTCCACTGGCAAATACACCACTGATCAGCACCACAAGAGGGAAATAGGCGATAGCTTCCTACAAAAAAATCACAAATTCAGCTCGTTCATCATCAAGGAATTGTCTTCGAATTGCGAAAAATTCATTTAAACTTAATCCTGTTCAAGGAGTTCAGTTAATAATCCGAAGCGCGCTGGTAGCGGCGCGGAAAAAAAGAGGTTTGGTTCGAGTCGTGACTCCCTCGTTTTCGCTCTGCCGCTACCATAGTGCCGTTTAATACTTCGCAGCATTTTTCTAACTGAACACCTGAAATAGGCCATTTCAACCTCTGCGATTTATGACCAGCTTTGTACTAACCTTTTCAAACTTAAGTGTTTCTGTCAGGTAAAGTGGTAAATACGACTGAGAGACATTTACAACAAGCCTACTGCAAGTGTAAACTAAACCGGTCTGTGGGGAGGAAGAACAGAAAATCAAGATTTTAGCAACCCTCTTCAAATCGATCAAACGCATCCTAGAACGAGAGGTTCTCGTTAGAATTCAACGCGTTACGACTCTGAGTAAATCTTATCATAAAAACCGCCATAAAAACCACAATTTCGTATTTTTGGAAGCTTTCAAATTAAAAAATAATACACAATCTCAGTATCAAAAAAGGGTGTTATAATAAAACGATGGTAGCGTGCGAGCTCACCTTCACTATAAGCACTACACGACGCGCGTTTCTCCGCCCGTGGAAAGATTCGAAACGAATCAGAGTGTGGTCTGGCACTAATAAAAATCTAACCAGTGCCAGACTCTCTCAAGGCCATATACTTTCCCGCAGGCGAAGAAACAATCCTGCCAATAAGCGCTAATAATTAGCCGTGCTCGCAGGCTAAGATGCTCAATTCCTCATATAAGCGTTATCCTCGGGTAAAATGTCTTGGCTCACTCCCGGTTGCGGAGATTTTACGTTCATCACGTCCATCGTCCAATCACGTGCGGTAAATTCAGCGCATTTGTTTAACCCGTGCGGCTGATGTATTCCTTCTCCGCCAAAACATTGATATAACGCGTGAAGTAAATATAGATTTTTTCTGCGCCAAGAAAGCCAAAAAATCACGTGGGACGGATTTTGTTTCGCCACCCCGCCTGACGCTCACTTAACTCTTCAACTTCTGGCAGTGATTAACATGTAAGTTCACCCTATCATATCCATACTTAATCCAGCAAATAGGAGATATGAATACTCATATTTATCGGGTAGAAGTTGTTATCTTGATCTAACACCAAATTCTCGTCACTAGGTTACAAGGAAATGTGGAACAGTTAGAAGAGAGAATTAAAATTCAGATCTTGGGAGCTGAAAGGTTCATCTATTCCGTAGAAAACCCTAGGCTTAAATAATACGAAAATAAGGCCATCTTGTCATGATGACGTCATCAATTTCAAGGACATACCTTATAAAAGGCGGGGTCTTTTAGCCAGTCTTTCCAAATCTTTTGGCCTCCTTTTGAGGCACTCCTATCAATGATGTCATATTGACCCGGAGTTTCCGCCTGCTTTTCTACCAACGTTGACTCAATGGAAGTGAGTTCGTCACTGCAAGATGAAGATGATGCTGTCTCTGATTTGCCGCATACAGATGTGGTTACTCGCTGAGATGAACGACGAGTCGAAGGGGAAGGATCACAGTCAACTTTGAGAAGAGCTGGTGCAAAATAAAACCTTTATAAATAATTACTGATAATCATAAATCAATAATTGAAATTAATTATTACTATTAAGTGCTAAGTAGCTTATTTAGAGTGTGCTCTAATCTGAAATTGAAAGTTCGGAAAACTATGATAAGCCGATCTACTCGTCTAAATATGATTTCACTTACCGTAAAAATTTAATGTTCACATGTGTACTATAAACGAATCTCAGCAGATCGCCTTAAATACATCTAAATAGTATTAAATACAAACTCGAGGGAGCAAAACGTGGCCTTTTAAGGCTTCCAGAACATTCACCTTTTTTCTCACTGGTACCCTGAACATTTTTCTTCTGCCGTTCCAGCAAGGCTTCTGAAGGAGGCTCTCTCGTTCCGACGTGGAAAATGATATTAAACAACGTACCAGTTCCCACGACGATAAAACCAAGATACTAAATGAGAGAAGTATGAATTTATGACAATTGTGAAGAAGAACAATGAGTATTACGAGCTTAGAGTCGGAGTATTGCTTTTTCATCTGAATAGAATGTGAGTCCATTACTGGTAAACCCCTGCCCCTATCCCACCCCAGCCCCCATCCCACCCCGACATTTTGTCAGATTTTCCTGGCAGTTTCTCCTGTATCCATTTATACTCCTGGATCGAGTGAGGCACTGTGAGAGTAAAGTGTCTCGTTCAAAATCACATTGGCCCAGCCGAGACTCGGATCCAGACCTATCGATCTGAACTCCGGTCCGTTTGGATCCGATGACACCAGGCCACTACGTTTCCCGCCAGGTTATTGCCCCGTGGAAATAAATCTTCGTTTTCCTGGTTGAATGGCCATGATATCAAAGAAACAGTTTCTTTGGGAGCAAAAATGTACAAGAAGAGAATTAAAAAGTAAGGCTACCTGAACAGCACTCATGTGACTCACCATAAATTGCTTCCAAACATTCGGAGAAAGTGTCTCTTCTTTGCTTTGACCAAGAAGAATCCACGTGACTCCATAAACGTAAATACCACAAAGAAATGTAAGGGCGGACCTGGTAACGAGAAACTATTGTTGTTAGTGACGCCATAATAGCTTAACCTCTTCCAGGCCCTCTCTCAGTCTGTACAGCTGTAGAGACGAGCGAAAGAACGGGCAGATAACAAAGGACGGACAAACAGCCGCGCCGTTATTGCACGCCCACTTTTGCGCAGCTTTTATTTAGGGTATCACACAACGCGCCCCCAAACTCGCGTTTTGTGACCTCCTATAGAATGGCTTCAATGGACTCAGGCTTTTTCCCACATTCACGGTGTCCGAGGGACGGAAAAGACTCCAAAAGAGCTCGGCTATAGTAGCTACATGGGTACCCGCTACCTTTCACACCCTAACATAAATATTCTTATTCTTCATTCTGTTCTCTACACATTTCCAAAGTTACTGACAAGGAGAATTTGTTTAACAATCAAGAGCATCTTTACTTGGTGATCATTTCCTTTATCATTGAGACCTTACTGTGCTGACTGATTTGTGATTGAAGGGAGAAATTAGATGCTACGAGGGGTCAAGAGGTCAACAGATAAAACCTCCAGAGGGTGTGGCACGGAACGCAAACACCCAGACGTCTTATTCTGTGATGTATAGGAGTATGTTTTCCTTTTGGTATGAACAATCTGTTTATAGGCCAACCTAGTCTGTACTTAACAAATGTTTCCATCGCAAGATATACCGAAGGAGATCTGTTTATAGGCCGGCCTAGTCTGTACTTAACAAATGTTTCCATCGCAAGATATATCGAAGGAGATCTGTTTATAAGCCGGCCTAATCTGTATTTAACAAACTACCAAATCCTCCAGATCTACTGATTTATTAGAATACTACTCCATGTAATTATTTGAACTTCTTGAGAACATTTCAGACCCAAAACTTAAACAAAATTGTTATCCTCAAATCTAGGTTTTCTTATATAGGAAAACAAAGCATATGTCCTAGTCTCCTAACAGAAGCCCTTACTAAATTTCCTCACCAAAAGGGAAAAAAAAATAGAAACACCAGCCATGTTAAACCTAAATGACTTTTCCTTCCTCTCCGAAATTTTAAATCTTGAGTCAGCTCTCTCCGTCCCTAGCTTTGAATTTGCCGTTTTTTTATTATCTTATGAAAACAGGAAGAATTCATTGTCAAACAAATCTTCAGTTGTGGTTGGAATTAGACGATCACGACTTTCAGCATCATTGCACAATTACTATAGTTGCTTTCAAACCCCACAGAAAAGTTTACCTGAGAGTGAATGCAAAAAAAAATATATATATATATCTACCTAGCAAAAAGAGAACCAAAGTATTTGGATAGCGCTATATATTAAAAAAAAAAAAAAGCACACTCACCGGAACGCACTAAGCTCAACTCTTTCGCTCTCCCGTTTGCTGATTTCAGGAATCAGTGATAAATGTCCAATTTGAGTGCATCCCCAACCAAACCCAAATACCATAGAAAACCCGGTATAGTATAAAAATTTCACAGCATTGCTGCTCTCCGCACAGCCCAAGCATCGATTGAAAATGAAAGGAAATGATGTCGTAACGCAAGCAGTTCCAATGAAATGCCATGATTTTCGCCGTCCATATTTGCACTTTGTTTTATCGCAGAATACCCCAGCAACAGGCGTGCAGATACCCTCGAATACTTGACTCAAAAGTAGTACAAAACCTGCGCTGGCGTTTGAGAGTCCAGCTACTTTGGTAAGAAATACCAGAAGGTAGCTAAACCACGCATTACCTGCCAAATCGTTCAAAACATGACCAACAGAGTAACACAATCGCTGTGTTAAAGAAAGCCTGTCTTTCTTGGATGTGTTTTTTTCCGTGAAGCCGGAAAACCAACGGAGTGCGTTCATAGAAACCGACCTCCTACCCGGGAACTAAAGTACGTTGTCTTGGACAGTTTACCAGGAGCTTATATGAGCTTGCCAAAATTGCTTTTAAAAAAATGAATGACGCCGAATCGAGCCCCAGGGATCTCCGAAATCCAATCACGAGTTGTTGAAGATCGTCTAGCGACCCTATTTGGTTCGTAAAATTGTTACGTAATAAAACAGCACTGTACAGTTTTTCTATACACAGGGCACTGATTCAAATTTTTCTACTGTAAATCCAATGTTAGTAATTATTAAAGCGAAGCTGCCTACCACATTAAATTCTCCAAATCAAACCACTAATCGTTTGCGATTCATTAAAACTGAATTTCAGAATATTGGTGCCAAAATTAATGATTAATGAAAAGGGTCCCATGTTTTGGCGTCCTTATTGGAACACAGCTCATTTATCAAGATAATATTTTGCTCTTTTGTAATTGATTTTGGATGATTTTAAAGCGTGCATGGATGGACTGTGTGTTATTCATTATTAGTATTGAAAAAAGATGCGTTATTTATCATAAAAACAGTTTCAAATAAAAATTGTTTTTTTAGTCGTCTGGAGGGTTATATACACATTCTTCATGATGAAGCAGAATCTGGCGTTACTAAAAAGTTTTAAACTGATCCAACACTCGCACAAAATGGCCTCCCACGCAGTTCTTTCTAGAGGAGTAGTAATCCTTCCTCTACGTAATAAGAAATGAGGTTTTAAACCACCGAAAGCATTTCGATAATGATATGAAATTTAAAGCGCACATGATACAGCTAAACCTGTTTGACACTTCCTTCCGTTTCTCTCCCCAGCCCTAAGTTATTTCACAATATAAAAGAAGCAGTTGCAGCGAGCTGCAAACTTGAACAAGGCTACCGGCTAGAACTTTCACTTTGCTAGCGGCGATCTGTTGACGTAGCGTGCCCCAACGTGAAAAACCCTGAACCGAACGTTTTTTTAGTTTCTGGGAGAAAAGTCGCGTGACACAAGAACAGCTTTTGAAATACTTTAACAAGGTTTCTTTCTCGATGGTTCACTGACTGCGGAAACTCCGACCGCAAAAAAAAAAAAAAAAAAAGAGAGAGAGAGAGAGAGAGAGAGGAAAATAGAAAAAAATTTGAAACCGCCGGGGCAAATCGAAATACTATGCAGATTATAATAATGAGAGGACGTCGTGCTAACGAGGCTGGCACGCAAGTTATGTTATCCGGGAAAAATCTGGTTTGATTTTTATCCCCGAAACCAGGAATTTATCCGTTTTCAGCCGTACTGGAATTGTCTACAACTATCCAACTGCATACTGTTTTTGAAACGCACATAATTCGACATTTTGTAAAATTTTTCTGGCCACGTGATCTACCACGTCGCTTTGCGCAGCAAGAGTTTGGTTTCGTTTCCGGAAAATATCTCAAGAGTGTAGCGACAAGTACCTGCCAGACTAACGAAAACATATTTTTTTATCTTGAATAAAATATTCACGAGGGCAAGCAAAAAATGTAAACTTTGATTCAACTTAAACAGCGACAAAAGATAAAAGACAACACAGTGTATTTTCAAAGAGCAGTACACGAAATTTTAAAACGATATGGTAAATACTGTGGCAAATGAAACAAAAAAATTTTCCCCCTCAAAATGTGCCTGTTTTGACTTACGGTTTTAGCAATATTTACTTTTTTATTACTTTCAAAACTAGTTTCTGATTGAGCCGTTGATTCTTAAAACCTGTTATGCAATGTCTATGAAGAGTTTTTTAAAAGATAATTTCTACTGTAATCGTGGTTCGTAAAGTGGTTCTGCTATTAGGACACTTACCTGATGGCATTCAGCTCGACTCGTTCACTGGCTGATTTGGATATTTCTGGTATCAGCGACAAATGACTGACTTGAACGCATCCCCAGCCTAATTGAAGAACACAACCACAGATGACGTAGTACGTGAGCTTTACTGCTTCACTGCTATCCTGGCAACCGGGACATCGGTTAAATAAAAGAGGGAAGGCGAGCGTGCTGCATACTGTCCCAATTAAATGCCAGGTTTTGCGCCGGCCGTAAGTATTCACTGTGCGATCGTTTAAAAATCCGCTGAATGGAGTGCAAGTCGCATCGGTTATTTGACCGGCGAGTATAACTAGCCCGGCATAAAAATTTGACAACCCTGCGACCTTGGTAAGGAAAATTATTAAATAGCTGAACCATGCGTTAGCAGTCAAATCGTTGTAAATATGGCCCACTCCGTGAGAAAACTTTTGCCCAATGGGTAGCCGTTCTTTCTTGTTAGCCTTTTTGAAGGTTGAATCCTTTTCGTTTACACCGGCACCCAAACATTTGAACACAGCCATACTTCAGGCTGCAAAATGTGGTTTGAAAGAGAAAACAGGAATTTCCGGGCTCAGCAATCAATACGTTTGATTTGATAAGGGGGCATACGTGTTTGCGTTAACCGTCAGATAGGATCGAGTGGCTGAAGAATTTTTCTGCATCAAGCTCTGATATTTTCATCTTATAAGCAAAATATTGTTAATTGTTTGCATGTTCTAAAAAAAAATAGCCGCAACAGGTTACTGCAAAACAGTGACGCGAAAAAATGACTTAATTAAAATCTAATTAAAGATTTACTCTGATTACAAGCGATCTTTGTTTCAATTAAATGCGGCTTTAAAATGCGTCATTGTCCTCACTGCATAGAGCTGAGTAAGAGCATGTCTTGTGACTGACCCGTGATATACCTACGCCTACGCCGTAAAATAGATTTTTACCTTATGTAACATCCTTATTTGGTAATGGAAATGGTAGCAGCAGAAATAAAATAAACACAAATCATGATGGTTTCCGAGAGAAAGCGAGTCACCTAAATAATTATAACTGAATGCATCACGCTGAAATATCAAAGATTTTCCGCTTGGAAAACAGAGCGGCGTGATAAGGGTGAAAAGGACTGAGTGAAGTCCAATTCAGTTCGTAATCATACGACTGATTAACAAAATGGAACGACCGCGAGGCGGAATTTCGATCGCCAATCATGAGTATGACTACACGCAGAACTGGACGAAAATTGTTAACAATTGATCAAAACTAAGTTAAAATTTGAGACACAAACTGACGGGTATGACGCCGACACTGTCCTCTTAGTGTTAATTTCGGGCAGGTAATAACCAATCACGTTCGAGAATTTTGTTATAGTTTTCATGACGGTCAGATAATGGTTAAAACATGGTAAGATATCACGCATAGAAGAAATATATCCAGCAAATCATTTGCTAGATCGTAAGAAGTTCAAACTATTATTATTGGATGTATCTATGATAAAACCACCCTTATGTGCCTTATTTGTCCCAAATTTTTTATTAATACATATAAGAAATTTTCCATCTTTGTCACGCTGGAACCGTGGAAATTGAAGTAACTTGAGGAAAATTTAGGAGGACTTATAAGTAGTTCATTTGAAGTTTATCGTCAAGGACGACTTAAGTTTCTAAGACACACAGTGTCTAAATTTATTTTTGCCGAGGTTACTCGACACTCGACAATTCATTACTTCTTGCCTAACCCTTTCAATCATAGGAAAGTCCAAAAGTGAATTTCTCCTTTCGATACCAATACATTTTAAAACACGACGGCGACGAGAAGATAGAAAAGATATTAATTAGAGAATATTGTTCGATTTACCACCAAATCTTCAGTGGTAAACTGCAATAGTTGTACGGTAGACAATGCGGAGAATTATTATTTAGATCTGAAGAGTGAGCGAGTTTAGCTGCAAAAGCTGAGCAACAAAACACGAAATGACAATGTTACTCGCTCCCAGCCAACAGAAATATCAGTATGGTCGCTGTCATTTTCATCATCTTCCTTGTCGTTGTCGGGGTTACGTTGCATCCTTTACGAGTTCTATTCATAATTTTTTCTCTTATTTTTACGCTCGCCACAATTATGAGAAAATCAAGAGTACCGGCTCGAGCAATCAAGCCCTTTCTCCGTCCCACTACAAAAATACTCTTGCAATTCACATATAAGCCTTGCCGTGCAATAAATTAATATTTTGGCGTTAGTTTATAATAAATAAATTCCCACCCCACACCACGTTATATCAACGCGTTCATACGGAGTACTCAGCGTATACAGAACAGACTATATAATCGTTCTTCGATCTAACACTGGAGAAGGTAGCGATACAGACGCCAGTCGTATGGCGACATAATTCTGCTTTGCTGTTTTCTTCGGATGAAAGTTCCGCGATTCTATAGAGCAATCAAAAGGTCTGCTTTGCGTTGCACATGCTCCCTTTTCTGCACTGCCGATGTGGCAAACTTCGCTGTCAGCCTTCTCTGTCATAGAGGATGTATCCACACCACTTGAGCTGCTGTCACCGTCGCCTAGGATTTCATCTAAATCAACTTGGACTGCGGCGTCTGTTGTCGACGCTAGAATGAACAAAATAGCATTATAATGTGTATCATGAAAAGTCGACGGCCAAATAGGAAAGAATAGGGCACGGAAAACAAAGGGCGTGGAGGGCACAACTATGAAATTTATTCTCCTGAGACTGGTGATGATAATTAAATCGCTTATTATAACAAGGGGACTCACATTGAAAAAGTCTAAATTGGGACTAGAAGACAAGAAGGAGTAGGTGGTAAGTAAGGGTAAAGGGAAGAAGGGGGCAAGTTAATAACGAAGAAAACTAAGTTGTGAAAAAAAACCATCGTTAATTCAAAACCCTGTTCACTTTGGCCAACAGAAAACACAATAAATTTCTCAAAATTGGATTAGTTCCTCTCATAGAATCGATTTACTGCCTAAATGTTATCAAATTCGCGCATTATCTTAATGTTCTTGGCTAAAACTGTCTTTCACTCCCAAGATTTTTACGTTCTTCTGGTGAATTTTTTAAACAGAAAAAATAGGGATCCGACTTCAAAATAACTTTTCCTCACCTCTTTTCTTGCACACGAAAATCGACTCAAAGAACACCATTACTGACACAAGTCCCAGAACAGCAACCGTGCCTGGTACTATGCTTTGCACGTGACGCGTGTATTCATCGCACTTGGAGCATTCAACTCTACAAAAGGAAAGCTACCGTGAGACGTCATATACAAATATCAATTCTCCTTGCGCTTGACATATACTTCTTTCTTTAACAGATTTAAGACGTTACAAAAACATCAATTGCAATAACTAGAGCAACGCTGTTTGTGGAACGCGAGAAAGGCCAGGTTACTGTGACCTTTCCAATATGGCGGCGTCCGCTGTTTACGTTTTAGCAACTTAAGAAAAATTTTAAGTTGCTCTTAGAAATTTTCAACGCGGAAAGCAGCATGGAGATCAATACCAAGGAGATGAAAGCCGCTACACGGGGGGAATCAACTAAAACTCGGCTTACCCTTGATCTTTACGAGGATTTAGTTGCTGAATAATGGCGAATATCGCTCCACTGAAAACTTTATCAAAGAAACCAATAAAACCGTACACAAAAGCTCCGGATCTCTACAACAAAAAAAAGCAATCATCAATTTAAAAAAAGATACGCTGTCAAACTGCACAAACTACACGTTCTTCTCCCTATAGCTGCTATGTAATATCACGTCTGTTGTTTACCTTGTCGTGGCCAATGAGCTGCGCGATTAAGGAAAATGACGTCACAAGCATGACAGAACCACCGCTACCCATAAGCATGGAGGTCGCATACACGGCAGTCCGTGCGTCAATTGTTTGAACAAAGAACCAGAAGCTAGCACTGACGGCCATCATGGCACCCAGACAAAATGTGATCTGTGGATGATGAAGAGTACTAGCTCCGTTAGAAGAAGGATCCATTAATTAAAAAAAAAAAGAAAAAAAAAAAGGTTCGCTGCGTGTATGAAAGTGGATGAGAGATACAATGGCTGGGTGCGTACTAAATTCTGGCTCGAAAGGTGTGAGCAAGGTGCTGTCTTCCCACAGCGCACCTCTAAAGTCTAAAAAAAAATTTTTTACCAACAAATGGACAGGCCAACGATGCAACAAAATTCGTTTATGTTTCCAGAGAGCTTACCCTTTTTCTGCACGAATAAATTGTTTCAATTCTCCTTTACTGTATATTTCGAGGAAAGGAGATTTAGGGCTTCCCGTATCCAACAAATTTGACTAATTTTTTTCTACTAAAAGCTGCTAAAAAGAGTTTACAGTATAACCAACCTTGCTTCCAAGGCGTTTATTGAGTGGTTTGACAGCTGTACTTGCCAAAACTCCCGTCACCAGCACAACCAAAGGAAAATAAGCAATAGATTCCTGCAAAGAATATTATAGTTAATAATAATAGTGACAGAGCTCTACACTAAAGTTGCTCGGGTTTGAATTCGGAAACCGGCGAATTGCTCGAGGGTGAAAGTTATTCATATCCATTTTCCTCTGACAAAATCAAATGCTTAAGGCGGCTGTAAATTCCATCCTGATCTGGAGACCTTGTTAGTCTACAAAAAATAAGGTTTCTCTGACATTTTTTCCGCATTTTCTACATAACTTCTCCGTGCAATTCCCAAACTATGATAAACATTCCAAACTCAAACATGATTTTATTAGTACGTTTAAAGAGGTAATAAAATTTACTGTCCGTGTGTGATTGAGGAGGTAAGATCATCATGGAGGGTTGCACTGCAGACAAAATGATACAAATATTCAACATTTGTTAAGACAATGGCTTACCTTCTCGAATCGCATTGTCTCCGTCAAATAAAGTGGCAAATATGACTGTGAAACATTCACGTACAAACGCGTACAAATGTACACCAAGCCAGTCTGTAATGAGAGTAAACATACAACATGTTACCCATAAAATTCAGTATGGGCAAGAACGGGACCTCACTGAAGTTCTTGCGGCAACACTCACTTTATACATTCCAGGGCATGTCATCCACTGTCGCTTGCTCTTTCCTCCACCAGGAATAGCTGTTTTATCGGTAATATCCATAGAGGATTTCCGTGCTTCCCCGTCTTCCAGGCATGCTGGACAGTCTGTCCTTTCGTTAGGATCAGCCGTTCTCTTCTTCTCTTTTTCGCACAGTGTCATCACCACAGCAGGCGAAGCTCCACTTCTTCTGCTTGGAGATGGCGGTGGATACACGGCCCGAGCCAAAAGACCTGTGTACAAAGGAAAAGTTTGGACTTTCCGTACGTGACCAGAAAGTGGGGACTGCTCTGACTGTCGCGAGGGGTGAGACACAACGAGTCTGCACATTGGGTCATAGGTTGCTTTGTTATTAAAGTTTCAAATCCATGCAAAGCTGCATCACTGAACTTCAAAAACGTTTTATTTGAGTGGTTTCTTTAACCAAAGATTCCCTCCGACGAAGCAAAGTTAACCGTCACGTCAGGCTTGTGACAAGTTTGGTTTAAACCCATTTGGAACCCAAAAGTGACGGAAGATTATATTTGGACGATTGCATGCACCTTTTCAGTCTTTCAATTTCTTAACGCACAGTTTTCGAGTGTAATATATTCTCTGGATCGGCGATTTTGTTCTAGTACACTAAAAGTTGTGAAAAGAAACTCTTGGCACTTTATTCATCAGTTTATAGGGCTGATTTAGTTTCATCAATGAAGAAAATATCGATAGGACCTTCGACCACAGGAGGCAAAAGTCTCTTACTATTTTTGCATGATATGGAATCTTTCCGTGTTACCATACGTTCGATTTATTAGGTTCTGTCTGTACTTTCTAGTGTTTAACCGCTCAATTGTAACTTGTATTTCCCTTCCCATGGATCTCAGTGCTTTACACTCTAAACCTCTAAAATTTTGCTGATAAATTTTTAAAGGGAAGTTGGTCTTATACGTAGATTGTTCCCTCAGACTGATCAGTTTGTCAATTCGTATCACCTGTTTGCTGGATTATGTACTTAAATTGACAAAAGAAGTTACATGTTGATGTCATCTAGGCATTAACGTTTCTACTGTTGCTAAATTACCTCTTTTTTCGGTTCCTCTCCGCTTGAACTTGTGATTTCCACTTTTACGTTCCTCCAACCACTTCAGTAAAGCATCAGAAGGAGGCTCTTTGATTCCAACATGGAACACAACGTTACACACAGTGCCAGTTGCGACGATAATAAAACCAAGATACTGAGAAGAAAGTTATGAAAAGGTTCAAGTCTCGAAGAAATTTATTCCAGCTTTAGTATCATGATTGAGAAAATACGTTACTTATCTCCCAGGATGGGATTTTAATCAAACGCCGGTAACGTTCCACCACTCCTTCAGTTTTCGCTGACATTGTCCCGGCGAAACACGATGATAAATGTCAGGCATGCGCAAGGGGATCAGTTCTGGCCGGCCGCGCTGCAAATTCCCGCGCAAATTTGTTAAAGAAAACATCAGAAATAACAGCTGACTTACAAAACAAGCGGAAGTACATTGCGTGACATGCCGTAGCCGTTCTATCAGATGTCACGCGACAGCAACTCAAAAGAAAAGTATTGTGCAAGCATTATGTCACATCCTCGAAAAAGCCTGCCAAAGAAATATGCAAACAAGCAACTTACCATAAACTGCTGCCACATAGAGGGCGAAATACTTGCCTCTGAGCTTCTTCCTAATAGAACCCATGTCACGCAAAACACAAAAATACCGCAAATAAATCGTAGAGCCGATCTGTTAAAAAAAAAAAATTGAAGCGAGGGTAATTCGCGAGAATTTTCAATTAAAATGAAAACTGTGCTAACTCACATTTTATTATTTAAATGGCGTTTTTAAAGAAGCCGACCTTCGCACTTTGACCCCCCTATAAGAACACAGGGAGGGGAGGGATAAACTAATAAGATTAACCTGATAAATTATAATCCAACGTTATGTAAATTAGCAGATGTTTTAATCGATCACGTACATCAATGAACTACTGTTTCAACATTTCAATGATTTCACACGCGAATTCATTTTTTGTGGTTTCAACGGGTTTGAAACGCAAGAAAAATCTTGAACTTGTGATTATTGACAGAATACTATAGTTTCATTCGAAAAAATTGGCGACTTCGTTCGCGTGGCAGTCAACTGAGCGGCTAACAATGAAACAACAAACCGAATCATCGCGGCAAGATACGATCCGAGTCCTTTTTTGACCAGATTCGTGTATATTAAGGCGTCAATTGAACAGAAAAGAAACTCTACCGAAAACAACGCTAATTATAACGCAACTTCCGAGTCACGTATTTTCTTTTTTTTTTTTTTTTTTTGGACACTGATATAAACAAATGCCGCACGCTGGGTGAGCGGCGAAAAATATGACTGATTAACTTCAGTAGATTTCCGGCGAAGAACTTTGACTAAACCTGGAGTGACAAGTGGAAGATGCGAGAATTTCCGGGACAAATCAGTTCCTCAGTGAAACAAAATGTTTTGCTTCAAAATTATTAGCGTATTCGTAGGGAAAATTACGATTGCATCACCCCTTGTTCGGCAAGATCCGAAATTTGATAAATATGGTCAATAATTCAATGGACTCTCCATCGTCAACTCAATCAATACACTACTCTCTGAGAGATTTTAAGTTTCTTGAACCTAAGTTTCGAAACTCTGTTACTGATAGAGCAAAGGGCAACGTAACATAGAGGTGATGGAGAACAAAGCTCAGAAAATTAAACAAAAAACGTACATGTAACACCATAGTTTAACCTTAAGCTTGCTAAAGTAGCGAACGAAGACAGCAGGAGGTGAATTCATTGAAGTGAAAATATATATTATACGTACATATTATAAGCTAATACTGAACAGTGAGCCAAATAAGAACTCCACAAACATGGAAAAAACATGTCATTTTAGCTCTCCCAAGATAATACGAAACTGAAATAATTTGAGCGCCATGCGACGCTTAAAATTTCAAGCGCCTCTTGCTTACCTTATAGCATTCAGCTCGACTTTTTCGGATTCACTAATAGCTATCTCAGGGATTAAAGATAAATGACTGATCTGAACACAACCCCAGCCAAACTGGAAAAAGGCAGCGATGCTGATGTAATAGGCAAGCTTTAGCGAGTCGTTGGCTTCATCACCAATGAGCCGTGTAAATAAAAGCGGGAAGGTACAACTGACACAGAGTGACCCTACAATATGCCATATCTTTCTCCGTCCATATCGGCACACAGTCTTGTCGTTCAGTATTGCGATGATTGGTGTACAAACTCCGTCAGTAACTTGTCCGAGCAAGACAACGAGTCCTGTATGACCGTTGGACAGTTGAACTACTTTAGTCAGGTAAATGATAAGATAGCTGAACCATGTGTTAGCAGCTAGGTCATTCAGAATGTGCCCAACGCCATAGCAAAATTTCTGACCGACGGCTAGACGAGCTTTTTCTTGCGACTTCTTACAACGAAAAAAATTCGCGAGACGGTTCATCGTTTTGCCGCAAATGTTATGGCTTCAATCTCAAAATTACGACCTATGTACAGGGAAAACTCCTTCGAAAGCGATCCACATACTCCGTGTTGAAATTAGCTACCGTCGTGTAAGTTAATCACCACTTATGTTGCGTCATAGAAGGGTGTGACTTCTGGTAGTGGCGTGATGCGATTTCGATACCACGCTCAACCAAGGTCAAAGTTCCTTAAAGTTTGACTTTACGCCAGTTCATCAAAAGAAAATATTTTCGAAATTAGAAGGATGGCAGATTGTCAGGTCAAAGCTCTTGTGGTAAACGCGCAGAGAACTGGGAAATAATAAATTTCTCTCTTAAAAGTTAGTGACATTATAATAAATTTTCTGACGACAGGCACTCTCTTACGCAAGTTATTCCCTCAGGCAAATTTCAGGAAACTGTTGTCTTTCATCACTCAAGCCACTTACATTTTTTAGCGACCCTTTTGAAAAAACTTTATAACATAAGTATCCATGAACATTGGGATCACCCGAAATTACTTCGACCTTGCGGATTTTTTATGAGACACCGATGTTCTCCTATAATTCCAACGGTTTTGCAGTCAGGGTTTCTTTTCCGTAGGCAGTCATGCCAAACATCATGATAAAATCAGACCTTGCATAACATTTTCCACTGAATCGAAAAAAATACTGGATTTTCACTGAATGGAAAAAAATTGGAATCAGGAAGGGCAAGGGAGGATTCTAAAAATTTTCGACAGCATGGAATCTGCGCTGTACATATTCGCCGTTTCTTTTATGATAATCGTAAACAGATCAAACCTTCAAGCCTACTCTAGCGCTGGGAACAGTAACAAAGCAACAACGGGTGATATCGAGGAAGACCTCGGACGAATATCTGCACTTTTGTCTAATCAGATCACCCAAGCAAAGGGCCAAGGTTTTCTGATAACTAGCACATAAAATAAACAAATATAAGATTCACTTTCAGAAGCTAGCGTTCAACTGTTAATATCGTTTGTGCAGAAGTCATATAGCAATTAAGTCTTCACGTTAACCGAGTAAATAAAACAAAATAGCAAAATTATTTCGACTGCTACGGAAGGAAGCTGTTCAGTGCAATCTCAGAGTCAATAGGTTCAATATATTTCGTAATTTTTTTCCGTGTGTTATGTAATAAATTTTGTACAAAATCATTGTAAATTAACCGGAAGACTTTAAATCATCATTTCAAACTTTTGGTTTTAGCGGATACTTAGAAAAATCCAATATATATGTAAAAGGCTCTCGTAACTTTTTTGAATTTTTGGCGACGACATATGATTGTCGCGAAAATGGCACATTTTCAGAAAATAGTAATTAGTAATATATCATATTCTCATGGAATCAAATATCGAAGACACGCAGCTACAATTTCCAATCATGAACCCGGGTAGAATATTGATCATGTTGCAAAATCCTTTGTGCTTAGAAAATTGAAAATTGAGCTATACACGTCAGAGATTTTTATCACGACAATCGACATCGATTCTTAAAGTCTATTGAAAGACAGCGAAAGAAAAGTTATAAGTCGCCCTCCTCAAGCACCCTACAGGATATCTAATTAACTTACGCAAATTAAATTCTACGATGCACTCGTATTTAAAATATGAAGTCAGAAAAATCAGTGTTTTTCTGCTCTTTTCACGGATCGGTGACTGAAGATGAGCTCTTGATATTTTGGCTAACCCACGCGATAGGATGTCCTCCCTTCACGCGACTTCAAAGTTTTAAATAAAAATTGTCGATCGTGGAAATATCATTGTAGGTAATTCTGAGAGGTGGATTTAATTGAATGAAGTGGAGTTTTGAAACTAACCACCTTGAGTCACCCATTCGAACCCGATTGTTTTCGTGCCCAAAAATCATCCAATATGGCGGCTAGCTGGCGCAAGCTAGTCATTGGTGTCAAATCTTCCTAATCGCGTGGCATAGGAATTTTCAATGGGAATAAGTTTCGAAACTGACGCAAACCGGAAACCGAAGTTTGAAAACGAAATGTCATTTAAAATTTTTCACCAGAAACGAATATTTTTTTTTCTGCATGGTTTGTTTAAAGTAGTACACACTTAACTCAAAATGTTTCGCATCAGTAAAGTTACAGAGGAGAGTAGACTAATTGAAAGAACGAGGCCAAATTACACACCACGGACTGTACCTTTCGCGATTCTTGTGTTTCTTCAACTTTTCGGTTTCCCTGGTTTGGTTTTATATGGTCTACAAACCTTTTCTTGCGGGAAGAACACAAGAACTCCTCATTTCAACTGCGAAAATGGTAGCTTCGTGAACCACAACACTGCAATGATTGTGGAATTGTCGTTTACTTGCTCAGAGGTTCTCAGCCGTGCAATTTTTATCTCTTTTTTTCTAAAGCTAAAAGGATGGAAGGGCATGTGGAAGATTTTCAAACAGCTATGTAAAGTTTCTCGAATGTGGCTCTTAGCGTTTATCTGTATTCTTTGTGAGGTGCGTCTTGGCTCTATACTCTACTGGGTACCAGACTTATCATCTACAGCTCAAGCTATAATTGCTTTGTACATTCTAGACGCCTTTGCAATAACAATTGTAGCAGGCACGCTATCTTTCATAAAGATCTTGGAGTTGGTTGAAGACAATATCGATATAACAAGCAAATCTCGCCTCATTATTCTGTTCAAGTGTGTAATAGCGAGCTTCTGGGCTCAATATTTTGTATTTCTGATTATCGTTACTTTCCAGTTGGCGTTCGACGTTTCAGAAGTTGATCCAACGTTTGTGCATGAGGATTTTAAGAGAGCTCTAAACCTACTCAGAAAATCTGCACAATTTGTATTCATGAAACAAATAAGTGGCCGTCTTTGGGAAGCATTATTCGCAGACGAAAACCAGGAACGACAGCGATCATTAAGAGAAACGGAACTGGTTGAAACTGGAATGCTATACTTGTATTGAATGATCAGAAGATTGACTTTTTCCAGAGTTTCAATGAAAAAATAAATAGTAAACGAAGATCTATTGTCTTCCAGTTTTACGAGGTTAAACAAATGATTTTCATAACGCCGAGAGCCAAGGCAAATCACACTCATTATTCGAAAACAAATCGATTTTAATTTGGTTATTCACTTTCGAAAACTCATAATATTTCCATAGGAGTAATCGACTGGAAAGGTATCAAGATGATAGTTTTATCCGATCGTGAAAATAATCTACTTTGCATAGGAAGAGGAGACAAGATCTCAAGTCAGGAGTGTATTCTTCCTGAGACATCGAGAAGTTAAAAAGAAAATGATCTAGAAATTATCTCTAATTTAGTTATTTATTTGAGACATGTAATTTCTGTTCAGTATCTTTTTCGGTCGAAGTCATAAACCGGTTTGTGTGTGTTACTTTGTTTGTTTGTTTGCTTGCTTTCCATCGTCAGAAAAGTCTAATTGGAAAATAGAATTCGATTTAGGTCAGCAGAGTCTAATATCAGACATAAGTATCTCAACTCGGAAACTAGTTTTTAAAATCGAACCTCAGTGTCGAAAATCGGACATTACTGTCTAAATTCAGATAGCTGTGTCCACAATCGGACAATGGAGTGGTCACTTTGGACACTAGTGTCTGATGTTAAACACTAGTGTCTGATTTTGGACGCCTGTTGCTAAGTTAGATACCAGTGTCCGATTTTGGACACTGATGTTTCGTTTAAGACACTATTGTCATATTTTTGACCCAGGTGTCCGATTTTAGACACACTGGTGTTAAATTTTAGACAACTCGTAAATATAAGCTAGCCTTCATTCAAGCGGTTAATTAAAACAGAAAGTTACAAACACAAGCTAAAAAATCAAGATGGAGGACAAAAAGAACGAACTTAACGAATAACGGTTATATTTGTTGCTGGGTTATTTTAGGCTGCACTGGATGCGACTGATACTGTGATTTACGATCGAACCACTGCCTCCAAATAACTGAGAAGCTACCGCTCAAAAACTACAAACGATCAAGTTCAACTTTAAATACTAAAAAGAATAAATTACTCAACACTTTTGCATAGAAACATTCTTCACGAGCGATGAAAGATTATAACTACTTTTTTAAACAAAAACAACGTTGAACAGCGAAACAGAAGAAAATAAAACTGATAATGACGTGGTGTTTGGATCTTACACCCTAGGTGTCGATTACTTTGAGACTCAATCAACTGGTGTTTTTTTCCTAGTCTTTTTTTTCTAGAACACATTATGGTCGAATCTTATTCATGGCTGGTATAAACTTTATAATATATATATATATATATATATAGGAAGTCTGCAAGTCGATTTTCGCGTGGAACAGTGCTCAATACGTTGAAGCAGAGCAGGATAAATATTACGAGAGGAAAAAAAAAAGGGACGTAACTACATTTCCCGACAAAATCGCTTCACTCTTCAGGGGTTTAATGAAAGAATATTCATGTGACTATCGTTTATATACTAGGAAAATTTGCATAATACGCGGTAAACTTAAAAACTTTAAAGTTCAGCTGTTGCGTAGCAACGCTTTGTTTCTGTGTCGGCATGAAGATACGAGTTCGTTACGCTTATTTAGTGATGAGAGGTCGGGTCGGTAAATTATCAGGAATTTTTCTTTTAGACAGAGGTTGCATCTTTTACTGGAGCTGTTGTAGGGAGAGTTAGATGATAAGACGCGCCATGAGATAGAATAGTCAATGTTGTCGTTCTTGAGTGTCCAGATGTGTTTGCTAAGTTCGGTAGAGTTTTTGTGCTTGGCGTGGCGGAATGATGCGGTGTGATTTCTGTGTCTTGTTTTGAAGTCGGTTTCTGTGAGTCCGATGTATGTTTCAGAGGTGTTGTTGTCGTTCCGTGTGACGGTGGCTTGATAAACGACTGAGGATTGAAGGCAGTTACCATTGAGCGGGCAATTGTTCTTTTGTCGGCAGTTGCATGTTTTGTTGGTTTCCGTGCCGTCTTTGTTGTCTTTCGTGTAAGGTGAGTGGGACGAGTGTAAGATGCGCTTGTTGTGGTTGTCGATGACCTGTTTGGTGTTGTTCATACAGCTGTAACTGATTTTGATATATATATATATATATATATATAGGCTGTGATCCTTAGGGAAATGTTTGTCGATTAGGCTGAGGAATTTGTTTCCGATATTGGTGCTGACGTTCTTGCTGAATGGAGGGTTGTACCAGAGGATGTTGCTTCGCTGCCTGTTTTTGCGTTTTGCAGTCGTGGTGGGTTCATAGTGGAGGGTGTAAACTACCGGTTCATCGCTACAGGCCTGTTTCGTGGTTGCCCACTCATCAGAGGATATATATATATATAAATCGTTTGGAAGATCCAGTAAGTTACACCTGAAACGCAGTTGATGCAAATCATAATTTTTCAGAAATTTTTCAGTTTTTCCTTAATGTAAAAGGGTCAAGGCTTCCGTAAAGTAGAGGTCTTGCTCCTCTAGAAAGCTGGCACGGACGAACATCACAGAACGCACAACCACATTACGCGCAGATTCAACGCGCGAAATGCTGTTTTTGTCCTCTTCATCAACAGGTACACGATATTCTGGTTTTTCTGGTTCACCGTCCTTACGTTCGTATTTAAGAACGGTTGGGTCGTACGATTTCATACTTCCTGGCCTACAGTAAGCCTTGACTAGGACACACCACAGTTGGCCTTCTGAAAAGACTCTCTGCGAATAAATTTCATGAGATGCGTAAAGGATGCTCGGGGAGACAAAAATTGCAGCTGCCCAGTTCTGGACACCGAACAGCTTTGCGCTGAGTTTAACATGACCTTCTGCTGGCGTAATACCATCTGAACCAGCGGGGAGAAGGCCCCTCTCCAGTACTGAGACCGCAAATTACTATATTGGGTACCGTGCCATGCTATTTCCCAACTTCTGCGGATCTGATTCCACTGTGCTCGGGTGCGTGCGTCAAGGACCAAAGTATTACGAATCAATTCCTTTGCGATAACCTTCCCCATGTGCTCAATGACACGCACATTTGATACTATCATCTTCGTTCTGAGCTCTGCGGCCAGAGATGAAATCTGGTCAAATGATGCAGATTGGATCAACTCCATTATCCTGCCCGAGGCGCTTTCGTGTAGGGCTGTATTTCCCCACTTGTTTACGATGTCGGTTCTAGCCCCATATTGCAGCAGAAGTTTGATGACGCGTTCATGGCCGAAGTATGCTGCAGCATGAAGGGGAGTACTGCCGTCTCTTTGCGGTTCATCGACAGAAGCATCTTTTTCAAGGAGAAATTTGCATACTTCGTAAAAGCCAGACTTGCTTGCGGTGTACAGCAAAGTTCTCCCGTACTCGTCCTTATCTTCCACAAGATACTGTTTGCCACTGATCACACGTGAAAGCTCCTCTACATGGCCACATGCAGCGAGGAAAAAGTGGTCCCGTCTTCTTACGACGTACTCGTCCGTGCCGTGAACTCGCTTGTACCTTTCGCCTGATGAGGTGATTATATGATATCCTAAAGATACCAAGGCACGCTGCTGAGGAACTGACTGCGTTATGGATCGTTTAAAAGCTGCTTTAACTTCTCCAAAGGGAGCTTGGGATGAATGGAGTCCCAGCAATCTCCATGGATTGAATGGTTCAGAGATAGAAATCTGTTGCCAAGAGCTCCAATAAGACACTATAAGTCTTCTTTTTCTGTTAGAGTTAAGATAATCTTCCGGGTCTCTTCTGCTTGATTCATACTTGACACCAAAACCTGCACTACGCTTTCTGCCTAACGCTCTATGTCGGCCTGGTGTTGAGCTTGGCGATCGTGGAGGCAATCTGAATATATCACTCATCTAAAGGAGAAGTTATCGTACAAAAAAATAAATGAATTAATAAATCTGAAATACCGTAGTTTCTCGGTTGTAAGGCGCACTCGGTTATAAGACGCACCCCAAACTTAGCAACTTAGTAAAGCCAAGTTCCCAAACTGAAAATCACGTGAAAATATTCGGTTATATGACGCACCAAAAGGTTGAGAGTTAACAAAAGGATGTGATGGAACTGAGAACAATTATCTCTACACAACGGGCATGCGAACTCTTTGTTATCATAAATAAAAGTGAAAAAGTCACACATTTGATGATCTACGTAAAAACCAAGACTAAATTAAATTCCACACCTGTTATGAGAAACACAAAACGCGTATTCGTTTATTTCAGTCTTTCTGCTTAGGAAACATGCTTCTCTTTACAAAATTAAATAATAAATATTCAAAGATCCGATTTCATTATAATAACATCAACTGACTGATTTAAAACTCAGTTGCAAAATTAACTGATACGTTCTCATCGTAAACTTCAACTTTGCGTTCGGCGCAAATATACCAAGCACTCGCCATCGCTCGTATGACCTCAAATTCAAGGTGAAAATCGTTGCCGAAGCCGAGGCAGTCAAAAACAATCGTGAAATTGCCCATGAATACAGGATTTCAGAATCCATGGCGAGAAAATGATACAACCAGCAACATGTCCTGTTTTCTGGTGAGCTGCGGATGACAGCAAAGTGTGCATTCATGGAACGCTACCAACCGAAGAACCTGAGTTGGATATCATGTTACAGAGCACATGCTGTTAAGCACGTATGCAAATTTCCATTTGTTTGCTTTTCTATAGAAGTTGATTAGTGCTCTAAAAGCAATATTCCTTTTTAATTCCTAGGACTAAAGGATTGAATTCGACGCAATCTTCGCTACACCTCAGACCAAAAAGTTATACTTTTTCTCTTTTTTCTCTCAACAGTTATTGTCCTTTTCTTGACTTAATAACTGTAATTATAAGTTCTGCTAAAATTGTGATCTTGAGATTTTGTTGTGCAAAAATACTTGGCTATAAGACGCACCCCAATTTCTGCACTAACTTTCCTAGAACTTTGTAAACGGGGTTTATTGCAATATCATGCAAATATCAAGTGACTGTGAAGTGGGCTTTATAAAGGCATGCAAACATCGCAAAATTCCTTGTGAAAGTGAAGAAACGTTTGGCTCGCAGCCAGTCAAAAGTAAATTAATATTCAGTGTCCACTAGAATTTCTTACATACATAGGATGCTGTTTTGTATTATTTTGTCGGCTTCCTGTGAAAAACTTTTTTTTTCTCTGCAGTTTTGGAAGGAAACTTCATCCTGTTCACTCTTTTACTTTTTTATTCTGATGTGCTAGGAAATGCACAAAGTTTTTCCTTGAAGCGCACGTGCCGAGCTATTGTTCTGCCCATTAGATCTTAGTCGTTTTTCCACTTCCTTGTTGCCGTCGCTGCCGTGGTTGCTTAAGATCGTAAGCTACGATGGATATCTCATCGAAAAATTTTCAGACATGACATGATTATTACCTGGCTATCTAGTTTTGGACTGGTTTCGGACGTTATCGTCCAACTTCGGATGCTATCGTCCACTTTGAACGAAACTGACCAATGTCAGATGCCTCCCTCTTCAGACGCTTCTGCCCTATTTCAGATGCTTCCTTGCGATTTCGGACGCTATCGTACATTTTCGCACTATTTCGTCCAATTTCGAACACTGTCGGCTTATTTTGGACGCTAACGTCCGAATTCGGACGCTTTCGTCTGATTTTAAAAGCTTTTACTCTATTCCGGAGGCTATCGTTTGATTCCGAACGCTTCCTTACGATTTCGGAAAGTTCCGTCTGTTCTCGTAGTTTATCGGTTTGACACTAGTCACCAATCCCTCTCGTGTTCCAATATGGCGGACGAAATGTAAGGCGAACTACTAGCGTACTTTAACAGCGCCTTTTTTCTTCAACGGTGGAATATGGAGAACAAACAGTAAGAAGACAGGGAAAGCTATTATGTAATTTTACAGCATAAACGGGTGAAAAATATCGCTCACCTCGACGCGCTTTTATGTCAGACAAAAATTTATCTCAAAGTTAAGCGAGATGTTTTTGATGTCGTTCAATTGGATTTATTAAAAGAATTAACGTGTAATAAACGTAAGGCATGAACAAGATATTTACTTTGGAATATATGCTTGTAGTGCTTCTAAGTACAACCAATTGTCTCTTTTTATGTTAAAATTTTTAGGACATCATTGTCTCCTACACGTCAGTTGCAAGATGAGGTGTTTTTCACTCAAGAAAACTACAAGAAATACTCTTGTCGCCCATCGTTCGTGGAGTATCTAGAGAAGCATCTAAAATCAGGAAAAGAACAAGGAAGAAAGATCCAAAATAATCACGATGACACGAAAGCAGATGTCTCGATCTCAAGGGTTCAGGAAGATTCTGCAACCACTGAGAAAGGAACCAGAAGCAAAGGTGCTCAGAAAGGTGGAGCTAACAGTGCCCCGGCTTTTTTGGGTCCATCAGTGGAATTCCCTGTTTTGTCAAAAGTCAGCATTGAAAGTCAGAAGATGTTTGTGGAGATGTTGGAGATGTTAAGATCTGGTCAGCTGGCTAAAGTTGATTTGCAAGAAATGAAAGCAGTTCAGGTTTGTAAACATGTGACTTGTTATTATTGCATACTTTTTTTTTTGTTTGGTGAGCTGACTTTGAAGAAAACAATGTATCTTTGAAATAGCAAAAACTGAGACAAAGCAGTCACAGTGGAGTAAATTTTACCAAACACAACCAACTTTATACTGTTTGTCCCTTTAAACTCTAAGGATGACAAGCATCTAATTTCTTCTTACAACAATACATCTTAATTATTATTTGAGATCATGAGGATAAAGAAAATGATCACCAACCTTAGGAACTTCAACTGCAATGCAAATTCTCCTTGTCAGCACCTTAGGAAATGTATATAGTACAGTATGGAGAATTTTCATACTGAAATTAGGGTGTGAGGGGCTTAGCTACAATGAGTGGCAAAAGTCATGGCACCCTTATTTGCTTTCCTACATCATTGTATCTGAGTTCACCATCCCTTCCCCACTCCCTCCCCCTGCCCTGCTGATGTAATATTGAGTTTTTTCTATTAACCATTGTAACTGGAGTGCAATTTTGAATGTAATAGAATGTAATAATGTAATAATGAAAGTTCTGAAATTATAAAAATTTGTCAAGGACCATCACTCTGCTTCACACTCTAAGTGCTTTCACCCTTCATTGTGACTTTCAAATAGCTACCTCCTTAAAAAGAGGAGCATTGTATTCAAAGCATCACAATCTTTATCCAAAGTGACATTCATTTATAAACAATATTACTTATGTAAACTGTGGAAAAAAAAACTTTCTCACTGTTCCTCAATGGACTTTTCATGCTAGGATATTAAGAATACAGTGTTGCTAGAACAAGATGAATATCAACAGTTTGTGCATAGCCATGCAAAAGCCAACCATCACTTGTACAACTTTATCCACCCTGATGTGTGGGATGACTTCAAGGTAAGAAGCTGTGATAACAGGAGAAATTTAAACCTTTAACTCCCATTTGTGACCAAGACAGAATTTCTCCTTACAATATCAATACAGTATCAAGTAGAAAAGTGAAACAAATAAATAAAAATATCAATGAGGGGACTATTAATTGTTTCAATACCAAATTCTCTGAACTAACATTATAAGAATTGTATGGTTGACAGTAGGGAGAATTATTAATGAGATCTTAAGAGCAAGAGGGTTAATTAAATAACCATGGCAAAAAACTCAGCAGAATTTGTAAAATTATGATACAGATTTGTTTTCACGCACCTGAAAAATTGCAAAATACCAGTAAGTTGATAATGTAAATTGGCAACTGTAAGGAAATTCTCAAGCTGGCATTTTCAGGCATTACCCCTTCATAATTTGCTCATGAAGGACTAATGCTCAAAATATCAGTTTTAGAAACTCTATAAGGTGGCCAATTTACGTTATCAAAATCAGTTGATGGAACCAATCAAAATTACCTTGTAATAACACCTGCCCTAGTTTCTGTAGAAACTTACCCCCTTTAATCTTCACCTTTGTTTCAGTATCACACAATTTGTTACAAAAAAAAAAAGAGAAATTTGAGGTCACAAATTTTCCTAGTGAATAGTTCTTAATAGTATATAATTCCATGGGCAATAACCCTCTGCTGTTTGTATGGTACTTCAGGTAGATATTGATGGAAGATTGACAGAAAGGGTCAACAAGTGCCAGGTAAGTTACCTCAATTTTTGATGTTTTGAAGATCTTACTACAAGGACAATTTTTTTTAGGAGAATGAAACATATCATGTTTTCACCAGTAATTGTGTTCTTTTTACGCAGCGTTACTATTCCTTGCATGAAACCATTGGTTTATCTGTTGGAGCTGTTTTCAAATCAGATGCAGTTCTCACTTTTGAGCAAACACTACTGCAAGTGGTAAGTATGAGGCAAGATGTAATAGATTTCAATTTCAGATTTTGTGGGAGACATGGTGGCCTAACCCATGGTGCACAGGACTCTGGGCTGAGAGGTCAGGGTTGAGACCAGGCCAGGTCATTGTGTTGTGTTCTTGGGCAAGACACTTGCATCTCACTGTGCCTCTCTTCACCTAGGAGAATTAATGGGTACCAGTGGATAGTTGGGGAAACCTAATGAAATGCTTGTGAAACCATGCACTGGACTGGTATCCCATCCAGGGGGCAGTAGTAATACTTCCAGTTGCTTCATGCTAAGGAAGGCAGGATAAGTTCGGTCTGGATGAGCCACTTGGTTTGAGTACAGACTTTACCTACCTACCACCAATCAACCAATGCAACATTAAGGCAAGGTATCAAATGTGTTAAAAATGATTGAAAGAAATTAGCCTCCTTTGGGGATTATAAGAGATTTGGCAGTATCGAGGGAGAGCATTTTGACCTCAGGTGTAGTGCCCTCTTAAAGAAGGAAGTTGGTTTATTCTCCCCCCCCCCTTATAACCTCCTCCTTCTTAAACTATTTCCAAGTAATGAGTAGATTTGTGTTTTTCCTAAATCAGGGGAATATTCCAAAGCTTTCCTTGCCTGAAGACACAAACATTATGCTATTGGAGGTGGGGCTAACTGTTCCAGAAGAGAAGTCAGTGCAAGAAAAGACCAAGTCTTTCAAGGTATTCAGTAAGAGAATGACTATAAACTGGGTTGCAGGGAGGGGAAGGGAGGGCAGTTGTGAGCACTACTATGTCAATAGGTTGAAGTTCATATGGAGAGGTCGAGAGTGGTGTTTTTTTTGTTCTTGGGTATCAGAAACGTTACTTCTACAGGGCCCTTCACTACCCAGGGTAGCAAGAATCACAGAATGAAGCAAAGCACAACCAATGTAATTCTTGTTTCCTATTAGCAGTCAATTGAAAATTACTCTAGCATAATTTGTAAAGACAAACTTTTGTCCCAGTCATGTCTTGTAAACCCTACATTTGCACCTGTCTGTTAAAGGGGCACTCTTTAAATTCAACTGTATTAGCTTTTGATGTTAACTTGCAAATGGCACATGTTGTGGAGTCTTTTGTTCAAGTACACTTACTCACCCACTCCCCCACAGGTTGTGAGTGAGGACCCAATTGCTGTCAGTCTGGCCAAGAAGCACAAAGTTGACATTGTGATCTCATCAAGTGGACTGGACACTCTCTTGAATAATCAGCCTCCTGATTATGGCAGGCAGTGGCAGCTGCCTGTCTCTGTTCAACGAGTAGAAGGTTTGTATAAAACTGAGTTGCAACACTTGCGAATGACAGAAAACAATTAGTTCTTGCGTTGTCGAGATACGAAGAACGTGGAAAGTTTGGAGAGCTTGAAAGATACATAAGAAATGTTCTGGAGGCTTAACCCGGAGCAACTCGGATATTTCGTGAAGCTTTTCTTCATTAGCAACAAAATGTGCGCAGTTATTGTTATCGGGAGTAAACACTTTGTTGTTTTTCCCACACACCATATTCGATAGACTGAATTGTGTTTAAAATATGCAAGACAGCACCCTTTAATTTTGGAACACGTAACATCTGATGGCAGGCTGCGAAATTTATTTATACGATGGCAATTGCTTTCTTTTTTTTTCTTTTTTTTTTTCGCACAGACGGCCAGGAAAAAATTTGTACTCACAGAGTGGTGTTTGTCGACAAGCCTTTTCCTCCACAGAAGGTCACACCTCGTGATGTTAACGTGAAGTTTTACAAGCGTGCCTTGCGCAGGTTAGTGTGTCATAAAAACAGCGAAGAAAATAAAACAGGTGATTGCGACAGAGAAAGAACTATAAGCTCCAGTGTAAGTGGCACTGAAATGACGGAGGTGGAAAGAGCGGCGGAAAATGTTGGAAGTAAAGAGTGTCCTTCCAGCGTGGCAACAACTTCCGAAAGACGAAAGCGTCGAGTTACTGATGAAGAGAAGCAGTGCTCTGAGACGAAGAAATCAAAACTGTCTGATGGTGCCTCAAAATCCAAAGTTCAGAATCTCGACGTAAATGAAACGTGCAAGAACAACGATGAAAAATTCTTCGTTTATAATCTGTGGAGATTCGGAAAGTTAAAAGTCTTGATACGTTGCAGTGTGGATGCCTACAGAGAAGAACAAAATAAACCAAAGTGTTACACTTTTTACAGTGTACTTCCAAAACTCGAATACCAACCTAACTTCGGTCACGAAAAATTGTCGCACAGTGAGGCTGGGCGGTTTTGGCTAAATAGCTACATCCGCCAGAATACCAGAATCATTTGCGGCAGAATTAATGTTTACAATTCAAAACTGCTGCGAGTTGACGAACTTTCCATCAACGATATTCTTCAACAAGGGACGGGTTTTAATCCGGCGCAGGGAATGAAAACGGTGTTTCAGGTTTTCCAAGCGTTGAAGAGATTGCCTGAGGCCAACTACATTTTGTCTCACAAAGCAGGAGAGATCCACGGTTGTCTGTACAAAAGCGTTCATTCGCAATCAAGGTCTGTAAAATTTTCGTATGATCTTCACAAAACGCGGGCGCCTGTTAGTATAACGAATTACACCGAGGGAGATATTACCTACGTTGCTATAGATTGTAACTTGTTCATGCCGTGGCAGATCAGTCAAAAGAGAATCCCGTGCACTTTTCCTCCTGTCTCGGACAGAGAATTAGCCATGATGGCAAAAGCCGAGGCGCAACAGATTGCAGCAAATACTTCAAAGAAAAGCAAAAAGAAAAGCAAAAAGGGAAAGAAGAGCAAAAAAGGAAAAAAACAGGGGCCTGCAACGAAAAAATCTAACTCGGGAGCTGCGGCTGAACAGTCATGGAAAGCTGACAAAAAACGCAAACCAGTTACCAAAAGGAAAGCGAAGATCTTTGCAAGTTTTTACGACACCCAGCCGGCAGAGAAAGAGAGTGAAATCTTTGCAGTGTCCAGGCGAGCTTCAGGCGCAATCTCCTATGATGATCTAGATTTCTAAAGAGATTTCTAAAGAAAACAAAACAAAAGTTAAGAGAAAAGATGAAGGAAGAACAATAAAAGAAGAAAAAAATGGAGTAAACGAAAAATCCATAGCAAAAGTCTTTGGACGCTTCATTTTTTCCTGCTTATATGCATAATTATTCGCTTCCCCCTTACACCCACCCTTGTTACAATGTTTTGTTTTCTTTGTCTAGCTTTACGTTTGGAATGTAATGACAAGAAAAAGCAATGGACTTCGTAAAGGAGCGTTGTTTTTCTGAACGTCCTGAGAACGATCGCCAGTGACTGGGGATTGCATTTAATACGAAGTCCGTTTCGCGGGAGACGAAGATCGCGAAACACAGAGGAGGTTTCGTTTCCGAAACTACTTTAGAACATTTGTAATCAGTTAAACTTTCTTGAAATTGCCAGTAAGAGCTCTTACTCGTTATGGTTTTTAATTTCGTGGGCTTAAAAGATATTTTCTCATGTCGACTTGCTGTTTTCTGGTGAAGCTGATTTTAAGTGGAGCGAACAAAAAGTGATTTGAATAGTATGCTTTGTATGTGTACCAAAATTGTTACGGGACAGGGGAAGGGGAGGAAAGCGAAGTTTTGGTTATAGGCAGAACTAATTTCGCAAGTGTAACCCTAGGCAAATATCCCAATCTGTTTAGCTTGCTTGGTTTTGGGCCTATCGAATTTTGCAGGTTATCCTTGTTCTGCAAAAATAACTAACCGCAGAAAAAATTACTTGTGAATCTAGCTTAAATTTTTACAGTGCAGATATGGGCTCACTCGTATTATCAATCTATGAATCACCTCCCGCTTGGCTGTCCTCACTATGAATTTTGAAATTAGATAACTTTTTTCCACCTCAATGTTCTGTCGTCCAGGTGCAAATTTTATTCATCTCTTGCTGAAACACTATGTTATCGCAAAACACATATAACTTCCAATGCGCAAATTAAAACTCCGACAAAATTTTCTTTCCAGTTGTTAGTTCTGAACAAATTAACAGATAAGCGTTGGCCAATGTGAGATTCCGAGAAAAAATTTTGTATTTTTGTCAGAGCTAATTATATCAGGTTGACGAAACATCGTGAAAATTATTACACCGAATTTTCCACATAAAACTGAATCAAAAACGTTTTGTGTGTTGTTAAAAAGAGAAAAGAGAATGAGAAAATTCTCTTTAAGTTTCCATTACCAAAATATGGTCGAATCTTTGTGGGTTCCATCCAGTCTTCGTAGTAAATTTACCAAAAGGATTGACAATGAAAATCAATATTGTCACTTTGCTGGCCGTTCATTTATATGCAAGGAACTAAGTTTGAATATTTTTTCTTTATATTACAACGACTTGTTCGAAATTAAAAATTGCGTCTTTGAAATTGCAGTGGCCTTGTTGTCTTTTAAGCTCACTATACTCCTATTTTTCACATAATTTTCATCCTTAATCCTCACTAGTTTGTTACTAGATAACACGATATATGAGCTCCCTGTTTGGCTAGATTTACATTCTTCTACAATCCTTTACAAATGCTTGGCAACAGAACCACGTTATTTTGTTTTTGAAAATCAGCGACACCAATGTACAAAAGAAACTGATTGTTCGTTCTATTGGCAGACGTTTAGAATCTGCGTAATGAGGAGCATTGTTAAAACGTCGTTGACAGTACATCCAGCCGCATTTTCCACCAAAAAGTTCATTCCTTTCCGGAGCATTTAAACTCAGAGTGAACCCTATGTTTAAAACTTTGGTTTCGATAGTGCCACGACGCCGATTGACAACAGTAGCATGGCTCGTGATTGTTGTAGTTTTGTTACAACTTCTCTTTTCATTTATCGTCGATGAAGTTCGATCGAAGGACGCCCAGGTTGCCAAACAGGATTGTTCCACAACGAAGAACTCAGGTATTATAAAAATCTTACCTTAAGGTTATAAATCCCATATTCAAGATTAATGATATGACTGAAATTTTATATTGGGAAATCTAAAAAATTACACTTTTATTGCTTGGTAAGATAGTTATGAGGGGATTCCATCTTTCTGGTTCCACTATGTCCTATTAAATGACGTGGACTGAAAATATAGTCAAATATCATTGTATTCGATCTATCTTAACCTCGGAGAGGTCAATTTAAAATTTTGCAATTGTGATAGTGACAGGAATGAAGCGGAAAATATAACCGTCTGCCTTCAAATTTTTTATGAAGGAAGTCCTTTCACAGGACACGAAACCGAGATACAGGTTAGAGCGAATGACGAAGGGCTAACGCCTGAAACTTCAGCTTTAGAGAAACTCCTTATGTTATTGTCGACTCATTTGATAAAACCACTTTATCTTTTAGAACCCCCTACCGACGCAGCACCACAGTTTCTTTGGAAACTTTCCCCCTTCATTCACTAGTTCCCTTTCGTTTCGGTGGAATTTGTTACTGCAGAAATATTACCATAGAATTATAGATATATATTATTTGACTACCAGACATATCTAAAGCCATCAACAAGAACGAAAACCAAATGAAACACGCCATCGTTGTTGACCAGTTTTGTTCTTCGTCACCGATAACATAACAGGAAAAACTCAAAACTTCTAAAAAAGATCGACACCGCATCGAAGTTCTAATTTTCTTTTTATTAGGTTATTTCAAAGGCCGTCTCTACGTAATTATGATGTTTTAATTTGTGTTATATTGAGTGTATGTTTGGTAATAATTACTTTTGAGGAAGAGAAGGAGGAGGAGTCTTACTGAACAGCGAGAAAGTTATAATAGCCAAGCGGCGTTACCATGAATTACATGAAAATTTGGTGAGACCTTCGTCATTACTCTGATGCAGGGCTTACGCTCGAAACGTCTGCTCTAGAAGCTCTTTAGTCTTCGATTCTGACACGAACTGTTTTTTTTTCCTTTTTCATTTTTTTTTCTCTCTTTCTTTGATTGTCTTTCTCCTCATTTTTTTACCAATTTTTTTTAATTATCGATCTACAAGTGCCAAAGATTTCCAGTGAGAAGTTGACCGATCCAGCCTTTCTTCGAAGTAATCGCGGATTATTTTTACACGTGGGGAACACTCCAGCCGTAAGAGCAACAGATACAGAGAGAGGTACAGAGGAGGGTGGAGCGAATTACACTATAAAAGATGCGCAACCCACACCAAATGAAGATACAAGGAATTTTGAAAAAACAACTGGAGTGGCTAAAAGTAACGAAGAGTCGCAAACTTCAGAAGCTTCCTACACAGGTGGAGAATTGAGTGATGGCGAAGAAGTGACAGGAGTTAACTGCAAACAATTCAGAAACAGGACGTCCGTGAGTACAGCGGGATTCTGTTAACGCCCACTAAAGATACACTCTTGGAGTAATTTAATGAACAGTATTGGATCATGAATTATTTTGTTTCCAGGTAAATGGTCATCTGAACCTGCATGAATGGCGAGGATGGTGTGGATTCGCTGTTGATGATCTTAGAAGAGAACCACTATTTCCCTTTAAACCACAAGTATGTTGAATTCCTTTGCTAAATGGTGGTAACGTGTCATAGCATGAGAAATCAGGAAGTCACTTTTTAAACACTGACTTTCGGAAAACAAGATAATTAGTAGTAATTAGTATGATTGGTTATTGATAATTGGTAGTAACAGTTCATAGCATGAGAAATCAGTAACTCATCTTTTAAACACTGACTTTCTCAAAACGAGATAATAAACCAATGGTCCAGTAGTTCGTGCGTCGCAGTCCAGTCCAGGTTCAAATTTGCTTTGTATAAGTCACTGCGTTGATCTCTTGTGAAAGAAATTTAACTGTTACAGGGTTTTTTTTCCATTCAGAATTAAAAAAAAAACAACAACAAATTAACAAAACAAAAACAGAAGATGAACTTCAGTTTCAGTGTTTATCAGTTCATTTGTGACGTGAATGGTTCGAGTTTCTAATTTAAGTATCTACGAAGGATTATATCTTTGAATTGGTCTGTGTACGTTTTTAAATAATACTTAATATTTAATAATTTTTTTGTTTATCAGGTGAACACTGTTCTTGAGAAGTTCGCTACAAATGTAACAAAAAGGTCAATGAGCGGAAAACGTATTTTTGGCTACGTTCATCCTCCAATCACAGGTGAAAAAAAAATATTCAGGCAATGTTATGACTGATTCCCGCGCTTTTCATCAGAATCTTCTCTGTGCGGATTTTTCTCACTGACTTCACGTTTCAAAGCACTTAATTCTTACTTACCTGTTTCCCGCACTTTCACTGGTGGTTGCTTGTTCTCCCGTTCTCGCAAAAATTTTAATTTTTACTATCGTTAGCCAATGGTTTCCCGCCTATCACTGGTATGGTGGTTTTCTGCGCTTTCATCTATTTTCAGTTATCCATGTTTGTCACTGTATTCATGGCTTTTCGCACTTGTCACTTGTTTAACGTTTTTTTCGCGTTTTTCACCAGTTTCTTTGTTTCTCTGCGCTTGTAAATGGATTCCTTCTTTCCCGCGCTCGCCACTAATTTGAAGTTCTCCCACTCTTGTCGCTAATTCCTGGTTTTCCGCGTTTTGTTCACTGTGTCCATGGTTTCCCGCGCTTGTCTTAAATTTCATGGTTTCCCGCGCTTTCACTGGTGGTCGCTCTTTCTCCAGTTCTTGCTAAGATTTGAACTTTGCAGCTTGCTCTCAACTAGTAAACGTGATAGCAAACTGAATACTGACTCGCCAAATAAAGAAAGAAAATTAGCAGCACTAATTAGTGTTTCATCTCAATATTTTTTACGCTAACTTTTCAGGTGACTTCGTTTTCGCCATTAGCTCTGCTGACGGTTCAGAGCTCTGGTTGAGTTCAAATGATGACCCAAAAAATTCAAAGAAAATTGCCTATCTTGGAGAAGTAAGTAAACTGAATAATTTATTTGGTCAAACAAAACTTTGTTGCCTGTATTGACTATTTTTTCGTGGAGTCAACCTCGTTTATCGGAGTAATTTTCTCATTGGTAACAGCAGCGAAACAGGAAGCCATTTTGTTTGCTATGGTCGCGCGCAGGTGAATTGCATAGTGCTCAGGTGAATGTATAGTACTAAGTTAATCGCCTCCGAGATAACAAATCAGCGCACGTAAAAAGCACTTTTCGTTTATTCAGCGATTGGTCTTAACAGGTCACGTGCTGCAGCTAAACCTGACCTCACGTGTGCCCTGTAAGTGTTAAATCGAAGACTACTGAAATTTTAAACACTTCAGTGAAAATTTCGAACCAAGAAAACAGTTTAATGACAATCCTTAATCTCTCTTCTTTCAAAACAGCCTGGTAACCAATATGGAGCCAGTACTCATTTCGGAAATTTTCAAGTCAAGGCTTCCCAAGCCTCAGAGGCCATCAGGTAAAAGATTCAAGGTATTCCAGTGATTTCATTCAGTGACAATGATTTCAGCCAAATCAATTTGTAGCAAAAAATGCTCAAGACTAAGACAAAAAAGGCGAAAAAGGTCTTTAGAAGAGATTCATAGCGATTAAATTTTGATCAGATTTGTCAGTTTTCTGTGAGCGACCTCGGTAACAACAAGGGTAAAGTCTGTATTCAAGCCGAGTGGCTACCCCAACCGAATCTTATCCTGAGCATGAGGCGACTAGGAGTATGACTTTGCCCCTAGATGGGATGCTTGTCCATCGTGAGGTTCCCCCCCGACATTTCCCCATCAGGCTTCCTTGACAATTCGGCGGTACCCATTAATGCTCCTGAGTGGAGAGAGGTACGGCGGGATTTGAGTGTTTTGCTTTATAACACAGCAGAATGACTCGACCAGGTCTCGAACCCAGACCCCTCGACCTGGAGTCAAGTGCACCAACCACTGGACTAGCGTGTCTCACCCTCGGTAACTGTAGTCGCTCTGTAATTACTGAACTTGATTTTCTCTCTGTCTCATCCAGACTTGAAGTAGGAAAAGCATATTATGTGGAAGTTCTTCAAAAGCAAAAGTATGGCCAAGATCACGTGGAAGTTGCGGTAACTTAATAAATACGTTTTCTGCTTCTCTGCATGTTACTGCAGACTTTTAAGATCCCAGTCGAGTGCGACTGTTCTTAGAGGTTTTCCAATCGATAAAGTGTGCGCTTGTGCGGGAAACAGCAACAGAAAACGAATAGGAAAATCGCTCTAATTGTCAGTACTTTAAGAAGAGTTTTTGTAAAAAAAAATGTCATTGTGAGAAATACAAAATATCGAAATGATAGCTGTTTTATAGTAATGTTTTTCAGTCAGAAAATGGCTAAATTTCGTCAGATAACGATAACTGTGCAAACTTTGAGCTTCATTAAGAGCACAATGAAGCTTCATGAGGTAAATGTTTTCTAAGCAATTCGCCTCAAACTCGATCCAGCAGTCAAACTTGTCCTTGAATCTAAATGCATCAAACATCGATACCGCTCAAAATGTTATCGATAAGTTGTACTCTGACGATTCCATGTTTTAATATTTCATAGTGGAAAATGCCAGGGGACGAGAGTCTTGAAATTATTGGCTCACAGTACATCTCCCAGTATATAGGTAAGTTGGAGTCGACGGCAGTTCACAAGTAGCATATTATTATGGACGCTGGAATGATGTACCTGCTGTTCTTTTTCAACAGATTATTCAGCCGAGAAAGCAGAAATCAACGCCAGACTTTTGTGCATTTGTAAAGATCACCCAACTTTGCTATTTGCTTATGATGAGGTAAAGACCATGTTTTACTTAATATTTTTCAAGACGACAGAAGGCTTGTTGTCCAGTCAACAAAGGCATGTTGCTCTGAGTGAGGGTCGCAAAGCCAAAATCAAACTAATCTTGTGGGCCAATCCGAAGAAAGGAGAACAAAACGAGGAGCCAATCGGAGCAAAGAAAAGTAAGCCGACGCCTTTAAGCGCGGAAAACACCGGTGACTATGCCACGGTCGGTTTTATTTCCCTAGCTGATTAATTGCGAGGATGGCTCGAGTTTTTCTAGACCAATCACAGGCCAATAAACCAAAGCAATCGTATTTTACTTTCGACAAGCACTTGAAAATTGATCTGAAATTTAAAGTTTCCTTTTTTATGTTCAGTTCATGACTCGTGAACAGTATGATTTGCGGGACGACTTTCATTCTCGAGGTAAGACACCACTTAGTTTGCTTTTTTACAACTGGCCTCTGTTAATAAAATACATTTCAATTCAGCGTCGTAAAACCAAAGCTGACAGTTATCATCATGAGAGATCGCAGCGACCAATCACAACAAAGGTGATATTAAGCGAGCCAATGAGAACGCAATGTAAAAACGAATGGACGGGCTGAAGTGCGAGAAAACGCAAAGTCGCGGTGGTGTTAATTATTTCACCTGGTTAGCTTCGACGCCGGCGTGACACGAGTTTTCTCGACCAACCATATCGCGTAGTGAGGTAAAACCATTGCAGTCCACGTTTACTTTGACACTCAGACTTCCTCTGTAGGGTGATACTGATCCATGGAAATACAAGTAAAGTTAACTGTAAAATTTTACGAGCCTCATTTCCAAGCAAGTGTTGGGTGAATTTTAGACTGCTAGATCACGTCATTGGTTACCATATTTTTTTTTCATATAGTTGAAGATCTTCCTCACTCCGAAGTCTCCGATGTCCTTCCGTTGTGTCCCTATCAACCGTCTTATGTCGTCTCGAAAAAACTCAATGAAAATGAGGCTTTCACTGGAAACTTTGTAAGTACTGAACTGCTTAATTACTACGCCAGCCGATACTGAAATTTCCCCACTAACTGGTGATTAAGTTTAATCGTTTATCTCATGGTGCAATAGTTCCAATGTGGATTGTGACGACACAGCTACATTCTACTAATCTTTTTCAAGTCAGGAATTCGAGAGCTCGACTGGTTGTTCTGTGGTTGATAGGTTTTCCAACAGCAGTGACTGGTGCATTTCGATATGTAGTGTTCCCTCCCGTGATTCTTGATCGCGGGCCTTCAATCTTCTGGGATTTCTACTCTAGATTTATTTTCTATGGTTACTTATATGAACTGATTGAAAGATTTGTCCGATGAAGCTTCCAGAAACTTTGACATTTTCCTAGTTCGTCATTTAGTTTCTAAAAACATAATGGATGAGATGAAAAATTTTATAAGAATTTCCTCTCCTTTTGCAGATCCAACATCCTCGAGTCTTTCCAAACGATCGAACGGATGTCAATATGTCACATGACGTTAAAAACCACATCAGCTGGGGCAATAAAAAGCTTGAAAAAAATGTAATAAATTACTATTTGTAGTGTAAAAAAGTTCCATGTTTAATATCATCGTTATGATTTTGATTAGGAATCTGACGATGGTGTACCTCAAGTTACTACAGTTCTCTCTTTCAACTTAAAAACACAAACGATGTCTTGTTTATTTTCAGGACGCTTTGAAAATTGTATCTTCTTACATGGAAGCCCTCGCTAAGAAGAAAGGGTAAGAATCGAGTTATAGTGTAATTTTTCTTTTATACAGTTATTTGTTTGAACCCAGGAACAACGTCAGACAACTACTCTCACCAAGGCGATTTGATCAGACATCTTTCATGCGCTTGTGTGAATGTTGAAGTAATTTTACTATTGCATCGTTAGACTGGACTCTTAACTTACTTACGTTTTTTCTTCCATATTTCGTATGAGAGCAAGTCACACAACAAACGAGAACTCCTTTTCCCCAAAGATAAGTGCGTTTTTGTAGATTGTGTAGAGGGGCACAAAAAGCGAGAAAAATGGTTGACTAATTTGTCATGTTCGTCTTTTAGGGACAGATTCGTTCTGAAGGAGATCGTCAACGTGGAAGCAAAAGATGATCCTAAGAAAGGAACCCGTTATTTGCTAGAACTGGTAAGCTGTTATTACGACTTGAGTGACAATCAATCCAACACTTTATGACCGCCTGTAAGTCTTTAAACTTTACTTTATTTTTCCCTATAGCAAGAGAGAATTTAGTTAAACCCTTCAATAACCCCTGAAAAGATTTCATATGTTTGTACTAGTTTTTCTTGACCAGAATGTTCAAATATTCGTTCATCTTATACGAATTTAACTTTTAAGTTTTTTTTTTCATTTTCTTTTTGCAGGAACTCCTGGACAAATACAAAGGTGTTTTTTTTTAATTTAACCTTTTTTTGCATCCTAAAATGAAAACAACGATGAATAAGCACAACCCTTTTTTACGAAATTGTGATCTCAATTTTTTGCTGAGTTAACAATCATTTAGGTAAAGCTAAACCGCTCTATATCTAGCTGGCGATGAAAAAAAATTTGTATTGTAATGCAATTGCAAGTATGGTGCAATTAATCATTTTTTTTTCTTTTGCAGAACACTCTGTTCGTTTATCAGAATACGTTTACAGACCCGTAAAAAACAACACGGATCTTTGTGACCCAGACGGCTTCCAGTGGAAAAGAAATGTCACAGTTTCCATGGTGATAACAGGTGAGCAACACTTAATGTTTTTGCAACATGCGATTCCTGTTTAAGAATGATATGTTTTGTTCATGTACGCCCTGTGTACCAACTTATTGCAACAAATTTCTGATGCCAATGTTCGTATTTAGACTGAGACATCTTTGCTACCTTTTGACTTCTTTACAGTTAAGAACTATGGACCATGGATCAAATTTCTAATAAATCAATTAACTCAGGTAAGGACACGACGGAGTTCTATGGACGATGCATGGTCTTTCTCGTGGAAAATATTATGTTTCATCCACGGTTTTTCAAATCGATCTTTAAGTTTTCCTTTGGATATGGAAGCACAAAACACTGTCACAGTATGTCTTAAAGATGGTCAAAACACGAAAAAATAATTACTGAAAAAAACAAAAACAAATAAAAGACTCTAAAACCCAAGTTCCAGTTCCTTAAATTGTTAACTTTGCCCTTTGACATATTTTTTCTCACAGCATGATAAATCGTGAATTGATACAGATATCTTTCCTCAGATTTACGAGAAAGGATATGACAGTAACTTCTTCCTTGTCATCGTGGATTTCAATAGCAGTGACATTGATCTCTTTCAACTCCGAGAAAATAGTGGAATCAAAGACCGGTAAGGGTGTGGCACTTACGGGAACCAACAACCATTCAGCTGCGGATCCAGGGTGAAGTTCCGGGGGTGTGGGCCCCCTCTATCAGACCTGGGGATGTAATGTATCATTTACTAAGACCAAGATATGTCTAACGACAGGGTCGCATATTACTACCCAACTTGAGTTCCACGTATTTGCAATTTTCCTACCTTGAAATACATATTGGCTTCTTCAGACTCTTCTTTTTTTTTTTTTTTTTTCTGAATCAAAGTTTGGAACCCCTTCAAAAGTTGCTAGATCTATCTTGTCAGTTGATATAAGAATCACCGAAAAGACACGTTTAAACGGTACTCTCTAATGTGGCCCTTGCGGCTGGACGTTTTTATCTCCAAGGGTCGCCATTCTTCGACATTTTACTGAATTTCACAAGACGAGGGCTTTGAATGACGGAGTACGTTACATCAAGGTAATTTCTACCTTGCTTGGCATGATGGTTGAGTTAAAGATTCAGGCGCGAACAAGTGAAGGTGGGGTTGAACGTGTCCATTTGGGGGCGAGGTGGTATGAGGCGAACTTTCAATGATGCAAATCTCTAGGATAAATTTTGATATAATGAGCTACGAGAGTTTAAACTGTGATCAATTAGGCGCCATCTTAGCAGGGTTTCTTCTTTTTGGTTTCTTCTGCATCATACCAGGATCCCAACAGTATCATCTTTACAGCGGATCTGCACATCAAGTTCCCAGTCAATATATTTGACGTCGTAAGAAAGGTAACATTCCACATGGTACCAACTTTTTAAGCTGCTCGTTTTTCTTTAAGGCAATGTAAGGGATATGCTAGTTTCACAGCTAATGTATTCTTTCTTAACGTATTCTTTATTTGCTGAGATTTTCGGTCTTTACTCACAGCACGCGATTCAGGGAAGAAGTTTCTACTCACCCGCAGTTCTCAAGTTGAAATGTGGTTACTCTATTACACATCAACAAGGTACATACACCTGTTTTTCAGTTGTCCAGTTTTCTCACTTTGGAAAGTGTCTTAAGCGTCCGTCACCATGCAATGGTCGTTTGAATGTCCTTCCAATCTTTTTTTCTATTAATGAAGATACTGTTCTAGTGTTTCCTGCGCTTGCCATTACAAGGTTTCTTTCTCGGAAATTACCTTTGGTAGATCCTTTCCCTAGGTTTTCGATTGGTTAAAATTTTTAACGTACTTACCACTAGCAAGTTTTCTTCTCGCACGCGCTTTTCACTATTCATCATTTTCCCGCGCTTGCGGTTTATAACAATTTTTTCCCGCTTGCCGGGTAACTATTTCTGCGCTTGCCATTGGCTGATCTTTCACCAGCGTTTGCCACTCGTTAATATTCTTAGCGTACTTGCCAACTGTTCACTTCTTCCCCCCTCTTTCCATTAAATTAACAATTTCGCACGTTTGCGGCTTGTGGTGATTTCTTTCGCGCGCACTTTCCCGCGCTTAATGCCGTAACTAAGAGAATGCTTTCTCTCTCGAGTCATAAATTCATGTGTGTGTAAAATCAGATATCTTGCCTTATTTCGTTCATCAGCCTACTGGGAAATGATGGGTTATGGTTTGTTTGGGGCTTACAAGTCGGACTGGGACAGTTTTGGAGGAATGGACGAAGTCAAATTCACCACACGATGGGGCGGTGAAGACTGGGATCTAATGGACAGGTAAGCGCAATCTCGTACCCAGGCCTCCCTAAATGTACACCAGTCAACTCTCTCGTTACTCTTAAACCAGCCCACGTCCAACAATCAAGCTATCACCATTTTAACTGATACATTTTTTTTAAAAAAAAGTTCAATCGTAAAAGAGACTTGATTAAAAAGTGGGAGAAAAAAAGCGCATAAGATTGATTATATATATATCCGAAAATCTCGGATGTGGAGGATAAACCACTGCCATGAAATGGTTGAAACAACTCTTCAGAACACTTACGGAATGTATTCGGAACGCCTTCGTAAACATTCGGAAATTTTCGAAGTTCTTCGGATATGATTAGGTGCTCGACGAAAATGCTGACTCTGAGAAAAAAATATAAAGCCCTTGATTCGGAAAAATTGGTAGGCATTAAAATGTCCTGTTTTCGGCTTTCTGTTACTTTGTTAACTAAGTATAATTTTACTTTTTAGAGCGATTGGTGCTAATTTAGAGGCTGAAAGATTAAGACTTCCAAAGCTGTATCATTATCACCACGAAAGGAAAAGCGACTGGTATGAATTTGCGCGAATGTAACCAACAAAAGAAGCTGGAATTTGAAAGACGAGACGAAAGGCGTTTCTTGACCCAACCCTTCGGCAACTGATGGATAATGGAGCAGTCCGTACTGTGTAATTATAGTTAATCAAATTCAACTGTAGGCAGCCTGTGTTTCATCTGCGCCATAATCGTAGCACTGACAATTTTGGAGGTTCTTTCATGAGGAGCTATAGGCTACGAATCAAATCCTGTTTGCGATATAAAAGTCGAAAAAGAAATAGGCTAGGAACAAATTTAGATCTTAAATTAACAATTCTCGTTTACAAGAACGTCACATAAATAATATTCATGCTTTTTAAAAACATATTTTATATAACAAATAAACAGCTATGAAACCTGGGACGTTGTCTTGGTAGCAGAATGTACTGTGAACATTATTCAATTATGCGCAGTTGTCCCGGCAAAATCGACTGACCTTCATCGAAGACCACTCTATTAAATCTTTAACTCCGGATATTGCATTTCTAGTGTTCTGATTAGTTCACTCAACTCCGGTTGTCAGCTCATATTTCGAGTCTCCTTATGGAAATGCATTGTTGCACCAATTGTTGCAGTGCTGGAAAAGCTCCAAATATCCAAATGTTGAGGATCTAATGAAGTTTGCTTGCCACGCGTTTCCCCGTTTCCTTTTCCATTTCGTAGAAGTGGGTTGGTCGACCGACTATAACGCATAGGAGAAATATCGAGGAAATGGTCCTCGACGAACACACCCAGTCCCCTAATGAACGTTTCCATCGACAATTACTCTTCAAGATAGAAATAAATTACGCCGAAAACGGAAAGGTCAGTGTAATTATAGACTCTTGTCTTTTTTCAAAAGCTTCAAATCTCTGATTAGGTGTGATCAAACTAACACCACGAGACAGTCAAATGAAAAGACACGCGAAGATATCTTTCATATTCATAATCATTTAAAAAGACACTATAGTTTGTATTACGTGAAGGAGTAATGAAAAATTCAACATGGTGGACGAAATGAAGCAAGTATACATTTCACCGTTTTCAGAACTGAAGATCACATCTCATGAGGTCTTAAGGTATATTACTGACATTCCATAATGAAATAAACGTTTTACCTACTTCTAGTGACGCTTCATTCATACAGTACATTGTTAGACCAATTTAAGCCTTTGAAATCTTTGAAAACACAAATCAACACCGTGGAACAAAACAGCTCAGTGCTAGCGGAATTCTTTTATTTTCTTCAATGCTTTCTGTTAGCGTAAAATATTTGTACGGACAATGAAGTATGTGTAATGATTCTTTACCGATAAAGTTCATTTATTTATTTTCTTCCAGAGGCGCTGAAAGAAGACCTTGCCCCAAGTGTCAAGCCTCGAGAAAGTATTATTGTTACACATGCTACATAACAGTTGGACTTGATAGAAGTCTGATTCCGACAGTTCATCTACCTATAAAAGTGGACATGTGAGATTATTCATTTTCTTTGTGGGGTGAATAGGGACACAAATAGAAATGTTTGACCCGATGTGTCAATCTGACGTTATTTTCTTTTTAATCAGGATCTGCGTTACTTTTTTCCCCTTAAAATAAATTAGCTGCATGTGGTCGGGGAAATTTAAAATCCATCAAAAATTTACGATACGAGAGCGGTGATAACCAAATCATATCCAACACGCGCTCATGGAATAATTGTTAAGTATTCCCCAATTTTCAAACCTTATGTCCTCTATGATCAAAGCCTTTTTAGAAATTTTATTCAACGCAGAAGGAAAACTTTTTTTGAAAAAATGTTTGAAAAATGTGATGGATAATAAATACAGTAGCCTCCAATTCATTATTCTTTTTTAAAGGTGATTTTTCTAACTTTCCACCCTATTCCCCCCTCTGTATACGTAGTTGTTGTCTGTCATCCACATATCATTTGGATCATTACTTACCATCTTACAATTGACAAAATGTTTTTTGACAACAGAATAAAACATCAAAAAGAGTTGGTAGGGAAAAGTACAGCCACTCATGCATGTATCTTAGCTCCTGGGAATGTGTCCATCCATAACTTTCCAGTAAGTTTATGCTGTATTTTAAACCACCAGAAAAATCTGTTATCCATTTTGTCTTATTCTTTTATTTCTTTTATTCACATTATATTCTATTCTCTCATTTTGTTTCTTTCACCAGGAAGTTCCAGATTTTCAAGAAAATGAGAAGGTAAAAACATTTGATTAATTGTAAGTCATTGTATATATTAACAATTGTTACTATTATATGTTACCAATTAAAGATAGATACTTCTTTCATTGTATTATCTGTATTTATGTTATTGTCTTTATTTCAGGTCATAATTGTTTTTCCAGCAGAGGTGAGTCAGTAATAAAAATGTTATCAGGAAATTATATTTTATGTTCAGTTTGATATATTTTGTTCAGCACAACTAAGATGATTTTTACAGCAAAGCTTATGCTTGAAAGTTAAAGATGATGATGATAATGATGACAATGATAAGGTTGATGACAAAGAACACCAGACTATTACATCAAAGGTATTCAACTTATATGCACTAAAACAATGGTCCAGTAATTAGGAATAAATTACAAACACTAATAAAATATAGAAACAATCAAAATTGCCAAATTGGCTAATAAACCATTTTATAACAAATCAGGGTGTAAATTCTGTATCAACTTTCCAGGATGCTGTCACCCTGGAGAAGATCAGATTAAACCAGGACAGACAGAATCCAGATTCTTCAGATGCTGGTACCTTGTTACACAGAGTGGTGTTCATTGATAGCACATGGCAGCAGTGTCATCAGATCATAACTGTAAGCCTGTTAGCACAAGGTTCTTAATTATAGCTTAATGTAGCTGTTACAATCACTGATTTATGTTTAAAGAAGTTTCCCTAAAATCACAAGTGAATGTGATTTGCAAAATGCAAATGACTCAGTTTAGCAATTTTTGCTTATAACATTTTTTACAACATAATGTAACAATGCTTCCCTTTCACCCTCGGCTCAGTGAAAATACAATAACTGATTTAGACAAACCAAGCTTTAAGTTCATCAAACTATTTTGAATTAGATATTGGATTGTTTTATCATTTAAAATAAGCTTCACTTTTGATTAAATGCAATGTTGAAGCCCCATGTAGTAATTCTATAATTGATTTGAATGTATATCATTGACAAATCAGCAATGAAATATTTGTTGAATGTAGATAATTTGTTGTAAAGTGTTTTTTTTAACAAGAAAGTTTATTTTAAGGACAAAAAGTTGAAAGGACTGAAAAGAGTTAAACTTGAGAGTGCTGTAACACATTTTTGGAGGTATGTACAATCTTACAACCTTTTTAAATGACTTGTTTAGATATTTGACAAGATGACAGCTAATAGGGAAATAGAGGGCTTAAAGAATTTCCATCAAAGGGATGTGACTGAACCTGTAATGTTTAGTTTGAGTCTCTAAGGTCAGATAGCCTCACACTGCTACAGTCTAAAGGGGGTATTTTTCTAAAGAAACTGTGGTGCAATGCAGTGGGAGTGTATGACAGGGTAATATAGTATTATCAACTAAATTGGCCACCTTAAAGAGTTTCAAAGCTGACATTTCAAGCAATAGCCCTTCGTCAGAGCAAATGAGGAACAGCTAATGGTCTGTTGCATGAAGTGGTAAGGAGTACATTTACCTTCCCTGTATTATGATGGTTCATCACATTGTAGCCCCCTTGTATTTGTTAGATTTCCCTGACTATTTTTAGGTACCCACCAGTAATTCAGGGTGCTCTGTGAGAGGGAAGTGTCTTGCCCAAAAGCATCTCAATGATCCTGCTGAGGCTCAAACCCAGGACCACTCAACACAGAGTCCAGTGCATTTACCATGAACCCCAAAGTGGTTTACTTGTCTCCTGTGAGTTTTTAGTAATTAGCTTCAGCAATGTGGCACACCTTTAAGAGATATTTGCTTGACTTTGCAGACCTCAAAGGAAGCCAGATACATGCCTTGCTACCATAGAAGCTATTTATTACTTTTTCAAGGAATATGATCAGCATATTTTAAAAAGGTATTATTCAAAAGCACAGCTCAGTGTATGCCATGATGACTTTGATTCGGAAAGTTCCAAATTTTAATCAATTATTTGTATGTTAAGAAAGTCGTGTTAGACATCAATTGTTGTTGGAATGACAGCTTTCTTTTCAGGGAAATTAGAAAAATCAGGTGACCTCTTTCTTTCTAAATGTTAGCTTCCTCAGCTTATATCACATGGTGTAAACTAAGTGAGACCAAGAAGGTATATTTATATGCATAACTGAAAAAATATTTTTTACACCAACCATGTGGCAAAGTGTTGCGAGGAATATTAAAACTTTTGTGTTCTTCACAATTTACTACCATAAATGCTTGATTCTTAATCTTTTAAAAAATTTAGTTATATTCTGTAAATTTTTTCCATTAGGGAATATGATGGAAGATATGACAATTTATTATACTTCTTTGCGTTTCAATACAAATTGATACAGGAGCAGAGAAAAAATAGGTAAGGTGAATGATTAAATCTGGTTTCTTAAGCCTTTTATTCCTAAGATCTTAATTCTTCCCTCTTGCTAGTACACATTTCCTTGTAAATTAGCAATGAGAATTTGGTGTCAGATCAAGATAACTTCTACCTGAGTGTTCTCATTACTTGTTTGCTGGGTAAGGTATGGGAATTATAAGGAGAAGTTACATGTCAATCACTTCAAGGGGTCAAAGGGTCAACTGAAACCAAATGGTGTAATAATGATCAGGCATAAATCAAAAACTGTTTGTTTAAAAAAGAAGAAGACCCAAGGCTGTAAAACTGAATTTTAGAGTCAATTTTTTACGCTAAGAATTTTAGTTAATTCATTTTCTTGGAGATATTGTTCCTCTTAACACAACTATCTCATGCAAAATATTGATTGGAACTTCCCAAAAAGGCAGTAGATCATAGTGAGACCAACTGAAATTGATATTTATCTGACAGTTTTAATGGGAAGAGAATCAGATCAAGTTATATTTTGCCAGTGGGATGTTTCAGGCTCTGAGCCACAAAACATAGGCATTTTCCCAACCCCCCTCTCTCCCCTACCATACCATGTCATCTTACAAAGCTGTCTTTCCTTGCAGCAAAAATAGAAAGATGTCAGAAGAAGATGACACAAAATAAATTTACTGGAACTACAAATGATAATTAACCTAATTTTGATAGGAAATTCTTAAATGTTTGAATTCAACTTGTTTTGTTCTCTGTAAATCTTACTCCATTACTGAAGGGGTGCATGTTAACAAGGCTGCTAGTGACCTTTACAAAACTACTACATGTAGATTCTCCTTCCAAATTGTCTTGTATCCTTTGGTGAAAGAGATTGAGAAGGAGACAGAGATGTGACATCCAAACTCACCCAGAGCTTGGCTCTGCATGACAGAGCAAAACCTTGGCACATCTCTGCCCGCTACTGCCAAAGTTTATCCCTGGCAGTGTCCATAGCATAAAACAGCTTGAAGGGCCATGTCTCTTCTGGATGAGTTAGCTCTGGTAAATACCCACTCAATTAGGAATCCTGTATGCCTTTTCATATGCCCCCATTTCAAAGCTACATTCATTTCTATCAGGTATGATATCTCTCTCTTTAAAGAAAAACAGTGAAATGTGCAAACAATGCTACACTTCATGCTAATGTAGTTCAAGGTCTGTACTGTGAGTTATGGATTAAGCTTTTCCGCTTGGATTTATAAAATGAGGTTTTGTAAATCACAGCAGGGACCATGAAAACAAAGTTAGCAAGATATTTATTATATCTCTGGGTTCAAAAATAAGGGGAAGATTCCAGTTCAAACAAGTTTTTGAATTAAACAGGCCATACAGTGAAATATGGCCTGCTCAATTGACCAATGAAAGTGTGCATACCTTACCCAATATAATAAAACAATTTATTTCTCACAGGATGCCATGAAAACTTCACCTGTCTTTCTTATATAGAAAAAAAACAAAACAAAATTATTCACAGATACTCTTTTTCACTTTTACTTTATTTTTAAATGCTAGTCCAAAATTCTGACATTAGATTTTATTGAAGGCTGCAATGTCCATAGATTGGACAAAATCTTCAAATTTGGTGATCTCCTCTTCCAAGAAGTCTGTTGAGATTTTGTCATCTTCAATGACACAGTTGATCTGTAACTTCCTGATTCCGTATGCAAGAGGAACAAGTTTTGATGCACCCCAAAGAAGACCATCAGCTTCCACTGAGCGAACTAGCCTCTCCAATTCTTTCATGTCTAGAATACAAATTGTTAATGGGGTAAGATGGGGAAACTGTTAAGGCTTTGAACAACCACCCACTATAGATTGCACAGGAACATTATATAGTGTGGTCATAAAATTTCATCATGCCAGGTTTTGTATTTTAAAAGAAAATATCAGCAGATTGCATGTAAATGTAACATAGAATATGAAAACTGATGAGACTTTTTAAAGCATGTCGAGAATGTATCCATAGGTATGACCAAGTTAAGATTGTGAATTTTCTGATAATTTGAGCCATTTGGATGTTTATTTTTTGGTAGAGTGCCCACTCTTTGGATAAAACTCACATTCTTGGACTCACTCTTTCACTCTAAGACCCCTCTTCCCCAGCCAGGCAAAATTGTTCAATGACAACACCAACTGTTAAGTTATCAGTTACCATTGAAACAGCTCAAGAGTCTGTCAGTCCTAAGGAATCATATTTAAGTGGGCATATTTAAACAACATCTAATATAGCTGGTAATTATCACAAGTAGTAGAAGATTCCTGTAACATTAATACCTGTCTCGTCATCCCAGGGTTTTACATCCAGAAGAATACTTGATTTGGCTATAACAGGTTTTTCTAAGCAAAAAAAAAAAAAGGTATCAAGATTTTACAAAAATGGTGAGTAGACTGAATAGTTGAAAATAAACAGGATTTGAATGGATTGTGGAAAACTTGGAAAGTTATTGCTTGAAAGTCATACCAGTTAGTTTCTTTGTTTATTTTCAATCTTTCTTTGTGGCTAATTGATGCACACCACAGCCTGCAGAGTGTCTTGTGTCAATACTCAAATTCTAAAAGCATTATAAATCTAATAAAGTAGGAAATTAACTGGGGCAGAAGGATTATTGAGGGATAAAAAAGGTTTTTGTCCAGCTAAGGAAAACTTTCTGTTAAAAATAAACCTACTTTTGGATTTTTTCTCATGGTATTTCTTTAACTCTTCTTCTTTTCGTTTCCTTGTCTCTTCGTCATCTTCTTCCTGTAATTCAAGCCCAAAATGTTCAATTCCTTAACCTTAATATCATGATTTTTGTGACAACAAACAAATATTGTTTTTGTAATACAAAAGAACCCTTTGAGACAGTTTCACCCTTTAACTCCCAGAAGTGATCAACATGAAATTTCTCCCCCTAATATCCTTACATTCTCCAGCAAACAGGTAATGAGAATATTCAAACTAATCAGATAGATGTTGTTATCTTGATCTACTACCAAGTTCTCATGGCTAATTTATAAGGAAATGTGTAGTAGGTAGAGGGGAGAATTAACAATCAGATCTTGGGAGTTAAAGGGTTAAGCCTATGACCCCTTAGAATGACTAGCATCTAATTTAATCCTTACAATATCACCCTGACTCAAACATCAAAAGGTTAAAGGAAATGTTCACCAACTAAAGAAGCTCTTAAATGTTAAACAATATTCTTAGGAAGATGTTTCAAAGTCAAATAGATACAGGTCACAGGAGGCCACAATTTTTCTCTTGTACTTTCCCAAACACAAGTCTCAGTAAGCCAATGCCTCTATTAAATGGAAGCTTTGTCTTGTGCATGTTCACCTAACACAGGTTTCCCTGAATACCTAAAGACTTAACCTCTAGATCTAGATCACATACCTCAGAATCTGAACCAAAGAGATCAAAGTCGTCCTCATCATCATCTTTTTTAGCACTACCATTTGAGACTGTTGCAGAACCATAGCTGCCTAGATCTTTTTTGCTGCCAGGAAAAGAGGCCTTTTCAACACCAAATGAAGCAATGTGATTGTACCAGCGTAGGGCATGTGGAAGATCAGCAGATGGGCAGGCTGACAAGGCTTGAAATACCACAGTATCGCCTTGAGAAGGAACATAGCTGCAAAGGCAATATTTCACTCATCAATAAAGTTAAGACTGTAATTGAAAAGATGAACTTCAAGAAGTACCATGACACTATTTCACACATAAGGTAAGCTTTACAGCAGAGCAATTATCTAACTCTCCTGCACTGGAATTGACAGTGTGAGCATAAATGCTAGCAAGTGCCATTCTGTGTGGTTGATAAATCTTAAAAGCATCAGCAATTTATCATTGGCTCAGGCAAACAGAGTGATGGCCTCTGAACCCAAAAATCACTGCGACTCAACTATATCTTCACTAAGTTTAACAGGCCGCTTTAGCGTTTTTACCAAAGTCAAGGACCATTAGTTGAAGCCATAAAAATTCATAGTTGGTACACTTTTGTACATTATGTACGAAATTATACTAACAGCAGCCAATATACATCACATTCGATTTACGACGTAAAATGAGTTGACATGAAATTTTCTTGATGAAAACTTCATATTTGCTGATCAGTAGAACTGCCTGACTTCTCATTAGGAAAAATTATATATAATTTAAAAATTTCTAAGCAAAACGACTTAAACACGAATAATCAAAGAAATTTGTACGTGGTTGTTGGTATCACTCATTGATTCACTCGTAAGAAGAATATTATGTAATCAGTTACTCTTAAACGTTGGTGATCTGTCAAGATACTCATCTAAAAAGATTATACGGGGTTTAAAATCTAGAGTCATGCACGTGGATAGGTTAAAACACTGGTTACTTTTATTTTTGGCATTTTCCGGACACACAAACGCATATGAATTGAAAGTACTCACCCCTCGATATAGCTTTTATCCTCGAGGTATTTATTCAAGGCTTCTAAGCCTGATCTTGACTTCAGATCACCGAATCCCATGTCTTTTTACGGTGCTATGAACGATTCTACTAACACGTTCGACTAGCAGTAGAGAGAAAGGATTAGACTTACCCATCATGCATCCATATCACATCTCAACCTGTGCCCAGTCTAACGCGGCTAGGAATATGGAATGTTACGCGTCCATCAATCGAAGCTTCAACATCCCCGTGCCCCCCGGGGCACCCCTCCCCCCATCCGGGCATTTGAATTTTTTGAGGATTGGTTTTGTTAAAATTCCCGTACCCCTGGGACCAGAATAAAGTTTAAATGCCTCACACAAGGGCTGACCAAGCTTTAAAACCTCGTGTAACCTCAGGCGTTCAGTTAGTAAAACGAAGCGCCATAATAGAGGAGTGAGGTAAACCAGGGGAGGTTCGGATCGAATCGGGTCATGTAGCATGATGCTTGAGGGGGTAATAATGCTGGGAGCTTTCAGAGAAATGACTCTGTACCTTTGAATAAAGATTTTTATTATTTTCGCTATTTCCATTTCCCGACATTGGAGTCGGAATTACCAAGCTTAATAAATGTTTACGGGTTTAGTTCATGTTACTTCACACATAAAACTGTCAGATATTTAATTGCGACCCAAACAAACTCTATATTAAAAATAAATATATTATTTCCATCGCAAACATATCCGACACGGTGTTGCGTGACGCGCCGAACGTCACGTCTCATTTCAGTCACGCAACTGACAACCAATGGTAATTAGTCAAAAGCTTACAGCCAACATTAAGAGTTAATCTTTTTGTGCGCGGTAGAAATGACAAAAGAAAGTAACATTACAAAATGAAAACGGTAAAAACATACAAATGCTAGCCGTTAAAATATTGCAAAAAATTTAAAGATTCCAATCACTATGGAACGAGCCATGTAAGCAGAAAAGGATTCTTAACTGAAGTTCGCCCATAAGGTAGTTTTCCTAACATGAGATTTCCATACAATGCGGGAGCTGTTTAAAACGATGTGTCTCCTACAAGAGGACAAGCTCGTTCCTTGCGCGTTTTAGCCTTCACACGCGCCTCCCCCGCGGCGCTGCCGGAGTTATGACTCAGTTCCTGAACAGGTAAACAATGAGAGACGACTCATTTGTACGTTACTACATAAAAAAATAGTCGCCAACAACGGAAATATGTCAAATGGTCAGTTGGCCAACAGAAGATCTATTGTCAACGGAAAATGTTAAACGGAATTCGTCAACAGTTGTTGAATCGTTAAAAGCCCGCAGTTTCCAGGACTCTTTCATCGTGGTTTGACGGGTTCCAATGATTTTAGTTTCAAAGTCTTTAGACCGACAGAACGATACACGAAAGCCATCCTTGCAATAGTGAACTCAGCCGCAATTTCCCATTATTGCGCCGAAAAATTGTCGGGTGATCCAGTACAACACTTTAGCCTGGACACCAAGCTCGGTCATAAATCTTTGACACTTGCACCTTCAATAATATTCGCGATGACCACAGTGCAACCAAAGTTAATCCCTAGACTCGGCTTGGGTCTGCTGAACTCCTCTCGAGAGAGAGGAATGTAAGAAAATATCTCCTTACTCATCACCAGGATCTCACGGACGCCCTCCGCCGTTGCCGGCCTGGGCCCTCTTAATGTAGAGGTTTAGCAGTTTCATCTAGGTAACAACAAACGGATAACAAAAAAAATACTGCTTTAGTGCCGTCCTCTCATGAATTTAATTATTTTGAGTGAAAAGGTAGGATGATTGGAATAACATGGATGAATAACACTGTGATGCAAAGATAAAAACAAAAAGAAGCAGCGCTGAGAATTTACAGATGAATCAACAGCCGCACAGAAGAAGAACTTTACCTTCGTTCCGGAGAGCTCAGCCAGATGCGGCATCAGAGTTTCTTCGCCAACCACACCATGTATTGCCACAAGACAGAACACACTGGCTTTACGGACACTGCTCTCTACATGGTCATAGCACTGGAATATGAAAGAAATGCAGAACTACATTGAATAAATTTGGCAAAAACCCTAAAGAACTCACATGAAATACAATATTGAAGTGTTGAATGTCTCCCAAATTTGCGTCAATTACTGTAAGCATTTAGTGACGTTGACGTCCACGAACGTTAAGTTCTGCGTGGGTTGACTGAGAAAAGTTTTCATTTTCGAGAATTTTCAACCCAAACCTCTTACATGGGTAGAGATGCACCATTAACACATTGCAGATTGATAAGAACAGGTGTAAAAATAGTTCTATTCTTTCTCCGCAAACTGTAGTTTTTCATATTCACCGCCATTTTTTGGGCGCTATAGTGTACCTCGTTGGACAGCGATATTCACGGAAATTCAACGCGCATTGTTAATTTTCTTTAAGATAAAAAGTTAACGCATTACAACGTTTTCGAACACCTACCCTGACTAACCCTGGTACGATCTCTCCTAAGTTCTCCTCGATTGTTTCGTCATCAATGTCCTCGACCACCTAAAAAGGAGACGTCATGAAATAAGGGACGAAACTTAATATCAATATTCATAATCTCCACGCTGTTGACAAAGAGCTTTGTTGATCCTTTCCTTAATTCTCATCACTTTGTACTTGATTCAAGGGTGATACCGTCAGGAGAAATAAGAAGCCAATCACTCTCAGGGGTTAATGGGTTAATAGAAATAACTACATGGAATAAGTTTCCATACGTTTACAGCATTTCTCGGCCGTAATATTCATGTGTAACGACGTTACAAAAAAAAAGGTTCATTTATATTGTCTGAAATATTTCAACACGTAAATGAAGTTTGGGGAACCACACAAAAAATTAGGCAAAAAAAAAGTCGTAGCATATTTCAAACCTTCCATAACATAGCATTCTCGAATTTATTCCTTAATGGTTGTGAGCTATATGCTCTTTGAATTATTTGTAGTTTGGGGAATTCCGTGACACTGCGCAACATAATGAGCGATAATTGTACCTTCATGATCATTTTAAGAGCTGCAAGATTGACGGGAAACTCAGCTTCCCGCAGGACTGGTGACAAAGCTTGAAGACAAACTTCCGGCGGAAGATTCTTGGCGATCGTCCCAGCAGCTTCTTCGGCCACTCGAGCAACCTAGAACAGAGGATGATAGGAACGTTTTAGTGAGAAAACCATAAATATAAAAAAAATCACTATAATGATAAGAGTGATAATGTAAAAAAAAATAATAAAATAAAAAATAAAAAAATTAAATGTCTACCTCTTTTTGTACATCTTTGTGAGCGTTCAGAACTGTCTCCACCATTTTGTCAATCTGTTTGTTGAATGCCTGGGGTCTAGTTCGTACCATGTCTCTCAGGACGCGAAGTGACAGCAGTCGAACAGCGGGCTACAAAAAGCAAAATAGAAAATTCAGCATACTACTGGTTTAAAGCAATGTTACGAAGTGCCCTCGACTGGCTTATTAATATCCTGAGTTTCCAGGCAGGGGCATATCGGTGGGAACGTGGGGCTCTCAAAACCTTTCTTTTCGTCAAGATTATTGCCTAAATTCAATAAATATCAGATGCAATGTGCATATGTTTGGCTAAAAACCAAAACCTGAGATGTTTATTCAAGGGGTACAAATAAAGGTTCCTGAGTTCAAGTACATTTTAAACAGAAGCGCAACCTGTTCCTCAACGAATACCAATAAACTTCTACTCCACAAGGAAAGGGAAAGGAGGGGTTGAGTAGGAGGGGCTTATCAGAAACTAGAAGTTCAAGACGTGAAGGGGAGGGGAGAGAGCGTTTCCGATAATAAGAGACTAAGGAACACTTAGCAAACTGGCGCTTCTCACTAGAATTACCTCATCGTCTCCGATATTCTTCATGAGCAAAGACAACAAAGTGTTAAGGTTTTCCTCCCACAGCACAGGAGTGTCCTCTCGGGTCATCCTCAGCAACTCTCCCAGCGCCTCTTTCTTGTCATCGGACTGCATACCCGACGGTGCCCCCAAGGGGACCATGATAGGAGAGAGTGCATCTGCGTGTTCTAGAGACACATCTGAAGGATTGAAATTAAAGCGCATTTAGAGTTTTGAATCAGTCGGAAAGCGAAGTAAAAGTATTACCCTCTCAGTGCTTTCCTCAGTCTAGGAGAATTAATTGCTATCGGCGAACTGTTGAAGTCACCTGACAAAATCCTCAGGGAGGGGAAGGGCAGAGCCTGAAATGTACTAAAATCCATCCATGGCTGGAAAGGGTAGCGATACTCAGAGTCACTTCGATCACCGAATCCCAGTGTATTTTCCGAGTAAATTGGTCTCTAGGTTCGTACACTGATTTTACCTTACAAATCTAATTTCTTCACCTTTATCGAAGTGGTCATCACTGTGTTCCATTCCTTCTAATGACCGATCCAGCTCGTCCTCCACTTCACCATTCTTCTTCCGGCCAGCGGTAAGAAAACCGTTTATTTCAGGAACCTGAGAAAGAATCACAACAGAAATATGAAGGTTGAGACGACAAGTCGTTGCAAAAGGTCAAAGGAAATAAGGCACTTCAAGCAGCGCGTTTGAAAATACGACTTCTCTGCTAAAACTTGCAAAGACAAACCACAAAATGGAATATGACAGGAAGAGTTGCCCATAAGTTTTTTTTAACTCACTGGATGGAAGTCATTCTGCTGGTCTTGGTATTGTCTCGGGTCATATTTTTGTCCCGCGGATCCACTCGAGCTTGGCGGGCCAGCTGCCGTTGCTTGAGCAGTGTTTTCCACGTTAGCAGATGCGATATCGTCACTGTGGTACCCGGATGAAACACTTGGAGCGTCTTCCGGTGGATGAGAAGAGCCTTCCCCACGGTGTGGCGGTGGGGGCGAAGCAAACCTTCCGTCTAAGGACTCACTGGAGCTGATCGCTTCAGCCTCGAAGCTGTTGTCTCTTTTAACCGAGTTACCATTTGTCCGCGGTGAGAAACCAAACCTCGTCTGACCGCCTCGAGGGCTTTGAGCTGTTTTCGCTGGTGTCGGAATCTTTGTGTGATGTTCAGGCGAGCCCGGGTTTTCGTCCTTTCCGGGAGAGAGTCCTTTCATGGAGGACGAGGAGAGTGTTCTGTAACCCAGTCTTAACCGTGGTCGCTCGCTCTCGACGTCATCAAAATTAGAGCCAGCAGACGAAGGTGATCCACGGCCAGCAGCAAATGGCTGTAAGAAACAAAGTGGTGCTAAATTAAAAACTGCGCATACATATTGAATGTGCTACAATACACTGCAGCGTGTCAGTTCAGTTAAGTTAAGTTACGGTTCCTACCTCATTACCCTGTGTACTACTCTTTAAATGATTATGGAGCAGCTTCGTTGCACCATCCTGTAAAATAAACACAAAATTTCATTGTTTAATTAAACTATGCACGTTGACAGCAGTGCGAGCAACGGTCGTTTTGGTCGCCAAATCGAGTAGGAAATTTCGGCAACAGTTTAGTAATTTAGGATCGCCAAATAACGAATTTTAAGAGTTGAGATTAGAACCTTTCATTTGCCGTTACAAAAAATTGTTGTAAAAAACCATTGGTTTTTTATCTTATTACCTGGAATGACTTCGGTAAAACGGTCAGCATCATGCTGAATTCTGGAGTGTTCAGTTCAAATAGAGCTACAATAACAGCTGCTGATTCCTGCAAATTAGATAGAGGGTTGAAATGAGAAACCATCCATTAGAATTCACCAGAATTTCTGAGCAGTCTTAAATTCTACAAATTTATGGTACACCATAGAAAAGTTTACCTTTCTGACGTCTGCACTCTTCGGTTCCGTGGTCCAAGTGATTATACGAGAGACCGCCAAACGTGTTTCTAAATCACGTTAAGGTCAAAATAAGTACATACTTTATTCTGATCGTATTCACACTCTACAAGACACTTTCTTCTTATCTGGTTTCCTTTGAAATCCCCCCCCCCCACCCACCCGATTACCTCATTAAAAAAATACCTATTTTGAGATCCATAACCGAACAAAATTGTAACCACATTTATTGACTCCTTATACTTAACATTTTCTGGGGGAAGGGGGGTGATCCCATGGAAGCTGGAGGGAGGGGGTGATGTTCAGTGGTCAGTGGTGAAAAGTACCCCTGAATGCCTTAGCCAGAGTTCCCCCCTTAAGAGATATCCACGAGCGAGTGTCCGTTCGACTGAGACAATGAACAGAAATGCCCAAACGACAGAGTAGCCGTGCAACGGCTGACCCTTGAGGAATATATCAATAAAATGGCGAAGGTCTAAACTAGCCAATCGCAGATGTGCTTTAGAGGGTGACACGTGATTAGTCGACCTCATCTCCCGAAGACGTCCGACAGAGACAGGGAAGGGAAGAGAAAGAAACAATGTCATAACTGAGTTTAAAATGCTGAAAGGATACCACCAGAGTTGGTGAAGTCGCTTGGATCCATCAGGCCGATAAGTCCTTGCAAATATTGCAAAATGGCTATTTTCACCTAAAACACAAGTAATAACGTTAAAAAAGCAGATTACAAAGAAATACAACGGCCAAAGAGTAAAACAAAATTTGTGGATATCAATACCTTAAGGTTTGGCGTCTGAGTTTGATCAGTGATGAATCTTGTTAAAATGCTGAACTGAAGATCATATGGAAAGGAATCCCTAATGATCAAAAGAAGAAATCAAAACTCCATTAGCAATTATAACAGATCTGAGTTGGGTGCGACTTTATTTGAAATCGCAAGTATTTTTCACGTCCATTTTTTTTTAACAAAATTAGAATTTTCCGGAAATGTGAGCAGTTGTATTTAAAAAATGTTCTGAAATCTGATTGGTTGTTTTGTTTAGTGCTTCATTTAGAGAAAAATGCCAATCAGACTGTAGTGATCATCAATTACTGCAAAATGGATCTTTCGCCGATGAAATTGTAGAACTGAAAAACACATTCTAAACGAGAACAGAATATCTCTCTTTAGCCTTACCTGATCACATCCAGCACTCGGACCACTTTAGACTGTAACGAACTCAACAGGTCTGTACCGAGTTTGGTGAGAAGGCGTGACAACAGAACAAACAGCCAGTCATGGAGATCGACTTTGTTTACGACTATAAAGTCACACAACGCGTCCAGAAAGAGACTGTAAACCTGCAAGAAAATCAAGCGATTTCAGCAAGAAAAATAAAGGAGGTTTTCCAAAAAAGGAAAAAAAAAAAGTCAACGCAAACCGCACGATGAGCCAACAGCAACACAAATCTGATTCACGTACCATGCAAGACGCATGTGATCGAATTGTGGGTAAGTAAAATCTGATTGGAAGAGGACGAGTTCGATGTATTTGCACGTGATTAAGTCGCAACCTGTGACTGATCTAGTAAATGTTATTTGTTCACAAATCACGGCGAAAATTTACAGAGAAAATGATTTTACCTTATTATGTGGATCGAAAAACAATCTTGTGAGGCAGTCCTTTATTCGTCCAAGTTCTATTTGACTGTTGAGAAAGAGACATAGATAAACCCATTTACAACCTAATGCAGTAACGTTTAAACGAAGAAGCAAATCAAAGAGTTGGTGAGATGACTATATCAAAAAACAAAAAGCAGTGGACACACCTGAGAACTCCCGAGTTAAGAAGGAAACCTTGCAGACAAATTACACCATCCCGTCTATCGGACCATTCGTTACTGCTGGTTAAACGAACTATTTCAGCTACCTCCTAGAAAGCAAATATGAAAACTGTAAGTCAGGGGGGAGCCGATTGGCTACCAATACAGAGCGCTTTATCAGTAACACATAACACCAATAAACAATTTTTTACTTATGAAAGCGCGAGAAAAATATGAACCCGAGAAAAGCGAGCGCATGTACTAGGCTCGAAGTGCCGGAAAAAAACAGATGATCGCAAGTGCAGGAAATCCAAATCAAAATATATCTTGACTGTCGTACTGTTAATGCCTAAAATTCTGCTTCGAACGAGAATAAAGTTGAACGTTTTGCAGACGAAACTCTAAAAAAATTCAACAAACATAACTATAGAATCACAAACGAAGGAAAAAAAGGCAACGAAAGAGCCTAGGAACGACTTTTCTTAACTTTTCACGCGCACGCGGCGTCATAAGCTGTAACTGTGACGTCAAATGATCACTTCGCTTTGTTTCTCGGATCGAAGCTGTGCGGTTTTTTTTCGTGAGAGGAAAAGCGCGCTGTAACAATGAGGATTGTGATTTTGATCGTTGCGTTGGCAATTTTGCTTCAATTGACAGCGGTTACACAGGCTTTAAAACAAGAGGGTAAGTTTCAGCTCCGTTTTGCTAGTATTTCAAAGGTGTAACTTCTCTCCCGCCCGCGAAAAGTCGCACCAGATAATACGTGAAAAAGTTTTCACTATCACGGCAAGCAATTCACTTTTCCCTACAACGCAAGGACTTACCAAGTTAACATTTGCTAAAATCAAAGCGTGTCAGACATGGGAATCTAAAAATGAAAGCTTTACCGATGGGGCATTTTAAAAAACCTTTTCACACTTCATCGGAAGAGTTAACAAGTTCGTGGTTGCCATGGTCGCATCCGCTGGGCAGTGCGCCCTTGACTAGCGCGTACGCACCAAGCACACGCGCTTTAATCTGTATATTTTTGAAGTGCAACAATAACGGTCACTTCTCAGTTACTCAAAAAATCAACAACATATGTGGCTTGGAAAAATTTTTTGTTATAGATCAATAGGAAACAAAATTATAAAAAAGGATGGTGATTTATTTGTTCTCTCTTTTTCCCTAGATAATTTTCAAGCCATTGAATGGCAAAAACTACCTTTCGAAGATTTTAACGAAGAAACCTTCGTGGTCGGAACTTGGAACGATAAGGTTGGTTTTTTTCAGAAAAATTCTGAAAAACTTCACAAGGTTTCAAATTGCGGACAATCGAAGAGATAATAATAGGATGTCTTTCACGAGGACGTACATTAAAAAAAAAGGGCAATGGTTAATGTGAATGTTGACGTATTTTTCATTCCTTTTGTCATAGGAATACGTGATAACGATTCGAGCGTTGTCAATGGATCTGGATATGAAACTTGTTTTCCCCGGCAAAAGAGGCTCTCGAGATTTGAACGGTCCACCTTTTGGGAACGATCCACCGAACCTTGGAAAGGTACTCAAGCCACGTTTTCAAGTCCTGTACAATTACTTGTTTAGTCGAGTTTTATCTAATTCGTCTTATCCTCATTTCTCTCGGTCTTATTTATATCTGTTAGATTCTCAAGTGCAAAGAACTACCGGAGTACCCTGGGAATATGACATGTTCTGAGTACCAAGAGTACAAACGGAAAGAACCAGGACTGATCACTCGAGTGGGGACGATGATAAAAAACACGTGGAGCTTTACGGTGACGACAGTGGTTGAAACTTGGAGTATGTGTTCTAACGGCGTTGGAACAACGGCTAAGAACATTTGGAATGCATTGAAATGGATGATGGATTTGGTCGGTAAAGCTTGGAAAGGAATGTTGGAGTGGTTCGGTAGAATTAGGAAAGGATTGACAGATTACGTCGGTGAAATCTGGAACGGAATGAAAAGGTGGGCGGAACGGATTTTTTTAACGATGATGTGGGCGGATGAATATGTTTACCATGGAGGCTTACGGGTGGCCGAGTGGTACTGGGACTATACCGAATGGTTGACAGGGCTGACTTGGAACGGAACGGAATGGATTTGGGATCAGATTCAATGGTTGAACGGCGTCTCAAAGGAAAATGCTTCATGGCTAGCTGAGAAAGCGTGGATTGGATCAAAACAGTGGGCCGAGTGGGCATGGGGGGAAGCGAAACGGTTAGCGGACTGGTCATGGAAAACGATTAAAAGGAACTGTAAACCACTTGAACCTGCGCTTGAGTACGTTTTGGAGACGGGAGAAGTTCTGATCAAGTTTTACAATGAACATGTTCACGGTGAGTAGAAAGCCTTGAGAGAAATACCCCAACGAACTCTGTGAAAACCCTTGGAAATATTCCTGTATACTCGAGAGATGGCCAAATCAAGCTTCAATTTCTTTGATGTAATTTTTTTGTTTCCTTTCCTAACAGGACATCTTCTCAAAATTAAAAGCCACATTATTATCTCGACCTGGCGTGAAACTGGTTACACAATCTCAGTCGTATTGCTGATGAACTTTGTTGTGCTGGCTGTTTATAAGTTGATTTCGTGGCCTGTGAAGTTGATCCGGCGAAGACGGTGAGTAGAGAAACAAAACCGATATAAAAAACAATTGGCTAAGGTATTTTAACAAACTCATACATCGAAATCGTAGGAAACTCTTTAAACAGCCTATTAGTTTTAACTAAGTCACCAAATGGACGTTTTATGTCTACTTTTGACAAATGCTTTCTCTCCCAACTAACCTTTGCTAATTTCCTTCCTGCAATATTTCATTACAGGCAAGCTTACAAAGAATGGAAAGAAGCCGAAGAAGCTTCCTGGAGATTACCACCAAGACGTCAGTCTCGACAAAACAAACGAGTCTGGGAAAATCCCAAGAAGAAAAAGCTCTACAGGATTAAAAATTGACAGTCCGCTTTTTATAATCTTTTTTTTTTGTGTAAAATGAACAAGTTTGAACAGATTCTTTGAGGAAACATGTCATTATTGGTTTAAAAGTAAAAGTATTAATGAAACCTGCATGACATTGGTTTTAAGCGTTCTGTTTCTTCTAATTAACTCGTTTCCAGTTCCCTTCTCTCTGTCTTTCCAATAATTTCAAATCGGTGACCAAGTTATTTTTTCTTTAACTGATAGATTCCATGTCGCCCGCCGTGGGTCTGTTCAGTGACAGATCACACAAAGGCGTCAAAATGTGGCAACAAACAAGAAAAGTGGCACACGACGCGCAGTCGAGTGTGTCACTGAATGTCTTTACCATATCTTGACAACGTCTGTGATCTTTTACTGTACAGACCCACGGCAACATGGAATCTATTTATTTCAACGATAAAAAAAATATTTCTAATGATGACGTCATCTACGCGTCCATCTTCCAAAGATCATTAATACGAACCAATCAAAATGCGCGCATCATTCAGCTTGGCCCTTTAACACCTAAGAGTGACTACCATCTAATTTCTCCTTACAAAAATACTGCTGAGTCGCTCATTTAAGATCATGAGAATAAAGAAAATGATCACCAACTAGAGCAGCTCTTGATTATTAAACAAATTCTCCTTGTCAGCACCTTAGGAAATGTAAAGAGAACAGTATGGAGAATATGCATACTGATGTTAGGGTGTAAAGGGTTAAATGAGTTTTGATTCACAGTGACGATGTCACACAATAAAAAGAAACCAGGACAACACCAACATTCTGAACGAAAAAGATCGCTCAAAGAAAGATTCATAAAACGGCAGCGCCAAAGAATTAAGCTTTTACGAGACGAGACGGGTAATTCCGAACGAACGAGACAATCCCTTAGACTTCTGCTAAAAGAAAACGGCACATTAATAGTTTTTGACAACGAAGACCACGTAAATATTTGCATTATTACTCGGATATCTGACGTAAAACGATAACAATTGCAAGGAAGGCATAGAGAAGTAAATTGATGATGTGTTTTGGTTTCCCGCTGTTTTAGTCTGTCCACCAACCTTCATATTACTTTTCACAACACCTCTGAAAGTAACTAAACAATAAAAACACTGCATAACAAGTAGGAGCCTAACTGAGGGATCAATGTCTGGAAAAAAATAGGGCAGATTCCAAAATAGCTATCAATAACAATCATTGTGTTTAAAGCCCCATATATCCAGCTGTTTTCAGTCACCCTTTTGGTACAGAGAAAAAAAGTCAGAAAGCACAAAAGGTTTAGCAATTCTGTTTTGAGACAAACTTCATTTACAATGTACACAGCAAGATGAAAAGTCTGTATCAATTTCGCACGAAAAAAAGTTAAAAGTGCAAAGTATTTACACTACATCCAGGTTTAATGATTTTTGTAATTCAGAGAAACTTAAGCTAGGAAAATTAAATGTAATGAGCTGAAAAAATTGACAATGCGGAAAATAACATTTGTGTGCGTGCGTTGAGCTTAAAGCCATATTTCATGCATTTTGAACACGATTTCGTTCTTTACATTTTTCTTCATCATAATTTTGTGTTCGTGAACTTTAATATATTTTATTAGCGTGCGAATTTTATTCAAGAGAAACTTGGTTTTGTCCATTTAAAAACGTAAACATCGATAAAACAATGAATTTCATTAAGATCCGTTGAGGAGGAAAGGAATATATACATAAATTTAATAACATTATGCATCAACGAAAAAAACAGAATAAATGTTCCTAAGGAAAATGGTGAGTTCATGGAAAATAGAAGCGACATGAGGAAAGATTAGACAAGAATAACTTTAAAAGGAACTGACCTAAGTACAATTGTTAAATTTTCTTGGAATTCGATCGAAGAAAAAGCGATTCTGCCATCTAAATAAGTCTTTAGACAAACAACTTTCCAATTCACTAATTGCAGAGCGTAACGAATAAAAACAGAACTGTTTCATAAATTGAAGGGAAAAACGGCCGCCTTGAAGTGTAGTTATGTTGAAGGTTTAGTACAACATTACAATCGGATGGTAAAGTGCAGCCACCCAAATTGTCGCAATAACAAAAGATTTACGACATGGAAAGTTCCTGAAAAAACTAGCTTCTGCTCGCGTGCATCATTTAAATTTCATCCCCAATGCCTCTAGAGAGTAATTAAAATAAACTGCGGTATTCGTGACATTAAAAATCCACTGCAGTGCTACGTTTTTATGAGTCAAGCTAGACCGCATTTGAGATAAAAACGCAAGAAATCTGATCAGAGATCGACAGACCACAGTTCAGTGCCCTAATTTGAACATTCCCTCCAAAGTTACAATCCAAAACACGACAGATTTTAGAGCAGCTAACCGAGAAAGTCGCCAAAATCAAATATAACATCCAACTTCTTGACACGATAAAAACACAATTCCAAAACAAAACAAGTTACACAGTTTACCTGTCGAAATAATGTAACATGACTTGGACGTATGTAGATGAACATCCCTTTCCTGAGAAGGAATTTAAACCACAACCATTCTTCTCTGGGATTCCCGGGAAAAACAGTTCGAACCACGTAACGTCTGTAAACGACTACTTCGATTCGTAACCGGCGACATGAACAAGTGGTTCGGTGCTTTGTCTTAATACGCCGCATGTTGTTAGCAGCTTTAATCAGATTGCGGCCGTAACCTTGTGTGCATCCATGATGTCTTTAGTACTCGCTGCTTCTCCTTTTCGAAGCCACATTACGCGAAAACGTAGTGGTAATTCTTTAACTTCTGCTTTGGTTACTTAAAAGGGTAAATTTCGCGCAGCCTGTCAAACAGATTCACGCATTTTCTTTCACATGCCCGCCTCGTCTTTCAAGAACCAGACGTGAGAGATAATTATGTGTAATTCATGAGTTTCCTTTCGATCTATTCAGCGCATTACCATATAAACCGGAGAACCAATCGTCTTTCAGTCGCTTTGAATTTTCGAAGCAAGAAGAGGGTCGTCAAGCGGTCCAAAAAGTAACCTATTACTTCATATACAAATTCTGAAAATGTTGACAGAGTAGTGTTTGGTTGCATATGTTTACAGTAATAAAGGAATCGAGTTAAAAAACTTGCTTCTGGTTGAACGACAACGGTGACACAAACATTCATGAATAATTGATAGGAACGGCTGTAAATAAAGGAAAAAAACCTTGAAACAGCTGTTAAAAGCGCTGTTCTTTCATTTCATACATAAACACACCACCTCGGCGACTTTGAATGTCAGTGAACGGAATTAAGATGTCAAAATTATCGTCAAATCTATTCGCTTTCCGGTATCGCTAGTGAATAAAGAAATACTTGTCCAAAATAAACGACAGGTACCATTTACATAACAGAACTACTTTAAATACAAAAAAAATATTTAGTTCTGCCCAGCTAGGGTTTGTGTATTACTAAAATTAATTTTTTGTCACGCTTGTAAGTCATTCATTCATTGAATTTTACACACTACGTCTTGCTTCGTACCTGGCAATGAGTTGGAAAATGTGAAAGCTAAGTAAAGATTATTCGAGATTTTACTTGAAATCAAAGCTCAATATTTATGCCGTGACCTGAAGCTCTTCGCTCGATTGGTCATGCATTCCGCACGTACAAGAAAAATAGTCGTTAAAAAAAAGTTTCGAGATCACAAGTATAGTGGCGTTTTCGACAAAGTATGGCGTTTAAGAAAATTGTCTAAGAGTAATTACCTCAAATAAAACAACGCGAACACTCTAGTAACTTTTGAAGCGATAAAAAGCTACAAGTCAATTATCTGTCAGATTTACCCATAGAAATTGAATTAAGCCCCCTGGGCAAACGCGATCGCCAGATTATTCATTGTGATGCGAAAGGCACGCGGCCAGGTTGCTAAGCAAGATTCAAAGTAGCAACGTCCGTAAACGATCGATTCCGAAAGGAAAAGTTACTTTTTGGGATCTGCAAACACTTCCAGAGTCACGATTTCATATATACTTTTTAAAAGCAGAGATAAAAACTTTAGCTTTCTGGAACACACATCCCCTTTCAACTATAAATTTCAATCAACTTACGTTTCCAGGTTCCAAGTGTTTGGGGTGATTCCGCGAGCCTCTAGATCCATACGATCTCTCAGATGATATACTGGCCACGTCACTATCGTCGTCATCGGAACATTGAGAACCAAACGAATATTTTCGTCTGGATGGGCTTTTATGCTTAAATGAGAATTAGACGGAAATAAATTAGTATTCTTAGGAGAGCAACAAAGCCTACTTGAGTTCTTCCTTTTTACTTTTAAGAGGAATCTCCGGTTAAAGGACACCCTGGGGACAAAAGAAAACGTCCCAAACAAGCCCTCATTTTAGCTCTGCATAACGAGATTTCTAAGCCAGCGGAAGGACTGGAGACAAGTCGCGAGGTTCACTGGGGGTCTGGTACTGATAACATACCTCTCGCCTGCTCGCGTCCGGAGAAATATATGCAACGCTTTTAAAGATATTGTGAGAATGACTTACCCAAGCGTTCCAAACCGCTTCTTCAGTGACACCTTTACCCGTGGACTCGCCTTGACTTGACTGTTTTACCATTGGTGGATCTAAGAGGTTAAGGAAAGAGGGCATTATTTGAATAGCTATGCAAGCACGCGCTGATCATGGCCAAGGTTCTTGACTTTGAGAATGCGATAAGGGAGGAGAGAGAGGCAAAACTAAAAATCTGCCTCCAATCGTTCACGCAATCTCACGGGGTAGATAATTGATTATGGGATGTTTTGAGGAGCGACGCAGGGAGAGGGAAAAATTCCTCGAAGATTTACTTCTCATTTTCGTAGCGAGGTGGCCTTCATTTTCAACGAGCGCTCGAAAATCACCAGTCACGCAGGCCATCTCATGACTCGTCACCTTTCCTCCTCTTTAGTCACTCAAGACATTCTCGACATTGCTGATTTTAGGGGGCGAGTTGCTTAAGAAACTGCAGTGCTGCGTCGTTGGGGTATAACAATGATAATTTGGTTTTATCAACTGAGATGAGAATGTAAATTGGCCACCGTAGGGTTTCTAAAGCTGACGTTTCGACCGTTAGCCCTTCGTCAGAGCCATTCTAGCTGAGCAGCTCTTTTCTTCAAGCAATGACGTTTCACGTTCTTTTTTGTTCAATCTGTTTAGATCTTCTCCATCCTTTGCTCTGGTTATTTTTACTTCCCATGTGTTGTTCTATCTCAAAGAGCCAATAATTTGCAATTTCTTTCAAGGTGAAGGCCATTTTGCACAATGCAAAAAGTAACACTTCCTCTCCTTGTTTCCCGCCCAAAGTCAAAGCCCTACTCACTGTGTAACGGACTTGTCTTCTTCATCACCGGTAAATGACTTGGACTGTATCCTCGCTCTGAACTCATTCGCCTGTCCCCTCTCCGGTCAGGACTGGTGTCTCTGCTCGCTCCGCGCGAACTCGCGCGGGAGCTCGCGCGTGAGCTACATTGAGAAGCAGTTCGTGCACGACTGTGGAAGAGAACCGTGGAAATAAAAGATTAAATCTGACATAAGAATTGACGCAGTCACCGTCTTTTGGATGTAATCGTCTGGACGTGATTAAATTGGGGGATATTGAAGTATGATGAAAGTAAGAGTTATTATTAAAAGTAATATGTTATCGATATAGCGCAGTTTTTTAATGATTTCCACAGTAGCAAAACTGAACGAATCAGAATCCATATTAAAGAACAATACGCGGGAAAGTACCGCGACAAGCGCGGGAAGAAATGAAGCTTTTAATACAAGCATGGGAAAAGTCATCGTCACGAAGCACCGATATATAACTGGTGATTGGCTGAATGGATAATCAACCCTTTGTCTGATTGGTTAAGGTAGAGAGCATGACCATTAAGGACCAATTAGACTTCAGCTAGCACAAACCAAGGCATACGTAGCACTTAAAGGGGCAATGAACTAGGGTTTGAATATAACTTTACTAAGGATTAAATCGACGAAATGTTCCTGTTAGAGAAATTCAATAACGCATTTCTTCTTCAGCATTAACTTGATCACGGGCGTTACAATCGTTACAATCGTTACAATCATTGGCAAAAAAAACCTTTCTTAGAACTGAATGAAAGTTTTCGTTTCTTGTTCCCGACAATAAAAAAATTCATATATGCACAACGGACTATGCTGTGTGTTAGTTCCAGCAATCTCTCTAGGACAAGAACTGAGTTAAAAGACAAGGCAAGAGTTCTGTCACAGAATTCCCAGGAGAAGCGAGGTTACTCACAAGCTCGGAACAGGAATGTAGGAGACAGAAGAATTACGAGGCCGTCTGGGAAGAAACTCGAAGCTAAGATGCCGAGAAAGACTGCAATAAAAGACAATGAGACCACAACGATCAGTTGTTCAAGAAGATTATAAGAATGAGAATGGACAGAGTACGAGATGAATGTGAAAATAAAGGTGTTTCGTTCGCAAGAAGGACGAGAAGAACTGTGGCATGAAAAGTTTAACAGAAAAAGAAGCACAATAAAAGATTTGATAGTTACGAGTACGCAGAGGAAAATCAACAGAATATCAGCGGAATAGACAACCTGTACGCACAGTAACGTAACCAAAACAAACTTTTTTAATGGAAAGATCAGATAAAAAGTTGTTAGGAAAACTGGAAAAATAAAAGATGCGATCACAACGAGAAAGTGACGCAAAGTCGATAGATAATCAGCAGAATCCATAATCCGTAGCTAAAGTAACAAAACCGAAAGAAAAAGTTGTACTGCAAAGACGTCAAAAATTCTTACAAAAGCAAACTGAAAACGCAAGAAAACAAGTGCTTTTTCTTAGTAAGCTAAGATTTAAAAAGCCTTCTGTTACATTAGCTTCGATAAATACAGTTAGGATTAGTAATTAGAATAAGCTGTTTATTTAGATTATGTTATTCTGTATCAGAGCTGCTATAAAAGTAGTTTACAAGTTAAAAGTTAGTACTTACTGAAGTTTAGGACTGGGAACAGGAAGAAAAGATCGAGAGGGAGGAGGGTAGGGTTGGGGCGAGTAGCTCCTAGGACTATTTAGACTCTCGTTGCTGCAATTTCGAGCAACTCTGGAAAAGAACGTAAAATAAATTATCATAAATTATAACCAAATAAGGTAAACGGAGAACTGATTATGCGTTAGTTGTGCGCCGTTTAAGGAGCAAAGAATGGAAGGTAAAAAGACTCGAGGAAGGTTGTAAGAACGATGTTGTCGTATGAATTGTTGGCGACTGGATACAACATCAAGAACACAATGGACTGTACTCACAGAGTTTTACGAACGGGGAGGAAAGAGGGAGAACTAGAGGGATGGGAGTGGGGTGTATGGCTGTCAATACCAGCCAGATTCTCGTTGCTGCCATGCCTAGAAACACTGGAAGAGAACCGACAACAACGAAATTAATTTACACAAAATAACACCAAAACATGACAACTGTGAATCCATATAAGAGACTATCTGCCACATGAAACTGGTTTATACTTCTGTGCACCTAAAGGGATTTCAATAACTTTTTTCATTAGCGGCTGGAAAAAGAGCCGTAAGGCGAGATCCAAACACGAGAGCTTGTTAGCAGGCTAAACAGACGGCGATAAGAGGTCTTATGGGCAGCAGTAGACCACTGGTAACCGGGCTCTATTGAATCAACACCACTTAAACACTTTCTCTTGCAGAATAAGGACCCGAAAGAAAATCTTAACTCACTGAAAAACTGATCGCCCGACTTACAAATAGCATTGAATGAAGAAAGAGTTTTCATCAAGTCCAGAGACGATACCTTGTTGGAAACGACTTGGTTTGAAATAATAATTTCCAATGAAAACGTTCTCTCTATATTTAAGTCGGCGCCACGTTTGTCGAAGTATTAATAGCTATCTTTTAACCTCTGACCTAAAGCCAAATTCCCCTAACAACATCTATAGCATGTTGAATCAATGATTAGGAGAATCTCTATGCCTATGAATTTACCTTGGAGTGGGTATCTTGGTTCTACTTATGCTTTCTCTCCGACAGTACACCTCAGACCTCTCCCGAGGAGGGAAGGTGGACAGCAATCGTTCGGGAGACTGGGATCGACTTCCAGCTAAAAAAAAAAAAGAACAAATGAATGTTAGATTTTGTTTATTTATTAATTTTTAAAATTTTCATAAGTAGATTCATTGTTCTTTATAAAGTTCGTTTTCGTACTTACGTTGAGAAACAGTGCCCCTAGAAGGGTACTGGGGTCGAATTTGGCGCTGCTGCACGTGATGGCTTTGAGGTGACGTTCGAGGTACTGCGCGGATCTTAGAACGCGCACTGGCCCGTTCAGCCGACCGCTGGTCGATATTACTGAGGGAACGACCGAGAGAAGCCATGGGAGAGAGAAGAGAGCCTGTTGCCTTGGATGCCACAGCATGACGGGAATCTAAGAAAAAAGATCACAAAAAGTGTAACTAAAGCAACTCAAAGTAAACGCTAACCTTTTCACTGCCAATCTTTTAATTTTAACTTTCCACACTATTTGCAGTACTTTTGATAAAGTGAGATTTTTTATTTTTAAACTCCCTAGCGCCAGTTAAGATTTAAATTTTCTAGCATTCGTAACTATTCTACAAAGTAGAACATTAGATCATCGTCACCGAGGGCAAACACAAATTTTGGAAAAAACACTTCCTTCTTAATGGAGCGAAAATTCTTAATGAGATGCCTTCTGAAATTCGGAATGCCCCTGAGAGACGTAAAGACGTTCTGTCGCAAACATTTTCTGAAGCGGTCCTAATTTTTAGAGTTTTTTTTCAAGTAACTTAATAGAAGTCAGATTTTTTAATGTAATTTTAGTTTTAATATATTGTAATCATAATTGTATTTTGACACAAGGCCTCTAAGGCTATCAGCCTCCGAGCGGAATAGGTTCAATAAAACAGTAAACTAAGTAAAGCAGTAAACCTGCAAAACTATAAAACTGAAAAACAGGTAAGTAAACATAGGATTAGTTGCATAGCGATTTAAACAATACTTCCTGTCCTTAGCAGGAATATATCATGTTCTTGGTAACTTCCTCGTCTACCCTTAAATTCTTGAAGAATTTTCCCAGAGAACTTCCTTGTAACCCAGCGCCTTCACACTGCCACACTTTTTATCTTACCTTCTCTGTGAGTGGTTCTCGCGGCACGGCTCGAGGCTCCCACTGTCTGACGGGAAGGTGCTGTGTGCCGTGAGCTGTAAATAACAACATGTGAGGAAAACTCAATCCTACTTAAGGTAATTTGGGATATTTGAGCTCTCCGTACACTATATATCGAACAGTAATTAGATATTCACCGCCTGGCGGCAACCCCATCACTCAAACACATACTTGACATGGTTCTAAAAAAATTTGAAACTATATTGAAATAAATTAATGTATCTGTAAACATTGCTCGACGGTCGATATCCATCGATATACGTCAACAATATTTACATGGCGAGTTATTTACACAATAGATTCAATCCTTCTATTATTCCTCAAAGCCGCACCACCAGCAGAAATCATTTTGCGGTAAACTATTGTAAAGTAATCCAGGATAACAGTAAAGCATACAAAGTCTACCTAATTGCCGAAGAGAAGAAGAAAGAAAACCGATGTTCTAGAATTTCTAAATCAGCCGATTTCCATTGCAAAGCCTATAAATACTAACTTTGCAATATCGTGTCTTGGCGCACATATCGGAAAGAACTGCTTCAAATACTTCTCGTTTCAACCGCAGAATTCATGCATGTCTATTAAATAACGCCACGTGAAACGAACCATAACTTGAAATAAACGTAGTTCTAAAATTTAACATAAAAAGTAAACGAGATTCGATTCAAAACACTTTTCGCATCAAAGGAAATGCGTTATACACTATGAAAAATTAAATGCAAAATCGCTTCATAAATAACGTTGCTACCTGCTGATACATCATTGCTGTATTTTCTACGCTAAGCAGGAGCAAACATTGAGCTATTCAACTGAACAGCTATACAAAGAGTTCTAATTAAGATTACTCGCCATTGTACACGACGCGCACACCTCGAACAGCAAAATCTGCACGAAAAATAAAAACCCAACGTATCAACGAACACTTCGAGAGGCATGTTTAATGATTCCATACCCTTAAGCAATAATTACCAGCCGTGAAATCGCGAAATTAAAGATATAAATAACCCTTTTATTTCTTTTCATGTGTTCTGCAAACTTACCTTGTCGTGCCATCTTCGCTAGCCGCACTGGATGAGCGCACTCTGTTTCCAGAAATTGGCTTGCTCGGTTTCACAGCAACGAATCGTCCGGACGATGAAGTTTTTACAGGGCCAAGATTGGAAAGGTTACGGTCATTTTCGAGCTGTTTCTGCTTTGAGGCATCGAACGATTTCAACAAGCTGTAAGGAGAAAGGGGAAAAAAATTAATATGTTCAATAGACTATGAAGTTTAAAATAAAATTAAATCCGGCAATCAAAGAGTTGCGCTGTACTTGTAGTAGTACAGCCATGAAGGTTGGTCCTCTATGTAGTGACCGCTTCGCCAAACTCCTATCGGCATTGTGCGAAGAAAAGACAGCAATTCATTGACGAAACTAGTTGCAATCTATATTTGTGCTTCAGTTTACGGCAGCCAGCCTCAAAAACTCAAAACTTTACAACCGGTACGAACAAAACTACGATGAAAAAAAATTAAGTTGCCGACCCTCACATGACTCTGGTCTGTTGCCGAATTGCACAACTAATTAACCAGTTATGAATATTTATAAAGATTGTTCGGCAACTGAAAGGAAGGCCAAGATTAAAATATAAAGTAACCTTACCTCTCTGCTCTGTCTCTAAAGTGTTCATGATAATGCCAAAACGCCCTGAATATCGAGAAGATCGTACATTAACAAACACAAAACTACGCTCTGTAAAGCTGTTAATTTTCGATCTTTATTGGGAAGTAGTTAAGGCATTTACATTTACAGTTATATCCTTTCTTTTCCAAAGAAAAGAGTTGTATGTTGTTAGCACAATCTCTTGGGGGGTGTTACACTATTTTAAGCTTCAATTACCCTCACTAACAGAGAAACAAAATTTACTTGGCGAACACGAAATTATCCCTTGCGCTGGCTTTTTTTTAGCATCATGGAAACTTCCACGTTCTCACCAACATTAGAAATGACATTGAGAGCCCTTTCGAGAAAATTTTGGTTTCCTGATCAGCGCATTCCTAGTGCGACAAACCCTTTGTAAGTTGATTTGAATAACAGTATCTAATTGAGAATAATAATAAAAATAAAATTGGCTCCAACACGGCGCATCGAGCCCAGTTCTGTATCCAAAGAGATAGAAAAACAGAGTCACAAAACATTGAGATTCTTATTGAGAGCCTTTTCTAGAAAATTTTGGTTTCCTGATCAGCGCATTCCTGGTGCGACACACCCTTTGTAAGTTGATTTGAATAACAGTTACTAATTGAGAATAATAAAAAACACAATTGGCTCAACACGGCACATCGAGCCCAGTTCTGTATCCAAAGAGATAGAAAAACAGAGTCTTAAAACCAATTCAGTTGACCATCTCGACGAGAAATCTTCGGAAGCTTCTAGTTTAAATTTTCTTAAAGAAAAAAAATGTAGCAGTAGCACGACTTCTAAAATAATGACAACATCTCAATTAAAGTCATAAGTTAACGGATTTTCTCGTTAAGTCCAACCCTAAAATTAAAAAAACATAAATTCCAGCTTCCGCTTTCTGATTTGGAAAAGTAATGTTGACCTTGGAACACAAGTTACTGCAAGGGAATGGTGACAGACAGGCAGACTCTTTGGTAAAACTCCACAAAATTCTTCCCGTACTAATACCGCCACGCTATTTCTACGCACCCACATAAAATAAAAGGCCTTACAATCAATTTTCAATTACAGACGAAACAAAAATGTTGACCTTTCAAAGTTCTTAATAAAATTTGCGAGATTTTATTGACAAAAACGTCGAAAAACCGCATTTTAAAACAACTGCAAAGCCTTAAAGGTGAGCAGTCAGGCTTACCAATTCCTTGTTCACCAAAACCCTGGCATGGAACAGTTTCTTCCGAACGAAAAGGGAAATTCCCGAGATGTTATAAAGCCGATCTTTTTTTTTCTATCTACCTTCGCATGCCTGCCCTTGCTTCAGGATCAGCATCTGAAATTCCTTTCCGAATGGCTTCTTCTATTTCACTAACGCGGCTGAGAAAAGAAAAGAAAAAGTATTGTGGCATCTAACAGACACACTAATAACTAGACAAGGGAAAGTTCCATTCACAATTTCCTAAGCTTCACAGCACTAATATATTTGCACTTTTCAACTCTGAAGCATTCGGAGTGATTCTTACGGGTGTGCATCGCAACCCCGATCTCATGATAACTCAGGCTTACCGAGAAATTTCCCCGGCAAGCGGAAGAATTTGAGCTCTAGCAGCCTTAACCGAGGCATATTTTGACAAATATGAAGTGTGAAAGTGAACAGAAGTTCATGTGAATGATCCTATGTTAGTTGAAACGTTCAGTTCTGGAAGGAAGTGCAAAAATAGCAAATGGAGCAACCCTTCAGGACACCTTCCGAGAATACTCGGAACGTCTTCGGAAATATTCGGTAAATCGTTGTTTTAGGAGAAATATGATCCGGTTTTTTTTTTAATCGAAAATGTGGCAATCTGGGGAAAAATCTGCCGCTTTGACACAGAAAAAAAAAAAACTGGCAGCATTGCAAGTTTAGTGTGTACTTACGATTTTATCGTGGGCGTCTCCCAATGAGTAAGAAACAGGTCTACATACTCACAGCATCGGCTGAGTAAGAAATATAGCGTAAGTATGAATTAGCTTACGAACACTCAATCACTTCGATAAGGGAACACAAAAGCAGCCATTTTATGACCAGCCACTGCCTTTGCAAAGGGAGTTAAATCGCGAGAGTTTGTGGAAACATATCAAGGACTAGCCATGCCGCAGTACAGGAAGGTTTCAAGGGTCATTTTCGTGGTCTATCTCATTTGGTAAGTAAAAGAAATAAGACCTTTTTCGCCCCATGATTCATCTTTTTAACAAAATATGGCTTAAACAATCTGTTAAGACACTTTTAACAATGGACAGTAACTTCAGTGGAGGAGGTCAAAATAATCGAGTGAAATGCCTGAACATCAAATCCGATCGTAACGTGGAAATAACCAGAATAAAGTTTCAAAATTTGCTTGGACAACGTCAGATGACCGAGTGTTATTTCTAGCCTTGTTAGTTGACAATTTAAGCAAGCAAAAAATTAAACTTTTCATTTGCCCATTAAAGTTATGAACAATTTAGACGAAAAATAGAAAAAATAAATAAATAAAAGGAAAAAAGCTGTAAATTTGAGCGGGTTGTGCAGAGAGTCGTAAGGTCCACTTCAATGACTTCTTACAGCACGCGTTTTAGATAGTTCAATATTTACCGTCGAATGATACTTGACTTGGATGTCATATTGTTAGTGATGACTGGAATTAGCCGATGAGAATGAGTGTTCTGTTTGACAATATAAAAAAAATGAAATCACTTCACGTCAACCAGTATAAATAGGATCTATAAACACGATCTATAAACACGAGAAAACAAGCTGAAATTTAAAACTCACTTTTAGAATGAAGCTGATACAAGCGTGACCAGACGTTGCCATGATCTGTCAGGAAAAAAAGACAAACACGATTTCTGATTGGAGGAGGACGTATCATGTGCCAAATGTCAAGACTCACTAACCCCTAAGGGGCGAGCAAAACGCCTGGGGTAACAAAAACTTCCAACTCGCACGTGATCAGCTCGAAACCACGGAAACTTTGTGTGCCAGCTCATGCAGTCATGGCAGCTGGACGCAGTCCTTAAGGGTTTGTTCATCATGTTCGTCATATTCCTTGGGGAACGAGGGGAGTAAGGTGTATCTTTTGTGAAAAGAAGATTTTTCTTACCTTGGCGCTGTTGGTGATTAAGTTGATGAGGGTTGGTAATACAGCTTCTGCCGTGTGATCAAACTGATTCTTCAAAATGGTAGACAGGTAGCTAGAGGGAACATGTATATATTGTCAATTTATTTTCTAGGTCAAGTCGAGAGATTGGTTCTCGCAGAAATTTCAACCTGTGACTCACCTTAAGGTTACACAAGCCTCTCTCGTGACAGACGATCGAAGATCCTTTGTCTGAAAGTAACCAAAAATAATCGTCACCACTTAGGTAATGGCTACAAATTTAACAAACAGTTTCTATTTTGCCGAGTCGCTGATTTCTGGTAGGCTGGCGCAGCGGGTGCCGTTATCAGAAAACGGCCCCTGTAATGCCACATTCTTGCGCGCCCACATTTTTGTTCGTGCACATTGACAGAGAGCCTACTAGAGGTTACTGTGAGTTTTAAAGATCGATCTCCATCATTCGCATGTTATAAAAAAGGCGCAGTAAAACACTCATTTATTCATTTTCTATCTGACTAAACCCTACTCCAAAATGTCGAGTCGATTTAGAAAACCAAAAAGTTACTTACCGAGAGTTTGAATGCCCCCTCTTGTAGCCTCACCAGCGACACAAAGTTATCGTACTCTAGAGCCCCTCCGTTAATTAAGCTGCGAATTTTCTTGAGCTGGAAGAGGACACAAAGGTACAGTGAAGTTTAAAATTTGCGCAAACAACAACTTCGAGGTTACCACAGTCTCCGACAATATCGACATCTCACGAACAAAATTTAAAAGGAATTCGTTGTTGCTGGAAAAGAAGGAAAGCTAAAGAAAACGGGGCGCTCAGAGCTAAAAAAGCCAGAACCTCAGAGTTTGAAAGTAAATACAAATTGTTCGTATCAAAGCAATTGTGTAATCTGTGTGGTTCTACTGAGCTTCGCTTCATGATTGGTCGAGAAAACTCGCGCCAACCTTTCAACCAATCAGATGCAAAATCATAACCAATCGTGACGTGGGTCACTGGCGTTTTCCCGCGCCTCAGGCAGCTACTTGTTTTACTTTTACTTCTTATTGGCTCTCTGTGATTTCTCCTTTGATCTGATTGGCCGTTGTGATCAATTTGGTTTTGCTTTGAAGACACTCCAAAGAAAATCTCTCCAAGAGAGGAAAGTTGCAAAATGCAAAACTCACCGCAGCTACCCGGTGTTCCCAATCGTTTTTATCATCCGATAACACGGACTGAACCTTCGCCATCTCCTCTGCTAGTTCTTTACTGCTATAAACCTGAAAAAACCCAGTTATCTCTTAGTCATGTAAACTGTCAAAGCTGCCAGTGAACGGTTTCTTCGAAAGCGAAGCTCGGAGAGAGACTGTGTGCTTCGAGGAACAGATAATGTCTTTTGGGACAAATATGAGAAAACATTTTCGCGCCAAAAGAAGGCTCGTAATCACTTCACTTTCGTGTTCTTTCAAGTATTTTGTGCAGCGTGCAAGACAAAACGTTTTCAAACAGCTTGCCGTTTAAGACATCTAGCGCCGCAGAAGTTCTCTATAACGAGTTAACCATTTTACTCCCATAAGTGACCAAAACATAATTTCTCCTTACAATATCAATACAATACAACACAAAGCAGACAAGTGATGGGAATTGAAAATATATATATATGTCAATTATAGGATTATTAATTGATCCAATACCAAATTCTTTGAACTAACATCAAAAGGATTGTATCAGCAAGAAGTTGGGAGAATTACTGATGAGATCTTGGAAGTGAAGGGTTTATGAACAAAAGAAGGTTTGCCTCCTTTTGTCACAACGGAAGAACACCCTCGCTTTTGACGCAAATTTCAAACGAAGGCTTACAGTTGATTATGTCTTTGTATTCCTTATGACTTTATTTTTACAAACCTTGATTTCAGGACAGTCATGAAATGCATTTTCAAAGTCTGCCTCGTCAACTGCTCCTGCAGACGCTGTAAAGAAAACCAACGGTTTTAACAACTACAAGAACTAAATAAGTATACCTCAAGGAATTTTGAGTCCGCTTCCTTTTTTATCAGATTCAATTGGAAGCTGAAGATTTTTTTAATAACAGTGTTCGTCAAGGTCTTACTTCTCACTTCTCTACATTTCCATCACATTACTATGTATGGGCATAAAAACTACAATTCGAGATCGCGATATTAATAGTCTTTATAGTTAAAACAATAGAAATCTCACCGAACTGAACAAAATCGGCTGGCTTTGAGCTACGACCCCTACTACAATTCCTTAAAATGTGGCGACTGGCACGTGATGTCAGCGAGACTCTCGAGGAACGGGTCTCGGGTTCAAACCAAGGCTGCGTCACTGGGTTGAGTTGGTGGGCAGGATACTTTACTAACTCACAGTGACTTTCTCCACCCGGGTAAAATAAATCGGTACAGGCGATTTTTTTTTTGGGGGGGGGGGGGGGGAAGAAAGAAGGTAACTGTGTGATGGACAAGCATCCCATCTAGGGAGGAGTGGCAATACTATTTATCACTTTACGCTTCTGAAAAAAGAATACGCTCGGCAGGATGGGCCGTCTGACTCGTAAACTAAGTTTACCTTTAAGACAAAAGAATAGAATGAAAAAGAGGCAAAACTCTTGAACCTGAGTTAGATGATGGGCCTGAAGTTTTTGACCCACTGGTTTTTCTCTGTGGTCCGCCTTTTTTCACCGATGTTGTTCTGGAAGGCGCTGGTGTGGAAAGCTGAAAACAAACGAATAAAAAAAAAATTTTAATTACACCGCTCTAATAAGTTCACCTCTCTAATAATCCAGTTGATTATAATTGGTAATCTCACATGTTATTAAACAGCAAGCCTTTCATTCCCCGGATCTCAAAATAAATTCTTTTTACTCTCTGCCACGCTTTTCTGATAATGTTAGTTGGAAGAATTTGGTTTTAATCAAGCAGTATCCCTCCAAACGATGTGGTTATTCGTTCTCAGCACCTGTCCGTTTAGCAGTGTGCTAACATTGTAGGGAGAAATTACGAATTGGTCACTATTGGGAATAAATGCTTAAGATTTGATAGAAATAATCAATGACGATCTAAAAACATAAAGTAAGAGTATGCACCATTTTTCTGTAACATGAAAACTAAAACGAGGCACACGAAATAACGGCAAACTGAAATTTGACTGACTTTTTATACTCTGCATATTATAATACTTGATAAATCACTTAAATTTATACAGGAAAACATTTCTCTATTATCTAAAACTGATAAATGCAATCAACCACTTTGTGCCTACTAAAAAAAACTAACTAGAAAATCACCAAACTGCTCGGAGAAAGAACAAAAATACTCCTAAATTCGGCCACTAAGACTTAATGACAGATGCTTGGCAGCGAGCAAAGACAACAGAGCACAGTGGCGCACAAAGAAAGTAAGCAAGTCTATCATATATCACATGACTTCACAAAATCATTACAGCCCTTTTATCATGTAAAAGGTATACACACAACAATACCTGCTGACAATTTTTTTCCATGAATTGTAAATTTAACAGCCCCACAAACATAACATCTCAGCAATAGGTCAATATTTTTTCCCATGCCAAGAAGACCTTGATATTTTGAAATAAGAGTTTTCTCATTTATGCATATGTCATGTGTCTCTAATATGGCACTCAGACATATGCATTGTGTTTCACTCAAAAGTCTCCACTCTGAGAATAATTATTATTCACTTTAATGGTTTGTTTAGACGTTTCCAGACATACCGTCTCCAAATCCATCATGCAAATATCATTTCTAATTTTTCTAGACCTTTCTTTGCACCTGGCTACAAACTACATTTCAAAAAAAAATTGCAATATCTTTCCATATCTTTTTATCTGTCTCAGAAAAGGTTGGTGTTGTACCTCAGGCACATTAGTCAGAAAGTAAAAATTTGATTTAAATGAAAAATAAAAACCAAGTATAAATATAATGGTGATGTAATAATTACTTATTTCTGATAACATCAGCTTTAATTCCGTATATAATATTTCAGGTAATATAGACTGGAAAAATATTTATCTATTGCCGGGTCGAGTCACTCTTGAAACCAGAACGAGAGCCTTTCAATACAAAATCTTAAATTGTATTCTCTACACCAATAAAATCCTATATAAAATGAATTTGGTTCCTTCTCCGATGTGTACCTTTTGTGGAGATCACGAAGAAACTCTTGAGCATCTTCTAATCAGCTGTACCTACACTAAAAACTTTTGGCTTTCGGTTATTTCTTGGTTAAATACTTACAATATGAAAATTGATAAGCTTGATGAGGTAACAATCCTCTTTGGTATTTCCGATAATATCCCTGGGAATTGTTTGTTAAATCACATAATCATTCTTGGAAAATATACCATTTATTCATGTCGTTGTAAAAATATCAAGCCGTCTGTATCCTTACTGAAGGCTAAAACATCTGAAACTCGGAAATTTGAATTTTTGATTGCAAAAAAGAATAAAAAAGAATCTATTCATTATAAAAAATGGGAAAACATGTTATTGTAACTCAATAGATGAGTATCGGGTATTAACAGTTATAGACGCAGTTGTATATACAGTCGTTCTACCAAAAAAGGAATTTGATGTAGAAGTATTTGTACAAATTAGATTTATATTATTATATAACCACAACATAAATTAAATCTAGCCGACTGTGAATGTAATGTAACGCAGTATTTCGTAATTAGTGTTAGTGAGTAGCGTAAGCGTTAGTGTAATTAACTTTGTATTTGTTTGTATTATTCTAGTATTTGTGCTTTAAGTGAAAATAAAAAAATGTTAAAAAAAAAAAAAAAAGATAACATCAGCTGTAAAATAAACTATCAAACATTAAGAAAGGAAAGTTCATGTGTCAAAAGCATGGCCTGTGCAACTGTTCTCTGTGTGAACTATAAGTTTACCAACCAATGGTTTGAAAACTCAACGAAATTACTAAAAACAAATTAAATAAAATCATTTGACTTTAAAAGAGGTCAGCTATATAAAGAAGTCATCTACTTACTTAAAATTCTCCCTATCATATTCATAAATTACCCAGCAAACAGGTAAGGAGAATACTCAAACTTATCTGGTAGACATTTTTATGTTGATCTCACACCAAACTCATGTAAGTAATTTACAAGGAAATGTGCATCAGCTACAGGGGAGAATTAACAATCAGATCTTGGGAGTTTAAAAAAAATTACACCTGTTCTGTCATCTACAGTCTTCGCTTTTCAAGGCTAATTCACTGGTCACCATTTCCCTCACCTTTGCTCCGTCTGTCTCCACCTCTCCATTTACTCTTGAGGATCCTGAAATGAAACAGGAATAAGAAAAATTAGCATGAAATAAACTTATGGAATCAATGTTCAATACACTTCTTAAAAAAAATTAACTGATTAATTTTTTTAAACTTTAATATTCATAACATTTGGTAAAGAGGATCTGGTCAAGTTCTCATCGCTCACCATTTTATCTGGCTTTGAATGTTTTCCTAACAATACAAATACCAGTTTATTTCCACAGTAAGAAAAAACAAAAAATCATTCTCAAAATTGTTTCTTTACACATGTAGTGTAATTTGTTATTCCCAAATGAAAAATCCTTAAAATGGTGGCTCTTTTTTCCCCCCAAGAATTTGAGACAAAGAAGAAATTGAATTCCCCACCCTCCCCCCCCCCCCATCACAAGTTGAGCCCTAAATCTTGCTTTTCCACTGAGCTGTTATCTCTTAACTATATATATTTTCAATCCTAAGATTTACACACAACACTTCTAACAGATCTTCAGACAACATTTATGATAAAAGTTGGCACAACAACATTAGCTCTCCCTTCAAATAAAGGTATTTATTTTTGGCAAGATTTCCCAATGAACGTGACCTACAATTCAGGTCCTTAAAATCAAGTATCAATTTTCTACCAGTTTTCTATGATTGTTATTGTACATGATACTCTCACGGTTTGTAATCCTTGAAGAAGTACAATTCCCATGCATTGCATGACAAAGTGTGTCAGCACACGCCTGAGACATGATTAACTTCATAGTGTTGAGTTACATGACCTACTTGTCTTGATCAATGACTCGAAAAAAATCTGATAACATTTTCAGTTAGAGTTTCTAATGCTAAAAAGTTTGAGAATGTTGTTCAACAAAAAATAACTATAATTGAAACAGTTCAACAGCAAGTAAAAGAAAGAATTGAGGGAGACATCAGTAAAGAAAAAAATTCATAATAACTGTTTTTAAATAAAAGATCTAAGTGGCACGAGCCCAAGGCACATGGAGTTTCACAATAGATCTTATCAAGATGACCTTTCCACATATCATCACACCAAATACTCATAAAATTATCTTTTGCTTATTCTAGTTCATTCTAGTTGAGTGCTGAAAACAAAAACATCACAATTGAAAGGAACTTGTTGTTCTGCAGCTTATTTCAGCCTTGAAGATGATATTCAAATCAGCTGAAGCTGTCTCGCACCCATACATTTGAATTTACCCAAAATAGATCTAAATGATTGATCTGGTGCACAACAACAGTTTCTCTCTGACCAACTTTTAAATTTGTAAGACTATTTCTAAAATGATATGACTGCTAGTTTGTTACAGCTAAGGAAAAAATTCCAAACCAAAACAGCTGATTGTGACCCAACAGCACTTATCAAAAAGCAAATATATATCATGTGATTTCCAAGACAAGGACATGTCATAACATGAAGATGAGTGGGCAGAAATTGTCATAGATAATAAGAGTACCCTGAAAATGAAGTTGAACTTTGAGTGTTCATTTTTTGTAGATGAAGAAAATCAACCTTATGAAGAAACTTTTCTGAAAAATTGACTTGTGACACATCACAGCATGGCAAATTGATTCAAGACAGTAGAACAATTACTCACAGTGGGATTTTAAGCAAAGATTAACAATTGAATGGCTCCAAAATAAATGTACTTCTTGTAAATCTTATGTAGAGATGTCATAAACATGTACACACATCATACATCACCTCGGCAGATAAAATATTTGACAAACCACAAGACAACAATCTGGTAAATTACTTGAGAACATGGTAAACAGCTGCATTTCAAGGGATTTATCTTACTCACTGTTCAACAAAAAATTTTCCATGTCTTGAGCCTTAAAATTGTATACATTTAAGAAGCAATACAATATCTAAACCAACAGGTAACTACTGAGACATGCAGGATGAAATTTTTATAATTTTAATCCACAGAACCTAATAATATTCCTTGCCAATTGCCAGAAATTTGCATTTTTACTGCTTTTTTGTTTACATTGCCTTAAAAGGTTCACATACTTGCTAAAATATTCTAAACTAAACCTCAAACCTACAGCAAAATATAGCAGTGCAAAATTATAAAATGAAGATATATTTTTTAAGAGCAAAACTTAAATGCCTAAGGAAACAGCTAAATTGTTTTCCCAAATGTAAAACTGAAATTACCATTTTAGAGCCATCTATATGCATGCATAAGCACAAACATTGATTTAAGAATTTACTGAGCAAGTAAAATTAAATTGTGTGGCAATTGTTACCTGTCAGAGAATACTTCCCATTCTGTGGTGAGACACAGGAGATTAGAAAACGAAAATAAACTCACTCTGTCTGTCAGATGAAATCAAATGTCATCTGTAAAAAGCTGATCATGCATGTGAAAGTGTGCCTTTGTATCAGCCATTAGCTGTGCTACAAATTAATTTGATTCAAATTTTAAAAATTACCATTTCTGTTCCTTTGAAAATCCAAGTCTATCTCAGGCCCTCTGCTACAGTAATCTTCAATTTGCTTCAGTATCACCAAATATTCTTTAGAAATGCCATCAGAACTCAAAAGATCATCCACCATAGCAGTTTACTCTGAGGCAGACATTCACAAGAACATTCAATCCTTCATGCCTCTTTCTGTTTAAATTCTACTGTCTAATCAATGCCACAGCCTCCCCTTGAAACACCAGACCAGCTTTTGAAACATTTGATCCAGATAAACAAACTCTTATGCCATAATTCCCAGATAACAGCTATTCTTGTTTGACAAATGTAGAAGAAGCCATGTTGGTTTTCACAATGTCTGCTGGAACAGCATATTAATTACACTTCTAAATTCAACCTCTTGTCAGCCAATTGTGGATGTTGTTCTATACCGGAACACTGTTCCCTAAAGGCATTCTTGAGTGGACAGTTTCTTAAAAACAATAATTACCCAGGTGAAGTAATATTCTGGGATAAACGTAGTTTACAACCAATGAGTGAAATGTGAGCCTACCTTACATCTAACTGAAAATGAATTTAAAAGCGGCAGTAGCCAATCGCAGCACATCACTGTTTAATATTTTATGAGAGCACTGTCAGAGGTTATAACTTATTGATCAAAACAAGGGAAAATATTCATTTTATTTTAAGAGCTTATGTAAATTCCAATGAAGAATTGTAAAGAAATCATTTAAAATTATTTAAAATGGTTCAGAATCCTTAGTAACAAATGGAGTTGTCAGGTATGTGCTGTGTATAATGAAATGGGCTCCCAAAGCCTCAACATAAAATCATCAGCTGTTACAAATTATTCTATTTTTGACCTGAATAATAAGAAGATCAGAAACAAGCTTTAACCACAAAAATGTACTTTCCATGCTTTTTCAATCAGATATGTGACCGTCTAATTACTGGTATCTTCGTGCACAGTGTTTTTGATTGCATGACTTCAGTAAAAAAATGCTTAACTTAATCATGCAGTTTACACAACGTTGAGCAAGTATAATAGAGAAAGACAAAGAGCAAACAAAAGATCCAGTATTATGTTGAAGATACTTAAGAGCCATGCACGAAGATAAAGTCTTTGTGAAAATAAAACCTTTTACATGCTGATCTAAATATAGAACTATCCAAAGCTTTAGATTAGCGACATAAACAGAGGAGAGAAAGAATGAAAACAGCAACTCTCTTTCACCCAAGCATTACTGGAATGTGATCAAGAACAAATGCAATTTATGCTAAATGTCAACATTCTTTTCAAACGTGTCAAGCTAAAGAAACTGAAATCACATAAGTCACACCAAAAGTATTAACAAAGTTACTTAGATAAGTATTATCCACAAAAGACAGTAACTCGAGGATTAAATATATCAAGTTATACATTGTTTTCATAATTAAAAGTTGGAATGCAAAAAATGCAATTTATAATAAGTAACATTCACAACAAATTCACATGGTTGCCATCAGAGCAACCTCAAAAATGCCCCTTAAGCTGTATCAGACTCAACTTGACAAATTTCATTGCTTTCCTCTTTTCTAATTATCCAATTCACTCTCCCTCTTGCTACTGGAAAAGAACTTGGAGTAAAATTTGAGCAGTTAACCCTTTCGCCCTTAAGAGTGATTAGCAATTAACTTCTCCCTTCAATATCTTCCCTGAATCAAACATGAAAGTCATGAGAATAGAGAAGATGATCAACAACGAAAGCAGCTCTTGATTGTTAAACAAATTCTCCTTTTCAGCCTCCTTGGAAATTTATGGAGAACAGTATGGAGAATATGCATACTGATGTTAAGGCATAAAGAGTTAATGCAGTTTTGAAAATGGAAATTCAAATACTACCAGCCACTGTTATTCAACAGACCAACCTCATTCCAAGGTACCATTAGTAATGATTGAGGTGTAATATTAATATTTGAAATCCCACATCAATACACCCATGTGTCCACAATACAAGAGTTTAAAAAAAAAGATTCGGTATTGACTCAGAATAATACATGTTGATAGAAAGTTAAAGTAATTCTCCAGAATCTTTTAAATCCTTCAAATACATACACTGCACATATTAACTTAAATTCAAGAAAATTCAAAGGTCACTCAAAGTAAAATTTCCTTTTTGTCTTTGTTTTTCCCAAATTAAGGCATAGCCAGCTGTCCATAGGTTGATAGAGCAATTAAAATGATTTTCTCAAGAATATCAGTCTTGTAATTTTCTATCACATTAATGAATCTTTTAAAGGCAAGAAATGATTAATCTAATTTACAACAGGAACAAAATAAAGCCAATATATTTGAAAAACAAATAACACTCAGATCCTCTTAAACCATTAGAGGCCATTAAAAATTGAAAAGGGTCTATACAGAAAATATTAATTCACATATTCCTAATCCCTTGTGCAAATTCTCCCAAGGCAACATAAGAAAATATAACACAATACTACAGAGAATTTTGTTGTGTTCAACTGTAACCCTTTTATTCCCAAGATCTCATTAGTAATTCTCCTTACTGTCTGCCATACAGTAACTTTGATGTGAGTTCAGAGAATTTGGTGTTGAATCAACTACTTATCTCTTAATTGATATTTTCCTAAATAATCCCAATACTGGTCTCCTTGATATTGTATTGATAGTGTAAGGAGAAACTCTGTCTTGGTCACTCATGGGAGGCAAAGGGCTACGTGAAACATGAACCAATACATCAATACAATACAGGCATTCTATTGCTCTATTTTTGAGCATGCAGTTAATATATAAAGACAGAAGAAATATTCACATGTCCTACCATTAGGTTCACTGACAACCATATTCCCTGATCTAGCCACTTCATCAAATTTTGCATAAATAATAGATAACCTGTGAATGATGGAAAAAATATTTAAATCTTTAAAATTAAGGATACACATTGAGGTGCAGAGTTTTCTGTGGTTTAAATTGGTCATTTTGAGAAACAGTTTAAAACATCTTAGCAAAAGTTGTAAAATACTGTTAGTAGTTCTTTATAAAATTAATATAAACAATGTTTCAAGTAGTAAATTGCTTGAATGTAAGTTTAGCAGCCAAAAATTGTTGTGAAGTTTTACCACCTCAGGGAAAAGGACCATTGAACAAGTAAAAGCAGTGATAACATTATATCCAGGGCTGATGATAAGTTTGAAAGTAGCAGGCAAATCAGAAATAGTTAGCAGGCAAGCTAACATGGCTGCCATGTTATTTTCTCAGATCAAAGGAAGACTGGGAACTATCCAGTGAAAATTTCCCAATCATTCTACAAAGTTTGCATGAACCTTTGAGAAAATTCTTAACATGGAATATAAGCACACATCCCAATTGTAACTATGAAATTGTGCTTTTAATTCCAATTAAGACAAGTAAATTGCTGCAGTACAGATTTCTTTCAAATTATTTCAATTACTGTTTAATTGTTTATCATCATTTATTGGAAAATGAGATCAAAGTAACCAGCTGAAGTTGGCAGAATAGCCAGTGGTTTCAACTTTCTAACAGCTTTTATTGACATCAGAAAAAACAAGTGAGGGGTTGTTGGACATTTCTTGTTGCACATCTTGTTATGTCCCAGCCAATGACATTGACCAGTCAAACACCTTTGTGCAACTAAAAATGCAAGCACTACTAACCTTGAGGATGGAATTCCTTTTTTGCTCAGGTCAACTCTCACTTTCTCACCAACATGTCGGTAAATTTCAACCAAACTGTTAATGGCACTGTCACGAACCTGGAGGAAAACTTATGTCTTCAGAGGAACATGACACAGCGTAGCCAAGCATCATTATCAAATGAACAAGTGTTAAACCTGTCCCTAGCTCTCCAGTTTCATGTGATATAAAAATATTTACATATCTGCAAGCAACCTGCATGTTTATTATAACAAAGAGAAGCTGTGTGTCAAGCACTTTATCCATTGCTCTTGTCTTGCAGGCAAGAATTCAACTATTTCCATGAAACTGCAGATCAAGATCCTCTTAGAGTTCTATGAGTGTCTCCATCTTCAATTCTTGATTCTTAATCCTCAATTCTTGATGGTTTGACTGTTAACTCAATTTTTAAGCAGTACTGTACCTAGCTACATTTCACTTCTCTTACCTGGCTGTTAGGATCACCAAGAAGCTTGCAGATATGCGGAACAAATTTTGACACTGTGAGAGATGATGGGCCAAACCTAACCAAAGCAAATGAGCAAAAAACAAGTTAAAAAGACATATTTCATTATTTCATTTCAAGAAATTGCTCCGAGAATCTGTTCACTATGGTTTTTCTCTTCATCTTTGACTTTGTTAACTATTCTCTTACTTGACAGGTAAATGATTGAATGACAGGGAAACAAATAAGAAAAACGTTACATTTTACATTTACAGAACAACAACCATACAAACTGTAAAAAAAGGGGAAGCTTGTGCCCATGTTTACAAAGAATTTGATCAACTCACGCATTTAAGGTAGTTATCAGACAATGCAACACTTCTTCTCTCACTCGCCAAGCCTTGTGACCAAATGCTGGGATGAGTTGTTCAAGAACATGCTACAACAGATGTAAAAATATAATAATCTTGAGTTACAATTTACCAAAAGAAAGACAAAAGTAGACTTGATGTATACTGGGTTCAAGAAAAAGGAAAAGATTTTGATGAACTTACCTGAGGTGTAGACACTGGGTACATAAACTTCTGCAGTAATTCTTGGGCAGAATCTCGCACCTGAGAGAAAATGGAACACAAGATATATAAACAATAACAAAATTAATATCGTAAGGAATGTATTCAATCCCTTGCATCAATACAGCACCCTTGACTGTAACTACTTAAGTGAGTACGTAAATTCCCACGTCATCACAGAAGTGTTGCCAGGCAATAGATTACCAAGTAACCTGGGTAACCTGAGGTGGTCTAACATTGGAACCACAGCACCCTTGACAATAACATATATAGTGAGTATGTTAGTTCCTGCATCATCACAGAAGTGTTGCCAGGCAATAAATTACTCAGTAATCTGAGAAACCTGTAGAGATCTAACACTGGAACTACATGAAGCAGTAATACCAGTCCTTAAGACCAACTGATTAAGCTGTAAATATTCTGTATCACAAAAACTTAAACTGGCTTCCATAGCAGGAAATTCCTAAACCCTTTCATCAAATGACATGTCTAATATGCAACTTCTCCCAACTATTCCAATACAATACTCAGCATAGATGTAGAAAGAATAGGCAAACTCATCAGTTAACCCCTTACACCATAACATCAGTATGTATTTTCTCCACACTGTTCTCTATACATTTTTTATAGTACTGACAAGGAGAATTTGTTTAACAATCAAGAGCTTCTTCAAATGGTGATCATTTCCTTTATTCTTATAACCTCAATGTGTTTGTTTAGGGATGATACAGATGGGAGAAATAGTTACTAATCACTCTCAAGGGTTAAAATGTTAAAGGATGACATCTTGATTTAACACCAAATTTTCTTGAGTACTTTGCAACAAAATGTATATTAACAAAGAGGGAGAGTTGAAAATCAGATCCTGAGACTCAAGGAGAAAAGGAAAGCTGGGCCATTCTGCCAATGCTAGTCAACTGTGGTACTTGTATATGAGAAAAGGCTGTGTTAGAGAAAAAATGTCTGGTGCAAGTGCAAGAAAGAACAACCCCAGCCAAGTGGCTTGGGTCAATTGATCCAGATTCAAACACACAACAGCTCTGACCATTCCATCAGTAGATTTTGAAATGCACAATCAGAGATTAACAATACACAATAAAGAGAGAAATGTCCACACCTGTTGCTTGCTGTCACCTAACCTCTCCACAATAGCAGGAACAACTGAAATGGGGAAAAAGTGCAAATCCACAATCAGTAAAAAGATTTAGAATCCCATAGCCAATAGAGAGACTCGCTTATGTGGACAGTGAATGTTTTTAAAGGAATTTGTCAGCACTACCAGAAGTCAACTAAACATCACAATATTGCCTCTTGGACCTTGAAGTTTGCACTTCACTTCACAACTATTTTTACTTCATATTATCCAAATTTGTTCAAGACATTTTACAACAGCAAATAAAGTGCTCAGATGTGATCAATAATTCATTTGCTTAGAAGAAAGGAGTGTATTATTTCAATACAACTTGAGTCTTCTGATAACATGTTACACTCAGTGACACAAAATTCCAGGGCTAGCTAAATCTGATTTATTTTTAATCCAAGTGTGGCTCAACACAATATGATCGAAAAACAGATTGTGTCAAGGTTGCAAAGATTTGTTCATCTTTTTTTTCCACATTGCCAAAATCAGACAAGAAAGAGTTAAGACAGATAAATTGTAACCACTAGAACACAGTGTACAAACTCTTTTATATACACACTTCTAAAAAAGGCAAGAAGAAATCAGAATAAAGTGGAATGAAAGAACTGATTGGAGGATAAAAACTTTATCTTATCTCAAAATAAAACTACTGCAGCTGCAAAATTAGGAAACGCCCTAAAATATTTTTTCAAAATTTAAGAAAATAATATCCATTCCAAGTAAAATTCCCTCAGGTTCTTGACAAAAATTGTAGTAAGTGAGGAAGGGGAGAATGATTTGCTGAAAGACCTTACTTACACCGAACTAAATATCAAATCAAACTTCAAACACACAGACTGAAAACATATTTTAAAATCAAGCTTCACAAATACATCTTATCTCTTAATAAAAGGAGAGCATAAGAATCAGCACATGGATAAAATCCCTACAGTTTAAAACTGCAGTAAAAGGGTCATTCTAAAGAAATTCTTTTTGAAGTCAAGAGGTGAACATTTATTTGAATAAGTTTTCAAAATGATAATCAGAATGTACTATAACATCTGTCATTCACTCTGAATATCATCAATTCTGAAAAACAATCTGAAATATTGTAGATTTAATACAATAACTTACCATAGAATGTTTCAGTTTTGACTATACAATTTACAAGCAGTTAAATGCAAAAAGAAACTGATCCAACTGGCTCTTTTTATCTGAGCCTGATATCTTCCAAGGGGTTGAAACATGAAACATTATTATGCAAATTACAAATTTGTAGGCTAATCACAGCATGAAAATTGACTTTTCCATTTCCTTTCACTCAAATGCACAATTAAATATCTCCTGCAAATAAGACAGCTTCATTTAAAGGTTTTATCAACTTAAGTCAGATTTAAGCATGTTATATATTCTAAAGACTTCAAAGTTTTTAAAAATTTCAATAGGATGTTAAATTAGATTTTTGTTATGTCAAAATAACGGACTAAGCCCTTGTTGCCCCCTTTTCTTTTGTATACAGTTCTCTAATTTTTTTCAGGATTGTTTTTCCTTCCTCATCCTGTTTCCAGTAACAGTTAGCACAAAACATATATGTTAAAATATTCATCCAGATCTTCATTGTTTTTGATCAGTGTTTTACAAAATGAACTGCTTCAGAATGAGATACTGGCAGATACATGTTTGAACAGCAACACATACTAAAGGAAAATCAAATAGTAAGTACATTTTTACTTAAATCTCTTGATCTAACTGTAAGTATTATTGAAAAAATCATCAAAAAACCTTCTGATCAGAAAGGAATTATGACAAAAACAAAGTTTAGTTCCTGCTACTTACACCAAATACATTTTCACACACAGTTATAGCATTTTTATCTCTAACCAAGAAATCAAATTAAAAAAAAAAAAATTTTTTAGGAGAGTGCACACCTTATATCAAATTTTTTTCAAGAGGAACAGACAGATTAAAATATTTTAAATATTTTGTTGAATTTGATATCAATTCAAGGCAAATTGGCTTAAGGTCAAATGACATCTTCAACATTTCTTTTCATGTAATACAAGAACAATTGTTTATAACAGAATCACTGATAATCCCGTTATCAAACGATTAAACTGAAGAGTTATGCCCTTAAATAATACAGCTCTCCATGATTTAAAATACAATAACAAACTGAAACTCTAGATAGAGTGGCCTAAGCTGAAATAAAACATTTTATGACATCTTAAAAGATGAAAAAACCAGCAACAGCATGAAGATTGTGGGCCTTAATTCATAAAACTTGCAGATAAATGCAACAACAAATCTAATGTTACTCTCAAATTAAGAATTTGCTACTGTTTAAACTTTTCAAAATGTACTCACAGCTTCTTTCCCATAATTGCTTAAATCAACTGTGAGGATCATTTTTTTTCTTTTGATTTCAATTTGCAGGTCAAATGAGATTATTTCACCAAAGATTTTGTAAGTATGATTGTGAAAAATCAAGCTTGGGTTAATTTAGGTTTGAAGACAATCTAAAGTTCTATTGTACAATGTGATATTTAAAAGCAAAAAAAAAACATGCCTTGATGTGAAAATCTCTCACCTTGGCAAACCAAAATCTTAAAAACCAAAACCTAACTTCTAACGAAGCAAAAACCAAAAAATTGTCTATTCAAACCAAATTACAAAATATTTTTAACCAGACAGAGTAGCATCCATTAGAACAAAAACTTATAAAAAAAATAAAATAAAAAAAATTGGTCGTTCAGATTGAAACTAAATTCCAAATAACACTTTCATATTGTTACAATGTGCCTATTAATCAATCCATTAATCAAGCACACTTGAAATTTTTCCATAAATTAACATGTGATTGCTTTGACTAAGTTTAGGACACTTATCAGACCATCCATGCAATAAATACACTTATACAACGCTTGAGTAAACATAACATTCATGCATAAAACACACATATTCCAACTTCACATAACAGGGCAATAAGAAAGATTGCATAAGGACAATTCAATTTAGGGGAAAAAGAAAGGCATTTGCAATTTTGTTAACAAAACCAAGATTGAGAAAGAAAAAATTAAATAAATGGAAAGTTATCTTTGAGATAATAGGTATGTGATTTTGGGTTGAATAATAAACATAAACAATGTTGTAACACTGTAACAACATTCAAGTGAAAAAGGAATTTTATTTAATTTTAACGTGACAAACCGACTATTGTGAATTCGAAGTTAACCCAATTGTCACTGCGTCAGTAAACAACTCCCAGCAGGAATTGAATAAACAGTCAATGAACTGAGAAGTAATACTTTCACTTGTCACAGCATTTGATTGCTGTTTACTACAAATTGCCTTTCAGAAGTTACGACAGCTTGGCGCAAAATACAGCAATCTCAAACGAGACTCGAACAATACACTACCAGGTGTTTTGCTTGTCTTCGAAAGTTCTAACCACCCGAAAAAATATTTATATTTAATGACCCTATGATATGTCTCTTTATGTTAATCTGAATTTTTAGATTTCTTCACAAACGGCTTGCTTCTGAATTGAAAACTAATCAAAATGCAGCGTTGGCCAAATAATAATTTGTCGCGTTTGTTCGTAAATAACTCCAATTCTCGAGGGACTCTATTCTTCAGTGACCCAAAACTTGCTTGTGTAAACAAAGAATACAACATTTTATAACCTTCCTAATCTAAATATTCTCCCGATTTTGGTTATATTTTTGATTACTTGACAGTTTACACACTGACAAGAGCCTAGATCCCATTTCCAGACAACAAAACCGACAGAGAAGCATGTAATCGCGTTGTAAAATATTAAAATCAAATTGGATATTACCCTTTGTGGATGCGATTTGTCGCAATAATACATAATCCTAACCTGGCAAGAGATGGCTTCGAAAATTTGCTCCGAGACGATCGACAATCTGATGAAGGAGATCCAGTCCAGTCAGGCTTATCTACAATATAAGTAATCATTTATTTGTATGACAATTTTGAGTAAAAGGGACGAGAGAAATGTAATAAATCAGTAAACGGCAACCATTGGCAGGAGGCTGATCAAAGGGTGCCAATATAACAAAGCTGAAATTAAAGAACGATTTTAGTAATTTGCAATGATGCCCACAGTCTTAATTAATAAACCCCTGAGTTGCCAGAAAAATAAACTGCCGCCACGAGGCTAAATTTTACGATCCCCTGCGCACGTAGGACACAAAGAAGTTAAATATACATACTGACACAACCGAAGAGCGATCGGTGTCAAAAAATATACAAATGTCTGAATCCAGGCTTGCGAAACTCGTTGTATCTCATGTCGATCTATTATGCACAAGAGCAAAACAGATTTCATAGACACAATTTCTTTAACGTATTTCATACCTTGAAATTGCTGCTGTTTACCCAACCAACGAGACCATCGAGCAGTTTGTCGAAGCCAATGAACTCAATGCCATTAGAAGGAACACTTAAATAATTCGAGAAGTCTTCTGCCGCTTTCAGCCTTCTTTGGGTATCTTGAGATGTAACAGCGGCTAAAATGCCTTCTAGGAATGCTATGTCTTTCATTTCCGTTTCCTAAGTAGAGCACCTGAATTGGAAATAAGTAAATTTCCACCAAGAACGATCTCGCAATATTTCACTTTCAAGCCACTTCGAACCGCATTGCGGTAGAGCAGTATAGGATTCGTGGCTTCAAAGTAAAGATAGCGCTGTATGACTGACAGCCATCTTACTTAACAACTTCCTTCATGTATCAGCTACGAAACAGTTCTTAAACAAGAAGATCCACGATAGTTGACCCCGTTTTTTTCCACCCAAAATTTTCTACTTAGGATACACACGATTCCGCCGCCATTTTCAAGTCCAACGAATGCGAGGTGATGACGTCATGCAAATAAAGAGAGAATTGGAAACTAATCAGAATTCAAACGAGTCACCAACTGAGGAAAATTATTACTACAGATAAAAAAGCCAAAATTATAATATTATCTTCGAATATTTTTCAAATTAATTTACCTCAGTTAGTATCTTTATATCCATAAGAAATGCCTCTACTACTGAAAATTTGAAAACTTTAAAATGCTGGTTTCAATAAAAATATAAAAACAGTGGTCACACAAGTTGGTCACACAACGCTTCTAGTAACGCTCACTTTAACCTAGCAGTTAGCTTTGTGTTCTCAGATCTCCTCGAAATTCGCATCTAAATCATATTTTATAGCATTCCCTAAGACACTAGTGTCTAAAATCGTACACTTTAGTCCAAATTGGTCACTAGTGTCAAAATTAGACACTGGTATCCAAAAGCGGAGACTAGTGTTAAAAATGGAACACTAGTGTCCAAAACTGAATGCTGTTTAAAATCGGACACTAGACTCCAAATCGGCAAGTGTCCGAAATCGGATACTAGTGTCTAAAATCGGACACTAGTCTACAAAGTCGGACACTTGTCTCTTAAAGTGGACACTAATACCTAAAATCGGACACTATTTTGTGTGAATTTTACCCTGATGTCAAAAATTGGAAACACTGAGACGCTGTGTTTTCCTTTCGTGATATAGAAAGGTGTTCTTTTTGGATTTTGTTGTATATTAAGTTAGGGTTTAGTTTTCTTGTTTCTCACATCGTTGGGATGAAGAGTTACGAATCACGCCGTCAGTGTTTCAAGAAAGTAAGAAAATGCGAAAACATGTAACTGAAGTTCGTTCTCTATAGTTTCGAACCGGGTCCTGCTTGAGGGAAGGTCATCATTCAATTACCAGTGCATTCAATTCATAATGATAATTGAACTGAGTGGAGTGCCATTTGGTCCGAAATTATACGCATGATTTCATAATCAAACGAGCGCACAGCGCAAGTTTGATTTTAAATTACATGTATGATTTCAAACTAAATTTCATGGCACGAAGTTCACAAGTATTTTTATTCAGCACAAATATTTTATTGATCCAGTATATTGAGCTGGTTTGTAAAAAGATGCAAAAGTTGCATGTCCCTCATTTTTCTGCAATTGGACTGATTTCTTTAAACAAGCCTCGAAATTTGATTGGCTGTTGTGTTTTAGTGAAGCTGTCTCATTGGCTAGGAAAAGGATGCGATTTAGAGCATGAAATGGTGCGATTTGATAATAATTCGCACTAGTAAGAGCCAATCAGGTTGCAAGGATCACAAGTGATTTCAAAATGGATGTGAGAAAGCGAAATACATTGACATCGATTGAATGAGATGTAAAGTTCGTAAGGAAAGATTTAATAGCTCGCGCACCAAGAATCCCGCCCCGGGAATCTCGAGATAAAGAGGGAAGAAGTTAAGGTGGCACTCAGTGATGGTATTTATCCGCTCACAAATCCACGCGGATTCTACAATTTTAAGACCTTTAGTTTATTCATCCCAAAAATGATCTAGCTCTAAGTCCGTACCTTTTTGAGTAAACTAGTGATCTACTCATTTTCCATTTAAAATTTTAGACTGATGAGGCAATTCCACTGTTACATTAATCGATTTAAATCCTTTAATTCCTGTACCGTATCAAAATTACTTCGCTAATTTAGAAATATTAATTAATATTAAAGATTACGATTATAATCTTTTGGTAATAATCCACATATTCAGTGGAAAATACAGAGAATGTTTTTTTTTTGGGCTACAAGTAAAGTATTGAGCCATCTTCAAAGAAACAATGATCTTTCCCGCATTTTTTTCTCCATGGCTTCGGACTGTAGGTGAAACTTGGAAAATCTGTGAAATAAAGAAATGAGATTAACGAAATAAGTAGATCCGAGCGGTATCTATTTATTCAGGATTACTTATGTGTTTCAAAGAAATAGCCGTCTCCTCGCCCCAATCCTTTTTCGAATCTTAGGTGAGAGAGGTGAACTAATGTAATCGATATTATGTCAAATGATAAAATTACAATTATAGTTAATCTACAATATCGTAAGGGTTTCCTTGTATTGGTGTCGAAAAAAAAAGGAATGGAAATATTATATTATTTTAAGTCATTTAATGCAAATTATAAAAAGGGCAGGTTGATTACTTCGTACTCCTTCTTGGTGGTCTTATCTTAAAGGTTGAGTTTGGTCACGTTCTTCTTGTGAGTTTGGCCACTTTCTCCTAGTGAGTTTAATCACGTTTTCCTCGTTGTGATCGTGAGGTTGACATGGAACTCGTGATAAGCCATGTTCTAAATTAAGTTAATTTCTTAGCCCAGGAAGAGTAAATCTCCCTGGTAATAGGTCGCGTTCGACACCTTCTTGTTCCCAGAGGTAATTTAAGGTGTAAACAGGTGATGCCCCTCATGTTTCGCAACCAAAAGCAATTTGGGGGCGGTACTTGTGAGCGCCTTTCTTCTTTAACTCTTTTGACTAAGATGTTGTTATGTAACAATCTTTAAAGGTGATTTTCTATTAAGATACCCTTTCAGGTGTAAATAATACTCTGAACCAAGGTTATTTGTAATTTTTATATTATCGATCTCGTTTCTGTTCTGGTCGATCTCAACCGTAAAGATACGAAAATTAAGGTAGAAATTGATTTTGTAACTGCGTAAACAACTCGAAGGTGCATACTCAGTATGTGGGAACTGTAATACGTAGTCAAGCGTGATTCGCTAGTTGAGATGGTACGATGACGACACAAGAAGATTGACGGCTTAGAAATGTCATCCGCAGTGTCCCCTTTATAAGCGGAGACTCTAGTTTTCCCTGTCAGATAGAAGCTAGTCCCCGTTGTATCAATTTATGAAGAGAGAGAATAAAGAAGAATTAACCTACCAAACAACGAGTGTTAGAAAATTTACTCCTAACAATAAAAATGAATCCAAATTTATTACTTAGCTGTCCGCCTGATACGGTACAAGACAAACACTTTTAATTTGTTCGTCCGTGTCCAGACCCTTTCCCAAAGCTTTTTGCTCTCTCAGTTTTTGAGGGCAAAGCCATGGGAACTAGAGATAAATTTCATAAAACAGGTTTCATTGTGTTCATGAAAGCGCTACGGATTAGATGATGGTAAGCTGATTGACCTTCAAAATCATCAAAGACGATGACAAAAAATAGACTTGTCGTTTACTGGGGAACTGTTTAAACTTGGAACAAATTAGCAGAAAATTTGTCCCCGAAGACTTACCATGTCCTCCTCCATTGCTTTGTTTATCAAAAAGTTTAAAATCGTCTTCTGTAGGAGTCCTATAGGAAACATGAAAGGATCGTTTCGACTCAATTCATTCATTCATTCAAAATCCTATCAGAATATCAAAACTACATCAAAATTGGACCACGCCCATCCTAAAAAGTGCTCCCGTTACTGTGTTATCTGCCAACAACAAATTACCAATCGTTTTCGTAGAAATAGTCGACTTCATCCAGGCAAATATCTTGTCCTTCGCCAATCTAGAATAGAAATATAGAACATAACTACAGATGAAATAAATGGAAAACAGTTTGATGCCTACCAAAATAAAAGAAACCAAACGTAGGAATTGTAAGCAAAAGCAAAGCTATGATAAAGCGTTTTTTCTATGAGTTTCTTACATTCAAACCCAAAGTTATCATACAGGCTAATCGGAACAAAGAATGACATCATAATGAGCCAATAAGAATTCATCGTAGAAAAAAACCAAGCTGCTTGAACTAAAGGGCAGGAAAACGGAAGCAACCAAGACGCAAATGGTTTTAGTCTTGCATCTGATCAGACCTGATTTGTAGAAGGATGGCACCAGTTTTCTGGACTAATCATTGAGAGAAGCAAAACAAAACCGAAGTAACCGTAGACAAATTTCCACTTTTAATTTAAAATTTCTATTTTAGATGGTAAATGATTCGTACCGAGATCTGCCACATGAGTTTGATATCACAGCGAGCTCTCATTTCCCAGTTTAACCGGTCCTAGAGAAGGGAAATAAAGAATGACTTAAATGTTACAAATAAACCTAATAATGGCTTGAGTTCTTTGAAGCGCGCAGGGGTGAAGCATCGAGGCGCGAAATCTGAAGATCAAAGGTTCGAGTGCTCGTGGAGGATTCGGGAATTGTCTTTGTTCTACGCTTGTGGAAAAATTATTAAAATATTCCTTCGTTGTAGCATCATTTTTTGTTTTTGATAATCGTCGCAAGGGTGAACTTACAACATCACACGCTCCACGGCGTCAGGGCGTTGCTAGGGAGGTCGGGCGCTGCCTATGACCCCTCCTACATTATAGGATTGTGAAGACTCACGAATCCGAACAACATACTAAATTGTACAAATACACAAGGTAGAGTGCAAATATCACGCAATATTTGGACAGTTGGTTATTTTGTACTTAAAAAAAAACATGTTTGACTGGTCGCGTGCTATGCCTCTCTAAATATCTGCTTCACTTTCCCCGTCCTATGAGAAATGCGCATTAAGTAAAGCAGTTATTAGACGTTTTGGTGCGAGAAATCGCGGAGTGTTTCTTCTCGTTGTAGCCTTACGGGCTCGTCAAAATACGGCACAACTCGTAAACATACTCAGCGATACTACACACCAAACCGTCTCATGAAATATATGTATTTACTCGAATAAGCGCTGCATTGGGAAAAAAGTTAGGCGCAGAAGAATTCTTTCACCAGCTGCGCTGCAATGCTTCGTGCGCATTTGGATTTCTCGAGGGAACCGGGTGCTAATCATTTTGTGTGAAGGATATGTGCCCTCCCACGCTGGAGCTCGTAGACTCATATTAAGAATGGGTCAGTGGGATGATAAAGCAACTGAAAAGTGCCGGAGGAGACGAATGGTGATAGTCAAAAGATGCCTCGTTCAGTTTTAGCACAAGTTTCGCACAGAAGGAAATGTACCGTTAAATTTCAAGAAAAACATTTCATCATCGCCTTTAATTTTTGAATAAGTGCAGCCCCAGATAAGCGCCACCCTCGAATAGCTCTGCATTTTGGGCGCGTAAAATTAGCATAAGCGCTGCAGCGCTTATTCGAGTAAACATTGTAAGCCTAATGCGGTGTTAGATCCTCTATCTGCTGATCCTTCTTCAGACCCCTCCTCCCACGGAAGAGTCGTACCCATTTGCTGTACTTACAACGCTGTTTTTTCTGCTCCGTTTCGATTTCCTTCGTTTCCTCTCCTTTGTGGATGGTGGCTTGGTTTCCCCGCGATTCTGAGCTCCTGAAAGTCTTTTTAAACAGAGTAAAGGTGTACAGGGCAAGGCTTTCTTCAGACTACAAAATATGAGAACTAATGTCCAACTGAGGAAACTGAAAAACTAGCAAGAATAAATGAATTGTTTCAGTATCATATATCTTGAGGAAGTGTTACAACGGCATTGCAAGTTGCATGAATGATACATGGTACAAATTATGGACGAGATTCAAAGTAAGAGGACTTGACGGCTATGCTGTTTCTAATGCTGTCGGAAGAAGAAAAAAAGGAAATGGAAAACTGGTGTGTCATGGATTTGAATATAATCGGATTCACTCACCATTAATCGAGAAAAATGATGGTTAAAAGTTTGCACATTAAAAGCACCTTCAGATCTTGTCTTTTTAGCTTCACCCACCTCTCCTACGTGTGTCTGCCATCTTTATATTTATGACTAACGTAACAGCTGTTTGTTTAAAACGTTGAAGTTGCCAGTTATAGGAACAGTGTTTTCGTGCGTCATCCGTGATTCAATTTCCTAGCTCTCGTCAATTTTGGCGCATTTAAGCGCGCGTTTGTAACTTAACGTATTTGATACCGTTAATTTCGTTAAAACAATCGACAGAGAACTCTCGTTTTGGTCTACAAAAGGAATTCGAGGGCTGCAATTGTAATCAACTCATTGAGAAAGATGAGGTTGATGTAAAATTTGTAGTTAAAGACTCAAGGGGTCGTAACTTGAAAGGACAATTTCAACAACGGGAGGAAGTATTCAAAAGTTTTACAACCGAACGCGCTTTCAGAGTGATTGCAAACAAATGCGTGCGCTCCGGCCAAATTTGCGCTCTTGTAATTTAGCAACCAGGGCCGAGTTGTTTGTAGTCTGGTTAAGATGACCCAGGGTTATTGCGAAACCTGATTTCTGAGCTGAAAGCTCTAAAAGAAAATTCAGTACAATTTATTTGTCTGCAATCTGATAACTAGATGCTTTAAAAGGAGTAGAAAAAATTATCTTATAGAGGTTTTTGAACAAAGAAATAGAGAAACCCAGAATGAAATTTAACCCTGGGTTGGCGCTAATCGGCCTTCGAACAACTGAGCCCAGCACATTGCAGTCCAGTCCAGAATTCAATTAATAACATTTAAAACACAATCGTCGACTTTCCCTGAGAATATCCTCGATTGGAATGAAAAGAAGCTGGCGTGTTGAGCGTGGTCTGGGACACGAGTTTGATAACAGCATAGGAACTCATGAGGAGATGCAAAAGAGGGAACTGTGGATGGCGTAAATCCCTTGGAGACTTAACAAACAAATCAAAGTACGCCATTGGAGCAACAACCAACAGCGTTCTGAGATATTTGAGGCTTCATGTAAGAATGTGAACTGCCAAATATTCACCTTCTAATATGTTGTAGACGAGACACTTGGTACAAATGCATTCGCGCAAAATTCGGTTCCCGTCAGGCGCGGAACCAGAAATGTTTTATAAGGGAGGTCGAGGGAGGGGTCTATACTTTGATTCCTAAAACGTACCATTTTGTTAACACCAGTGCGTAAATGAGCTAAGAAATATTTTGAGGCGAGTTAATTAAATAATTCTAGTCGAGTATTAATAAGCGATTCTGTCATCTGAAGAACTCTGGTTTCGGTCCGATGAGGATCTGCACTCTCCGGCCTACCCCACTGCCAAATCACGACATGAAAACACAATTAAGTTCTTGCTGAATTTAGCACGAAATGAAGTAATTGCAAATATTAGTAGCAGTGGGTATGCTTTCACGAAGTTGTTCCCTATCGATCTAATGGTAAATTTAGTGACTGTTGTGAGGGACATGAAACGGTGATGTGCTTAGGCAGGGGTTGCATCGGTCCGACGGATAATGAGCCTCTCCTTCGCCAGACGAATAAAGGGGTTAAGTTTCTAAGGACACTTTGGTGCTGCGTCGGTGAGGGGTATAACAAGATAATTTGGCACTATTAAGTGGGTTGATAACGCAAATTGGCCACCGTAAAAAGCTTCAAAGTCGACGTGTGTATGCGTATTTCGCCAGAACGAGGACATTTCTTCAGCAAATCCGAACCCTGGTGAAAATATTGGATGATCCCCGAGGTTACCTAGATCTACGATCATATTGCCTGATGCAGTCGATGCCGGTGTCCAGGCAGTAAAAGAAACCCATTGGGCAACGCAGTGTTGCTCAAGCTGTCGCTATCGTGATTTCGAGGCATTTCCTCTGTAATTGCCAATCGGAAATCCCTCCAAGGATAAGCCAATTATCACCCAGAATCGCGCCGGTCCCCGGTAGATCGTGCCGGTCCCCGGTAGATCGCGCCGGTCCCCGGTAGATCACGCCGGAATCGGCACGTGAACTCCGCTTGAATAGCACGCATGAACCCGCAAATAACGCGCCAGAAATCCCGCTTTCCAGAAAGTTTTGAGTGAAGTCGGCAAAATAAGACAAATACAGGCCCTTTGCTTTCCACGTATTTTTATTCATAATAAGTTATAGTTATGAAGTTAACTCAACTTAACGGTGGTATTCCATGCGCACAAACAATTTGTAGATTGTATTCATGCAACAATCTTCAATCATCAAGACCAAGATCACGGCGTAGTTAAAAGCATGACCACTGTCATCGCGGGAAGCCTTACGTAACCAAATTTTCAGACACTTCCAGTCCCTCCTTAGCGTGAGTAAAAAAGATATCTGTAATTCAAACTACGCATACACGAGGCATTACACGCAGCTGTTGATTTGGTATTGTCACGCAACCCACTCGCGTGACAAGACCAACCCATGGCTGCACAGAAGACAAGTAAATGTATTCATACTTAACCACCCTACAAACAAACCCTAAAATACAACAGCGTCGAATTGTTCAACTGTAATCAACCCATGAAGACGGTACAAAAAATTAGTGTTAGGAAAGGACGTTGCTTGTTGGAACCGAATAATTATTTCGAAAGATGAGGAAAGTTCGTTTCCAAAAAACCGGTCCTTTTCGCTCGAAGTCCAAAATCGGAAATTTCTTCAAAGATAAAAAATTAAACTCTCCCGGTGCTTTTTTTTTCATTCAAGAATATAATTTCAGCAAAATTGAAAGCGTTGAATTTTGCTCCTTACCTGCAAGAAATCAAATTCTCTCTTCAGTCTTCAGTAATTCTTCAAATCGCTGGTTCTCGCCTGTATTTTGTATTTTTCTTTCAACAGAAAATCTTCATTTTACTTCTCGAACGTTTGGTCAATTTTCGGTTTCTTTGAGGCGTTTTTCAGGAAGTTTCTTCCTGTCTTCATTTCTTCTTCAACTTCATTTTCTTCACAAATTTTTCTTTCTTTCTCTTTACACAACCTGGCTTCTTTCTTCAAAACTTCCCCTCTTTCTTACTTCATTCTCTCTGCGAATCGATCTTCGCTTTCTTTTCCCTTCTTTTCCCCGATCTTCCCATTTCATCTTCATTTTCTCCCATGTTTTCTAACTGAATTTATTCGCTTCAATCTTCGATAATTCTTCTGTCTTGCACTACTTGCAAATTTCGCGATAGGAGTCTTCGCTCTTCGAAATCTTCATTTTTCATGCTTGTTTCTACCCTGCCGCAAAACAGAACTAAGTTAACATCGACAAGCGAACTAAACATTGCACTTTATTTCGCTAAAAACTGACTAAAATACTGCGTGAAACACGCCTTAGAAAGTCAACCCAAAAAGTGGCACATCTTAGTCACTCACACGTGAAGAGCACTGACATATTTACAATACCAAGATGCTCTGGTGAAATTTCGGTGACTTCGGTTAATGAAACCAACAAAATGCTAAATTGCAGGGTCCATCTAAATCAGAGTGCTGATTAAGCTAAACCATCAAATGTCATTTTCAGATTGCGTTTGGAACGCGCCTTCGCAGGGTTCGGTGAATGTGCAGCGCGTCTTAAATGCGTTCGGAAAGCGCCTTAAAAATGAGAGAATAAAATAAGTTCGTTGTACTACAGATCTCACATGTTAACAATGATGCAATCTTCTGGATATCAGAATTACATGAGCGATAGCAAACTTGAACCAAGAATCACTTCAAACTTGCGTCCTCTTCCAGTACTTGCGTCACTAAACAGTTTGATTGACAAAGTTAAAAAAAGCAAAACAAAAAAACTTAAAAACAAATTCCTACAAAGATTTAACTCACAGTTGCTCGACGTGCTTTTAGTGTAGTGCACAAGGACAGTATGTAAAACAATATTTTTCGGGTGCTACAATCACTCGATGCTTATTCAATTCCTGACTATCAACCTCTAATCAACCCAGCTCGTGTTACTAGCCAATGGTATCTAAAAGTGATGACACATATCCTCGATATATCCTACATAAATTGTCTGGTCTTCAGAACATCATCCCTGCCTAAGTTGTATATAATATCGCGTTAGGTAGAGTTATAGCCTGCCAGCATACAGGCTTTGTCAACACAATGTCACTCAGCTTGCATCACTCGATTCAGTAACGACCTGTGGAGCATAAAACTTTCAGTCAGAGTAAATTCCAAGCAAATTAAACATTGGCCTGTTCCAGCTGAAGACTCTCACCATGTTGCTCCCAAGATTAATTTATAAATTCTCCATACTGTCCTCCATACATTCAGTGTAAATTGTGCCGCGAGAATTTTATATTAAATCATTCAAACTTACACACTAGCTTTTTGTCTTCTCATTACACTTCTTGATAATGTATATATCATTACTGTAGGGGGAGATAATTCTCCAACCTATGATGCCTTATTAACACCATAAAATACCTGAAATGTCTGTCTCACCTGGTCAACTGTCATTTTTTTTTTATTCAAAGATAATTCTCGTGTCTCAAAGTGTCAAGATATTGCCATCACTTATCATCACAAACATGTACATCTAAGCACAAAACTGTGCAGTGTGCAGATATAATCACTCTAGCTTCTTTGTCTTGGTATCACAATATGTTTTCTATTAAAATACTGTTATTTCCAAAGTGGACAGAACATAGGAGTAATGCCACAGAAGAAATTTATTACCAAAACTTACCCCTTGGTGAGTTAGAGCGGGAACGATATCCACCACCGCCATAGTAATCTCTATGACGATGACTGTCCCTTGAATAATATTCCCTGTCCCGAGGGTAGTCATCATAGTTACTCTTGCGATAGTTTCGGTGCCTTGAAAAAAAAAATTAGGGAATATGTAAGTATGAAGCTGGTGAAGAGAAGTTACTGGAAATGCTGTGATACATCCTCAGAGGTGCACCTCCTCTTAATTTTAAGAATTTCCAAAAAGGGGACTTAACACATGGAGGAATGAGTGGACTTCTTAGAGTGGGGGGCTTACTGTTTTGTTTGATTACCAGTAAGCGCCCAGCATCAAATAAGCACCCACCCCCAATAAAAACACAAAAACAAAACAAAAAACCATGAAGAGCACAAGAGAAGGGATTGATCATTATTTCTTTACCGGCTTATAATCTCTCAATAAACTGTCTATGGTACATTGACACATTTGTTACAATTTTTTATAAATTTGCTTCTGAGTGAAATTGGTGAAATATGAACAAATTAGACTCACTGTGTTGCTTTCCCCATATAAACTCCTGGAGTGGGTGTGTGGGCTCTTTTAGTAATGGAGTAGTCGACACGAATGCGCCGACTGTCAATTTCTAAACCGTTGGTACACTGCTTTGCCTGTGGGTGCAAAAAAAGTGAGCACATCCATAAGGAGTCATCTTGGTAAGCTGTTGAACTGTTTTGGAGTATTAGTGATTGGTAATAAGATCCTTCATGCACCACCACTACAGAAAATAAATTGCAGTTTAGCTAAAAAAAAAAGCATGATTCAGTAATTAACTACACTGTTAAAAAGGTAATCATATTGCAAGAATCCCTTTGTGACTTCAAAGAAATTGTCACAGTTAGGTAACCAACCTCTCTTGCATCATCACTACTTTCATAGTAGACAAATCCAAAGCCTCTTGACCTCCCAGTCTGTGGAAATTTAAAAAAGCAGTGGAGATTTGTAATTGTGTGTGTAAGAAAACCTTTATTCAGTCTTGTGGACATCCAACAAAAGTTACAACAGTCTACTTCTCTTTTGTCATGTATTTTTTTTGGATTCACTTTACTCTTCTTGTCTTTTTTTTTTTATTTTTCAAAAAACCTTACTCTTTCAGCACCCCAAACATTTCAATAAAGGGTTCATTGTTCATTGCCTCCATGATAATTGTCATAAGGAAATGCAATGAATGTATGTTCTGAATTTCATTACATGTATGCTTGGGTAGCAAGCCTCCTCTAGGTGTTCCCAGCATGCTTGAAATTTACTATAGTACTTTCTGAGACATAATTTCTTGCATTTCAGAACATATTCTAGTAACCTTTTTAAGCCAGACATTTATATTTGAATCAATTAAAAAATACTTAGTTACTGTCCTTCACAAAGTACCAACCCAAGAAGGTGTAACAGCCTGCAGGTTTCTGCTGCCTAATGCCTCCTCATGACAACCCTGCTCTATATTTGACACAGATCAAAGTTTCTTACCTGACGATCATATACAATCTGGATACTCTCAACACTGCCATACTTCTCAAAGTACTGTCGCAAATCTCTTTCAGTAGTGTACAAGCTTAATCCAAAAATTCCAAGACAGTTACTGGCTTCTGGGTTATCCTAACAAAAGCAAACAAATGATAAGCCAGAGATTGCATTGGCACAGAAATAATGTAAGTTATACAAACACATTTAGGAAGAAATATAACCAAACTTTTAATGTGTACTGTGTTCCTTTAATAATTCACTTCATTTGCTTTAAAAAGGTTAACAGTTTTCTTTTCTTAATGTTCATGACACTAATGTACTTAAACTGTTGAAAATGAATACGACATTGTGGTTCTTAAGGTTGATATAAGCTCAGCACTGTCTTATGCCTGAAGACCCTAACATCAGTCTGTATATCCTCCAAACTGTTCAACATACATTTCCTAAGATAGTGACTGGGAGATGGAATTTTCTGCTAGGTCTCTCTTATTCATAGCAGCAAAACCAGTTTATTCAAGGAGAAGGTCACACAGAGTGTAAAACCCCTTTTCTTCCCACCCTGTGGAAAGTGTTTGGAATCCCCAATTCACCCAAATAGGATGGTACCAGGACTCAAGAACTCAACAACAAAAAGCAAAACTTCTCACAGAAAAAAACATGAAAATTAGTTTACCCGGCTTCCAACATGACGCTTCCTTGAAGAGAGAGGTGAAACACTCCTTGATCTAGATTTTAAAAGAGAAGATGTACATGTATTGTTACAAATATCAGAAAAATCTGTGCTCAAAGGCACTTTTTATATATTTGCCAACATTTATCTCATAAAGAAAAACCTAAAAAAAGAAAAGAGAAATGGGAATTCTTTGAGAGCAAGGCTGAACCAAATTCTAAGTCAAACTTGACCACCATAAATCTACCTCTGAATGAAACTCATATCAATGTTTCCTTGGCCCATTTTCTTACAACATCTTCTGATAGCTTCCTTGAAAAAATAGCTGCTTCTGGAAGAGCAAGTTACTTTTCTGAAATTACAATGTACTGCACCAGTTACCTTTTGTGTCTGTAGTGATAGGGGCTGCGAGAGTGAGATCTGGACTTTCTCCTTTTCCTTGTGTGTGAACGGGACCTTGACCTGCTGCGGGAAGGTGAGCGGCGTCTACGACGTGAACGGCTCCTACTTCGTGACCTTGATCGATCTCTTGAGTAACGTGACCCAGAACGTGATCTTGATCGAGACCGAGATGCTGAGCGGGATCTTGAATGAGATCTTGAACGAGACTTGGAGCGAGATCTGGAGCGTGAAGCTGATCTTGAGCCTGCACCATTGTAGTCAGCACCTTGCTCGTCATCTCTGTCACTTACATCCTGTTGAACACAACACAACTTTCAAAATATAATCATAACATAACTATAGAATGATAAAGAACAGCCCTGGTTTTTCATTCTCATTCAATACTCAAGTAATAATACATGATCCCTTATCTCTTCCATAAAATATTGCAATATTGTCAGCTGCTCATTGTTTATATGCTCCAGTTAATGAGGTTGACCAATTGAACATTGCCATATTTTGAACAATGTTCAGCTGTTGAAGACCACGCACTGCCAAGCACAATGAAAAGACTAAACAAAAAAAATAAAGCCTGACCTTCCCTTAACTTTTAAACCCAAGGAATATCTCACATCAAATTAATTGTTACTGTTAGAATCACCCCTGAATCAAACATTGAGAAAATGGGAAATAACTGCTGAAAAAAGAAGCTCTTAATAGTAAAACAAATTCTTCCTGTTGGTACCATAGGAAATGTTTAGATAATAGTAAGGAGAATATGCTTATTGATTTTAGGGTGTAAAGGGCTGACGGAGCTGAAGTAATGCAAATCGTGTTCTACCCATCAAAGTTCCCAATGTACTAGGCTTCACACATGGCTAAAAGTCCACGAGGATTTATTTGTAAGTTCCCATACAGGCAAGCTACAGAAACATACTAGCACAGAGTCACATTTAATTGAATCGAGGACACACTCAAAATAAATGTTCATAGAGTATGCTACTGCAATGGATTTAAGCAAACACATGCAGAATTAGGAAAAATGCAGTTCATTCAAACAACACGAGCGACGAAATTTAACGAGCCATTCAAACTACCCTGACAACTTGTTTGTGACTAACGCACTCAACCAAGCTAACACTCTACTTACCTTTTCTTCGGAACCATCTCTATCATCAAGATCACTCATGATCGCTTAAAGATGATTTCTATTGTAAAAATTCGCTACAATCTTCCACACAGTTTTCGACTCAGCAGATGGCGGGACCGCGAGGAAGCTATCCCAGCATTCCTGGCGTAGAAACAACCCGACGATAGCCGGAGTTGTCCGAGTGACGTACGGCAATTTATGATCGTGAAATTATCTTTCCCTTATCGTTTTGGTAGCTTTACCAGACAAAAGGGTCACAGCCATGTATATTTTTGTCAAAATACGCGCATTTTTAATCTAGTGAAATAAAACGAGCGAATTCAACAAAGTTAACGACAAAGGCAGTTTGAGCCCCTTGCGGTCCTTTTCGTGTAAGGTCCACCCCGAGGGTGTCCGAACACGCTAGTGCACGGAAAAGTAGCCATCATGGCGAATGCATCAGGAGGGTCCATTGATTTGGCCTCTTTGATGAGGACAAATAAAGTGGAGGCGCTTCACGCTACTGCCAGTTGTGGACCTACGAGATTTCTTGTGTGGACACGGCTACCTGAAGACAGTTCTACCTGGATTTTGAAGTACGTTTCGCTGTTTATTCTGCGATTTATCTTTTATGCGCAATTTAGCTAGGAGAACTTAGTGATAGACAAAATTTCTTTTTTTTATCACTAGGCTGGATTGATTTATAAAATTCCATGTCTGTCAAGTGTAAAGTAGTAATGTTATGCATCCATAGATTATTTCGTTTGCAAAATCCTAGACGCTGAGGAGGAAAAACGTTCATTTTCGATTTTATTTTAATCTTCCGTAAGCAAAGAACTCCAAGACACTCTAGTCCTGATCTGCCGGATTCGTGCCAAAATTTCAAATTTCACTTTCCTGGAGGTTTAGAATCTGGGATAAAAATTTGATCCCATTTTCCCCTTTAAACTGCATGCAGATGTATGGGATTGGAAAGTAAAAATTGTGAGATTTTATCGTCATTTTTATTTGATCATCATCATCATCAACATTATTGTCATATGCATCTTTATCTTAACCAGAATTTAGAGGGCAGAGGGAAGAATTGAGGTTAAAAAAAATTCATGTTTCGTCGTCTTTGCCATCAACGCCATCACTATTATCATTTCACCATTATCATTATTATCATTTTTCACTGCACCTTTGCATAGATGGGCGCGGGCTTTGCTCCATGATCACATCCTACCAAATGTATCTAGCTAGGAGATGATATTACAGACTAGAACATCCAAAACATTAATTAAATATTTTTTTTAATGAAATTACCATCCATGATGCAATTATGCTCCTCTGCAAGGTGTTTCGTTTTTGCACCATGTAATGACAAACTGCATGATTCCAATTCTTTTGGGCTGATAAGGAGATTATAATTAGATGGTGCATGACTGTATTGATAAAGCAATGAAATATCAGAGAAAAACCTGATTAACCCTTTAACTCCCATGAGTGACCAAGACAGAATTTCTCCTTACTATATCTATAAAATATCATGCAGACAAGTGATGAGAATAAAGAAAAATATAAATTATAGGATTACTAATTGATCTGATGCCAAATTCTCTAAACTAACATAATGAGAATTGTTTGGCAGACAGTAAGGAGAATTGCTAATGAGATCTTGGGAGTTAAAGGGTTAAATACTTTTTAGTTGTTTGAAAGAGTACATAATAACAGCTGTTATTGTTGTTGTTTTTATGTTTACTTAGTGCTACTGATGGCGTCAATGTCTGGCACTCACAACTGGACTTAGAGCAACTGGATTCTCATGTAAGGGTCATATAAGAGCACTGTAAAGAGTTTAAAAGCTGATGCTTTGAGGGTTAGCCCTTTGTGAATCGCTCTAATGAAGGGCTTATGCTGGAAACATCAGCTTTTGAACTCTTTGCAGTGGCCAATTTATTGCATTCACCATGTTGAGTTCAAAGTCTGCCTAGTTTCTAAGCCTTGCACTTGGAGAGATGTGTCTTCTTTAGCAGACTTTTAAAAAAATTTACAATAAAACAATTCAAATTTGGTTCAGCAGATAACTCAGACCTTGGTTTTTGTTATTCGTGATATCAGTCTCAACCTCATCTAATAATTCATAATGTTTGCAGAGAGAGCTGGCAGAAATTGACAAATATGAAGCCTACTTTTCAATGTTCAGGTAATATGTCCTTTTTCCTTTTGCAAATAAATGGAAATTTGTAAAATTACATTATTCATTTGCTTCTTATCACATATTGTACCCATTTCAAATAGTTCTGCTTAACCCTGCTGTGAGCAAATGGCAGTTTTAATATATACTGCAGAGGGATACAGTGTAGGTAAAGGTGAGCAGGTTAGGCCACTTCTCTCGTCCAGAGATATACTAGTACATTAAATCTGTTAAGAGGCCTTTGCCTTTATGGTTTTCCCATCTAGAGACTGAAAAAAAAATGTTTAATCTCCAATCACCCCTCAAAGAAACACATTTCAGATTCAGGAGAGAACCTTGATAGAATGATGGAGAGTAACTGGCATGAAATCCAGGGGAAGAGCAGTACTGTTATTCTGATTGCTTCAGGAGAGCTGGGGCTCTCTGTTCCAGATTGATATGTTGGTTTTTAACTATTTTGACAACTGATGAATGATGTTGCTTTTTTTGTAATACCAGGTCTGGCTTTCAAAATAGCTCCATATCTTTGGCACAGTTACCTAACAAAGTAATTCTAACAGTTGGTGAGGGTATTCCATCTCTGAGCTATGATCTCAGCGAGGCAAAGGCAATTGAAAAGAAGACAGAGTTGCAACTAATTCTCTTCAAATTAGCTGATAAAGTAGCTGAACTGACTCAAGAATTAAAAGGTAAATGAATTTATTACTAGATGAGGCACAGCTTATGCATAATTGATTTAAGAGGATTTGGAATGCTACAGAACTGAAAAAAGGAATTCCTAATTCTTTTTTCATAACATATCTATGAGTATCATTCATTATGTTTAATCATACTGATACATTTAATATAATTTTTTTTTTTTTAGTATCTTCTGATTCACTGGAAAGACTAAAGACTCAAAAGGTATTCATCTATATCTTCTCCTTCCTGCCAGAGATATTGCACTAATCTCAAGGTTCATACTGTAAGTTGTGGAACCTCACCTTTTACCCTCTGGGCAGGGTCGTTCAAAGATGGGTCAGGATAACCCAGGGATAGCGTGAAATTTGATTTCAAATCTGAAAGCTTTAGAAGAAAATTCAGTTGAATTATTTTTATCTACAATTTGATAATTTTCCCTATTCCTAAAAGAATAGGAAAAATTATCCCCAAAAGGCTCTTAAATAGAGAAGTAAAGAAACCTAGTTTAAAATTTAACCTTTGGTAATTGCTAATTGGCCTTCAAACAACTGGGCCTGATCCATTGCCCATATGTGCTTTGCACTTGGGCCTTGAATCCGAGCAGAAAAACCTGGTCTCTAACTTACACTTTGACCTTGAACTCAGTTAGTTAGAGGTTTTGGTGGATTGGAAAATATTTGGCCCATGATATAAAGACTGTGTGCAGCAAGGAACAAGCCAGACATATACCCACCCTCCCCTCCCACTCAGTTGATGGGTACGTGTTATTAACCAGACTAATCTCCTTTTTATTTTTCTTAACATAGTATGGGGCTCCTGGTGAATTATCAACATTTGGTAAGTATGGTATTAACTCTATATTTACCCTTTAACCCCTAAGAGTGACTGAAATCTAATTTCTCCTTACCGTATCACCCCTGAATCAAACATTAGGGTCAGGAGAATAAAGGAACTGATCACCTTCGATGAAGCTCTTGATTACTAGACAAATTCTCCATGTCAGCATCCTAGGAAATGTTTAGAGATCAGTATAGAGGATTTACATACTTATGTTAAGGTGTATAGGGTTAGGAAGCATGGCAGTAAAAGCATTCATTTAAAAAAAAAGACACACTTTCCTGAATTACCAGTTAGTTATTCATTTTATTATTAACACCTTTAGATATTCCTGCTAAAAAGACAACCCAAGCAGTCCCAGTTAAGAGAAAACAAGGTCGCAGTCTTATTAACCCAGGAAGCAGAAAGTAAGTATTATATAGAACTATTTTTATTAATAACATTATGTAGATAATTGATTATTAATCTGCAAATTAAAAGTCATGACTCGAAAAACCCTTTTTGTTGGAGGGGCTGCTTGGAAAAAAGCCCTCATGGAGCCCTGATGGACTGTTAGATTCTCCTTCTAATTCGTCTTAAAATTCCTTGTGAAACACAATTTGGAGAACTTGATGTGGCATCAAAAGTCATTTGTTGTAGTCCTTACTCACTGCACATTTATTTTATTATTTAAGAAAGGCAATTGTATCTATCAGCTACTATGTTTCTCCATTCTTTTCTTGGTCAAGGGCCAAGGAAAATGTTGAACTGTTTGCCCTTTAACCCCTGAGAGTGACTGGTGCCCAGTTTCTCTATACATTCACTACTGAATCAAACACTGAAGTTATGAGAGTACTGGAAATAACCACCCACTAAAGAAGCTCTCCATTGTTCAAAAAATTCTACTTTTCATTACCGTATGAAATGTATAGAGAGGGGTATAGAGAATACATATAATTATATATAAATGTTGGGGTAGAGTCTACCTTGGCATAAAGTGCTGAATGCTGTGGTAGCAGAGCTGAGTATATATAAGTGAAAGAATCAAAGAGGACGCATCGATTCTCTGTTACTCTGAGTTTCACGCCTAAGCGCTCGTCAGACAGCACTCAGGCGGAAAGTTCTGTCTGACAAGCGCTTTGGCGCGAAACTCAGAGTAACAGAATCGATGCATCCTCTTTGATTCTTTCACTTATTATATATATATATATATTGGGGCTTAAGGGTTAAGATAGAAGACAAGAAGAGAACACCTGTTTCCTTGTAATTTTTAATCCCTAATATATGGCAGTTAAAGTTTGGTATAATTATACTTTTTGGTCAACACAACTTTTTATTTATTGAGCAAAAAAAAAATTTAACAAGGAATACCTCTAACTCTATCTGAATGACATGCTAGTCTATAGTGTGTGGTTATTTTTTACCCCAAAAAATTTTAAAAAATTAATAAAATAAAAGTGGCCAAGAAATTTTGGTAAATGAACACTTGCAGGTTGTGCATGAAAATTTTGGAAAAGCAAACCATTAATCTTTATAAGAAAGAGAGCTGAATTAGTTTTTTCTCTTTCCTTTCTTCTACAGATTAAAACCAGCTAAAGGAGTACAGTTTGATTAGATGCAAAATTCAATTCCACTTAAATCATTTCACAATTTAGTTTTTTCCTCTTACTAGTTAGATTTTTTGAAAGCCAAAATTTTTCAGAAATTAGAGTCCATTTATTGTCTCTTACTGCAATCAATATGTACAGTAACATTTGTTTGTGAGAAATTAAAAACATTGTTTTGTACTGCCTTGACACAACTATTTCCAGAGTAGGAATCAATGTGCATTAGGTATAAATGGCACAAAAAATAAAGAAATGAAAGTGAGCTGTCTTCAAATCATTACTAGTTGTATACTTTTGGATGCTTCAATTACTTTGTTTTGCTAAAGTAATGGAATTCATAACTGTTGTTTGTCTTCAATTTTTTGAGTCGTTTTTCTCCCAAAGGTGCTAGTCTAATACTGTCTTGTTACAATTTGATTTTGCTTTCAAGCCAACAAGTTCTTACAACTAAAAAAGGGATAATATAATGAGGAAATTGTCTTGATCTAACTTCAAATTATCGTGGTTCATGACAAATATTTATTTTGTTATCTGTCTGTGATTATGTAAACAATGATGGCATGTATTTTTGTGTCCACTGTGCAAGTGCAAGAGCCGTAGAAGGGGCATCAAGCCAACTACCTCACCTGCAAGACTAAACCTTCCCAAAAATAGAATTACAGTTGATTCCTGCCACTAAAAGACAAAAATGAGTCCAGGACAGACACTTTGTGCTTAAAGTTTTTTGCCGTAGAGACTGACTTTATTATGCTTATGTTACTTGAGAGGAAGGAAGAGAAAGCCATGTGTTGAATTTAACCCTGTACACCCCAACAGTACCACCAATATTCATATTCTCCAAACTCTTCTTCCCACATTTCCTATTTTACTGACAAGGAGAATTTGTTCAACAATCAAGAGCTTCTCATATTGGTGATCATTTCCTTTATTCCTGTAGCCTTAATATGTGATTCAGGGGTGATACTGTAAGGAGAATTTGGATGCTAGTCGCTCCAGGGGGTTAAAAGGGTAAGGCAGAGTATTTCTGTGATCATTGAATTTGAAGGGGGATGAACAACAGATTGAATTGTTACTGCAAATGAATGATCCCCTTTGCAGATGTTGGTTGGTCTTAACATACAAGTTAATGTGATGAGAGTGGTCAAATGACATCTGCAAAGGAAATTGTGTACAGCTTTGTCAGATAAACTTGCTATAATGAGAATTCATGTGCTGTTCTGCTACTTTTCCAGAGAAGCTGTGGTGGAAGCTGCTGATGGTCATAATACAGAACAAAATGTACACATATCGGTTCTGGGGAATGATCAGACATTAGACATCTACAAATGCATAGATCCAGCATGTGAACATTTCTGCACCAAGACAAACAAGAGATACCATTGCCCTTTGTGCAACAATAAGCCACAGAAACCAGGCCGCATGCGCAGGCATTTTGAAAAGATGCACTCGGGAAAGCAGATTGTTCTGCATGAAGGTGAGAGTAAGTCGTTAACCCTCAACTCATTGTAGTTTGTGGAGAGCATAATTTGACAGGAATATACCGGTAACTAAGTATAACCAAACAAATGATCAATTCTGTGTTGATTTTATCAGGACACCAAATGCTCCGCTGCAAGTTAAGATGTACCAAAGCTAATGGCCGCATAACTGACAATTCACACTACCATTGCTGTCTTTGTGGAAGAGTTCTTGTAAGAAAAGTGCACCTTTACTGCCATCTTCAAGCTCATTCAGTCGGCAGCATGCGTGAAATTGATGAGCTATTAGATGCAAAAGATGATACAGAAGAAGGGCCCATGGAAGATGCAGAAATGGATGAAGATGATGATGAGAACCATACGGCTTTAGATACTTCACAGATCACAGCACTGGAAGGTTCAGAACAAGACAGTGTTGTTGCATTATCTGACGGCACACAGGTAGAATGAGTTATCTGCATTTTTCTGCTAGATAATGCCTTTCTCTGAACCTGAGAATGCTTTCTGTTTTAGTGCCTTAATGCTCGAACAGATTACTTGAGGGATAGAAAAAATAAAATTGAGGCTGCATTGTTAAAGGCAGGTGGCCTGATTGCTGAGCAAGTTTCTTCGAACAAGGAGTGGTTGCTTGTGAAGTTAAAATTGTTAAGCACCTTGAATGCATCCTATCAGTGATACAGTAATAATGAAGGTTTTACATGTGTGTACCACTAACAGTATTTTCTTTCTTTCAAGGTTGTCTTTGTGCAGTCCATTCAGGACAGTGAAACTTTGACAGTTGTTCCACTTGATGAGCCATCTGACACCTTACAACTTACTCAGTCTGTTGCCCAGTCAGATGTCACAACTGTAGTGTCCACTGCTGCTGATTTAAGCACAAGCCTTCAGGTGTTAACTTCAGTGTCCTCTGGTCTTGGCAATGAACAGCTGCAACTGCCACAGGAGCTGACAGTGAAACAAGTAAACGCTATGCTCAGCCAAGGTAAAATATTACAGCAAATCTTTTTTGTCTGCTAGCCAGATCATCTCTTAAAACTGTTTAACCTTAACAGCATATAACTTTTTTCAGGTGAGGAAACTAATCAAGATGCTTCAATTACAACAGAAAGCTCCCAAGGCAATCTTCATAATATTAGTGGGGTAAACACAGACATGTCAGCATATGCTGATCAACCAACAGGGGACATTGACATGGAGCAGAGCACAGAAACAGAGCCTGGCCTGCAAAAACAGTCTGATGAGGAAGCAGTGGAATTTGAACAGTGTCTGCAGGTTACTGATGTCCAGATGTCTCAGGAGAGCTCTGCCACAGGGGTTTCTGGAATGGAACAAAATAATCTTCAACTTTCTCCAGTTGAGTCTTCTTCTGCTTCAGGGCAATTAATCACATGTACTACCACTCCTGGCAATGTGGTGCAGACTTCAACCTCGCAGTCCATAACGGATCAAGGTTCTTCAAAACTCCTCATGATTAACCCAATGAATAAATCATTGTTTACGGATGATAGTGCTAGTGCATCCCAAAATGATCAGAGAGGAAAAACTGCTCGGCAGGACACTCTTGTGTTGGTTGATGCTACAACAGCACCCAAAGGAGATGATCATGTGTTCAAGGTTCTGCTCAATAACCTTTCTCCTGCTACCAGTTGTTTTTGTCATCCATCTGTTTTAAACGAAAAAAATAATTTAGACATCCGGAGATGTAAGAACACTTACTGTGACTGCAGGTTGTACCATTGTCCTTTGTGCACTTGTTTGCCAAACAAACCAGGGAGAATAAGGGAACACTTTAAAAAAATCCATGCCCAGGATCTCATTGTGAGATACCAAGGTGAGAAAAGTGTTAAAAGATTATAATTTTTTTCAGTGTACCAAAAACTTGATATTATAATATTCTATTCACATTTACTTTCAGTCAGCTGCTAAATGCAAGGTTGTAGCCATGGGTATCTTGGGGTTTTCTCTTTCCGGCCAGCCTCCAAATAGAATATGGCTTCCATGGTTAACAAATCATTATTACCCAGCTGTAAGCCTCATTCCAGACATCTGTCAATATAGCGTCGATCATTAGACAGAAAGAAAAGAAGTTTTGGAAGGTTAAGTTGGATAGAACACAAACCCGGCAACATTACTCAGGACTGTTGCAAAATAATTGTATACAACCTTCTCCCTGTTTATTTCACAGGTTATCAAATGCTACGATGCAAACTTGGCTGTTCCCGTCCAAGTGGGACCAAAGTGTTTAATTCACACTATCATTGTTGCATTTGTGGTGCAATCTGTATAAGGAAGTCAGGGGTTTATGAGCACATGAGGGTAAACCATGCCATGCAGCCAATTAACAAAGACACTATGTCACAGCAAACCCAGAGAGCAAAGTGTGAAACCATGTCAGCAAAACCAGTGATTGTTCAAGTTCCCCCAGTTTCAACTGGACCTGCAGGACCTGGGACCCAATTAATTCAAACCACTCAACCCCAGACTCCATCAAGCCAAGGCATGTTCACAGGGACTGGGACCAGTCCACAAACAGTTACTGTTCAGATACCTCAGCAAGGTTATGTGGACGGGCAAGCACAGGCACAAGTGCAGGGGCAACAGCAAGTCGTGATATTGATGCCGCAGCAGGTCAATCCAAACCAAGTGCAATCGCCTTCAGTCCCTGCACAGCAGCCTATTGTTATAGTTATGCCACAGGCAGGAGGGGGTCAGGTCACCCAGCCTATTGTTGTACCTGTCCCTCAGCCTCCCAGCACTTGAATTCAAAAAGAAATTCCCATAGTGCTTCATGTTTTCAGTTGTAGCTATTAACTTAAGACAAAACTACACACCACAGATGTATTTGACATTGTTTCGTTGTTTTTCTTATTAGTTAAAATTTAATAATATCATAATTTAATCACCATATTTAATATATCATAAGTAATATATCATAAGTAGTATATCAAGTTGCCATGGGTCTGTTCAGAAAAAAGATCACAGATGACATCAAAATTTGGTAAGAACCAAAAAGTGGCACCATATCTATTACTGAACAGACTCATGACAACATATTTGTTTCACTTAATAAAAAAAGCAAAATGTCGTTACTGCGACGATAGCTATGCGTCTTTCCTCTTACAGATCATAAGTAAGAACCAATCAAAATTCATGCATTCATCACCATATTATTTAATAATAACTAAATCATGCTTCAAGAAGTAAGCAGTAACACTAACAAAATGTTTCAGCGACATAACTTTATTTTTTTTTCTTTTCACTAAATTTAATTAAGGGTTCTTTTTTTAAACAAGAGGCTGAAATTAATATATTTAATTTGTAGGGTTTTTCACTTAAAATAAAATTTTAATAAATTATTTGGATATTTTTCTTCTATATTTGTATCTTTCTATCTTTAATCCAGGTCAAACTTGTCTAGCAGGTTTTGAACTCATGTTGTATGTTATTGTCCTCTGTGAAGTGCTTGGATAGAAAACAAAAAGGAGCAATTGTAATGAGCCCAACATAACACCTGTACCATTGGGCACCTGAAAAAGAACAACAACAAAAAAAAAGAGAATTGCTATTAATTTGATGATTTGTCACCGTTGGGTATCATTGATGGTTAGAATTACAGTTTCACAGTTTGGGAGGAAACTTTTTCTAGAGTCATAGTGTTCTGTTCTTGCTCAAGACTCTGTTCTCTTACAGTGTACGTCAACACCCTGGAGTATCAAATGTTTGCCCTATACCAAAATAAGTAGAGCTTTCTTCCTTACTAGATACCATACTGGGAGAACATTGCATCATACCTTGCCTTGAATGCATTATTGTCAATTTTTTTTCCACTCTGGGAATTATGATGGAGGACTGTGCTGAGTAACGACAGTTCACTTACCAAAATAAAATTATCTTGGACAAGTTGTCCATATATTGCCCAAAGAAGAGCCACAACAAAGTTTCCTAGACACATGGAAAATGTCATAAATTCTGTACTCTTGTGTCTAATCACATTAGCCTGAAAAATGAAGGTTAACACAAAATTAAGATACATGCTATACTTGTGCAAGAACATAAGACAGTGACCTGGCTACTTCTCAAACCTGGACCTCAAGATGAAGTCCAGCAGGTTCACCATCAGCCACTGTGTCTCAACTGCAGGAGGTAAACCAGTGAGCTATTTACAAGAACTGTCAGGGAGTTTAACTCAGGATTACAGAGAAACCACTCGGCTTTATGATGAGAAATAAGGCTCTAATTCAGAGCCTCACAACTACTAGTCCTAGACTTTCAACACTCCCTCATACTGTGACTGAAGAACATAAGTAACAAATTAACACACTGGAGTGTAAGTTGTACTTTTTTTGCCCAACTTTTTCTAACAGATCAGGGGTGGGGCTTATCTGTGAGAACAACTTAAATAGACACTATTCAATGAAAAACTGTCAGTAGGTCTGTTAAGTGCCCTAACAAAGGCCTCATGAAGATATACATGAATAGGAACTGATCATTAGCTTAATTTGCAAGCTTGATGGCTCCAAAAAGAGCCATTTTTGTTCATAAACATAAGCTTATGTTTCTTGCTATATTGAGTGGTCTTAGACCTGCCTTAAGAGTTACCACAGATCTGAAAAAAAACCCTGTATGGGTTATGGGTTATATGGTATAAGTTCATATGAAAAAGTATGTTAGTCCTTACCACAGAAGCCAGAGGTGAGCCATATACTGCTACAGTGAAACCACTTGCAATGAATCCAAGATGGAAGACAGCTGTATCAAAGTCAGCAATGTAGTACTTAACATAAGTCAATAGTGAACATACTCCAAAAAATGAATACATTAATCTCTGCATTAGCAGCTTCTGTGAAAAAATTGGAAATAGAAATAAAGTATAAATAATTTGTGATGCTTTAGAATAATCTTCATCAAAAAATATTTCCACTGCCATTTAAATATATAGATATGGTCTCTCTCAACTCAGTATCTCACAAGTAAGTACAGCAAATGAGTGAGGTATTGCATTGAATACCATAATAGAAAATCTACATCTACAAGCAACCATGCATTATTCTGTTTATCATATAAACACCATAGGCCTTTACACATTGAAACAGGCTGGTGGCATACATTATTGTTCTAGATTTTCATTCTTAGCCATGAGAAATGTCATTACTAAAGCCAAAAGTCACTTTTGGTTGTTCTTCTCTTGTTTTGGCTTCCTATTCAGCTTTTAGAAAATTTTGAATGCCAAAGTCTGTGAGTGATACAAAAAAATTTTTTCTTGATTTTGCTATATCAAGAATATACTTTACCATCTTTTGCATTCTGTTTACAATCATCTACTTACCTTATCTCTTGTATTAATATAATAAAATAGTAGATATGCAGATTGTGTAATCATTCCTAATATTCCTATGGTGTAAATAGGAGTGTCATCTACTAGGATGCCATACTTTGTCCAAAGAATGGAACTGAAGTTGAAACAAAATGTAAAACAATGTGAATTGATAAAATCATCTTGTTTCCAATTTTTTTACCCAAGTCAAGAGGTGCATGCCACATGCAAGGGTTTCATATAAGTCTAATTAGAACAGAGGGGGGCATCTAGATTTGGAACATCTAGATTTGGGACATATAGATTTGGCACATCTAGATTTGGGACATATAGATTTGGCACATCTAGATTTGGGACATCTAGATTTGGCACATCTAGATTTGGGACATATAGATTTGGGCATCTAGATTTGGGACATATAGATTTGGCACATCTAGATTTGGGACATATAGATTTGGCACATCTAGATTTGGGACATCTAGATTTGGCACATCTAGATTTGGGACATATAGATTTGGGCATCTAGATTTGGGACATATAGATTTGGGCATCTAGATTTGGGACATATAGATTTGGACATCTAGATTTGGGACATATAGATTTGGGCATCTAGATTTGGGACATATAGATTTGGGCATCTAGATTTGGGACATCTAGATTTGGCACATCTAGATTTGGCACATCTAGATTTGGAACATCTAGATTTGGGACATCTAGATTTGGGACATATAGATTTGGCACATCTAGATTTGGGACATATAGATTTGGGCATCTAGATTTGGGACATAGATTGGGCATCTAGATTTGGGACATATAGATTTGGGCATCTAGATTTGGGACATATAGATTTGGGCATCTAGATTTGGGACATCTAGATTTGGCACATCTAGATTTGGCACATCTAGATTTGGGACATCTAGATTTGGGACATCTAGATTTGGCACATCTAGATTTGGGACATCTAGATTTGGCACATCTAGATTTGGGACATCTAGATTTGGGACATCTAGATTTGGGACATCTAGATTTGGCACATCTAGATTTGGGACATCTAGATTTGGCACATCTAGATTTGGGACATCTAGATTTGGCACATCTAGATTTGGGACATCTAGATTTGGTACATCTAGATTTGGGACATCTAGATTTGGCACATCTAGATTTGGCACCCAGGTATAATTGAGCAAATCTCAAAGAGTATTGCCCCCTCTCTTTGGTGGCCAAGAGATGTTTCCTTTGGAAAAACTTCAATTACAGCCATGCATTTTCCCTAAGTTTGACAAAGCATTTAAAGTGCTTTGCTGAAGAACAAAACACAACAACCTGACCAATTCTCTAACCCAGACCTCTTGACACATACTTCAGCATGCTGACTGTGAGGCTTCTGCATCTCCCTTAACCCTTTAACCCCTAGGAGTGACCAGCTCCTAATTTCTCCATACAATATCACCCCTGAATCAAACATTAAGGTCACGAGAATCAAGGAAATGATCACCAACTTATAAAGCTCTAGATTTTTAAACAAATTCCCCTCGTCAGCACTTCAGGAAATGTATAGAGAACAGTATGGAGAATATACATACTGATGTTAGGGAGTAAAGGGTTAAAGATTTATTCTATCCATACATTTCTCATTTTAATCCTAATGGAAAGATGCACTGTGGTAAACAATCCCAGAAGCCTTGAGGAGTTAAAAGTCTAAATTAAAATAATCAGGGCCTCTCTAAACACAAATGTATTTATTACATACCTTAAACATGTTGACAAGAATGGGAAAAAAGTTATGTTCTTTGTACTGCCCTGTTGTTTTATTTTCAAACAGACTTGTCTAGAAAAAGGATGGAAAACTTGATCAATCTTTAACCCTTTAAGTCCCACTGGTGACCTAGAAAGAATTTCTCCTTACATTATCAGTACAATATCAAGCAGACAAGTAATGAGAATAAAGAAAAATATCAATTAGGGGATTATTGGTTGATCCAATTGCAAATTCTCCAAACTAACATCACATGAATTGTATGGCAGACAGTAGGGAGAATTACCAATGAAATCTTGGGAGTTAAAGGGTTAACTGTAATTTAATTGTACAATTTCAGGAGATTTACAAGCAATAACAAGCACAACACATACAATATCCTATTAGTTCTAAAATTAGGCTGGTGATAACCATTCACATTTCAGAATTTTGTTATAGTTTTGATTAAAACCATTTACAAACCACTACACACAAACTGAGGGCTACATTTATTTCCTAAGGAAGGAAATTCTCAAAATAGTTCCCTAGCCTCAGCCCAAGAGTTGATTTATGAACTTAACTAACCCTGAGCTATATCTCAAGGTTTTATATAAAGCTACAGTGCAAATAGTGAGACCAACTAACCATCTCAGTAGAAAAACATCAGAATAAAAGGGGTAATTTTCTAAATAAAGTATGGCATTGTATCAGTGTGCAGTATTACAAAGTAGTTTGCAGTATTACAAAATAGTTTGATTTATCGGTTGGGTTGATAAAGCAAACTGGCCACCATAAAGACTATCTGAAGCTGGCATTTCAAACATAGTTCCTTCATCATAGCAAATGGTCATTTGCTCTGACTTCTTCACTCTCTCATCATTTTCTCTGATGAAGGGCTAACACTCGAAACATCATCTTTTGAAACTCTTTACGTTGTTAAATTAACATTATCAACTAAGTTGATAAAACCAAAATCACCATGGCAAAAAAAAACATTCCAGCTTCACAACATTTTCTTTTTTTTTTCAGCCTGCTGCGTAAAATATACTTTTTTCGTTTTTAAAATGAAGGATTGGATCTCAAAATTCGCATATTAAAAAAAAAAAAACACGTTCAGTGAAGCGATCCGTACATTGCAGAAAGGAACAACAGGAAGCCTCAATTAAGAGAGACCTAATTTTAATTAATAATACGATCAGCCAATGGTGAGACGACAAATAATCTTTGTTACGCGAACATTACCTTTTACCTAAGAGTTGCTAGGGTAAAAAATAAAGGGAGCCAACAAAAGCTCCTTTCAAAAGCAAAATAGCAACTAAGTTTCTTAATTTTTGGTCTTAATGAGTTAATTTGAAGGAAAATGAACTGAAGAAAAGATCAAAACGCTGAACAAATGGTTAAATGAGCGGTTCCATGCGTGCCATTGATTGCAAATTTACCAATGTGTTAGAAATTTAGCCTATATTTACAGAAGGATTTTAATTTACTTACATCCCTGTTGAAAGAAGTCCAAACTGGCAAATCGTTGCTGTCCATGATATGTACTGTTTAACATCCATGGGAATCATGTAATCGGCAACATCTTTATGTAACTACGGAGGACGAACCCAGCGAAAATATCGTTAGTTGCGCTAGGGAAACTGGGAACGACAACACTAGTCCGCATGCAACGCCTGGTTAAAATCTTGTATTTGCAATCGAGTAAAACGCACAGCCAGCGAGTACAGAGGGAAACGATTTTTGGTGGAGAATGTCACAAATGGCTGTTAATGAGGCTAAAAAAGTTCTGCGACGCGAGTTGAAGAAAAGAATTGCAGCTATGACAGATGAAGCAAAACTAACGGAATCTACTTCGATTGTGAACAAAGTAAATTGGAGCCCTTGTTCATTTGGTTTGTAAGATCTTTGCTAATGTGGACACCGCTGTTGTTCTTGTCCATTGATTAACTGTATTGTGTTATCTCGCAAGCTTCTTCGAATGGAGGAATACAAATCAAGCAAGCGAATCTCAGTCTATCTCAGCATGTCTTCTGAAGTTCAAACCGAAGGAATATTGAAGGTCAGAGACTTAGGAGAGTCATTTTATTATCCCTTATTTCTCTGCCATCTCAGTTATGATTTACTATATTTCTGCTCTTACCTCTGTTGCAGGAGCTTTTCCAGGCAAAGAAGTAAGTATGATGCCTAAATTTAACTACATGTAGAACCTTTAAGATATGTAAGGTTGGCACTTCCTCTCACAATCGACCAAGGCCAGTCACTATAGATTTTGTCCGGTCAACTCTTTGAATGGCCGAACATTTTGTGCAATTGCTTACACATGTAAAGAAGAGTTTAATTCCGAACTAAGTTAAGGTTTTAAATATGACTGCATCAATTTTCCTGCATTGAGTTGGGATTTTTTTTGTAAAGAGGGGATTAATTGACTATGACGTGATGGATATTTGTCCGGCCAAAAATGGACTGCAAGAGAAAATGACAAAGAATCGGAAAAAAGGAAACAGCTACAAACAGCGACTAACTTCAGGTTTCGATAAATCCATTTTTATTAAAAATGACATGTTTCCACCAAAAATTCTGTTCAAAGTAGTTTGAAATACAATAACAAATGCAATCAGATATGAAGTCTTGAATTATGAGTTCTTATTCCTGTAGAGCTTTTTCTTCTTGGGATTTTCCCAGACTCGTTTGTTTGACTGAGACTGACGTCTTGGTGGTAATCTCCAGGAAGCTTCTTCGGCTTCTTTCCATTCTTTATAAGCTTGCCTGTTAGGAAAAATTGTAGTAAAGAAACAAACCCGAGAGAAATTTATTTAAAATGACAAAAACTCTTTTGGAATGGGTCAGTTTAGATAAAAATAAGGATTCAGTTAAAAGAGCGGTGGCAAGCGACTGCACCTTTGAAACGTGCAAAAAACGACGGGTAGTTGCATTTTCGCATTTTTTTTAATTTTCATCGGAAAGTAAATTTCGGAATAGTTTGTCAAAAGTCAACGTAAAGAAGGCAGAACAAGTGGTCTTTCGAAAGAGCTGCCGACAACAACGATGTATGAAAGTGTTGAAATACCTCAGTCAAATTTTTTTTGATACGGTGTTTCGTTCTTCTACTCACCGTCTTCGCCAGATCGACTTCGCAGGCCACGAAATCAACATGTACACAGCCAGCACAACACAGTTCATTACCAATACGACAGAGATCGTGTAACCAGTTTCACGCCAGGTCGAGACAATAATGTGGCTTTTAATTCTGAGAAGATGGTCTGTTAGGAAAGTAAACAAAAAAATGACATTAAAGAAATTTAAGCTTGATTCGGCCATCTCTCGATTATACAGGAATATTTCCAAGGATTTTCACACAGTCCGCAGGGATATCTCTCACAAGGCTTTCGACTCACCGTGAATGTATTCATTGTAAAACTTGATGAAAAGTGAAAACGTCTCCAAAACGTTCTCAAGCGCAGGTTCAAGTGGTTTACAGTTCCTTTTAATCGTTTTCCATGACCAATCGATCAACCGTTTCGCTTCCCCCCATGCCCACTCGGCCCACTGTTTTGAACCAATCCATGCCTTCTTAGTTAACCATGAAGCATTTTCCTTTGAGACGCCGTTCAACCACTCAATCTGATCCCAAATCCATTCCGTTCCGTTCCAAGCACATGCGGCCAACCATTCAGCACAGACCCAGTACCTCTCAGCCACCCATAAGCCTCCATGGTAAACACATTCATCTGCCCACATCATCGTTGCAAAAATCCATTCTGCCAACCTTTTGAGTCTGTTCCAGATTTCTCCGACGCAATCCGTCAATCCTTTCCAAATTCTACCGACCCACTCCAACGTTCCTTTCCAAATGTTACGAGCCAAATCGATCAACCATTTCAATGCATTCCAAATGTTCTTAGCCGTTGTTCCAACGCCGTTAGAACACATTTTCCAAGCTTCAACCACTGTTGTCACCATAAAGCTCCACGTGTTTTTTACCATCGTCCCCACACGAGCGATTAGTCCTGGTTCTTTCCGTTTGTACTCTTGGTAATCAGAACATGTCATATTCCCAGGGTACTCCGGTAGTTCTTTGCACTTGAGAATCTGAGAGATATAAATGGGCGAAAAACAATATGGCCACCATAGATGTCTAAGATTGTTTTCAACTGTATATCTCTTGGCTCTTTTTTGACTAGAAACTCACGAGAAAAACAGTAGGAAGCCTTATCATGGAGAAACGCAGTATTTGTCGATGGCAAACCATATTGCAAAAGAAATTTAAGTGATTGTCATTTTAAATACCTTTCCAAGGTTTGGTGGATCGTTCCCAAAAGGTGGACCGTTCAAATCTTGAGAGCCTTTTTTGCCGGGAAAAACAAGTTTCATATCCAGATCCAGTGACGACATTTGAATCCTTATCACATATTCCTACCAGGAGGAAAGGAACGACATGTTAGATTACGTTCAGGCTATTAGGTGTTATTACGGATTTTGATCGTTAGTTACCGAAAAAACCAACGATGATCAAAATAATAATTTTTCTTGAATTTAATCGTATACATCAGAAAAAAAAGATTTTCATTTTTATTTTCGCCCTCCATTTCTGTAAACAACTTCATGTAAAATGTACTTCAGTTCTCCAAGACAGATGAACTCGTAGCATTTGCCGATGTTGTTCTTAAATATACCGACCAACCTTTCCGTTCCAAGTTCCGACTACGGAGGTGTCTCCGTTGAAATCTTCGAACGGAAGTTTTTGCCATTCAATGGCTTGAAAATCATCTAGTGTAAAAAGGTAATAGCATCAGTATTGCCATTATTTTGTAACTATTTTTTTTAAAGTAATACCCAGTATAAATACATATATGAAAAGGAACTTTTTTACTAATCGACACCGAAAGGTTTGGGTAGAAAAAAAGGATTGTGAGAGGAAACGAAAAAAAGTAATCGTCGAAGCGCGCGCCTCAGTGAAAAGAAAAAAATGCACCTTGCTCCGGGCGCACGCGCCTAAAATTAGCGAAGGCAACCATGGCAACTCCAAACTTGTTTATTCTCCCGAAAAAGGGTGAAAAGTTGCAAAATGCCCCGTCGGCAAAGCACTCATTTTGTTTTGGAGAATTTTGAAGAATGTCACTTTTAGCAAATGAAACCCGATAGAACCGTAAGTCGTTGGGAAACGTTTTTGGTTTGATAAGAAGGTTAAAAGCGTTTCATTACGTTTTCTGGTCCAAATGGTCGTGTGCCGGGAAAAAGCAGAACTTTTGGAAACCTTTGAAATTTTTTTAAAACAGAGCTGAAACCTACCTTCGTGTCTTGTAGCTGGTGTAACCGCTGTTAATTGGAGCACAATTGCCAACGCAGCGATCAAAATCACAATCCTCCTCATTGTTGTGGCGCGCTTTTTCTCACAAAAAAAACCCGCACAGCTTCGATCCGAGATAAAGAGCGTAGTGATGGTTTGACGTCACAACACCGTTAATGACGCAGCGTGCGCGAGACAAGGCAGCGAAAGTTGGTCCCAGGCTCCTGCTTGTTTTTTAACTGAAAACACGCTCTTTTTGGTTTTCGGGAATTGGTTTCGTTTCCTTCAAAATTGGAGGGAAAAGAAAATCATGCTCAAAATGAAATCACACGGCATCTCTCTGAGATTATGTAATTCGATAAACAGCCTACTTTTTTTATTTTTATTTTTTAAATATTTTTTTTCAGGGAATGTTTTATTCCTCGATATATTGGCCTAAACATGGACATGGTTAAACTTCACTCCATGGAAGACATGATGTCCTTACCAGTTACTTCCTGGAATATACAACAACCTGCAGGTGAATTTTAAATACTTAATATTTACAACTTATTCGATGGTTTGACGTATAACACGCGCGGGCATTTAGCGAGTTGCGTAGTATTTTAGAATTACTTTTTTTAGTATTTTGGCGTCTAGTTTCTCCTATGACTTTATCTTAGCATCGTATCGATCGTATAAGGTGTGCGCGAAAGACGAAAACAACACAAAAGAAACCATTAAAGCGTTCTTTACGACCACAAAAATAATCTGTCGCACTTTAAGTTTTTTACTTTAAAAGTCAAGCCCGAAAAACGATAAAAAAGAAAATTTGGATCATTTAGTGAGGCTATTTTGCTCTCCGTTCGTATTTTCGCCCTGTTCTACTGAGCAATACCGTTGCATATTTTGTGCGTTCCGTTGCCCTAATTTGGTAAAATGCGCAATAGTGAAATATTACTTTTCAGTACTTATACGGCTCTGCTCCAATACTGCTCCAGTCTAATTAACCTACCTGTGACAATGTAACAACTTTACTGATCTAATATGACATGGAGTACTGTTTCAATATTGTTCAATATTGTATTGGGATTGATTTCTTTAATGGTCCTTTTCTTGTTCAGACGATGATGAAAGAGAAGAAGCCATCTCTTCAGGGGGACTGGATCTTATCGTTGTTCCAGGACTTGGTTTCACAAAGGTCTGCATTTAAATACCAGCGATGATGCTAATTTTTTGTTTAAAGGGTTGGATATACAACTGTAGAGTAATGCGTGAATCAGACCAAGTGCTCTACACAGCTGCTTTATTGGAATACTAATAGCGGAGCTCGCAGAGCGCAGCCCCATAATTATACAAAATAGTAATAACCCATCAAGCCGAAAAAATTTGGATGTACGACCGTACGACCGCACAAGGTGCTACTTTTAACATGCGTGGTCAACTGTACCGCGGGCACGCCAATGCCACGGCTTTGATCAGTAGTTCAGTGGTCAGTGCACTGGGCTCCGAGTCGGACGACCCGGGTTCTAGTCCTGGCCGGGGCAAGGCGTTGTGCCCTCGAGACGTGCGGGAAAAAAAATGCGAGCTCCGCTTTTAGGCTTGGCTAAATCTATATATTAAACTTGATTATATACAATGATATATATAAGGATAATCACGTGACGGCGGTTAAGGGTGTACAATGAATACAGATTATCTTATATCTAAAGTAGTTATCAAAATATGGGAACAAACACTAAAAGTGATCATAATGATAATAACAATAATAATAATAATACTAATAATAACAGTAATGATAAAGTGATGATAGTAATGATAATGAAGATTACAGTGACATGGACGATAATGGTGATAATTTAAATGATGATAATGATGACGACAATAATAAAGATAGTGAAAGATAACTTTAGTAACCATAATGCAATATAACAATCAATCAATAATCAAAGTCAACAGATTTTAAAGATATTTTGTTTTTTTCCTTAGCAAACATATTATTAATGTATTTATATTTAAAATTTTATTGTTATCGACATATGTAAAAAAATATAGAATTATACATCATTATAAATAGATTTTAGCACTTGAAATGAAGATACCATTATTGAATCAATAATCATAATTGTTGTAAAAATAATAAATAATATTCATGATGATAATGATAATACGTACTGTAGTAACAATATTCAAGTTAAAGTATTTTTTGCGTATTAATTTGAAATCTTTTGGAAACAATTCTTTGAGGAACTATTTTGCCAAGTAATTAGGAAGGATTCATTCCTCTAACTGAGAATAATCTTAGAATTCCAACCCTCCTCTTTGATTACTTCAAGAAAATGAATTCTAGATGACGTAAGGTGTGGGCTAGCTTATGTAGCGTATCCATGTCTGCTTGGTAGTGTAATGCCAATGTCGCTAACGGTTTGGTTTCCATTGCATTTCTTTTTCATAGAATGGCCTCCGTCTTGGCAGAGGAAAGGTAACCATTGACAACGTAGACCTAGAAATTATAAGTTGTTTTGAGTTATTAAGTGTTATTTGTGTAAACTGTTTTCGATTTTGTTCTGTTAGGGTTATTATGACTCGTACATCATGAAGTGCATTCAAACGTGCAAAAAGAAGCCGCTTTTGATCGGTAAGAGTTATTTTTTTCTTCATTTTTTTCACCTCGCCTCGGTTTGGACTGTATGCATAACGAAATCACTATCAATGCGCTTGGTCCTGAAGAGCTATCATAGTATTTTTATATTGTATTTCTTTCCGCTTATCTTTCATTTTCCACTTTCTTCTCCAGGTTTGGCTTTTAGTTCTCAGATCTGCGACGACCTACCAGTCACAGAAAGAGACATGCCTTTGGATCATGTGATCACAAGTGAACCAGATTAGAAAATTGGCGAATTCAGAGTAATAATATTAAAGGGGAAAATAAACTAATCAAGAAAGAAAAAATGAAAATGTCACTCTCGAGAACTACATTACACAAACGCTGGTAATTTTCTTATTTTGAAAAGCTGATCAAAGACAGGCTTGCAAAAGTTGTCAATACAATGACAGTCAGTGACAGTGTCGCCATTCGGGACACAAAAGACGATTTGCCACACATGTTTAGTATTCTATTCAAGGGTTTGTGGATGTATTTCACTTAACTAATGTTTTAAATTGGAGCAGCCATTTCTAAGTGTCGCGACTCAAAATGTCGCAAATTGAACACCTGCGCAGCCGATAAATTTCATATTCTCTTTTTGTAATAGACAAACAACTAACCTAGGCGTGCAGTGAGAAGTACGCATGCGGATACCTTTCGTAGTGCGTTTTCTGATTCCACGCTTCCAAAGTGTTTGATTTTTCTACCAACGTGGCGCTATTAATTTCATAGTTCGGAAATGTATTAACCAAATGCCATTAAGAAAAACAGATGAATAGAATGGAAAATAAATTAAAATGATGCAGCTGAATTGTGGTGTAATTTAAAATTTAATCGGTGTACTAGTAATAAGGACACTTGGTATTTCTTATGTTGAGCAAGAGATCCAGAAATTATAAAAAAAGAGAATTATGACTGCAATATTCTGTGGCAAAATACACGAAAAAGTGTTTTTAAACAGCTCTTTGAAGTTGCATATTACATTAGATGTTATCGCAAAGTTGTTTTTACGATCGAAACTGAAGACAAATGGAAACAAAAATTCTTCAAATTATGGGTTTAATTTTTCTTTTTTAAAGTAGTATGACATGACACAAAAAATATACGACTTATTTTATCTGTTTTCTCGATTTCTATTCCTTATTGATAAAATTGAAACAAAAATCCTTTCTATTTATGAAATAATAACACACCAAAAATGCCCCTTGACGCTCATGGAAAATTATTTTAGAGTTAATTAAGTGTGTGTGACGTCGTTATTGTAAAGATATTAATTATACATAACTCGCTAGGCCAAACTGTTGGTCTGTTTTCAACAGTACGAGAAATGTTTTTGCATCAATTCGAGGAGTTTGGCAGCAGATAGACGAAACGAAATGGAAGATATACGAACGGCCATGTGGTAATCCACGCTTTTTGATAACGCTATGTTTTGAATGTAAGTGAATTTGGAATCAAAACTGTTTTTCTTGGCGATTGAATTGTAAATATTAGAATTTCCTGTTACATTTTCTCGTTGTGTTTATTCCGTTTTATCACAGTTCTGTCCTTTCGAAGATAAAACTGATCCTACATTCAATTATCAAGGGCGCGAAGCTAATGTTAGGGATAAAACCGGCGCTAAGCATTGAAATGTGGCTTTAAAGTCGCGGAAAGGTCGGCGAGAAAAGCAAAATAATAGTTCCCAAGTGACTTTAGTCTGAACAAGTCAGAATTGCAGGTTTCAAAGCGCGAAATCTCGACAGCTAGATAGCTGAATCCCTTATGATTTTCCAATCTTTAAACCTGAATTTCTGTACCTCCATTCCATAGTTTAGCTCGCATAAAAGGCGTTCGCCCGCGTTTCCCATTTACGTTAAAACGCACTTATTTCTCCAACTCCCCGCAGTTCTGCAGAATATGCTTTCTTGATGATGAATTCGCATACCCTGGCAATTAGCTTGTTGACTTAGCGGTTCCAGAAAAAATGCTGGCTTTTTCCGGTTTATTTTGACTGCATACTAAACAAATGCAGGCTAGTTTATTTCTAAATTCATACATTCGTCTTTGAAGACATGGGCGAGAAGAAAATTATATTTAAACTAAGACACCCTAAAGGGCATTCGCAAAATATCACCAGCTTAGCTATGTACATCTTCCTCTTTGAAAATATTTTTCCTTGGAATAATCTGTACAGAAGTGGCAAATTCTGACTGAATTAAGAAGATGTTCTATAAAGCAGCCGTAAATTTGCAATAAACATTTTAATTTCTCCGTTTGCTTTTCACGCGCAGGTTGAGTTTCACAAACAGCTGTTTATATAAAGTTTCATAAAACATTAACAGTCAGAACAGCTTCCAAAAAAAATTACTGTTTAGGTAATTAAAATAAGGATTATTTATTTACATGGTTAAACCATTAAGTGTGCCTTTTGTTTCAGATAACGGGCAGCCCCTCCTCAGCGGTGAAGTCCGTCACGTGAGTAATAAAGTAATTGGAAAAAAATTAATTTGAGGCTACTAGTTCCGAAGTTCCGCACGGCACCCTAACATCAACTTAATATTTTTTCACTGATTTTTTTCACTCGTGCGACGGACTTCGCCGAAAGGGGGTCTGCTTATGGTCTTGCTTTGTTTCTATTGGGGCGTAATGCCAATATCAGAGGTTTTTTTCTTGGATTTGATCCACAGAAATAGCAATTCCTCGGCCCTGTATCTGTGACGGGAATCAAAGCGACCACCTTGCGATGTCTTCAGTTGGAAGTACTTTTTTAAAGAGGGCTCTTTTGTTTTTAGTGTTCGGATTTGTAAATGCTGCAATTTTTACTCTTATCGAGAGGCGTGGAGAAAATTACAAGACCACCTCAGATAGAATGTTAGACCAACTGAGGAAGAATTTTACGAAACACCACAACTTCTCGGACGAAGAATTCGAGTATTTTACAATGGCCTCATATAACGCCGTTCGCACGGGTTTGTCTTTGGACTGGACCTATTTTAGGGCTGTGGATTTCACGTACACAGCGATGACCACAATTGGTGAGTCTCTGATCCTTGACAAAGCTATTTTTCTCTCAGCTTCTGGTAAAAAGGATCAGTCCGCCCTATTTTGACAAGTTTATCCTTGTTAAATTATTCGCCTTGTTAGAGATAAACTTTAGTTTTTCCATTAACAAAATCGTTGAAAAAACACCAACACGCTATGAGTTTTTTAACAAGGAGAGCGCTCAAGGAAAGAAATGACAGCGACAAAATTAGCTTAGAAGTGTAAATGACTTTGCTTGACAAGCTCTTTTCAACTAGACTACAAAGACTTCATGTGAAATTTGATTCCAAAAAATTGTAAGTAACCTAATCCTTTAAATACCTTCACTCTTGGACAACTGTTCGCTTCTATGAAAAAATAATGTCCGGAAAACTAATAGAGCGTAACTTAGCACCAAAAGGAGGCTATTTTTAAATACCGGAGATAATGTTATTCTCCACTTTAAACCAACCTCGACCAATAACTTTCGTTTTCCCGCGCATCATGCCATTTGAGTTCTAATTGGCTCTTGTGACATTTCCTCTGTTTTCTTCGGCTGTCGTGGTTTTTGTGTCGACCGCGACCAATAACTTGCGTTTTCCCGCGATTCATGCCATTTGAGTTCTTATTGGCTCTTGTGACATTTCCTTTGTTTTCTTTGGCTGTCGTGGTTTTTTGTGTCGACCGCGACCAATAACTTGCGTTTTCCCGCGCTTCATGCCATTTGAGTTCTTAATGGCTCCTTGAGACATTCCTTTGTTTCTTTGGCTGTCATGGTTTTACGATGCCTCCCTTTTTTCAGACCTTTCAGAAATGATTGGGGGCCACCTGTGCCGTAGCAATTATGGGTACGTGTAATTGTTATCGTACATAACTTTTTTATATTATTATTCTTGCAGGTTACGGTCGTCTAACTCCTATCACCACATACGGGAAACTGTTCTGCATCGTTTTTTGTATGTTTGGAATTCCACTATGTCTGCTGACTCTAAAATCTGCGGGCGAACTTATTTCAACATTTCTAACTTGTGTGATAACTCACGTGGAGATTAAAGTTCTTAAAACAAAAAGAGTAAAACACCTTGAGATTAAACGCGCTGTACTCGCGTTTAATTTAATGGCAATGTATCTCTCGTTCACTGCAGTCACACAAGTGATGCAGGAACACTGGACATTCGTGGATGCTTTTTACGCCTCGTTTGTAGCATTTTCTACTGTCGGTTTTGGAGATTATGTTCTTTTTGAAAGTGTTACAGGGCAAGGCAAAAACGGAGCTGCAAGCACGTTTTTTCACGTGTTTGCAACTTTCCCGGCGCTTTTTGGACTGGGGATTGTGGCTTGTGTGATCAACTGTGTTTTAGATGTTGTTGAGAAGAACCGTTTACACATTAGTGATGGTAGACCAGGGAGAAGGAAAAATGGAGAGTTGGTAAAACTTCTATCTTTTAGTAAACTGAAAGAAGAAGGTAGACGCTGCAGAAGGTCTCATAGTGTATGAAAGCACATCATAGATTCTTTTAGAGTTTTAATTAAAGAATACTTTGAAAAAGACTATTTTACCCAGATAACGTGTTTTGAAAGCTTGGGCGGTTTTCATGATTGACCGAGCCGGCTTAATCGTCGCTAGTCGGAGCTGATCGACACGATTAGGAACCAGTTTTAATTTATCACCTAAGGGGGGGGGGGGGGAGAAGTTTGGGAGGATCACATGGTTTTCAGGGAGAACGAATGATGTTGCAGATCCCTAAGGGCGATAAATAATGATCGGTCCACTATGTTTAAACACTCCGTCGGATGATCGGGTAGATCACGTTCGTTGGGAAGTCGTCACGATCATGCGCACTTCGGATACTGTCGCGATTGTCCGCTCGGGAGTCGTTGGAGGCCATTGAGGTGGTGTTTGAAACCCCACCCGTTTTCTGTACCTCCTCCTCCCCCGAAGGTAATTCTCTAATGTTTAGACTACTTAGATGATCCTGTCAATAAAATATAATTCAGAGCATGCATCCGCACCTGGAGCTCGCTATTCGTGTGACAAGATGACATTCACAGAGGACACATTGGGAAATTATGGTAGAGGTTTATGCTTGGTCTTAGAAAGTGACGCCCCCCCCCCTCCCCATGTTTCTCATACTCTCAACTGCCTTGATGGGAGAAACTTGTCTCGCCCTTTCTTTCACGTCGTTCCTCCCTCACTGATTTTGTTCCAATTATTTCACTCATGTATTGGTGGCAAACTGATCATAGCAACTGATGGTACGCCCACTCACTCTTATGAGCATGTCTGTGTGTATAAAGCTAAGATACCCATTCACTTTGAGTTACCCCTACACTGGTTTGATTCTAACCGCGCCTCCTGAAGCAGAGATTTTGCACGCGCCTAGCGCGCGGTCAAATGGAGGGCGCTCGCAAGAGTTCTGGGTAATTGGGGAGCCTTTTGTTCGAATCTGTAATGGAATGATTACAAACGTCTGTACTGTTCTGGAAAAAGACGTCCCGCTAATTAATAAGAAATTACAACGGATAAATCTTTTTCTAGAGATGAAGTAAACTTTACGTTGGCATCGATCAAAGCGACGGAGGATTGCGCTATCTGACGGATTGTTAGAAATTGGGTCAACATGGAATACTTAATTAACTGCCGTTTTACAATACTTTGAGACTTCCTGATCTGTTTGTGCGGTCTTTGATGTAGAACAGAAACTTTTTGTTTGGAAATGGAAAGAGTACTGAACATTCGCAGACCACCGGAACAGAGCCAAAATGGATTATCGAGAGCTTCAAAAATATTTCTCGGCTGTGACATTTTCCAAGGTAAAGTTTGTATTTCACAATCTGACGTTCGATCGAGTTTATCAAATTTTCAGCTTACATGGATGGCTGAAGATCAAAACATCCCCATGGTCCATTTACTACGCTACTGTATTTTTATTTTTGGGATCTTATTTAAGTCTGTCGCCAACTAAGCAAATTTGCTACAAGTACACGCTTGCGATGTATCACAGCGCAAGGATCTTTACTTCAGTAAACAGAGTCTGATGTGACCCTAAAGATGTTGCTGCGTGTTTAACCTCATGGGGCTAATTTAAACCGGATTGATCGTGAAAACCTGATTACGCCTGATAAAAATTTTCCCCTAAGCACTTGAAAAATGTCCACTTCCTCTGGTGTCGCATCGAAAGCTCTAATGGTACAAACGATTATGATTTTAACTAAGATCCTTAAAGCAAACAAAAGGGTATCCTTGAAGAATCAATGGAAACCGCTTGAACGCTTACACCAGAGGTTATTTATAAGAAGTTTCTTAAAGAGGTACGAAAAATTTATTAGTCATTGAACTTTGAGCTTGGTTGAAAAAAGGGAATACGAAGCATCGTGTCGCACGTAGCCTATGGATATTTGTGTCGGGAATTACGAATTACGATTAATGGTTAACTTTAGGAACCTGTTACATCGATGAACTATCGAGTTGGAGTTTAGCTATATTTCAATTTCTTGTTTTGTAAGTTATTGATGCTGGAGAAAAATACCCGATTGTTCTTTGCCTTTTTTTCAATTTTTATTCACAAGAATTGTTCTCCAGGTTTTGCTTCAACGCATTCAGCTGATTAACTGTAACCTGAACAATATTTGTTTCTGGGCAGCCGCCAATTTATTCTCTATGGCCGTGATTAGTTGTATAGTTCAATTGTGAAATTGTGTAAGGTCAAGTTTGACAATTTTTCAGTTTCTTCTAAATTGCCATGACAAGAGCTAATTCCCGACAAAATATTGAATAAAATCATATGACAATAAAGAGAGCAGGTGATGTTTACATTATTTCCATAGAGCTGAAATTAATATTTTTAATGACTAGTTGGGTGGTTAATTAAACACACTGATCATAGGGGCAGATCTATTTTGAAAAAAAAAAAAACTCGATTACGGTGATGTTTTTTGATGACTTAATTTTTAGGTCATAACAATTTCTGTTTCATGTTATGATTAAGTCAACCATAAGGTTGCCAACAGTTTCACTTGCTTTGTTATTGCATCTGTGTCCTAATTTAAATTTTTTTGGTGCTAGTGAAGAGGCAGGTGTATTTTAGACTTGAATGAAAAGTGTTAATATTTTTCCAAGCTCGTTTAGTAAGCTAAATTTTATTGACTTTGGACAAAATTCCCAAATTAAAAGGTAAATTGCATGCTGAGAACCAAGTTTAAAATTTGTTTTGGCAAATTACATGAAATTATATGAAAATTCTGTGAAAAAAGAAAGCTATTTTTTTTCATTGCCTGTGATTAAGAAAAAAGGAAGATCTTTCATGCAATTTTGATATTAAGAAGCTGTAATCAGGAGATGTTATTTTTGAATATAATTTATTATGTTTGGCACAAACTTGTAATAATAAGTATTTCATGACAAGTTAGCCAACCTTTTAGCTTTCAACAGTTTATGAAATAATGAAGACTGGAAAGATTTCCCAAAAAATCTTGAATCACCACTTTATTGTTAGAGTTCAGTGACAATTATCAAACTATTTTCAATACTATTCACAATTATTTTGTGGATTTCTGCAATTTGTAATTAAATTTTGGGTCAAAATATGTCCTGAGGTTTGTTTTTGGTACTGAATTAATTAAAAATTTTTGGGAATTAATCTTCGGAGTTTTACTTGACAAGAATTGGCAGCTCTAACTAGAGAAGGAAGTTATTTTGGAAGAGATGTATGAGGTCAACCACTTTGGGGGAGGGGTGGGTAAAAGAAGAGAAGACCCTGATCAGCCACATGCTAATTATCTCTTAGGACGAAAATGTCTATATTGCAAAATATATTTACTATTTTACAGAGTCAGTCACTGGTATTTCAGTTTTTTTGTCATAATATTTAAGAGCATATATGTCTTGTGATAAATCCATACTTATCTATTCCAATTTATCATTCTCATTTTTTTTTTTGCACTGTTTGTAGTCGTTGCTGTAGTGGTATTTCAAGGTTTGATGATAGCTCTCGGAGACTTCAGTGCATATAATAATACTGAGGTGTGTATAAATAAGTGTAGATTAGCATTCAGTTGAAAGGATGGATGGAATTAAACAAAGGGAATTTTGAAATGATATCAAACTCTCCTTAGTCCAAGTTAATGAACTAGAGGTCAGGGGCCCATTTCTCAAAAGTCCCAGTAACTTAACTCTTTAACTCCCATGAGTGACCAAGACAGAACTTCTCCTTACTACATCTTACAATATCAAGCAGACAAGTGATGAGAATAAAGAAAAATATCAATTATGGGATTACTAATTGATCCAATACCAAATTCTCCAAACTAACATAATGAGAATCATTTGACAGACAGTAAGGAGAATTACTAATGAGATCTTGGGAGTTAAAGGGTTAACAGGAACAAAACCATATTTTAAAATCAAAATTGGAACAATAGAGAAGCAGTTTGTGGCTTCTCAACCTGTCCATTTTGTTTCTTTAGCTGATAGTTTTTTGTATTGTTTTCAAAACCCCCATCTGAAATGAAAATTAGAACAGTTTCATGGGCCTGTTAAGTTACCAGTACTTTCAAGAAAAGGACCTAGGTCCCAGTTGTTCGAAGTGTGGATAATGCCATCCACCAGATAAATCTTTTAATCCTCTGGATACCAGAGTAGGTTTTGTGAACACCTATCTGATGGATAATGTTTTAACCATTGAATAATGTTATTCTCCCTTTGAACCCCAGGGCCTTGAAACATTGTGTAAGCAGATAACTCTGATTTGTCTTGCATGAAGCTGAAGAAAATCTAACTGTTCTTTGTTTCTGTGTTACAGCACCCTGGAATGGGACCTGGGAGAAGGATTTATATGGCCATATACATGGGTGCAGTTGTGTACACATGTTTTTTGTGTTTATTCGCAGTAAGTCATTGGAGGATTTTCTGTTATGTGTTTGGTTACCTTTGAGAAAAAGTAGTCAGTTGTTACGTAACAGAATGTTCAATAATTTCCTTTCTTTGACAGGTCAAAAGACAGAACTTTATGGAAATTATAGCATTTGACTTGCAGAACTTTGCCTTCGTTACTTATAGCTTCATTCAGTGTAAGTTGTGGGCCTTTTCCTTTTTTCCTTTTGTGTGGCTCAACCCTTTTACTTCCTGAAGTGATAAACATGTAACTTCTCCCTACAACAACCATACATTATCTTACTAACAGGTAATGAGAATACTTAATCTCATCAGGCAGAAGTTATCTTGATCTAGCACCAAATTCTTGTAACTTATTTACAAGAAAATGTGTAGCAGCTACAGGGGAGAATTAACAATCAGATGTTGGCAGTTGTAGGGTTTAAGGGAATAGTTAAGTTTTTTAAAAGGCAAGATATGAAAAAGTTTCTGCTTTAACAACCCTTGTATTTTTTTTTATTGTCATTGTAAGTTATTTTTTAACAATAATATTCTGCTTTTCAATCATTTTATTTGAGTTTTGCACTCAATCAAAAAAATCCTCAGATTTCTCATTCCCTATCTCAAAAACAAAACTGTTTTTCTACAAGAAAAAATCTGATAGCTATTTTATTTTGGTTTTTTTTTGTTTTTTTCAGTATATCATGTTAGATTCAAGACATACAATGGATTAAGAACAAGTAAAAATGATGCCCTTCCAAAAATTGTTTTAGCAAATGTAAGTCTGCAGGTCTTTTTGTTTCCAAGTTTATTTCAATTTGTGTCTACACCTCTGATTAACAATCCTCTGCACCCATAGCAGGCCTTCTCTGTATGCATTGCAGGCCTATCATCACCAACATTACCTTCTTATCAATGGAATAACTTGTTTTAAATCAAATTTTTTAAATGGATTTTCATTCCAAATATCCTTTTTTCAGGCCAGTGCTCTTCTGTTGCTCAATGTTGTATTTACATACCTCTCATACAAGCTGTACATGGAGTTTGGATGGAAAATCTATAAGAGAGTTCGTTTCAACATCAGGCTCAGAGGTAAGAGTTTTTACTGAATTATTTTACTAATTTTACTGAAAAATTTTTACTTAATTTACTTAATAGCTTGTATGCTGGATTCAAAAGGAAGAGATTTGGTTTCATACACAAGTGGAGTCATTATGTTATGTTCTTAGATAAAATACTTAACCCTTTCACTCCCATGAGTGACCAAGACCAAATTTCTCCTTACAAAGTCAATACAATATCAACCAGATAAGTGTTGAGAATAAAGAAAATATCAATTTGTGGATAACTAATTGATCCAACACTAAATTCTCTGAACTAACATGATAAAAATTGTATGGTTGACAGAAAGGAGAATTAAAAGTTTTATCTGGGAGTTAAAGGGTTAACTCTCAGTGCCTCTCTCCACCCAGGAATGTAAATTGGTTCAAGAGAAGTGTATAAAGGAATTTGTGATGAAATATAAAGGGGGGGGGAGGAGGGGAGGTAACCTGCCTAGGATGAGCATCCTATGGGGGGAGGGTTAAGAGTAATAATACTCCCTTTCACATTATGTTAGGGAAACCAAGATAATCATGGCTAGATAGCCATTGAGGCTTACAGGCTGACTTTACCTTCTACAACCACTACTAAATATTTGTAATCTTTTTTTCAATGGTTCCAGTAGCAACCCACGAGAAATTGTGTCTTCCTGTGTCGGTTGTATTCTTTAATCCTCTTCAATTATCTTTGTGTTGAACTCTATTTTATGAATGCTTTTCTATTTGAACAGGAATTTATCAAATCTATGAAGTGTTATCTTGCCTTTTGAAAATGGAGGTTTTGTATTGGGTGAGTGAGTCTAAACCCTTTCACTTCTTAGATGTAGGTATCAATTCTCCACATGACCTTTCATATCTTTCTAATAATTTTAGATCTGAGAATTTGATAAGAAATCAAGTAGAGGTGGACAAAGATGACATTACTTTTTTTAGCAGACTTCCTCCCTACTTTCATGCCTCACACTTTGTGATCTCCTCACACTTGCCTTGCATTTACTACAACTTACCTTTAAAATGCATTAAAAAGGATCCTTGGCTTGCATTATAATGATTCAATATGTATCTCTTTTTTCCTTCAAATAGGGAATGTTTGCCATTGTTCACAGTCTGGTTCTATTGCGTGACTCACATAACATCCTCTATGTTATGAGCATGACATTTATACCATTAACATTTATATATGCTGGTATAGGTTATTACGCGGTGAGTGAAATACAATGTTATATATCACATATAAATCTAGTAACAGCCTACCTCATCATAGAACTCTCTGAAGTTCATTTTGTGGCGGAGTATCTAAGAGCACTGGATCTGAAATTCATTGTCAGGATTCGTTATTGGGAATCAGATTTTTTTTCTTTGTTCCACACTCAAGACTAGAAGGATTACATATTTCTTACATTTTTGTATTTCTTTAACCCTTTACACCCTATCATCAGTATGCATATTCTCCATACTGTTCTCTGTACATTTCCTAAGGTGCTGACAAGGAGAATTTGCTTATCAATCAAGAGCCTCTTTAATTGGTGATCATTTCCTATTGTAAGGAGAATTAGATGGTAATCACTCTTAGGGGTCATAGGATTAAGTTCTGTGGTAGAGCATCAGAGTATGGACTTTGAAAGTCTAGATTAAGATTCTCGCAAGAACTCGGATTTTGCACACTTGTCCCACACACAAGAAGAGGAACCTTTTTCTTTTTGCATTATAGTTCTTCCTGAAGATCATTCTTTTCAAGTGTTGATGACATTCACATGAATTATTTGTTGAAGTATATTTAGGTTGATGTACTCTAACTTGTTTTTTGTTAACAGGTACGCCATGAGAACAGAGCGCTTATGCTATTTTTCCTGACTTGGACATTGGGTGGGATTGGTTACTTTTTGTATAAACTTTATGGGTAAGTATGGAAATGGTGGATGGTGCAGGGATGAGAGTGCTTACTTAACACCACTGTGATTGGAGTTTCATTCCCAAACCTGGAATCACATAATGTTGGTTCGCATTCTTGCCCCAAGGTTTTTTTTTTTTTATCTGGTTCTCTTGTTTTCCTCCACCAACAAACTCAACACTCCAAATGCCAAAAAGTCTGGGAATACTGGAGATAGCCTGTGGTTGAGGTTAATATTGGTTCCCATCGTTGTTTTTAGGGTTTTTTTTCTCTCAGCTCTCAATTTCCCATTTCATTTTGATCTGGAAAACAGTGGACAAAGAGCCACCTGATAGAATTGCTGCTGCCAAATGGAATCAATTTTCTTTTTTTGTTGAGCGGTTCTTTAAAACTACATTTAATAAATTTGAATTACATGCCAGACTTGAGGTCAAATAGTAATCTAGTGAGGCAGTGATAGTGGGCCAGATGGGGTAAAAAATTCATGCTTTGCTTGTAATTCTTGATCCCTGCAGGTTTGTTACTCGCACTTGCAATGGCTGTCCAGAGTTTGAAATTGATGGAAAAGACATCCCTGATGAGGCCTTTATGCATTTTGTATACTTAGGTAGGGTTTATACATGTGTGCAAGTTCGAATCCTATCATTATGGTATACTGGAATAATAGTTTTTATTGCACAGTTTGCAATTTCGTATCATCAAATTCATTTGCACGAGCGTGCCTCATATTCCTACTTGCACTCTTATGAGGTATGTATACCCTGTAGAGGAAATTTTCTCTTTATTTACTGATACTGATAATCTTATGAGGCGAAGTGCACTTAGGGATTGTTAATATTGATTCAACTCACCATCTCTTTTCTGAATGGTCTAAAGCGTACAGTGAATTTTCGAAATCAGTGCCTGGGACGTCTTCTAGCTGCAGATTATACAATAATCATTTCAAGGTCACTCAGGGTCACGGGTAATCATGTCATGTATGACCGCAGTGCATGATTTCAAAGGGTAATCAATTTCGCGCGATTTGTGTTGCTTGCTAATTGTATATTTTTACACGGTAAGAAATAAATTATCAATTCCACTTCCTGTCGTGACCACTTTATTTCCGTTCATTGTATAATAAAACAATTATTAGAATAGGTTCGTGCGATATCTAGAACAATCAAAGTCGCGATAAGGGTTATCAGCTTCGGCCTTCGACTTAAGCAATCCACTACAGCCTTCTTTCACATCCAATCAGCATTTAAGTATTTTTTTCCTCCATGTAATGTTATAAAACATTTAAACTTCTGCATTAAAAAGTAATGAAGCAATTGGTCCATGCGTCAACCGTGGATGCCGCTAGAATCTAACGATAAGCTTTCCACCATCATGCATCAACTCAAGACTCACGAAGCTTGAGTTGTTCTCAGTTTTGCCTTGTGCAACTCTTACGCATCTATAGTTCTTCCCAAACTTCCCGCTTTCTTCATATTTCAAGGAGCACACGCTGATGCCTGAACCAACCGTTAATTTCCATCAACCTTTTGTTTTTTTTTCCAGGAGCCATGAATCTTGTAGTTGCTTCAACAATATTTGGCGTAGCAGTAAAAGCCTATCGAAATTTTGGAGGTGGATTAGCGCAGCATTGTAAGTGCTTGAACATTTTCAGAAATTGATTTCTAAAGAATGTCAACACAATGAAATTGGAATTTTTCTCCCTCTTTCTACCATTCCCCTTTACATACCTCTTACAGCAATCTCTCCTCATTCCTTCATTGTACTTAATTCTACAGTCTCAAACATAATTTGCAATGGTTCACTCAACAGTCCGCCAAAAAAAGAAACCCCAAATGAAGTATTCAGCGCGGCTAAGCCTGGGACGAGCGAGTCATTGTTACCCAGAGGAGAGCGTGATTTCTGTTACGTCATACGACAGCGCAATTGATGAGTTCGCTGAGAGTGTTCGATTGGACAGAGGCATTTTACGCGCTGCTCATGCAGCTTTACCACTACTGGCCGGTAACGGTCACCTTCGGGTTGACCAACGCAGTTGTAGTCTTCCAAATTTGCTATCGGATTCGACGCCAAGGCCTACCTCTTTTCCAGGCCCTTCCGAGGGGGGTATGAATTTGCTGAGAGACCGGCTGCAATCAGAGCAGGGGGAAACAGATGTAGAAAAGCTAAACTCTGCAAACCTGGAAAGCATTGCTGAAGAGGAACCAGCTGGAAACTTAGACTCCTATGATTACGGAAGGAAAATAGGATCTGATGAAATTTATCTTCAAGACAGTGAGGCTGCAGTAGACTCGAGTTTTATTCAGATATCAAGAAATGGTGATTTTACTTCTTGGGATCCTAACTCTAATGGTCGTGTAAGTAACGCGGATAGGGTTCGCGCAACTAGAGACGTGGGGAAATTGCCCGAACACAGACAGAACGGCCGTGTTAGAAAAACTCCTATAGAACCAATGGATGAAAATATTACAAATGGATGCGGCTTGCAGTCTGCAAATAACCACGAAGACACTATTGCTGACGATTTTGCGCAAGATTCGTCGATGGAATTTAGGACAGAAAAATCGTCGCATCAAAATGCGCAGATTTATCAGAGAATTGCGCGGCTTCCCGAAGGGGTTGTTTAAGAGCAAGTCACAGAGAGATTTCGTTGGAGCTATCTCACGATAATTCCAGCCAGCAAATAACCACGAAGACAATATTGCTGACGATTTTGCGCAAGATTCGTCGATGGAATTTAGGACAGAAAAATCGTCACATCAAAATGCGCAGATTTATCAGAGAATTGCGCGGCTTCCCGAAGGGGTTGTTTAAGAGCAAGTCACAGAGAGATTTCGTTGGAGCTATCTCACGATAATTCCAGCCATTCATTAGAGATCTTTATATTACAAGACGAGTATGGCTGCGAGTTCGAGCCTGCCTCTTTATTTCGGTAGGTAACGCAATGTCCGTCAAAGCTTAGAGTAAATTGTAAATGTGGAAATTTGAAAAAAAAAAAAAAAAAGAGAGAGATGGTTGTATTTAAACGAATGAAGCTCCTTTTTAATAGAAACAGAATTTTTTTAAAATTCAAATCACCGTTACTGGTTTAATGGGTAGGAATGATCAAGGAACTAGCTGCTTATGGCTGCCTTTTGGAAACTGGTGTCTGCGACGTCTTATTTAAGAATACTCTGAAGATGTAATTTTACAATAATTATTTTCCTGTAAATAACCATGACGTTTTTCTTGTAAAAACATCCTTTCATCGTTCTATATCTGTCGAAATCGTAAATACTCCTCATTTTTAAATTTTCTTTTATTTCGATGCTGTTGTACAGATATTAAGTTTTGTTTTTCACGGTTTCTCTTGTTAGGATCTTTTGTTCGTTCTGTGTTACTTCAATGCCGTGATGGGAATTTGTCTACTTGCAATTAAAGCCATTTTTAATTTTTATTTATTAAAATCAAAATAAACTGAAAAAAGGAGCAGTCTTCTAATGTCCTCGTTCCTGAGACAGAAAGAGGAGTGACCTCATAACGAGGCTAGAAACAGTCTCTTGGAAAGTTGAGGGGGTGGATGGTGGGAGTGTTTATTTTTAGTGCGTGCCATCAAGAACCAAGTTGATGTTGAGAACGGGATTAATTTCGGCATAAAGGTTACAACTGTATTTTTCTCTAATTAAGTGCTATGTCACGAAAACGCTGTAGCTTCAGAAGAAACCAGTGTGACGTAACATTCCTCTGCAAGGACGAAATGTGTTCTTGATTGTTTAAACGTCAATTCATGTCTTTTCCGTTTAGATTATTGCATGACTCAAAGGTCTGCGTTGTTTTTCCAGCTTTTTCTTTATGCTTTATACAAGTTCAGGTCTCAGCTCAAGTACTAACTACTTTTTTGTTCAGCTCCGAACCCGGTGGGGTCGGGAGAAGGCGGGAGCAAAGTCCGACATGTGTCCAAAGTCTGCTTTGAGAGTAAGGCAGAGAGAGAAGGGCAACAGAATGCACAGGACAATGTAACAGAAATACCGCTGCTTCTACTGCTCATTCTATCATTTATTTCACATTCCCGCTCTCTTTCCTCCCCCCAGAGTAAGTTTCAGCATTTTCGTGAGCGTCAGTTGTTAGTCAGGTCACAGCTACACACAATACAGGTTACTGATAAATTACATCTTGCACCAATGCAAATCAATATTTCCAGCGTCGACTGTTATAACGATGCGAAAGTATTTCCTGTTCAAACAATATATGACACGTGCCCTTCATTAAATCTGTACTCAGTATTTTAAAGATTTGATCTAACACGCGCTCTGTATTGACGAGTCCGACTTGAAACCGTTACACCGTCTATAATATCCACTGCTCAGTTTGTCAGTTGAATATCAAGCATGTAAATTTATTTCAAACTTCTTGTTGCTTTTCGTACCATTTTTTGGAAACGCATGCATATGATCGCAGAAACCTATTTAAAATTGTTTCCAGAAACCTCGTCTTGTTTTGATCACGTGGTAAATTTAATGGAAGTGAAACCGAGTAGCTCCGGGGACAAGAGAGGACTACGTCAGATTGAGAAAAAGTCCATAGCCCTCTTTGGTTGCTGTACATCACGCGTCACCCTTTCTGTCAGAAGATCAGTTTTTAGATAGAGACATATATTTGGTAAAAAATTTCAGCACAGCCCAATACTATTGTAAAACAAATTTGTTTTCCCAATGGCAATGTATTGTTTTTGTCATTGTTTCCTTTATCCAAGAACTGAACGCGTTATGTAGTATGGGGCTGAGCGGAAATTTTACCATATATTTTGCTAATTTTCTTATCGACAACTCAAACATTTAAAAACCCTTTTCTTTTCCAAATGTGACTGCAAATATTGATTTTCTTAGCAAATATGAGAAGACTTAATTAAGAATCATTGGAAACTCCATAATTCTTATCCCTAGTAAGATGGCAGTCAATACTTTGACCGCAGACATGAAACCATAGTTATTTCAGTGTCTTGAAAAACAAGAAAAAAAGGGAAAAAGAAATATCAGTAATGATGATGATTTGAAATTCTGAGAAAAGAGACAAATCAATGGTATATAAAGTGGGATTTTCGGACATAAGAAAAATTTGCCATCCATTGAATTAAGAGACAAAGCGTACGGAATTCGTCTCCGAGGAATCAAAAACACAGCAACAGAACACCTCGGGAAATAGTTTTTAAAACCTGAACTTCAAGGCATATGGATATGTCATTTTAACGAGTTCTCTTTCGCATACATTGTTAAAATGGCTTGATTGCTTTTTAAAGAAAACAGAACAATAAGTGAGTGTAAATGTCTAAATTAATGTTTTATTTAGTCAACCAATCAAATCTAAGCTAGGAGTTTTTCGATATGGTATTTAACACATTTACAATTTACAAAAAACACTCTCGGAGCCTTTTCCTTTGAGGTACTCGACCGTTTACAAGGCACAGATTTTGAAGGTAATTGTGAGAATTGTTGCATTGAGTTTAAGTGTACAATCTTCTTAGAAGAAAACGAATTAAAATTACTTGGAATTCTTTTTCTCCCTTAAATTCACGCTGGTCACACGAAGTCTCCTATTAGCTGTTAGCTTTGAACTTCTTGCAATGAAGAAATCATGGCCGCTCCTCTGCTGGCGCTCGGATGCGGAAAACTACTAGTCTAATGAAGACATCAGTTATGGAGATTCTTTACTGATAGCTTAAAATGTGTTATTTTTTCAAATAATGTTTATGCGTTTACCATATACACTGTAGCTTGTGTAACTGGTGGTTTTGCGCGCTGAAGCTTTTAATCGACGGAGCCGGTAAACCAGCAGCAAGGCCGCGAAAGGCTTGAGATACCTACCTACACGTATTCGCGGTTTCGCCGCAAAATCGCCAGCTACGTAAGCTATATGGAACACTAACAGCTTTGTTTTTCATCTTCGTCATTAACGACAAGCCAAATAATTGTGGTTCAGAATTTTTAGATGCTCTCAATATCAATCTGTAATTTCGCGATTCAAATATACAAGTTTTTGATGCATTGCGAGCCTATGAATGGCTAGCAGCCAAACTTCCTTGCCCCCTCCCGGTAAGGCTGAGCGTTCCCACTTCCACTTCGTAAAGGTTCAGTTCTGTTTATGTTGCCCACCTTCCCTTTAACGTACTCTTTTGTCCATTTTTATGTTTTCTTTCAAAAGGCGAAGATCCAAAGCAAGTTTTCGAACAACTGCTAAAAAAAAAACTGGCAAAATGTAAATCTGCGGGGAAATCACTGCACCTGAGTCAACATCGCCGCAGAAACAAAAGCGCAAGCGATCGACAAGTATCCTATGAAATATTCATCACTTCTACAAACCAATAACGACCGGCAAAATCGCCTCCTTAGCCGCTGCTGTTAAGAGCTGTTAAACAAGAGATTTAATGAGCTCTGATCTATGGTAAATTATTCGAATAATGGTCGAGGGCAAGCTACAGCGTTATAGATACCGTATCAGCTATAGAAGCCCTCGCAATGTCTATGTTTCATCGAAAGAGCCACTCTTTAGAAGAGTTCGATGGAGTTGTTAGTCGTTCCTCCGTAGACGAAACCAGTTATCATTACTCAGGATCAACTTCGTTCAGAAGAAAAATGAAATCTGTCCGTGGGATGCGATTCCGCCCGGTTTTCCCAGCGATAATTGGAGTTAGCTTAGGATTTGCGTTATCAATGTTCTATATTCCTGTTGTGGAACAGCAATGTTTGTACGATTTAGAAGAGTCACAAGTTTTGATTTTGGGTCGCCAACAACCTGGTATGTCTGACACGAGTGAAAAGCGAACTGAAGAATCAAAGCCGGTTGTTCACAACACAGTACCGCCGAAAGTCACACACTTTAGTTATGGGTTACGGCCATTTTACGTTGCTAGCGAACTCGGCCATAGAGATAAATTACTTGTTGGTATTCTAACTACTGAGGAAAATATTGACTCGCTGGTGCTTGCTGTGAATAACACATGGGGGCCTTTACTACCAAAAATTATATTCTTCACTCCGTTCTCGAGAGATGTTGACTTTTCGGAAAAATACAACAAAGTGTTGGGTCTACCAATAGTTCAACTTGCCGACGTGGAAGATGAGAATTTTTCCAAAACAAAATTGTCTTTTAAAATGTTGAAATACATGTACGATCATTATGCTAACAATTATGAATGGTTTATGCGTGTCGAAGACTCCATGTATCTAAAACCAGAGAAACTTCTCGAGTTGCTCAATAGCGTGAACAGTTCAAAGGATGTTTATCTTGGCCGTCCAGGATCATACAGGGCGAAGGGAGGAGACAATGGAGATGATAATTTGTACTCTAATGATAAGTATTGTTATGGTGGTACAGGAATTGCTCTTTCAAGAAGTGCTTTGATGAAACTTGCCCCTCATTTGGAAAACTGCCTAGAGAACGCATTGACGGAACAAGAAGACGTAGAGCTCGGCCGATGCCTTTTGAAGAATGTCCAATTGCAATGCACATGGAGTTATGAGGTGGAAAGACATTGTAGTTAATTAATGTTTTTGATTGTGTCGTGTTTGCCTAATCGGGGCTATAAATTGATTATATTTAATGGTGATAATTGATTCTCGGGATTTATTTAACATCAACCATTATTTCTATGGTGATCAGTTAGGGATCATTTCACTTCCTGTTACCTATAAAAATAGGGGGTACATCGATGGATTCGATGGATGACAAACTTAACCTCACAGGGGGCATTTTTCTTTTAGGAAAATGTTCAACTTAATCAAAGTCGCTGTTAAACTGTTACACTGCTATGCTATTTGGCAACCTAAAATTGGAAATTGGTCATACAGACAAAAATGGAGCGGAAATTCCTAAATGAACAGCACTTTTGCAATATTACATGACCTATGTTGAAGTCAAAACCGCCAAGGCTAATGAGAAACAAGGAAGTCATAGCCGTATTTTTTATACAACTGGTTATCGTATTGAAAATTATGGCTATAAACACTAGGTTGTAAAAACATTCTATCTTGTTGCATGATCACAGGACCTGCCAAATTGGCAACTGGCAACTTTCACTAGGAATTTCAGCTGTTTTCGGTACCTCAGACAACCCCCCACCCCCCCCCCCCCTCAAGGCAACTTTAGAGAGCTTTTATATAGATATGGGAGTTGTAATGGCTTTCTCCACACCAGTATCTTTCATATGTTCAACCTTCAAAATCATCTCAGGGTAGGAAGTTGTTTGGTGGATATTTCATGTCATTCCACACATCAAAATATACAAGTTGACACTTGATTGGAATGCAGAGTATTCTAAATGACTGAAGAGGATCAATTTTTAAAGCATTTTATTTTGCAGGATGTTTCCTCTGTGGGAATATATCTTTGCCAATATAGGACAATCTGCAAAATTTGTAGATTGTACCAAAAACCTACAAGAGTCTCACACTATGTAGAAGTTTGACTGTGTTTTATGCTTTCTTTTAGGCAGAAGATCTCTTTTATCATTTCCCCAAAGACACTGGTGAAACCAAGATCATAAATCTCATCAAAGAAAGGAGAATGGCTCGTACCATCTCCCTGCATCCCGTCAGCAATCCACTCCTCATGTATAAAATTCATCGCTACTTCGCTGAGCTAGAGCTGAACAAAACATTTGTTGAAACAAGAACTCTTCAGAATGCAATTAAAGATATGCTACCATATTTACCAGAAGGTAAGTTATCGATAAACATTTGTGTTCCTGGAAAGCTGAATGATTTAAATACTGTAATGAAGATCTTGCTACAAGTTATTTGCAAATGAAAGCTTTGGTAGAAAATGGCCATATATAATTTTTGTTGCCCAGTTTTACTTTTTTTCAGGTGGGAACTAAGTTTTTCAAGAATGACTTGTCTGGATATAAAAATAATTTTTTTTCTTTTTTTTTCCCATAAAATTTAATATTATATTTTTAAGGAATAACTTTTGCAGAAAGGCACTGTTTTACAAACTTTTGTTTGTATTAAACAATTTTTCCAAGGGTAATTACGTAACCAATTTCAAAGCCATGTTATTTGGAATTCAATAAATGAAGATATGAAAAGTTCAATATCATCCTCTTTCAAGTGCAGATTAAAAGCAGCACCATCTTACCAACAGTTCTTAGTTCATTATCTGTATGTTTGTAGCAGTATGTCTTCTGACTTCTATCTTTCACCCTTCAAATATATCTTGGTTGCAATATGTGAGAAATATATCAAGATGTGTTTGTTATTAACTTTATTTGGGTGCATTACAGTTTGCTAGTATTGTACAATCTCTGTATTTGCTCTCACTTTGACAGTAGCTCTGAAAAACAATAATAGTTTAAGATAATAGGAGAGGAGTCGTTAACAATATTACTCTCCAGCTGTCAAATGCCCGAGGGACCAGTATTCTTAAGAATTTGTATTCCTGTGAAAATACAGGTATATGGAAATGGTATTGATTTCATGGAAGGAAGCAAAAATGTGTTAAAAGTCTTTGACTTTTGCCTTGCAGCTATTTTCCTGTTGAATTATGGGAAATCTCTTTTTTTTTTTCACTTGATTGTGTCAAAATTTGAATACAAGCCTAGGAACAGAATTGTTTAGATCATATTGTGCTTGAAAATCAAGTATCTTCATCAGAAGTTTTTTGATATCCGGCAATATTATATCTGTACTTTAATCTTGATATGGAACTTATCTTTTGGTATGTGGTATACGTGTGTTGTAAAAATAAATTCATGATATTGGATGGTTGTCACAAGTCAGGAAAGACAAATTTCTTCAAGGTTTTGGAAAAGTCAGGCAAAAAGTGAAATTTCAAGTGAAGTCAAAACTAAATATTTGCTCCGTTGAGTGAAAAATTTCATAAAAGCAAACTTAGAATGTGGGCCCAATTTAACTAGAGTTTCGTGATATGAAGGAAATCATGATATATTTGTGACGTGATGAGATACGTGATACTCCAAATTAGGGGACGGGGAGAACCTGCCAAGATGATGGCTAAAATGTAAATCAGGTGAAACTGGATGAATTTTTTTTTTTTTGGTATGTTCAGGTGTTCCAGAAAAGAGACCATTATGGCCGATTGGTTTCCGTCAACCGTTTAAACCTCAGTCACGTTTCGAGGTGTTGCAATGGGAATATTTCACAGATACGTCAAGTTACGGATTCACAGAGGTCAATCCTAAGGTAAATTTAGTAAACTGTAAGATCCTGTATTTTCTTTGTATTTTCTCTCGAAAGTTCTGATTGGTTGATGAGAAAACTTACGCCACGTTTTCACCAAATCTGATTGAAAAAGTAATTTGAACTCGCGCGCTTTGGCGCCTCATGACGCAGGTGTTTCATTGTGTGTTGTAGAGGTTTCTTCTGATTGAAAGTTGCTATGGTTTCGCACGTGATTAAAAACCGCTTTAAGCCGCCCCCTCTTCTTTCCAAAGGTACCTTTGCAGGGGGATTACAAGAAAGACGTCGAAGACGTCAAAGAAACGGCCATCAAAATGTTGACACGAGAATACTCTAACGTGAACAAGCAGTTCCTTCTGATGAATGGCTACCGACGAGTTGATCCAAGAAGAGGAGCTGAGTACATCCTGGATATTGGAATCAAACCAGGTGCTGCGGAGACCAGGGGAACTGGGAAAGAGGCAGATATGACCATCAGGTGTGGTAAAATGCCCTATACCATAAACTCTCTAACAGGGATCGGGAGCGGAGGGACTTTTTGATATCCTAGGGATTTTAGATGGGGGATATATTAGTGAGGGAGAGGATAATTTGAGAGGAAGGGCTTCTAAAAGAAATTCAGTTACTCATAGATACCAAATTTTCTCTCATTTGGTCATTTTTAGAGGTATTGTGACCTCATTAAATTCATTGCTTTTTGAACAATTTTTATTCAGACGAGTTCATCTTCTGAGGCCGTACACCATGGTGGAAAATATCCTAATGCCGACTGCTATCGAGCAACGTGGAATCCACCTCGTTCTTCCCGTCCTTCGGAACGACACCAAAAGATTGGATGACTTTTTTCAGATGTATCAGAAAGTTTGCTTACAGACTGGAGAAAATGTGGTACTACTCACTGTATTTGTGAATGTTAGGGACGCAGGCCAAGAGAAAAACAAAGAGGACATATTTGCTGATGGAAAAGCGATTATTGCACGGTAAGTCGTAAACTACACGTCGTGTAGTCCATTTAGTCAATCGCTGATCCACAAAGAGAGCCTCTTTGCCACTTATTACCAATAAGGAGTACGCTGAATTTGCGTGGCTTTATAATCTTTGGCTTATCCAGGATTCTGTTGCGCTAAAGCGATGAAGCAAGTAGAGTGTTAGGATTGCCTCTTCCTTCCCTTGACGGGGTGATAGTCCATTAATGGTTATCATATATCCCACACCTCTCCACCCTTTAGCAGTTCGTAAAGTTTACCAGACAGCTCGCCGAACCCATATCTCTCCAGGGTGGAAAGAGGCACTTTGAAATTTAAGTGTCTTGCCCGAGAACACAGCGCAATGACCCGGCCAGGGGTCGAACCCAGACCCCGCAACCAAGAGTCTAGCGCGCTAACCTACTCGTCTTCTTTAAATGCAGGTACAAACAGAAATACACTTGGGCGCAGTTGCCGTGGATACAGATCGGAGTCAAGTACAACTCCCTTACGTTGCTCATGGACATTGTTACCATGAAGCTTCCAGCCAATGCACTGATCTTTCTCGCAGCTCTTGAAGTCGAGTTCAACGTAAATTTTCTTAGCAGGTGCAGAGTGAATGCACTTAGTGGTGAGCAGGTGAGTCAAATTTCCGTCTCCTATGATCTAAGACCATTACGGACGACAATGTCTCCCAAAATACTCAGGAGCAACCTCGACGTTGTTCCGATAATTTCCGACCATCAAACGACCAGGCACGAAAAGGTTCCGAACATACTAGGTTTTTTCCGACGATCCACGAAAATTCAACGTTTAAGTACGAAATGTATTCGGGAATATCAGGGAACAAGCTCGATGTACTTCCGATGCCAAGTATAACTACCAGCAACGAACATGTCTCCGAGAACACCAACGAGCAAGCCCGAAGTTTTTCCGATAAGCTAAAACAACTAAGTTTCAACCTCTCTTCCTTTTTGTTTCTTAGGTAACGATTCTTTAAAAATTTACCCGAAGTTTTTTTTTCTAACTCTTTTATTCTTTAGGTATTCTTCCCCATTCCCTTTGCGTATTATGATCCAGCCATTGTATTCCGCCAAGCGAAGATCCCGGATGTAATACCCGTTCATAAGGACACGGGGCACTGGGCACCAGGACCGAGAAAAATGGCTTGTTTCGATAACAAAGACTATAAAGACATTAGGATAAATAGTGACGACTTCCTTAAAGAAGAAAAATCACAAAAATTGCAATTGATGGAGGTAAATTTCGACTAATCCATTTTTTAAGCATTTCTTTTGCAGTTTTTATAGTTATTTAGTCAAACACGTTTTAGAGTTTGGTTAAATTTTTGTGTTTTTGAACGGTCTCTTTAGTTTAATTTAACTGTCGGATTTCTTCACTAGGTGTTCGCTGCTAGTTCTTTACACGTGTTCCAAGCAGTCGACATTGATTTGAGGAAACGATATGAACAAGTAACATGTGATCCTCATCTTAAAGAAGACGAATACAACACGTGTTTGAAATTCAAGGCAGAAGGCATGGCTTCTCGCTCACAACTCGCTCTCCTAGTGTTTGAGATGGAACAAAAGAGTCAGGGAAATGGAGCCACAGAGTTTCATCAGTTACGTTAGTCACACTCGTTATCAAGTATCCTCATACGCCAATTAGCACTTAATGACTGGCGAAGCTGAGGGGAACAGTTAGAGTCGGAGGGGGGGGGGGGTAAGGGGAACAAACTCACGGTTTTCCGGAAGGCCAGTTTTTAAGTGTTTTGTTATACCTTACAACTCAATAATAGTACGATGACTGAAAATATATATTTATTTTTCTTGACGCGGGCTGGCACACATACTTGTCGGGGCTGCAAGATGCAAGACCTGGTCAAGTGTGAGTCAAAAATTCAAGTTGTGATACCCCTAGGGAAGGGAGTTTTGACCCATCGCACGTGATTCTTTCTCCTCCAATTGGAAAAAGTATTTGAGTTGAGGGGTATAACAACGTCATTTGTCTTCATTTTCTTCTCTTAAAGATTACGCGACATTCACTTTCCACTCCTGAAGAATACGAAACCAAAAATTGCCCACAAATATTTAATTTTTTCCTGGTATTTGAACGGAGTGTATGCATGCAGGTCATGAAGACAAAGCGACGTTCCAATAGTTAGACACATTAATAATAATTAAAAAATGATCGGAATCCAGTGAATTGGATAGTAGTAACGTTCTTGACGAAGCTAGGACATATTGTATTCTCTGATGGGGTCGAAAATATTTTCTTTTCTCGGAAAATGGCTGTGTTACGAAATCACAGATTAAGTATTTGACGACCTCGCTCAAGAATTTGACTTAACATTAGAAGTAGCAGCCCCTGTTAGCATAAGGGGCTATCTTATCGCTATTTCTTTGATGTATTATTATTTATAAAACTCATTTAACGGACAAATTGCTAAGATGCATGTGTGGCTATTTGTAAAGCCTATAAGCACAAAAATTCAAAGATAACACGAAGTACTTATCGACAAATATGAGAAAAGTCACGAAACGCAGATACGTTTAATAGGTAATAATTCTTGCTGTTCATTTTAGGAAACTAGTTTACAATAACAAAAATTATCATGCATTTGAAAAAAAGGTTTTGGTAGTTTTTTTTTTTTGACTGGTGACAAAAACAGCTATCATCTCATCTCATAAATAAAGGTGAGAACTTCTTTGGTACTTAAGTCTAACAACTTCTTTCACATCCTCTTCCAATTTTAGCCCCGAACGCATATCCCGTACCCTCTCTTAAGTCTCATTGAGCGCACCATAAAGAAGGAACCGAGATTAACAAAGGCAAATAGAACGAATAATTGCCCTAAAAGAAAAAAAAAATTGGCCTTCGAAACTCTTTTCCATGAGCAAAAGGTTCGAGCAAGACGAAATTGAAAATTCCCGAAATTCAACAATTCCTCTTCTCCTAAGTAACCTTAACCTTTCATTCACCTTTCTGTCTTTCCCCTTCAACAATGGAGAAGGAGATTAAGGAATTACTGTAATTTCTTTACCTGATGATTCACCCAACTGCATTTGTAAAGCATTGTACGATAGCAGTATAGGTGGTCAAAAGAAGTAAACGGAATTTTAAAAACAGCCAAAACATTTTTATTATTTCAGCGAGCCTACAAGAGTAAAAATTTCATACAAAAACGTTTACATTAAAACTCCATTGTGGTTCTCATTGGTTTAAATACGTGTTTTAACGATCGTTAGACTGGTCAATCTGGTTATTTACAAGTTTTACAGGTTTGTGTTGATTGACTGATTACGTAACTGACATGGCATTCTATCATCTAAATAGTATTGATCTCGTACAAAACTTCAATAGTGACATGAATAAACCAAAACATGCCCCACCCCCTACCCCCAGAAAAATAGCATGATCATGCATCGTTGATTTTGTTTCACATTTCTCATGAAGAGAAATATTCCATTCTTCACATGGAAGTAGTAGCTAGTCTTTGTTCCGTCTGAAGAAAACCTGTTGACAAAAAAACTTCCATTCAGTCCTACAGAAATCTCCCCGTCGTTGTAAACGTTATTTCGTGCAGCTCAACTAAATTTTTTCTTTCTTTTAGTGACGATGAGACAATAGGCGTACTCAATGTCGATCTTTCTCTTCATAAACCAGATCGTATAACGCGTTGATAAATTCTCATCATTCTTATAGTTCTCGTTCATTCTCAATGATTCAATTACCTGTTCTTAGCGCAATCATTCATTCAGTTAATCATGCATTAACTCTCAATCACTCGTTCTCATTCTCGCTCGTCATCATTCTTCCATTCTCATTGATTCATACATTCATTCATTCCTTCCATTTCATTCCCACCACACTACCACTATCATAATCATTCTCAATCTTGCATCAACTTTACCTTCCTTCCTCCTTCCCTCTCTCAGTCCATATTTGGAGCCAATTGCTCCCAGCGGCGTTCAAAAAATTCAAAAAGTCGTTTTCCAGCCTGTCCAACCTGGGGAGACATAATAGTATCAGCATTAATTAAACGTTCCAACAATGAGCTTAACAGTAGGTAAAAAGCCGTTCCATTGCAAGGAGAAATTCTGGAATCGAGGTTAATCAAGAGAGATCGCTTCCTCTAATGGCGCCATTCAGACTTCACGTGACTTACCTCTGAATCATCCTCGTTAAATTCTTCACAGTTCAAGAAAACTGTTCGTGCGTCATCCACAAATTCGTTAGGTCCTTGGTACCTGTTGGCGAGGGCATCATGCGTTCATTATCACGAATAACATAACAAAGAATATTTCAGAGAACTGCACCAACTTACAGAGACTTGAGGAGATGTCGAGAAATCGGAGAGTTCTCCGGCTAAAATTTCCATGGCCTGAGCCTTTTTTTCATTCACACGCCGAAACTCTTCTCCAATAATTTTACACCATTCTCCTGCTACCAAATTTCTCATGAAAATTCTGAAATGATCCGCTTTAGGTTTTACCGCTCGAAACTATCCGCGTCTCCACCAGGAGCGGGAAAGCATTCACACTGATTTCTGGGATTGGAATTCGAAATTTCATGAGATCCCTAGATTGAATGATGACGAAATAAAACTTTGAGATCAAAGGGAGGCATAGGTTATTGCTTTACTTTAACAGATACTTACTGGCAATCACGAAGCTTTATTTTCATAGTATGGAAATCCATTGGTCTCTTGATTATTTTATAATATTCTGGAAACTAGAGTGAGACGGAGAGTGAGTAAATACCGAGGTAGCTAATTTGCATTGCTTACAGGCTTGCTCTATAATCCACGCATACCCAAGTGTACCCCACCCTCTCCCACACGGTGTTAATGGACACGAAAGCCAACAACTGGTAACTCACTCAAGAGTTTAAAATTAAAGGAAACAGCGAGTGTGATCTCACCTGTTTAGGATTGACCGGAACTAAGAAAGGCCAGGCGTCCTCGTGTTTTTCCATTTCCGCCAGGATCATGCGGCAAGGCGCCATGTCTTTGGAAGCTTGCTTCCGGTTGGCGTGAGGGCGAACTTCCTCCTTAAGGGGAGGGGTGAGAGGTCGCCTGTCGTCTTCCTCCTCGTCATCGTCCTTAATCTTTCGCCTCCTCCGTGGTTTGCTACGTTTCTAGAACGATAAAGAAAGAAAAACATGTTAGTTATCGAGTGGTTTCCTTGATCCTAAAAAAATTTATATGCAGTAACCAGATAAGACACAAAGCGGTAAACCTACTCTTTTGCAGTTTGGACACGTCCACGACGCCCTTGGAACCCTATTATATGAAAAGAACTCCATAAGCATGAAAACACACAGAAAATCTTCTTGGAAAAAAGACACCAGCTATAAACTTCTGTTCCTGAAGGACCCACAGCACCTCCCCTAAACGATATGCCCCCCCTCCCCCCATCTCATCCGATGGTACTAGCACGCTGTTCTCACGGTTTGTTGGCTAGTAACACTTAATACACGTAATGTGTGTGTATGTGCGTATAGGCCAGAAGCGGGAGGGGGAGGGAGGAGGGAGGGGGGAATGGATAGAGAGACACTATTCCTTGACCTAAGCGATCAGCTCATCTCAAGCGTCATCTAGACGCGGCAACAAAAACCTTGCTTACAATTTGCCGATACAAATTTACGAGCGACACTATATTACTTTGTTTTCATTTATGACCTTAGTCAGCCAAGGAACCCGTCAGAAACATAAAATTATTCCAGTTGAACTACACAGGTTGCTGACACCGCAGTGACGTAAAGATCATCGATCAACGAAAAAGATGAAATTTCACTGTTTTGTAACGAACATTTGATATGTCGGAATCTATAGTTTCATTTCTACCCACTGATTGGTTGTCATTGTCTGAGTGGATTGCTTATAACAGAATTCTCACTTGCTCAGCGGCGGCTCGAGGCACTGTAAATGAAAGTTTCTTGGACAGTTGTCACACTTGGCCATTTTTCCTGTAGCCCCTCCGCACATACAGCAGTTGTCGCTTCCAGCAGCCTGAAATTAAATACGACAGTTAGAACTTCATGTACAACAGCTGTCCATAAAATTGCGGTAGAAAATGAACCAATCATTTTTCCAAACGCATTTTAGGCCAACAAACGCTCCCTAGTTCTTCGTGGAAAGTCTTGCCGCAATCCTGGACATTTTAAGAAGTGGAAGACTGGTGAGAGAAAACTATAGTGAGAGAAATAGTGCAAGAAAACGGACATCTTGCCTTTGTAAGCACCATGCCCTCTCCGTCCCCTTGACTCTGAACCAAACATGGCGTCACAAAGAATGATCACGCGCTTAAAACACTGATTCACTCTCCCCTAAAAAAAACTCCTGCATTGCTGCCTAGGCACGCAAATGAACACAGCGAGATAAAGGAGGTGCTGTTCACATTCTCGTGAAAGTTTAATGCTCCATATTTTGTTACCTTTTTTCCTGATAGGGTGCGCATGTTACGGAGAGATACGAAGCGAAAATTGTGAGGGAAGCGGAGGAAGGTTAGAGTACGAAGAGCACACAAGAAGCCTCACGCTAAACCGGTCGCGCCTCGCGTTCATATCGCGCACGCATCGCGCGGAAAGACGCTGTGAACAGTAAAGTATACTTACCAGAACTATACAGTCAGTGCAGTACCAGTCTCCTTCGGGTATCGACGAGAGCTTAGGCTGGGAAAAAAAAAAGAAGAGGACAACTT